TGGATGACCTCGATGTGGTGGTGCAGAGGCGTCGCCGGCACTAGGCGCAAAGCAAACACAAACTAGAGTCACGCGAGGGATGTCTAGCCCACAAAGACCAAGTTAACATAGCTCTACATACATACAGGCAATCGAGATACTCACCTAGCCCACAAAGACCAAGAGGTCGAGATGAGGGCTAGGACACGAAGTGCAAGTGCTAAGAGAGTCCGCGATACGGGCGCTTAAGCGCGGGAACAACCTTCCAATATAGTAACAGGCAGAGAAAAGGCAGAGAAATGGCGAAAAATAATACATAGGGTGAGTCCAGAGTCCGTTCCACGACAGTTTACACTGCCGGCGAGGCTGAGGAATCAGCGTGAAGGGGAGGAGAAGAGGCAAAAGAGGAATTTCACACCGCGCGCGGAGGGTGGCCGTGGCCATAAGCGCTTAAGCACCATGACTTCAAGCTTGATTGCGTTCTGGAGGCGCACCAAGCTCGCGCGGTTGAGGAAAAAACATCGTGACTTGTGGTGGGTACGAGGAGGCGGAAACGCAGGGAGTGGGTGGTCATGTTGGCTTTGTGGAGGTGGGAAGTTGAACGTACCGGGCGCAGAGTGGCGGCCATGAGGGCGACGAGACAATGATGGTCTGCGAGAAGTTGTTAAAAGCCACATCAATGTCGATAGAAATGTGGGCACTGTGAACGAGATGCTGAGAGCAAAGGGAGGAACTCACCATGTCTTGATGGATCACCCGCGAGCGTGAGTGGCACATCGCGCTGAGGGGATGATGGCGGTCGCAGGGGAAGTCCAGTAGGCGCGCACACGTGCACACGCGCCCATGCAGTCTGGCGACCGAACGGAGGCCAAAGCGGGACGCCACTGCGGCGCCGCCGCATCGAACCACGACAATTAGCAAGAAATCATCATAAGCAAATTTTGCCAGACCACAGACTCTTCGTCGTCGCTAACACCGACTGTAGTACGTCTTCCCAAGGATGTATATATCTTGACTTAACTTTCGTATTCGCAACCTGCTCACTGCCCTCGCCCGTGCCCCGTGCCCCGTGCGCCGCGCGTTCGCCGTGCCGCGCGTGACTACGAGCGCGTCGAATAGGAGGAGGAAGAGGCGGAGGCGGGTGATTCACTCGCGACGGTGGTGGTCCGCGGGATGGCCCTTGCTCTCGCCATCGCCCACGCTTCGCTATTCCGGCCTTGAGCGGTGTGGTGCGGACGCCGTTGACTTGCGCGCGGTCAAAGCCGTCGGCGACAAGAATCGCGATGCAGCGGGACTTGATCGTTGGCTCGCAGGGGGCTAGGCGGGCTGAGAGCGCTTCAAAGCCCGTGAGCCAGGTGTTGGGCCGCATGGGAGGGTCGGAAGAAACGCGCTGATCGTTGACATGTGTAGTGCAAGCGAGATAGCAGCTAGCTCGACGCGGGCTAGACATTCGCCGTGAGAGGGGGTCACCAGTGTACCTTGGAATACCCAGGTGCGTCGGCGCCGCGAGTATGGACAACACGCCGGGCGTCGGACGAGCAGGGCTGTGGTGCCCAAACGACCCGGCGCTGCGATGAACTACTCACTGACCGTCTCGCTGTTTGGGAACAGGGTCGCTTCAATACACGCGAGGGGGAGATGAAATGCGCACCTAATGTACAGAGAAGCACGCCTTAAGTCCATTGTAAACATGAGACGGAACGTGAAAGGCCGAGACAATGCTAAATTGGTGAGCAAGAACACGAGATGTCCGCAGTCGAATAAATCATGTCCCAGTTGTGTCCCAGAGAAGCAAACATTCTGATGAAGAGGATACACATGGAAAGACCAGGTTCCGCAGAACAGCGAGAAATTAGAAGAGATGTCAAGAACAAATTTGGGGAACAGAGGCCCCGGATGGGAGAAAGGGAGGTGGTGAGGCTCGCCGTCGCCGGACTGCGGCGGACTCCATCCGTAAGCGGTACAGGCGCCCGCGCTGACCCGCGCATCCTCGCGCGCACCGCGTTCTCTGCCGCGCGCACTGTTCGCGCACTCGCGAACCGACCGTATGGCTCATTACGAACTTACCATGCACCCCGCGCGCCATGAATCACCCTTGGAGGGGCACATGATCGTCTACTATCATTATCATATCATCGACTATAGCTTTCCGTCTAACCTACTAGTGCCTGTAGTCGATCCATCATAACCTGTATGCGGCCACGAAATATGATCAAACGTCACATCGAAGACGAATGAATATCAACTGCTACCGTTCTGCCATCATCATTTGTCGCGCAGACAATAGACGGCCTGTCCCGATCTGGCAGAGTCGCGTGCTATCGGGCGCTACCGTTAAAAACACCTTTTGCTGATGACTCCTCTTCTGCAATCCCGGTGTCCTTCAGCGTTGGCGCGAGGATCTTTGCCATCACGAGGAAGCAATAGTAATCCGCGGAGAAGACGTCGAAAATGCGGGGGATGTGAGGATCCAGTGGATCGTTACGGGGGAGACGGTAAAAGAAATGTTGAGTGTATGCCTCATTTAAGACGTCGCCGCCGTACTTGATGATCAACGGAGGCCTGTCCAGCAGATTCAATTCGAAGATATTGCTCGTTGCTCGCGTATTTTCTGGGATGGCTTCGAAATGGGCGAGGATGGCCTTGCGCTCATGTTCGGTCAAGTCGCATGGCAGAGTATGTCGAGAGCTGTCGTCAAGAACTGCGACAAGAGGCACTGCCACGATGATACATGCCAATTCAAACATCGCCAGGGAACCTGGGTCAAGCGTGTGAGGTGTGTGAGAGGATCAAGCAGCCCATCTGTCGAGTCAAAACGCCAGATTGGCAACATACCGCGCAGGGGCGTTTTGTGGTGCTTATTACATAATCACGCACGGCGCTTGCGATTCCGACGACTCAGCTTGCGTGAGGCCGCGAACGCGCGCGACTCGGACGGCGTTGTCGTCGTCGTCGTCGTCGTCGTCGTCGTCGGGGACAGTGCTGCGGCCAGCACAAGCTTCATATTTCCACTATGTTGAGTGCGGGAACGGCGCTGCAAACGCGCGACGTCGTCGAACTCCATTCGCACCCGGCTTTGTCACGCGCCACGGACATATATGTATACCTACTTGCCTCCGCTGCCCGCAAGCGTAGCAAGGCTTTTGATCCGCGTACATAGTAAGTAAGTCGTCGCGCCGCGGCGACAGCAGGCGTCTCTTCATCAGCCCGCGTGAGTCCCGACAGAAGCCGCGTGTGTACGTATGTGCTTGAATATTCCAGGCGCGACGATCCGGGAAATCGCCCATCGCCTCCGCGTTGTGTGCCCGCCGCGTCAAACAGCGTCCCCCCAACATCGCGGAGGCACCTCGAATGGTCGCGAGAGGGCCGAAGCACTGGGGCTGATTCGAAGCGTGGCCGCCGCGGAGCAGGTGCCCGGTGCCCGTGGCTTCTCAGTCTCTTGCAATTGGACGCTGGATTTCGGGGTCCGGGGCGTGCACTGTCGCGAAAGTTGCCTCTCGCCCCCACCCCTCCGCTTGGGGCTAGATCTGTCTTGAATCCTCAGGCGAACTCGAGAAGCTCAATCGATGGGACGACGCACGCGCACGCCAGGGCCCCCGATCGCGACCACGTCCGAGTCGATGCACCTTATCCGAGGCGGGGGTATACATCGTGGCTTTGGTTACTGGTTCAATTCAGTGTCACTCCTTGTCTCTGTCGTGCTGGTTGTCGGCATCCATCCGTGTGATGGACGACCCCTCTGCGAAATTCCTATGTGTAAGTGGGGCACCACGCTATATTGTTGTTTAAAAATAGTCACCGTGCATGTACACACACCCGAGGAGCGATCCAGCGTACTGATAGGCTTTTTCAAACTATTGGGGTACTTCTAGGTGATTCTTGCGACGCTTGAACACAGCGAGCACGGCAGTGGCGATGTTAGCCAATTCGGAAACACCACAGATCACACTTACAACGATGTCCCCGATATGATTGGCCGTGTGAAGAACGTCAGAATCAGCGCAAGCACAGACGGTGCGGCGATCCTGACACACAGCGAGACCATGGCAGCCAGAACAGGCTCGATTCACCGTGACGCGAACGGCGCAGTCACCGCGCACACGTGTCGGCACGACCCCAAAATTTAAATACGTACTGCTAGTATGCCTCTTCGCGGCCGGTGCTTGACGGAACGACCGAGACGCTTTGTACGTAGGAAAGAAAAAGGCTGTGGGTGCCATTATATGTGGGCTGGCGCCGGCTGTCACATCCGTGAGGGATGACATGTGACAACAACGGCGTGACAACGCGTCTCTCGACCAGCCGCGCGCGCGGGCACTTGTTGCCTTGTCTTCCGCTCATCATGCGCATCCTCATTTCCTCCGGAAATCGTCAATTTCATGCGACACGCTCCGAAGTGGTAGTATTCGAAAGTGAGGTCAAGAATCCAAAGAAGATGTAGGAAAACTGGTCGCCAGGCATTGGATATTATGTGAGTGCTACACATCGCCCTGCGACGGGGAACCGACATCTGAATATATGCGGCCCGAAAGGCGAGAGATGGGAAAAATCTCTGCCTCGTGTCATCTGCCGTTATCGTCTGTCCATCTCGCTTCTTTCCTGCAAACGCAACGCAACGCTCCGGGTCTAATCAAAGTTGTTTGAAGCTACTGTGTGAAGCTGTTATTTCATGCTCGTGAGTGTTTGCATAAATTTCTTCATGCGGACATAAAACATCATGTTGCTTCTTCTCACAGTCGCTGTGCAAGAAGCATGTTCTACGCAGAGCTCGAGCCCGAGACTGAGACCGTCGTGCGTACTGCCGTTTATCGCTAGCATCTTCGCCAATTTCCGCCTGTCATTCAGCTGTCCAACCAGGTCATATGCTCTCCCTCGAGGTTCCCCCATGGCCTCCTTCCCTGCAATGTCAATCCTTGAGCGAGAGGGATATCCCTAGCTTATAAGCCGCTCCGCGAGATCAAATCCATGTCTCTCCTCTCGCGGTCGAACGACAGCCCAGAGGTCACCGCTTCGCAGCCACCATGGGCGACAAAATCGACTATCAATACTTCCTTCCGCACGAAAGCGGCAAAACTCACCTTGTTGGTGCAACGCAAGTCACTGTTTACCAGGTATGTCCCCGCACGGTCTTATTTCTACATTGTCTGATCGTGCTGCATAGGGGATTTTCGACGATGACAGCAGAGACAAGACTCACGACTACCTCTACATTGGCAAGTTCTACCCGGATTTCTACATCCGTACTTCCGACTTCGACACTCGCCTCAAGGACGCCACCCTGGAGGCCGACTTCGAGAAGGCAGTGAAGGCCATCGACAATCCCGGGGGCGATGCTACCGACTTCTTCCACGTCTGGAAGGCCAGCGGCGGCTGGTTCGCCTCCCCGACCTCGTTCATGCACCGCGTCAGCCGGGGTATGACACTCACGAAGTGGTCGTACAACCAGAAGCGCCTATGGGAGAAGATCATCGACTCCGCCGAAGTCGCGACCCTGCCCGTCTCGCACAACCCCGTCATGGGCCGTTTCCTGACACTTCCCTCATCTATCCCCCTCTCCGAGTTCGTCGTCTCCACCACCAAAACCGAAGACTACCTTTCGCTCGCCGAGCTCCAGACCGCGGTGGACGAGTTCCCCATTCCGCGCCCCCGCGTGATGTCGTACGCAGCCGCCGATCAGGACGCCTCGCTTTGCCTTGTTGGGTCCTCGTTCCTCGGTCTCTACGAGACCTGGACGTCTTCTGCGACCTACGCGGCGCTATGCGCGGAGAAAGACGTGGATCCTCTCGACCGGCCGTGGCCTGCCAACCGCGCTGCGGCCACCAACATCGCCCAGCTGTTCCACAACCCGAACCCTACGCCTGGCACTGATGAAGGCGTGGAGACCTCGACGACGGTGACTGCCAAGAAGATCAAGGCGGCGGAGAACCGCCGGAAGCATGCGCCGGGCCAAAATCAGGTGATGGATGGCGTCTCCGCGACAGTCGTAGGTCCCTCTCTTACACCATCGTCGCGCTTGCTCACTCGATGCTAGCTTGCCGGAATGCTTTGGGGCGGTCCAGGACGCGACATGAAAGGCACCGCCGAGGTACGTATTTCGGATGTTTTTGTCTATGCGTCACTGACGTCGCCCTCAGTGGCTTCATCGGAGCGCATTCCGTTTTGGCGGCCTCGGGGATGCCATCAACCCGTTCTCATCGCAGAACAAATCCAATTTGGTTTTCGGGACGAAGGAGTGCAACACCCACATGATCCGTGCCGAGGACGCGATCACGAAGCTCATCGACCACTGCCCTACTGCCTCGAGCGGCCTCCTCGTCACCGAAAACGTTCTTGCTGGGAACGTGCGCCATCTCCAGGCCGACGGGAGCGTTGTCGAAAACGCCATCCCCGACTGGTTCCAAGACGAATGGAACAACAATCCCGGGACTATGTGGTGGCTTTCCATGCAGCTCACCTACGCATTCAATATCGATCTCAATCCCCAGGTGAGACCCGTTGTCGACAGTTCATGCGTAATAGGACTGATCCTTGAAACAACAGCACATCAACCTCACGATGAACGCACGCGTTGATTTCGACCCGTTCAATCGGTACAGGCCACTGCTGTATGAAGCGAAGCTCGACGACGTCGTCCTCAACATTGTTCTAGAAAGGTTCGGCTTAGTCGCTGGACCAGCGCCTGCACCCACACCGGCCCCCGTTCCTGGACCGCCCCCCAAGAAGGCAGCGGCGGTGACGATCTCTATGGTCGCTCCACAAGTCGAACAGAAGCTCGACACCACACGTGATCTCTACATCAGTGCATACCTCAACCAGGCTCTGTCGCTTTCCGACCACCGTACCTCATCTTTGGACCTTCCGGCTCGCCGCGCTGCGAACTCGTCATCCATTCCCCTTCGCGTCTCAGGACAGGCGCCTTCTTCACGGCGCGTTGCCCAGTATGCTGCCGGGCTGGCGAACGTCACGCCGGGGGGATCTCCTTCGCTTCGAGCATCGGGCGCTCATGGATTCGCCTTGCCTGGGCTCTCCCTTGCCACCATTGCCACCTCTGCCGATTCAGAAGCGCACGCGGACTGGAACAAGCCCTTCGTACCTGATCTGGTCACCCTCAATGGCGTCATGATATACTCTCCTAAGATCGTTTTACACGAAGGCTCATCCGCATCATATTCCTCGTCCGCTCGGCTGGAGGTCGCTTGCGCGTCTGCCAGCGTCGACACACTGCATACCCTCCCCCTCCTTGTCGTCGGCGCGGATCCCCCTCCTAATGGATTCACGCTCGAGGGTGACATCGCCCTCTTCGGCATCTCCGACCTCACCGCCAAGTTTTACAGTTGGCACGGACCCGTCCCCCACGACTCCAAGGTCGCAAACCCGCTGTACGAGATGGCGATCGTACCCGGCGATTTCAAGCTCTCGTCTGTCCTCGATGTCCTCAAAGGCACGCCGTTCGATGCACTCACCTTCCGGGACGCTACGTTCATGCGCCAAGACATCGCGTTCGACCCGACGAAGGCGCCCGGCTGGCATGTCGACGTCGACTTCCCCATCAACGCGGATGCCGGGCTGCTGTACGACGTCCTCCATACCATGCTCGGGGTGCAGGATCCCAGTGTTCATCTCCACGCCGGGCTGGGGCTCAACCACAATTGGAACAACAGCCTCGGGGTCCACAGCTTCACGCTCGACGGCTCCATCCCGGGGATGGTGGTCAAGATCTGCGATGGGTTGACGCTGACGTCGGTCGGCGTGCAGCTCTTGGGCGTCCGCCGTGTCATCCCTGGGGGTGTGAAGCCGAAGACGAGCATGGAGTACGGCTTCGGCGTGTTTGGGTCGTTCGCGCTCAAGATCCCGGGTGCCCTTGTGCCGCTCGAGCTCGACTACCAGATGCAGAAGATCGGACCAGTGCTGCGCCTTGCCGCGACCCTCAAGGCCGACACCTGGGACTCCCCCTTTGGTATCACTGGCTTGAAGGTACGCTCTACTCTGCTTCGTCAACGCTCGTTTGTTGACATATCTGAGGGCAGCTGTCGGAGGTGTCGTTCGAGGCGGATCTCGTGGCCAAGGCTCCCATGAAGACGTTCTCCTTCGACGTCTCCGCGGTCTTCCAGTACGGCGTCACTACTGCAGTCTTCAACGGCTCCTACGCCGCGGGCGGCCACTTCTCCCTCAGCGCTACGGTGTCCAACTTCGACATCATCACCATCAGCGACATCTTCGAGTCGCTCACCGGGGAGTCGCTCGACCTTCCTGACATCGACTTCAAGGTCGGCTCTGCGACAGTGACGGTGGCATCTGGCACCGGCCTCCTGATCGCCCTCACCGACGTCGAGATCGAAGGCCATGTGTCCGCCAACGCGGTGCTGTCCATCAATTCGCGGGGTGCGATGATCCGCGGAGACATCACGAGCACCGACGGGATCTCATTCGGCGAGGTTGAGCTGAAGAAGGCGTACATCGAGATCGATCTACGCAAGGGCATGGAGGACTCAGGCGTCATGCTCGGCGGAGAGATTTCCATCGCGTCTCTGACCATAGACGCCCTCGTTCACCTCTATCGCGGCGCGGACAAGAGCATGCAATGGACTGCGTTCGCGTCCCTTACCACGGACACCCAGATCCTCGCAATCTCCAAGGTCGTCCCCGCGCTGCGCGACACTTTCCTCGACCTCGCTCTCACCAAGGTCGTCTTCGTCGCCGCCTCCCAGGACGACCCGCTTGTCTCCGGTGTTGTCACCACGGGCTACCGGATCCACAAGGGCGTACAGGTCTGCGCGGTGCTGTCTCCCATCAAGGAGCTCGACTCGCTCATGCGCTCGAGCGCGCCGACGTCTGGTCTCGTGCTCAGCGCCGGGTGGTCGAGGCAGACGGGCTTCGAGCTCGAGGTCCTCATGCCGACGGAATCGATCGTGAACTTCGGGAACGGGATCACAACGGACCCCTTCGCGCTGCGGATCCTCTTTGGCGGGAGCCAACCGACGCTGGAGCTTTCTGCGGGGATCAACATCCCAACCCCGCCGGATGGCGACAAGCTCAAGTTCTCGCTCGTTCTGGACATCAACCTCGTCGGGGCGTCTGCGACGGCGCAGATGCACGGCAACTGGAAGAATCCGCTCGGATTGGGCAAGGACGTGGCCATCGGGCCCGATGTCGCGCTGTCCATAGGCATCATATTCGCTCAGTTCGTGGCGACCGGTACTATCAGGTGAGCGATTAGTGCTCTTCCCCCGCTGTACCACCACTCACTCGGCTGTCTCTAGCAAATTTGGTGTTGCAGGCGGCATGGCAATCGGCAAGGTCTCAGCGCAAGTAGCGATGCAAGTGTCCGAGGATCCTACGCGTATGTACCCTACCACCGAATCCTGCGCGGTATTCCTAAACTCACAACTTTGCAGAGGAACTACTCATGGGCGAAGTGAAGAGGCTCGATCTCGACGACATCGTGTCGTTCGCGAACGTGATCACCGGACTCGACATCCCGCAGCCGCCTAACCTGGTGGACTTCCAGGACATCTCGCTCTACGTCTGCCCCTTCGGAACGATGATCGGTACGATCGTGTACCCTCAAGGCTTCTCGTTCAAGGCAGCGATGGTGCTCTTTGGAAAGCACGTCGACGCCGCATGCGTCGTCGACAACACCCAGGTCCTCGTCCAGGGCGGAGTCGACAACTTTGTACTCGGTCCGCTCTCCGTCCACGGCACTAACGGCCCGCGTGCGGTCATCAAGGTGAACGTCGGTCCGAAGGAGCAACACATCCTCGTCGACGGCGTGGTTTCATTCCTCGACGCCAGCGTCGCTCTGCATGCCGAGGTTGGCATCTTGCCGAAGCCCATGCTCCAGTTCTACCTGGTGCGTGCATCTCTCCGTGCTGGATGACAGCGTGCTGATGCGACTCCCTTCAGCTCGTGAAGTTCACGGACCTGTTCCTGTTCAACCTCCAGGCACGACTAGAGGGCGATCTATCATCGTACCAGTCACTCGAGAACGCGGACTTCACCTTCTATGCGCTTATGCAGCAGGACATCTTGGTGTATGTGCGCGGACAGGTCGACGCCCAGTTTGAGATATTCCGCAGCACGGCCGAGGAAGGTTTCGAATCCGCGAAGAAGGCTCTGCAGGACGAGGAAGAAGTCGTCAACAAGAACATTGTGTGTCTATCTATCTCCCCGAACGTCTCTTCTGTGTTTTAACTTGCACTCTGCTCTCAGGATGCGGCCAAAGAAGTCCTTCGCAAGGCCCAAGAGGCCTGGAACCGCAAGTACCATGAAATTGTGGACGGTGCTCAGAAGATTATCGACGACTACCTCAGCGCAATTGATGACCTACAGCGCAAGATCGGCTATGCCCAGACCGACTATGATAACGTGCGTCTGCTCCTCGTTCTTCTCACCACCGAGTACGCTGACCTTAGTTGGTTGCAAAGGCAATGACGGAGGCTGAGAACGCCGTTCAGAAGGCGAACAACGATCGCGCTGCGGCCATGCGCGAAGCCAACGCCGCTCTCGAAAGTGCCAAGAACGAGGCATCGGCTGGGATCAACAGCGCGATCGACAGCCTCAATGATGCCAAAGACTTCTTGAACCGCAACTTCGGTGCGTGTTCCACGACTCGCTGTCCTCCGCGACGCGTGGGCTCAGAGCTGACGATTTGTGCAAAGGATATGCCGTGCGCGACATTGAGAACGCCCAGAGGAAGGTCGACGGCATTCAAAGCGACATCGACACATGCCAGGGCCACATCGATTGGTGCAACGGCCGGCCGTGGTGGGACATCCCTGCGCACGCCGCCGTCGCCGCGTACTACGTCGAACTTGCTGGGCTCGAGGCAGCGAGGGGCATCGCCTGGACCGCGCTCGAGGTCGCCAAAGCCGTCGTCAAGGGCGCTGGCTACGTCGCCGCGGAGGGCGCGATCGGCGCAGCCGAGCTCGCCCTCCAAGGTGCGCGCGAGACCGCGAAGGGCCTCATCGACGCTGCCGAGGCAGGCGTTACCACTGCGGACAAGATCTCGGAGGGAGCACTGGACGTCGCCAAGGACACCCTCGAAGCCGTGCGGTACGGCGGCAAGTACGTCGTGCTGCAGGGCGCGCGCGACGCGCTCAAGCTGTACGAGGAAGCGAACCGGGCCGCGTTCGAGGCCGCGCGCAAGGCGATCGACACCGTCGAGGAGTGTTTCGAGTTCGTGACCTTCGAGGCCGCGCAGAAGGGGCTGGACGCGGCCAAGACGGCGGCAACGACGGCGCTCAAGGGGCTGCAGAAGGCGCTCGACTTGGCGGAGTCCGTCGAAGACATCGCGCTCAAGGTCGGGCAGTGGCTCGTCGACCAGATGCTGGAGCTCGTCGACATCCAGCGGATCGAGCTCTCGGGATCGCTGCGCGCGATCGTGGGCGCGGGGGGTGGGGCGAAGAAGCCGTTCACGGTGCACGTCAAGTACGTCCTCATGGGCAATCCCGGCACCTTCGATGGGGTGCTCGACCTGTCCGACATCGTGTCGTTCATTGTGTCCCTCTTCAACCAGTGAGTACTCTCCTTCCGTCGTCGAGCACGATACTGACGTACCGCCTCGTCCAGGATGCTCGACGAGGTCGAAGGCAAACTACCGGTACCCGACAAGACGGACTCCTCCGAAAAGACAGACTCCGGCTCGGGCTCCGGCTCGGGCTCCGACACGCTCCCCACGGGCGGTGGCTCCAGCGGGTCGTACGACCCCGACTGGCTGCATCATTACGATCCCCACGACCGCCGTCACCGCGGCGACCCTCCTCCGTTTTTCGACGACCCGAAATGGCCCTACGAGGGCAACAGCCACTTCCCCAAGCTCTATGGCCGCCCCGTCGCCCGCAGCCTGGCGTCTCGGAGGACGCTGGCGGCGCAGCCCGGCCCTTTCCGTGCGTTTATTGAGCACCACGAGGACAAGTAGACGTAGGAACGTTAGCGCAGAAGTGTCCTGAAGTGTGTTTGAAAGAAGCTGTGTTTGTACGAGTACCGTCATGTTGTATATCGTCGTTGAACTGATGCGTGTGTGTCCTCTATCTGTGGCTGTGGCGTCATCGAGCAGAGCTGTTCGTCTTCTTCACCTTGCACACTGTACTGGTATTGGAGAGCTCGAGACCCAACGTTCAACGCTCAACTTCGTGCATAGCAATACAAGGCTCGAACGTGCGCGCGCAAACTAGGCGACACGAGGAATGTCCCCGCTTTCGAAACGACGTCGACTCCAGCATACAAACAAACACCGCACCACCGCATGAATCCATACTATCCGCGTGCATGCTCTCGTCAACTCACGCCGCGACGACGTCCGCAGGCGCGTACGTCTTCCTGCCCTCCGCCTCCTAGGGCTCGTGCTCGCACGTCGGCGGGACGGGCGCAGCACGCGCATGCGGAAGTTGTGGCCGAGCGCGCATCGCCGAACACCTGGTCGAGCTCCTCAAGCGAGAGCACCTTCGTCTCGGGCACGAAGAAGAGCGCAGTGAAAAAGCCAAAAAAAAAAAAGCTGTGGGCGCGCGTGCGTGCTCGGGTGAGCGTCGAGAGGCGAGGAAGAGAAGAGAAGAGAGTGTAGGCGCACTTCCGTGAGACGGGCCGTCGCCTATGCACGAGTCCTCCGACTTGCGTGTGGCCGTAGCGAACGCGCGCGACGGCGTCGGGACTGCGCCGCAGCCCGCGCGCTTCCATATTTCTAAGTACTAGTTCGAGTGCTGGGCCTGCGCGACTTGCGTCGGCGGAGCGCGTCGTCGGACTCCATTTGCGCCTGGGCTTGCTCGTTTGCGCGCCACGGACCGTCACCTACGTCTCTGCAAGCGTGCACGAGTTTTGATCCGCCCGAGCGGCGGCGTCACCGAGGCCGTCGTGGCCGCGACGACACAGGACAGGCGTTCCCCGGAAGTACTAAGAAGTATATCTAGTGGAGCGTTGCGTAAGTTCGTCGCGGCGCGGCGCGACGTGGGTCATGCGGCGGCGGCGACCGTCTCGCCATCCGCCCCGCGCGCGCGTCCTGTAAGCAGCATGAACGTTGAACGTTGAAGCTTTGAAATTGGCACCGCAGCGCCAGTGAGGCCGACCATGTAAGTATTTAATTACTCGCGCGCCGGCGGTCTGATCACCGGAGGTTCGTGCGTACGCCCCCGGGGCGCTCGCCTCGGTGACGGAAGGCGCTTGCGAACGCAAATGTATTCCTGTCACGACGAGCCGGCGGGAGAGCGGCTGGACACGGCCTCCGCCTCGCGCGCCCGCCACGCCCGCCGTCGCGTCGAGCGACGCGACCCCGACATCGCGGAGGCACGTCGGGCGGTAGCGAGGGGAGGCTTGGGGCTGAATCGAAGCGAGACAGCCACTGCCAGCTGTCCGGGGGGCGTGGCCTCTGGTCCCTGGCTGTGGCCTGTCGCGCGCGCATCCCGCCCGGAGCTAAACTCTTGAAGGGTAAACTTGAGAGCTTGAGAAGCTCGAGAAGCCCGATCGACCGGCGGACGCACGCACGCGCACGCGAGCAGACGTCCGAGTCGAGATGCGCCGCGCGCGTGGTATTAGCCGAGGCGGGGGTATATCCTAGATGTGGCAACGTCTACTGAAATGCTATGCAAGAGAACGTCCGGGGGTGCCTGTCCGGGGGGCGGAAAACGAATGTGCAGGAAGTGAAGGAGCGACGGCGTGGGCGAGCGAGCGTGGGGCGGGGAAGGCGTAGGTGGGGACGGGGCGGCGGGGCGGGATGCGGCGGCTGCATAGTCTGCGCGCGGCGGACCGGGGATTCGGGAAGGCGCGTGCGGCGAGCCGAGCGCGCGAGACGGAGCGACGCGTGGCGCGGGCGGAGATGACGCGCGGGCGGCAAAGGCGGGCGGCGGGCGTCGACGGTGAAAGGGAACGGCGGATGCGGCAAAGCGGCCGTGAGCGACCTCGGCCGCGGGGCGCGACGGGGGACATGGGCGACGCACTTGGTTGTTATTTTTTCTGCACGGCGGCGCGGCGCAGCGCGCGGGCGGTATCGGACGATGGGGGGTGGTATCGTAACTTCTAAGTTTTCACGTTCTTTTCTGCTCCAGGCGGGAAGGTCTGTGTGATCCGGGACTAGAGCGCGCTCGCGCCGTACGGGACCTTGTACTCGACGCTCGGGCTGCCGTCGCCGGCCTCGACGTCGGGCACGCCGCGGCCCTTGCGCTCGAGCTCGTGCACGTCCGTGTCCGAGACGTGGTCGTCGGCGACGGTGAACGTCTGCATCTGCACGTGAACGCCGTGGTGCAGGTCGCTCTTGGTCGGCGCGACGACGTTGCCTGCGGTCGGGGCCGCGCGGAAGCTGTGGCCGGTGCTCGAGCTGCGCGGGGTGCGGTCAGGACGCGGGTGAGAGAGAGAGGTAGGGAGAGACGCACAAGATCTCGGGGCCCTTGGTCGCGAAGTTGTTGAGCCGGCGGACGGCGCGGCAGGCGACGATCGTGGAGAAGATCGCGGCGGGGATGTTGAAGATGACGCTCAGGATCGCGTTCAGGTTGAGGAGGATGAAGACGACGGCGAGCATGTTCGACAGGAAGCTGCGCGCGTCCGAGCCGTGTCAGTACCCTTCGGTTTCTCCCCACACGAGCACCATCGCGACACGAGGAAAGACGAAAGGGGAGACGCACGCGATGAAGAAGTACATCAGCCCGTCCTGGAAGAGGAGCGACATGAGCTGCGAGCGGCCGGTGCGCGCGGAGACCACGAGCTTGTACATGCTGACGGAGAGGATGACGAGGTCGAAGCACATCGAGTAGATGAACGTCGCCGCGAGGATCGTGTTGTTCACGCCGCCCACGACGCACCCCACCCCGTCCTGCCACGTCGCGGTCACGGTGACGCCCTGGAGGATGAGCGACCAGTGGCCGAGGATGATGATCACGATCGGGATCACGACCCGCTTGTCGTTCTGCCAGAGCGCGATGCTGCGGGAGGGCGGGGAGGTGGTCAGCGCAGAGCGGGGAGCGGGGAGCGCGCGAGGCGGAGGGGACGTACGTGCGGATCGAGAGGTTGATGCTCGCGAGCCCAGAGGCGGCCTGGCCGGTGATCTGGTTGAAGGTGTAGAGCGCCTGGCAGTTGATCTCTCTGCGCGACGGTCAGCATGGGGAGCGCGTCTGGAGCGGGGTGGACACTACGCACGACGTGCTGTCCTCCGCGATCAAACTGCGGCAGAACACGGTGAGCGGAAGGACGCGGCGGAGCATGCGACCGTCACTCACAGACCAATCATGGTGAAGAGCAGGCTGTACCGGTTGAGGAAGTAGAACACCTGTGGCGGACGTGAGCGGGGAACGGACGCGGAGCACGGACAGGGAGAACTGACCGCCGGGTAGTGGAAGCGCTTCTGGCGCGTGATGAAGGCCCACTCGTAGTCGAGCGTGGTGACCCACTCCCAGCTGTGAAGGCAGCGAGTGAGAACACGTCCAGCAGCAAACAGTTGGCGCGAGCGAACAAGTAGAGTCCGGCCATCGCGTGGATGAACTTGAGGAACGCGGCTGGAACGCGAGTAGAGGTCAGGACGCGCTCTGCGGCCGGAGAAGGCAGACGAAACATACCAGCATCGACCGCGAGTTCTGCGGGTGAGTTCCAGTCGGGCATGGTGCTAAGCGGAGGCGGAGAGGCGGAAGAGAGCGTGGGGTGGGCCGGGGGAGGAGCGGGGGCAGCTCTGGAGCGAGCGCAGGCAAGAGGGCTGTCAATTATATGGACGGCAGAGAGCTTGGTGTGGTAATCCCCGAAGCGAAGGCGCCCCCGCACAGAGCCGGTGCAGGGTCGCGCCGCGGAGGGCGGTCGCTTGTCGACAGATTGTCGAGAGCCGATGCTTGAGCCGCACCCCGCACTTGCAGTCCGTGTCCGACATGGTAGGCAAGAGAGAGCAAGACACGACGGGCAACGGCTCAGCTTCGGAGCCCGAAAAGGCGTAGAAAAAGCCTGTCAAAGGTGTCATTTCCGGCAGGTATTTTTCCAGGGGAGAAAAAGGGTGGGAAAGGCGAACTTTTATGTCAAGTTTGTGTGTGTCGTGGAGTATCCTGAAAGGTGACGTTTTGGGCGAATGTTTTGGCACGACAGAATATTGTGCTCAGAACAAAGACAATAGAATTCATTGTAAAGGCAATAGAACGTGTATAGTATGTGAGTAACAAACAAGTGAGTACGAATGATAAGTAACGCGCGTTATTGGAACGGGTACCAAAGGTCTCTTTATCGATCGTTTTCGGCCCCCCGTAAATCACACGGAGAAATTGCCCATTTTAGTGCCTTTTTCACACGCGCACAAAAGGCTGCAGAAAAGACACCTTTGACAGGCTTTTTCTACGCCTTTTCGGGCTCCTAAGCTGGGCCGTTGCCCGTCGTGAGAGGGCGACCAGAGACCAGCCGGGCTTGACCGCACGTGGCGCCTTTCGACAAAGGTTAGGGTTCAATTCTCGCTTTCTGGGAGCAAAAATGTCAATACATCGAGACTGCATTAAGGGGGAATCGAACCCCCGGCGGGTCGATGGCAACGACCCAGGTTACCACTACCCCATTAATGCGATGACTGTATGGGCTCAAGGTTGATCAGCTTTTGTAAAGCCTGTACAGGTGAGCTGCCGAGGTTCATCGACCTTGCTTGTCCTTAGTCATAATCAGTGCACTCCCCAGACTCTCCTCGTCAACCTCTCTCGTCCTCGTGTCCTCCTCTGTCGCCGCCGCCTCGACCTTGCCATCTTCCTCGCCTCCAAAGCGCCGCTCATCGTAGTCCTCACCGATCTTGCTGATTTCCCTCCTGACAGCCTTCGACTCGCTCACGAGGTCCATCCACCGGTCGACGTCCAGCCCCCGCGCCTTGTACAGGGCCTCGCGCCGCGCGGAGACAGACTGGTGCAGGAGCGACTCGTACGACATGTCGCGCCCGCGGTACAGGAACCTGATCCGGAGCGCGAATCAGCCGCCCGGAGGCAGAGAAGGCGAAGGCAACGCGGGACGCGGGGCGGAAACGAGCACGCACCACAAGTACGAGAGCACGACGATCGAGAGCCCGGAGAGGTACGTGATCGGCTCCATCACGTCCCAGCCGTAGTCCCAGAAGGTGAGCCGGGCGACGGCGCCCCAGTAGACGAGGAGCACGCCGAAGCCGCCGACGGCCATGCGCCGCGCGCCGCGCCGCGCCGCGTGGTCGCACTCGCGCTTGAGGGACTCGAGGCGCGCGAGCGAGTGCTCGATGCGCGCGAGGCGGCGGCGGAGGAAGCGCGTCCGGTCGGCGAACGAGGGGACCTCGACCGGGATAAGCGTGTCCGCGGCCGCGTCGGACGGGGAGGCGGGGTCCGGGGCGACGGCGGGCGGGAGGGGCGAGGAGGAGATGCAGACGGTGAATTCGCGCTCGCGCGAGGCGTAGCGGATGAAGTCGGCGACGTCGGTCGAGTCGGACCACTGGATGTCGCGGCCGCGCGGGGTACGGCTGCGGAAGGAGACGGAGGAGGCGACGGGCGCGAGGGAGGCGATGACGAGTCGCCCGACGTGCGAGAGCGGCTGGGAGGGGTGGAGGAGGAAGACGGTGGGTGGGGGAGACTTGAAGGAGGACGGAGGCTTGTCCTGCGGATGGCGGGTGTCACCAAGAGGCAGGATGAGCTTGAAGAGATGCGATGCGGTTGGGGAGAGCTTCCCTGGGTGTTTTCAGACCATGTGTGGACTTCGCGGGGATAAAATGGACACTCACCTTTGCCCTCCGTCAACGAGTCGACATCCTCTCCGTTCACCTCGACGTTGTTACCAGGAGAAACATTGCTACGGTCGCCCTCCTTCCAGCGCCTGCTCTTGGATGCTTCTGCGACAAACGTCGAGTGTTGGACGTTGGTATTCTCTACTTCTTGAGCGGAGGTCACCAGCGGTCGTGTGCCCAACCTGATGCGCATACATACGGTCGCGGCTGACGGGGTGCCTTGTTGCCTCCAGTGCTGGAAGGTGGGTGGCAGTCGTCGCGCGAGGTATTTGGTGGACAGGCTGGCCAAGAAGGGCATGTGGGAGAAGGAGAAGTGCGTCGAATCCGCAGGGTGAGCGGGGAGTGCCATAAGGTGGGGGCGTGTGCAGCCTATGACGTCGGCGGAGAGAGAGCGAGCCACGATATGATCGGGCCCAATGGCGCCCAACATCGCTGGCGCGACTCTCCAAGGCTGTGAGCACGACATCTGGAGTGAGATGCGACAGGAGCCCAGTCACAAACTGCCGCACCCGTCCATGCACTTAGTGCGCGGGACACTCATGAATGCTTGAAGGAAAAAAACAAGAAAGAGGCTCCGGGACTTGCCGATCGTGTGGTTTCGAAGCGCTCCGCCAGTCGCTCTGGTTCGCTTACTTATGATCATAGTACTGTTGCATTTCGACCAAAAGTTCATGGCCCTCCGCGGACACTAAAGTTCATCCTGTTCACAGCCCTCTCCCTCCACCAAAAACGCGACGAGCGCCCATAAAGCGCCCGTGACCTTCCGTGGCGAAATGTTCATGACCCTCCGTGACGGGTGACATGAACTTTTGGTCGAAATGCAAGTACTAGCTAGCGCCTGGTAACGCACTACTTAAAGTTAGTACTAGCTTTCGAGCCTCTCCTTCGTCCTTCCCAACTTCCACCAACACTGGCACGGAAATTACGAAGACATGTGCGGGTTCATCTCGCTTCCGTAAGTGCCTCGTGACAGACTATGAGCTCATTCTCAGCTTCCAGGACACGGACTCTCTGGTCATCGGGCAAGCAATGACATGTATCAATAGCACCGTTTCCCAGGTCCTCCCACTTCTGTGGAAACAGAAGAGAAGTACGAATAGGCTCTGTGCACTTATAAACAGCGCACAGCTTGGGGAGATAGCTCCCCAACTCCCTGTGCTCACCTGCCACCATGCCTGCGACGACAATCCCAGCAGTCCCCCGCTACATTCCAGCTTCACCCACCCAAGAAGCTCGTGAGCGGTCCCAATTTGTATACACTCGCCCTTGATTCTCAATCTTTCTTCTTCAGTTCAATGGGCGGATCTTCCCATACTCGACCTCTCTACAGCTAGCACCCCGGAAGGCCGCGCGGAGCTCGCGCCTGTCGCACGGGACGCCATGCACACCCACGGCTTCGTGTACATCGTCAATCACGGAATCTCTCAAGCTCAGGTGTCCCCTTCGTCCTTTTTGCTCTACTGCATCGCACTAACATGCCGCAGAACGATAGGATCTTCGACATCGCAGACGTCCCATTCTCTCAGGTGTCTGAGGACGAGAAGAAGCAGCTCGTCGGCAACATCAAAGAGACAGGCCTATACAGAGGCTACAAGCTCCGCGAGTACTGGGTGCGCACCTACGGAGCCGTTCTCCACTGTGGCCTTAATGTCAATGATGACTCTTCCTTCTCAGCACATCGACAACGGTGTCAGGGACCAAATCGAACACTTCAATAGTACGTCTGTCGTTGTCGACACATACGACGGGCGCTGACGGATGTCATGCTCAGTGCACCGCGCGATCGACGACCGCCAGGAGTACCCGAAGGCGCTTCTCCCTCTCCTTCCGGAGATTCGCGCCTTTTGCGAGCACAACCACTACAAGATCCTCCACCCCATTTTACAGTACGTGTCAACGTCACCGCACCTTCTCCGACGTTGTGACGATGTCTCGTAGGCTGCTCGCTCGTGGGATGGAGCTTCCCGAAGACACGTTTGTGGACATGCACAGGTTCGATGCACCTGGGCAGACATGGGGTATGTCCTCTCCGTTGGTCGTGCCTGTCTTGCGTTTCGCCCTGCTCACGTACTCCGTTCCGATCATTGCTAGCGCGCTTCATGAAGTAGTGAGCATCACACTTCCTGCGTACGTGGCTGTTCACAAACATGTCGTCTCAGTTATCCACGCTGCGAAGACGATGAGGTCAAGTCCAAGAACGTCTGGCTCAAAGGCCACACCGGTGAGAAGCTGGGGCTTCCCCGCGGCCGCACCGTGCACATGGGCTCACAATTGATCTACAGACTACGGCTCCATCACGATTCTCTGGAGCCAGCCCGTCACCGCGCTGCAGATCCTCTCGCCCGACGGGAAATGGCGCTACGTGAAGCACATGGACAACGCCCTCGTACGCCCATGACCCCACCCCTTGGCACCGCTAACCTCCCCCCTTTTCCTCCCCTTTCTCTCTCGCCAGGTCGTGAACGTCGGCGACGCGCTCGAGATGCTCTCCGGCGGCTTCTACAAGGCGACGATCCACCGCGTCGTGCAGCCCCCCGTGGACCAGCACGGCCGTGAGCGCCTCGGGACGTTCTACTTCGCGCTCACCGACGACGCCGTCAAGCTCGTCCCGCTCGTCGACAGCCCCGTGCTGCGCCGGCCGGGCGTGGAGGTGAAGCGGCGGTGTGCGGACGCGGACGCGCCGACGATGGCGGCGTGGCGGCAGGCGCGGACGCGCGCGTACGGGCAGACGGTGCTGACGAAGCGCGAGGGGGGCATCGAGGAGGAGGTGCTGGACGGGCTCGTGGTGAGGCACTACAACTGAGCTTGGCTTCGGGGCGTTCTGGTTTATCTGCAACCCTGTCTGTAAAGATAAGATAAGATGTCTCGGTCAGGAGCACCCATGCGACGTTCCCAGCACCACGTCAATTCCAGCGTACACCTGTCTTTTACCACCGCCCCTCGATAGAAGGGAGCCGAGCCTCCTGCTGAACGGCTCTCACGAGCTCTATCACGCGGATACTTAGACCAGGGCCCACATGTGCAGCTCCCTCAGAATGGCGCACTTCTTGGAGAAGCTAGCTGGCGCGCAATGTCTTCGCGCCATGACGTGCTCTGCCGCGCGGGACTATTTGAAGCTGCCAGCTCATCAACGCAGCATCGTCCCCATCTTCTCTTCCTGAGCGCGCGCGACATGCCCACATCGACCCTGCCCTCGATCCCGCGCTTCGATCCTGGCCCTCCTACCACCGAAAACCGTACGCATCTTCATACACACCGAGGCGCTCATCTGATCTCCTCGCTCCAGTGGAATGGGCCGACCTCCCTGTTGTCGAGCTGTCGCAGACGCGCACCCCTGAAGAGCGAGCGGCACTCGCGACGGTCGCGCGCGACGCGATGCGCACGTTCGGCTTTTTCTACGTCGTCGGACACGGCTGCTCCCCCGCCCAGGTGCGCCCTGATGTTTCAACTATATTGGTCCAGGAATGACTGAGGAGTGCGGGCGTAGAACGAGCGGATCTTCGACATCGCCGACGTCCCGTTCGCGCAGGTGCCAGAGGAGGAAAAGCGTGGCTTCGTGGGGGACATCAAGGCGACCGGGTCGTATAGGGGGTACAAGCTGCGCGAGTACTGGGTGAGCACGACCACGACCAGCTCGTTGGGTAGACGAACTCACCGGGAGAGCTATGCAGCACATTGCCAACGGGGTGCGCGACCAGCTCGAGCACTACAACAGTACGTGCTTTCTCCTTTGTGCATGTACGGTGACTTGGCGAGCCGACGGCGTTCAGTGCACAGGTCGTTGGCGGAGGGCCTGCAGAAGCACCCGAAGGCACTGCAGCCGCTCATCCCTGAACTCCGTGCGTTCGCCGAGTTCAACCACTACGAGGTCCTCCACCCCGTACTCAGGTGAGCAGCCATCAGACACCACGCACATCGAGGCTCACCTGCACAAGGCTGCTCGCGCTCGGAATGGAGCTCCCTGAAGACACCTTTGTCAAAATCCACGGCTTCGACGCACCCGGAGAAACATACGGTACCGGTGCCTTCCCACACGCCTCCTCTCCCCTTCGCTGACGCCCCGGGCCGGCCCAGTGCGCTTCATGAAGTACTACCCGCGCAGCGCCGCCGACGACGCCGCGACCGCGAACGTCTACCTCAAGGGCCACACCGACTTCGGCACCCTCACCGTGCTCTGGTCCCAGCCCGTCTCCGCGCTCCAGATCCAGACCCCGGACGGACGCTGGAAGTGGGTGCGCCACGTGCCCGGCGCGCTCGTCGTCAACGCCGGGGACGCCCTCGAGTTCCTCTCCGGCGGCTTCTACAGGGCGACGATCCACCGCGTCGTGCGCCCGCCGGCGGACCAGGCGGACCGCGTGCGCGTCGGCGCATTTTACTTCGCGATGTGCGACGATGGGGTGCGCCTGGAGCCGGTGCGGGGCAGCGCGGCGCTCGAGCGGGTGGGGGTCGCGAAACGGTTTGAGAACGAGCAGGCGCCGACGATGGAGGCGTGGAGGCGGGGGCGCACGAGCGCGTATGGGCAGACGGAGCTGGTGAAGCGGGATGCTGGGGTCGAAGAGGAGGTCATCAATGGCGTCGTCGTGAAGCACTACAACTGACCGTACTAAACTCATTTTGCGCTCGTCCATTGTTCTACTTGTACTATTTGACTACTTGTGGGATACGCACAAACGTGGAGCAAATATGTGCATGCATTGCGCGATAGCGATAGAGGCTGTATATGATACAATAGTACACTGTTGTGAGTCCGACGACACGATCCAAGGTGGTACACACAATCTATAGCAGGGATTCGGGATCAGAAGTGCCCGAGGCCGCTCTTCTTCCCTATCCGCACGCTGCCCTGGAACGGCAGCCCCGACAGCTCCATCTCGCCGTCGTTGCCGTTCGCGAACGGGAGGCCGTCGACGCGCACGGCTACGGCGGCGACACCCTGCACGCCTGCCAAAGCGCCCTGGGTGCCGAAAATGACCTGAGGAAACGTCAGCGCCGGAAAAAACATGTAAAGAGGGCACGCATACCTTGCCCACGAAGTCGCTGAACTCCCGCTCGCGCCCAGGGAGCACCTTCAGCGGCACATCTTCGATCTTGGCCGTGACAGCGACCGCAGAGCCCGCGTTCGGGACCCTGCCGATAGGCTCGCAGTTGGCTGGAAGCCAGTCTTCGGGGACTATATGCGCAAAGGCGCGCGGCGGGAGCGGGTCTGGAAGAGGGCGGGTCGGTGGCGGGTCGGATAGCAACTCTTCGTCGCGGTCTCCGTCAGGGTCGCCTTCGGTGGGCTCGGAGACTGCCCCGTCATACACGAGCACGTCCGGGAAGACTCGGCTGGCGTTGACGCCCACGTTGATACCATGCGGCAGGACGACGAGGGCGTGGACGACGCCGCTCGCGTACATGGCTGTGCCCACGGGGCGAATCTTCATGTCCTTGAGAGTGACGTTGCGCAAAATTTGCGGGCGAGGGTGAGGGGCAGGGAAGGTGGTGTTGACGACGAGTCCGGGGGCGAGCGGGGAGGTGATTTGGATGTCGGCGTCCCGGCCTTGGATGTAGTCACTGACAAACTGGGAGAGCGCACCGGAGGAGTTGCGCGGCAGGGGGACAACGCCGCCCGCGATGGAGAAGGTGATGTTCGGGCGGGTGAGGGTGAATGGGAGGGAGTGGACCGCGGCTACGGTGACACTTGGAGTGCTGGGCGTGGAAGAGGGAAGAGAAATCATAAAAGGCAGAGCGGGAGCCTCGAACATCAAATCCATGGGGAGGGGGTTGATAGCAGTGGCATTGGCTTCGAGAATAATCGTCCCGTCCACCGATGCGATCTCGAAGCCCTTGAGCGTGACGAGCTCACGGAACTCGGGGAAAGGGTTATTCTTTCCGGGCTTCGGGAGTCCAGGAAGAGAAGGCACTGTCGAGCGCGGGATTACGCATATAGTCATGTCCCAGACACTGGTTTGCGCACCTTTCATGTTGACGATGGGCCGGACATCCGCATGCTCGAACACCAACTGGCTTCGCCACCCATGGTCGTGCAGTCCACCACCGCGCACCTTTGCATGGGCCACAAGCCCCTGCAAACTCATAAACCCGGTTCTCCAGCTATCCTTGAGGAAATGGACGATGGCATCGGTGTCTGGAGTCGGCTGTATGCGCACTGGGATGTGGACAGGCGTCAACCACGAGATATCTTGGGGTGGGTTGGCTGTGAGTATCACTTCAAGGGGAGGTGCAGATATAGTGACAAGTGTGATGTTGGGATGTGCTCTAGAAGCGACCTGGATGGGGGATAGAGTAACAGTAACCCGGTCGAGAGTGCGGATACCCCAACGACCGATACACTTCCACCAATCCCGGCCGACGGTGTCGTCGTCGTCGGCTTTGAAGCCCATGGCGCCCCCAGCGTCGACGCCCATCCTTCCGTGGACCATGAGCCACACGCCGTCTTCGCTGGTCGCATTCAAAACTTCGACCCTGTCTGGCCCGCGAACGACGAGAGCTCGCTTGATGATCTCTTCAGGGTGCGTGTCGGATGCTCTTGAGCGCCATGAGTAGGCGATGATGGCGAGAACGGCAAACAAGAAGATGCAGAAGGACAAAGTGACGAGAAAGACGGAAAGAAGGCGCGAGTACAGCCGTCGACGTGCCGCGTGTGGAGGCTCGACAGAGGGATTGCGAGACGAGGAAACCGAGCCCGACGCCAGAAGAGGGGTTGTCTCCGAGGCTGCGACGGCCCTGCCCTTGCCCTTGTCGACGCGCTGCGGCTCAGGAAGGTCCATCGAGGACGGCAGAAAAGGAGGTAGGAAGGATGACGGCGCAGTAGAACCTGCAGTAGGCCGTAGTATTCCCATGTACTTACTCAGTATCCGTGGGAACGACTCTGACGTCAGCGCGCTCACTCTAACCGTCCGAGGCTCATCGGGACAACTCTCCTTGCGAGACATCCACGCATCCCTGCTCTACGCAATCTGCATCCTCACTTGCCCGAAATTCCGTATGCGCATATACTCTCGGCAACGGGTTCCGCATCAAAATTCTACAAGCTATAATTTGCGGAAGGGGGGGGGGGCAATGGTCATATGGAGAGAGACGAAGAGATACTTGAAGACACCCCCGAATATCCAGGAAAAGGAGTCTTGAGCTAAACTGTTAAGGTGCGTGCATGCTACCCTTGCTAGCCATTCCGAGCACAGGCTTCTGCAGGGATCCAACCCTGCCGCCAGCACTGCCTCGCACCGGCGGGCGTACACCGCTATAAGTATGGGTGCTTCGGCATCTATGCCTCGTGCAGAGGGTGAGCCTTCTGTTGTATAAGGTTCGGTCATCATATATGTGGACATCCTCGCAGGTACCCATCCCACTGCGAGCCTCTCTTTCTTCTCTCCTCGCTTTCATCACCTTTCTCCCATATCTCTCGTACGAATATGTCCAACCCCCCACCGAGCTGGCATATCTATGGGAAGGAGATGATGAAGCTCGGCCTCGGCGTCCCTCTCTGGGATCCCGAGCCTGACAAAGGAAAGCCGATCACCTACGGCTCCGTTCTTTGGGAAGGGGAAGCCACCATGGGCCGCTATATGCAGCTCTTCAACGCAGCTCTGGACGATGAAGACGGCAACGACGTACCAACTGATCACGAGAAACTTGACGTGTCGATGATCTTTGGACCTCGCCCCACCATACACAATCACTTGTTATACAGCAAATCGATCCATGATCAAGAGCACAAAGCGGTCGTGGGCGCTGGAAGGTAGGTACTCCAATTGTTTCTGCGCGGCGCGGGACTATCACTGAGAAAAACAAACTACAGTGGTGCTGTGTTCCCTGCTGAGGCAGGCGCTGGATACAAGTTCGTATGCAAGTCCGACACCGGCGCGGTGCTCCTCCTCCAGCCGCCCGCAATCACAACGCACGTTCAATCCAAGCGACGAATGGTCACCTACATGCGCAAGCACTTCGATCGATGGCTGGAGCTCGCGAACGCGAAGCACGACATGGACCTGAAGGAAACAGACCTCTTCTTCGTATCCGGCACGACCGCAACGACGAAATGGGCCGTTGCTGCGTTCCAGAACAGCTCTTATCGCGAGAAGGAAGGCCATGTCTTTTGCAACATCGACGCCTTTGTGCGATCCGAGATCGCCATCCGTTTCATCGACGAGTCGCTCCGCAACCCCGACTTCAACTTCGGTCCGCAGAACTCTGACTCCTCAGGCATGACCGTGTTGAGGCCGGGTGGAGACCCGGTTCCAGATCAAGTGGTGTTCATGCACTACTACAAGATGCGACGGCGACTGTTCTGGATGCGAAGGATCGAGGCGGCGGCCGGTTTTCATGAGATCGTCGAAGGAGAAGACGACGACGACGAGATGAGGCCCAGCTCGCCGAGACAGTCGATTGTTAGCGGAAGTGACAGCGACATAGAAGAGTCCCCTGGGCAGGGCAGAACGGCAAGTACGCGTTCCATCGATGTTGTACTGTCTGCTAATGCGCGTTGCAGAACTACGATCCCGTGGAGCCTCTGCTCGACTACATCCTGGAGGTGTGCTCTTCGAATACTACCTCTTCTCCTGGGTCTTGACCTGACTGGATAGAACTCGGTGGCGGATGTCGCCATTGCATGCGACAGAGATCTCATCGTAATATTCCAGGTGCATTCATCCTGTACATACAGTTTACCCCATATTGACGTCACCGATGCAGAGTACAGGCATACCGGACGACATTGCTGCCGCCTTGCTGCAAGCCAAGCCTCCCATCGATGTGGATGAGAATGGGCTCGGGACATTTTCTGTTGACATCCGGTTCCCAGAAGACCAAGCGACGTCGCCAGAGACCGTACCTACAGTCGCCGAGCCACCCCGTGTTGATACGCTGCCTGCCCTGCGTGCGCATTTTCGGTTTTTACTCTCCGTCACTGTCCCTGATACGCTTTTTCGGCAGAGACAAATTTCAACGAGCCACCAGCACGTGATGATAGCGGAGATCCATTCCCTTCCGAAAGGCCCGAGGATAAACTCCCCGCATTTGACCGCGACCCGGTCGCAACTGGCCACAACGGCACCATCACCGCGCTCGCGACCTCGCCCGACAACCTCTGGATCGCAAGTGGCTCCGACGACGCGTCGATCATCCTCTGGTCCGTCGCGGATCGCATGGCCGTGCTTAGCTGGGAGGCGCACGCCGACACGATCGCCGAACTCGCGTTCTCCCCCGACGGGCGCACGCTCGCGTCCGCCGGCGCCGACGGCCAAGTCGTCCTCTGGGACGTCGCGACGGGCGCGCAGCGCGGCGCCCTCGCGAGCGGGGCCGAGCACGTCCACGCCGTCGCCTGGTCGCCCGACGGCAAGCGCCTCGCGACCGCGGCGGACGACGGGACGGTGCGCCTGTGGGACGCCGCCTCGCTCGCGCAGACCGCAGAGCTGCCGCTGCACGGCGCGATGGTCGCCTTCGTCTTCTTCTCCCCCGACGGGCGCTGGCTCGCGTCCGGCGGCGCGGACAACGGCTGCCACCTCTGGGAGGTCACCGCGTCGGGGGCGCAGCTGCGCCACCGGCTGTCCGGGCACGAAGGCATGGTCTGGACGGCCGCGTTCGACCCCGCGAGCACACGGATCGCGACGGCGAGCGACGACGGGACGGTGGTGGTGTGGTCCGTCGCGCCCGGGCAGGAGCTCGTGCGGATGCATGGGCACCAGGGCCCGGTGTGGTCCGTCGCGTTCTCCGCGGACGGCGCGCAGCTGTTGAGCGCGTCGAGCGACGGGACGGCGAGGGTGTGCAACTCGTTCAGCGGCGTGTGCGTGCGCTCGCTCGAGGGCCACGCGAGCATGGTGAACGCGGCGGCGTTCGCGCCCGACGGGCTGCACGTCGCCTCAGCGAGCTCGGACAACACGGTGAAGCTATGGCGGCTGGACAACGGGCAGAACGTGCGGACGCTGAACGAGCACAACGACAAGGTGACGAGTGTTGTGTTCACGCCCGACGGCCAGGTGCTTGCGTCGGGCTCGGACGATGGGACGGTGCATGTTCGTTTGTTCAGAGATTACCTTTGAGGTTGGCGCACCGATTGAGCTAGTACACATGAATATGGACGTGTATGTGGTTATTCCGATTTCATTCTTTGTCTCCAGCACGACGACGACCGTGACGACGAAGTATGCCGTTACACCATTCTAGAACAACCCGTACCAATTGCAACCTGGACACTTTCGTCGGGGGTAAAATGACTATCCGCTGCGCGGACTTCAAGACGCGACAACGATGGCTCTGGCGATGATGAAAGATCGACGCAGCCGCCGCATCTCGCGACATCGATGCGGGTCAAGACAAAGATGGAGATGGGAGTACAAGCTCGAACTCTCTGGAACGGTCCACGATTAATCTGCCGGCCCAAGGTCACACTTCTTGGGTGCGAGCCACTTCATTCTAGTCCAGTTTCACGATCCCGGAACATTTACTCGACTACATTCTGCAGGTTCGCATTATACAGCTCGCTCGTCACTCAGTTGTAGTGCTTTACAACGACCCCGTTCACGACCTCCTCTTCGACGTTCCCCTCGCGCTTCGTGAGCACAGTCTGCCCGTAAGCCATCACCCGCGCCGCGCGCCACGCCGCCGCCGTCGGCGCGTCCGCGTCCGCACATCGCCGCTTTACCTCCACGCCCGCGCGGCTGAACACCGGGCTCTGCGCGAGCGGGACGAGGCGCACGGGGTCGTCCGGGAGCGAGAAGTAGAACGCGCCGAGGCGGGTGCGCCCGCGCTGGTCGGGCGGCGGCTGGACCACGCGATGGATCGCGGCCTTGTAGAAGCCGCCGGAGAGCATCTCGAGCGAGTCGCCGAGGTTGACGACCTGGGGAGCGATTGGTTGGTGAGTGGGAGTGGGGAAGCGCGGTGGTGCACGCGTACAAGGGCGTTCTCCATGTGCTTTACCCAGCGCCATTTCCCGTCAGGTAAGAGTACCTGGAGCCCGCTCACAGGCTGGCTCCAGAGGATGGTGAGGGAACCTAGATCTGCAAGCCTACTGATTAGTGCTTGACGTGACGCCGGTATCAGGTGTTGTAAACTAGCCTGTATGTCCCTTGAGCCAGACGTTTTTGCTCTTTTCTTCGTCTTCGTCTGTGCGAGGGAAGCTGCAACGGTCAGATGAGAATGCTGTCACCACAGGGACGCCCTCGACTTACTATTTCATGAATCGAACTTCCCACAGCGTTTCAAGTCAGCCATTCAACTTCCGGGATTTGCGGAAGGGAACGTACTCCATGTCTCGGAGGGACCCTCAAACTGGTGCATATTGACGAAGGTGTCTTCGGGCAACTCCATACCCAATGCGAGCAGTCTACAAATCATTAATGGGCGCCCCGCTTACGGGAGGTGCCAATTCATTCACCTGAGAAGAGGATGTACGACCTTAAAGTGATTGTACTCCGACCACGCACGGATCTCTGGGAGGAGCGGGCGCACTGCAGCCGGGTATCCCTGCCCGCGCTCCGTGACTGTACACTGCACTGCACATGATATCAGTGCGTGCGTCGGCCTCCCCGATATCCAGGATAACGCACTTTGAAACATCTCAAGCTGGTCCCTGACACCGTTGTCAATATGCTTCGTATACAGAAATCGTCAGTCTCTCGTAAGTGCCAACGAGAAAACAGCTGGGCGCTCACGAAATATTGACGCTCCTTGTACCCGGTGAACAGCCCCGTCTCCAGAGGCTTTACTACATGGTTCTTCTTCTCTTGGTCTGAGACCTGAGAGAATGGGACGTCCGCGATGTCGAATATCCTGTCGTTCTGTCTCGAGTCAGTCCGGAGGCAATCTAGGGAATTGCCGATGTCGCTTACTTGCGCCTGCGTGAGTCCATGGTTCACGACGTACAGGAAGCCCTGGGTGCGCATCGCATCGCACACGACAGGCGCGAGCTCCGCGAGTCCCTCGGGCGTGTGGGCCTTGGAGATGTCGAGGATGGGCAGTTCCGCCCAGTCCACTGACGAGCTTGAAGTGAGTGAAACAAAGCGAGAGACACTCGACAGCTGAAAGCACTCACAATCCTCCTGGGTGACAGGACCGGAAATGTAATGTGGAACGGATGGCAGTGTGGTGGCAGGCATGGTGGTGATGGCGGTGGCGGTCGAAGAGAGATAGAGGAGAGAGCTCGGGGCTTGCTTGGGGCTAGTCAGTCATCGGCGTCAGCGCATGGCTGCACGGGCGGGGCGCTGGAATGTATTTGGAAATGTCAAAACCTGCTGACCAGGCTTCTTTGTCGTGCAAGGTGATAGGGAGCCCTTATCTGCACAATGGAAGTTCCTGCTCAGACGGAACGAGACACTTGCTGACGAGACGAGACGAGAAAGAGAGATGACGGAAGGGAAGTTGTCGGGATCGGCGAAGAAAAGCGACCGGAGATAGGGAAACGAGGCAAGCTAGGCTTCAACGTTCCACACCACGACCATCTATGTCTTGCCATGTGAGACCTGCCTATTCGCGAACAAAGCGGGCTCGGTTGGGTGCAGGATTGTCGTGGACCAAGGCTCGGAGCCAGATGACGCACCACCTGCCTGTGGCTGGTGACAGTGCGAGTACCGAGTTTGTAGATCTTCATGGCGAAGAGGCGCTAATGGGCACGGGTGTAACACTACGTGTAGACAAGAAATCATGCGGAGTTGGTCGCCGAGTTCGTCGAGGGAACCGACCGCGCCCACGGCCGGATTACACAGTCCAGGAGGCCAGACGGGCCATCGCGGCCTGCAAGAGGTCAGGATCCGTGTCTCGACGCTTTGCGGGCCGCACGCCGACGCATTGGCCCAGGGAAAGAGTAGGGTGAAATGATAGGATCCAGGAACCGAGGATGGGGAGCTGCGAGATGCATCATCGTGGTATGAGACAAAGAGGGATCGGCGCTTATTGGAGTACTGGTCGTCTCAAGCTCGATGAAACCGGAGGTTCAAACGTTCAATTCTTGGGAATCTCTTATGATGTTTGATCCCATCTCAACATGATACTTCTGCTATAAACGTACAAGGTACGCACTGAACGGAATAACAGATACAGCCACACGTATTTCGTGTCGGTTAAATTGGAGCCAGCGCATAATCTATCTATAACGAGATCATTCGCTCCTCCTTACTATTTATCCTGTCTGTCATGAAGTCGTAAAAGACAGCATCATTCATAACATGCTGCTCCCCGCGCTGGAGCGAGCGGAAGGCTTAAGCATCCGCACCACTTTTACCTCTTCTTCTCGTCCTCCTGCTCGACCGCCCCCGCCGCCGCAGCCCTCTCCTCCTCTGCAGTCCGCACGGGGCCGACGAAGCGGAAGCGGCCCCAGAACAACCAGCCGAGGCCGACGAGGAGGATGACGCCGCCGATGGCCACGATCGCGTAGTTCATGTTGAGCGCGGTCGTCGGGTGCGCGGTGGGCAGGACGAAGAGGACGCAGATGAAGATCGTGAACTGGTGAGCGCAAATCGCGAACGCAGCGATCAGCAACGAGGTTTGCAGGGGTGCAGGAGGCAGTACGCACGCAGAAGCTCGCGACATTGACGGGCCAGGACCACCTGCCGAGGTGGAACGGCCCCTTCTCAGGGAGGCTACAAGGGGTTGAGAGAATTAGACAGATGCAGGGCGGAGGGCCGATGAAAGAACTGACGACTCGTCGGGCCAGAACACGCGAATGGTGATCGGTTGAACGTAGCTCAGCATGACGGCGATCGCCGCGGACGACAGGATGGCGTTGAACTGAAAAGAGGGTCATCAGCGTCCCATCCCTCAGCGGAATGAAAGTGGACGACGCACGGCAACGGCAGAGCCGATGTATGCGCACGAAATGATGCACCCGATGAGGACCGAAGTCCACACACCGACGTACGGCGCCTGGAAGCGGTTGAGCGCCATGAACTGGCGTTTGGCGGGGCACGCGTTGTCACGCGCGAGCGCGTAGAAAAGGCGCGAGCTCGCGGTGAACGCGGTCGCGGCGGCCATGAACTGGCTCACGCATACCACCGTCAGGCAGACGATCGTCAGCTTCGGACCCACAGCGTCGTAGAACAACTGGGTGATCGGCAGGGCGTATGCGGTGGCTGCGACCGAGTCGATGCTCTGGACGGAAAAGAGGAGGGAGAGCATGTAGATGAGCCCGATGAGCCACGAGCCGGCGATGGAGCCCATGACGGCCATGGGGGCGAGGAACTCAGCGCGCTTGGCCTCTTCTGCGACCTGGGCGGCGGTCTCGCAGCCTTCGAGCGTGTAGACGGCTTGGAGGAAACCGAGGAGAACAACGAATCCGCGGTTGGACCAGCCTGTGAAGCTGTGCAGTAGTTCAGTACGTGACGTCATAGCGAGCGATGCGGCGGCGTACTTCTCGTAGTCGGTGAACACGAACTCGGCTGAGTTCTGAAGGCGTCGGGATCCCATGTTGGTACCAAATCATCGAGATGGCGAGTGTACGCACGTGGGTGGGGGCCTTGACGAGAAGGGTGATGACGAGAACAACGGTGCCGGCAAGCGTCCACCAAATGTAGAAGTTGCTCATGCCGCCGATCGCCTTGGTGCCGATGGTATTCAAGATTCCGGACGCAATGTTGACACCCCAAGCAATGGCAGTGATCTCGACACGGGTGAGGATGCGGCCAGTGCCGACCTCGGCCATGGATGCGAGGTAGAGAGCGGTGCTGCGACAGTTGAATGGTGGAAGGGGCACAAATAACCACAAAATATGCTCACCTGAGGTTTCCCGATGTTCCCGTGAACGTCATGGCGATGCTATACACCCATCCCGTCTATATGACTGTGAGATGCATTCAGAGGCACAAAGTGTAGCACCTACACAAACTGAGAGAAGTCAGCGCACGAAGAGGATAATATCCTGAGACAAACTTACAGCCAAGCATAGGTTTGTCCGGCTTCATCTTGCACACCCAGAAATACAGACCACCCATCGTAGGACTTGGTCGCGTGCGCGCGTTTAGACGCATATACCAAGCAACAAGAAGAAGGGAACTCACTAGGCGCTGCAAATCTCCGCCAAAGACATGGCAATGAGCATCATGAAGATGCTACAGATCTAGAGCCACACTCCATCAACACCCGCGCACAAGAGAGCGAAACGCGACGTACGTTCCAGCCCCAAAAAAGCCCAAGAGGTCCTCCCGAGAACAACCCCGTCTGGAACGCGCTGCTCATACCCGTAAGGATACCGATGGCGCAGAAGGAGATTCCGAGGACGCCAAAGAGCGACATATCGCGCTTGAACTCGGACTTGTAGCCGAGCTCGTGCAGACGCTGGTCTGAGCGCGAGACGTCGCCAGTCATGCTTTCTACGTCGTTGACGGCGTGGGCTGCGTCTGTCTTCTCCATTGCGGGATGCGCTGCTGAAGGTGAAGACGAGAGAGGAGGGGCGGCGTGCGCGGAGGCGTGAAACGCCAGCTCAAGGGACGCGACTGGGTCGGGACCAGCATTTTATCAGAGCCAGGAAGATAACTGGGACTGGGCGATAGCCTGTATAGAATGCGCGGCAAATGTGTGGGCACATGCATGATAGCGCAGGCGGAGGCGTGGATGGGGCGATTAAGCGGACAGCCGAGCGCCGTGTGAGCGCGCTAGGTGTGCAGCGTGAGCTGAGGTGGCCGACCAGGAGAGGGGGAATGTGTGAACATCGAACGAAAAGCCGGAGTAGTGCTGCAGTGGTGGTTACTAGAGCAGGTGTGCACAGGTGCAGAATGACCAGGACCGAAACGCAATAGCGTCCACGGCCGCGGCTCGGCCGGTGGCGCCTACGGCCGGTGGCACCCGTTTGCCCTGGACTCATCGACTCTCCGATACAGGCACCCGCCGGCGCGTCCCTGCTCACCATCATCTGTCCAGTGTGCTCTTCCACTCATATCTCTCTCTCTCCAAGCCCTAGCCCTCTCTCCTTTTGGCTCATCTTTATTCCACTATACCAACGTGATACCAGCGGCTGCATCTAGAAGCGAATGTCCCTTTCTCGCACAGATTCTGAAGCATCCTTCATCCTCGTGGACGACACTGCAGCCCCGCAAGCTTCACCCCTTCCCCGACCGCACCCTAACGAGACTTTCGCCCATGATTGGTCTTCGTCTGGGACAGGCGGAAAGCTCTACATACACGGACGCCATATCCTCGACGCCTACGGACGGGTATGCAACCTCCGTGGAGTGAATTTGTCTGGGAACTGCAAAACGTGTGTCTACTCTTCTACATCTGTCCCCTCCCGTGTCTGTGTTTCGCCGACAGAAGCTAAATGAGAGCTAAGGCCAGTGAATCATGACCACGACTCGTTTCCTGCCAACCATGCCGACGTGACATTCGTCGGACGACCCTTTCCCCTCGAACAAGCCCCAGACCACTTCGCTCGCCTTCGAAAATGGGGCCTGACATTCGGTACGTTCCATTCTCGTATCTTCCATGCGCATATATCGACCTCCCTCCAGTCCGTTTCCTCGTAACATGGGAGGCTGTCGAACATACCGCTCCGTGAGCCGTCCGTTTTCTCTACAGCCGTCCCCTCCTCATGCGGCCTCCCCAGCGGCGTTTACGACACCGAATACCTCGACTACGTCCACGCGCTGCTCTCGCTCATGCCACAGTTCGGGCTCGTCGCCTTCGTCGCTCTCCACCAGGACGTGTGGTCGCGCTACTCCGGCGGCTCCGGCGCACCCGCGTGGACCCTCGAGGCCGTCGGTTTCGACCTGCACGGACTGGAGGAGCCTGGGGCGGCGTGGCTCCGCGGCGTGCGTGGCGGCGGGCACACGGAGGAGGAGCGTGGACTGTGGCCGTGTGGATACCAGAAGCTGGCAGCGGCGACCATGGCGTGAGTCTTCTGGCGTGAATTGGGGTTTACTGCGCGTCGAGGCTGATATTGTTTGGGTCTAGGACGTGTTTCTGGGCGGGAGACATGTTCGCGCCGAAGCTCAAGGTCAAGGGGAAGGACGGGAAGGAGGTGCCAGTGCAGGAGTTCCTTCAGGGTGCGTTCCTGGATATGTGGGCCACTGTTGCAGCGAAGCTGGGGGATCTGGAGGCCGTGCTCGGCTTTGAGGTACGTCTGCAGCTGCTTCTTGACCGAGGCGCCGTGTTGACTTGGGCGGAAGATCATGAACGAACCCCATCGAGGATACATCGAGCTGCAGTCCATGCACAGCTTTGACTACAACACCGACCTCCACCTGGCCCACGTCCGTAAGATGAACTATACCTTCTGTGCCTGAGTCGGGCTTACTCGCGCCTCGTGGCTAGCCACCGCGTTTCAGTCCTTCATGCTGGGTGCTGGACATCCTACAGCTGTCGGCCACTGGACACGCTCTTTCCCGGTGCCAACGCGTCTCACGTCGCACAAAGTTATCAACACTGCAGGTCAGAAAGCATGGCGTGAGGATGGGCCGACGAAGGGCAAGTGTCTCTGGGAGGTCCACGGCGTGTGGGGATGGGATGAGACGAAGAACGAGGGGGTCGTGCTCCGCGAGAACTACTTCAAGCGAGACCCGCAATCTAGTCGAGAGGTGTGTTCGTGTGTTCGACTTGGCACTAGAAGAAGCCTGATAGAGCTCGTTCGTCAGATCGACTGGTACACGGATTTCTTCTACCCGTTCCTCAACCGGTGGGCGGAGCGTGTTCGTAGTGTTTCCTCGCCAGAGAAAGTTATCCTGGCCGAGTCCATCCCGAACGAGGTGCGTATTCATTCGCGATTTTTCTGTGCTTGTACCCACGTCGTCTCCAGTTCTGCCCGGAGTCATGGACAAAGGATCGTCGGCCACCCAACATGATCTACGCTCCTCATTGGTACGACTTGAACGCCTTATTCCTGAAGGCGTTCAGCGACTTCTCCGTCAACGTTCAAGGACTGTCTCGGGGCATGTTCCCGCTGAAGGGTTTCTACTGGGGCCAGAAGGGCGCGCGGGACAACTTCTCGCTGCAAATCCGTAATATAGTTGAGGCTGGCTACCAGGCCCTTGGCGAAACTCCCATCATTATCGGAGAGTGTGGTATACCCATGGACATGAAGTAAGCATCTCCTTCGCCGTTTCGAACAGGGTTCTAACATGTCGCTTCTATAGCAAGAAGGAGGCATTTGAGACCGACAGGTGGCACTGGCAGATGAAGATGATGGATGCCATGATCACTGCGTTGGAGCGTTCTCTTGTCGGTTTCACGTAAGTTCTGTCCCCTTCCCCCAATAACGGTTCGGTACTGACACTCACTTCATGCAATTAGTTTGTGGAATTACAACCCAGACAACGACGACCACACCGGTGACGACTGGAATGGCGAGAACTTTTCATGGTTCTCCCAGAAGCGCGCTCTGCCATCGTCGTGGCTCGACCACGCTCAAACGTCGCCCACACTCGACAACGGCGGACGCATCCTCCGCGCCGTCGTGCGCCCCTACCCCGCCAAGACCGCCGGCGTCCCCCTCAAGTTCGAGTATGAGATCAACACCGGCACGTTCACGTACGAGTGGGCCGTCCCGTCGTCGCCGTCGTCACCATTTGCCCCCTCCGCCGGGCCAGCTGTCGCCACCCCGCCGCGCACGGGTCTGCCCGCCCCAACGACGAACCGGACGGAGATCTTCGTCCCCGCGACGCTCTCCGAGGGCCGGACGCTCCTCGTCCGCGGGCTGGCCTCGACGGAGTGGGCGCACGACGCCGCGCGGCAGACGCTCATCCTCGCGCCGGCGGCGGTGCGCAACACGCCGGGGACGGTACACCGGGTGACGGTGCTGGTGTCGCCGGAGCCGAAGGACACGTTCGTGCTGAACGACTTCTGGGACGACTGGGGCACGCACGTCATCCTCGCGGGTGCAGCGAGCGTGGCGCTCGTGGCGGTTTTGGTGCTGTGTTTGCAGGGGATGTTGTAGACGACACGGCACGGGTAGAGACGGCCGCCTGTTGGTCAGACGTGCTGGCATAGACGTTTTGTGGATGCGGACGAAGGAATTGCTGAATAGATGTCGGGTCGAACGGAGCCTTATACCAATGAAGTTAGGCGTACCACAATGTCTTGGTTTGAATGAGACCGTGGACTGATGGTACGTTGATCATTGTTGTGTCTGACTGTCGCTGACGAATAGATGGCCCTCGGAGACGTTGCATGGGCTTGCGTGGGTCGCACTCGAAGTCGGCATTGTGCTAGAGATCTGACTCCACTCTGGCCATCACGGTGCATCTTTGCCGCACTGTGAAGTCCGTTATATCAGCGCACGCGTATCTGTTGGCTCTGAAGACGAGCTGCATGGCACACACGTGATTCATGACGACGTTCACGACATGTATGGGGATATAGGAGTTCTGGTCGCCGCCGGAGTAGTAACTGCGATGACAACTTCGCTTCGAAAGCACCGTGGTCACCATCGGCAATGCGCGATCTGGTCAGTAATCTGTGCCTTGCTACACATGGAATCTGCGTTCTGATTTTCTGTGTATCGTACCAGCCCCGATTCCTGCAAGGAGCTAGAAGCAGGTTGGGGCAAGTCCAGGTCAGCGCTCACTCTGACAAGAGGAGCAAGTTGTACAGTGGAACGCGGTCGTTTTGTCTGGGCACGGTATGCCGTTAATGCCGTTCATATCAACAGCTGAGATCGCCAAGACATATATACTTGTGGCCCGGGGCACGGCATGGCTTGGCATATCTCGATTTCTCCGCAGAAGCTTATCACGGGCGCTTTCGAGTCTCGGGCATCGCTGATATCCACCCAGTGCGTCCTCTCGTCATCCCTGCCTCATTCGGGGTGCTCATTCTCGTGCTCTTCAGGGCCGCCGGAATAGCCTTGGTTTACCGTTGATGTCACGAGGGCCTCCGCGTGTCGTTAGGGCACGCCGCACGCGACAACTTGGTCGCGAGACGTTCCTACTGATTCGAACTCACCATTATGTAGACTAAGATCGCAAAGGAGTGGAGAAGGTGGCGCACCGTCTCCGGCCCCTTGGTGACCTAGTGGGTCTCACGCCCGTTACTTACCAGAGGACTCATCTGCGCATGCACCGACCGGCCTTTCATCTCCGGCTACACCATACCGGACTCAAGTTGCGAAAGCGCGCAAGCACCGATCGGCATTTCTTCACCATACCGGGCCCAAGTTGCGGAAGTGCACAAGCAAGTGGTCTCGTCTCCGTACCGCACTGCACCACCCTCGTGAGTTGCGTATGCGCAAGACTGCGGCGCTGATTCTCGTGCACCGCCGATAAGTCGATGCGACACTATCCACTTCGAGAAACCTCCTTCCAAGCCCGCTAGCGCCCGCGGCACCACACCTTGCGGCCCATCGCGCACTCTACATCTTGCATCACGATCCATCATGCAACCCGTGCCTCTTAGACTAAAGGACGCGATATAAAGCCTACGCCATGGCAATCATATTACCCCCAGGCTCCACCTGCATCCTCCACCCCCTCCCTCGGACTAGGACAAGGACCATGTTCGCCCGCCTCCCTCTCCTCGCGCTCTGTGCGTGCGTCGCCTCCCTCGCCTCGCTCTCGTCCGCGTCGCCCGTGTCGGGCCGCGCCGCGGGTCCGACGCTCTCCGTCACGCGCCAGCTGAACCTCACCGGGGTGCCGAGCATCATCGAGGCGGACCGCGCGCGCGCGAAGATGCTCCTCGAGCGCGCGACGGCGCAGAACGCGACCGCGATGAGCGCGAAGCAGGCCGCCGGGTTCGTGCCCGTCGACGCGACGAACCAGGTGGTGCACTACATCGCGAGCGTCGGCGTCGGCTCGCCGCCGACGTTCTACGACCTCCTGATCGACACCGGGAGCTCGAACACGTGGGTCGGCGCGAGCAAGGCGTACGTGAACACGAGCACGAGCGTGTCGACCGGGGAGCAGTTTGTGAGTGTCAACATCGGTTGCTTGGCGGCGCGTGCGCTGACGTGGTGCGCGATTGCAGGGGGTCCTGTACGGCTCTGGCCTCGTCTTTGGTGAGGCGTTCTGTTTGGCACCGATCATGGATGGGGCGACTAACCGCGGGCTGTATAGGTTATGAGTACACCGACACGGTCACTCTCGGCGATGCCGCAATCACAGGCCAGGGAATTGGCGTTGCTTCCACCACGTATGGCTTCGACGGTGTTGACGGTATCCTCGGGTGAGTGCCTTTGCCGCATTATTGATATCGGGTGCCTCAACATGGAGCTATACAGCATCGGCCCCGTGGCCCTTACCGAGGGCTCCACGTCGGGCAGCGAAGCTATTCCTACCGTGACGGACAATATGTTCAGCCAGGGTCTTATCGAGGCCGACCTCGTGGGCATCACCTTCGTGCCCAGCACCGTGCTCGAGTCCACCAACGGCCAGCTTTCTTTCGGTGCCGTTGACGAGAGCAAGTACACTGGCGACATCACCTACGTGTAAGCACATCCGCGTTTCACTGTGTAAGAGTGCCGTTAACGCCGGCGGTACGTTTCGATCACAGTCCGATCACGTCGACCTCGCCGGCGTCGTACTACGTGGGTATCGACCAGTCGATCACCTACGGTTCTTCGAACATCCCCATTCTCTCGACCACCGCGGGTATCACCGACACCGGCACCACACTCGTTTACATTGCCTCTGGTACGATTTACCTCCCGCACGCCTTGCATCAGCGCTAACGCACCCTATTTCCCGCAGAGGCGTTCGCCGCGTACCAGAAGGCCACCGGCGCTGTTCCCGACGACGACGTCGGCCTCCTGAAGATCACTGCGGAGCAGTTCGCGTCCCTGGAGAGCCTCTTCTTCCACTTCGGCGACCACACCTTCGAGTTCACCGCGAACGCGCAGATCTGGCCCCGCCCCGTACGTCCCCGCACGGGCTTTGGTGCGCGCGCGCCCCGCTGACCCCGTCCGGGCTCCCGCAGCTGAACACCGCGATCGGGGGCGACGCGGACAGCATTTACCTGATCGTCGCTGACTGGGGCACGGACTCGGGCGAGGGCCTGGACTTCATCGACGGGATGACGTTCCTGGAGCGTTTCTACCACGTCTACGACACCGGCAACAGCCAGGTCGGCTTCGCGCTCACCGAGAACACGTTCGCGGAGATCAACTAGGCGTGTGTGGTCTGCACAAACACGGCGTATGGGGCTTGGAAGTTGGTGGAGCGTCCGAGTTCGCGGCCTCAGTTCACGACATTTTTACAACTTCAAGCGCACTAGAGCCGGTGTTTATAGCATGAAATGTATTTGCTGCTGCTGTGCTCACGGTGACATAGTTGTAGCAAGCGAGGCGCGGTGGCGAACGGTTGACGAATGGTGCGAGAGCAGGAAGGGTCGCATTTATTGAGGCGAAATGCACTTACGTACGTTTCAGATGAACGCGGCCTCGTGACTCGGTTCGCTTCGCTTTGCTCCCTTGAGCTCGAGCTTTCATATGTATGTTCATCCTCACCAAGTACGTATATACCTCCTCCTCTGCGCATATATGCACCTCAAACGAAATGTATGTGTTAGCTTCCTGGCTTCGTCTGGCTGAACGCCTCAGGCCTCTGACCCACTCCAAGGCTGCAGGGCGATCTGGCGGACCCTGGGCATTGATGGGGAGGTCTCTTGCAATGTTATGACGCACCTGGCGTAGCCTCTCGGTGCGTATCATGTTTCAAAATTTCAACATATCACGCTATGCGCGGTACTTGCGGTGACCCGTACAAGCCGCGCGCCGACCCTATCGGGCCTCCCTTCTTAATGTCATGCCCGTCACGGTGCCAATAATTGTCCCCCACCTCTCCCTCCCCCCCTTCCTCCTCTTTCTTTGACTGTCTCTGCTATGAATCCACCAGTCACGCACCATCCCCGCCTCTACTTCGACAACGGTGACATCGTCCTCATCGCCCCACGGTTGTCAACAACCTCGTCCCCTTGCGCCTTCCGCGTCCACAAGCACGTCCTCAGCGACCAGTCGGCCATCTTCTCCCACCTGTTTGAAGACGCAGCCCCCGAGAGGAGCGATATGCACGACGGCGTTCCCCTCATCCACCTCGGAGACGATGCTGAGGACATCTCGCTCCTGCTGACCTCCCTCTACTTCCCATCGTGAGCATCTCCATCGATCGTCTGCTCGCCCTTCCCTCATGTTCATGATCCTCCTTCGCCAGCGAGCTCTCCTTCCAACCTCTGACGCCTTCCAATCTCCTCTCTCTCACCACCATCCTCCGTCTCGCCGACAAGTACTTCATGGACGATCTCCGCGCCCATCTCATCTCCCAAGTCACCTCCGACTGGCCCACCACGCTCGAAGCCTGGGATGCACGTCAAGCGTCCCTGCGCGCGCTGCCCATCGCTGTTGCCCGCCGCCGCGCTCCGGAGCCAGTCACGGCGATCGCCTTCGCCCGCGCTTTCGATGTACCCTCCCTGCTCCCAGCCGCGTTCTACCAGCTCGCGACCACGGCGCACGGGCGCGCGTGGGGCCGCGCGCTGCGGGTCCGGACGCCCCCCGCGCACTGGGACGACCTGCCGAGCGACGACTGGATGCGGTGGGCGCGGGGGCGGGCGGCGCTCGGGCGGGTGCGGGCGGACGTCGGGGACCACATCGCGCACCGGGTCGCGTTCGACCTCGACTTCGCGGGCGGGCTGAAGGACGGCGAGGCGGAGGTCGTCGCGGACGACTCGACGATGTGCTTCGACTGCGTGGAGGGGCTGTTTGGGGCGTGTGCGTCCACGGGCGACGATGGGGTCCCTGGGGATCCGCTGTGGATGCTGGAGGAGGCGCTGAGGAAGTATGAGGAGCGGAAGGAGGAGGAGGGGCGGTTGTGTGGGTCGTGCGAGCGGGGGTTTGAGGCGCGGATCCAGGCGACGCGTTTGAGGATTTGGAAGAACCTGCCGCGGTTCTTCGAGCTCAAGTGAGTGAGTGTTTACGATTATCCTGCGGAGTCCATGAGTCTCCCCTAGTCAGACCTCGTTCGAGGACTGCATATATGCGCTGTCATATCACGTCGTGTCGTTATAATTCCCGTTCTGTTACGCCTGTAGTAATCTCTTGCCACATGTATCAATGCCTCCCATAGTCCTGACTGTGTACCATACTAGACGTCTACGTTTAAGATCATATAGATAATACGGCATCATGAGCTAGAAGAACTGGTTCAGTCCAACTGTCCAAGTACTCTGGTCCGTGCGGCTATAAGGATCCGAACGTGCGTCATAAACACGCCTCTTGTCTCTGCCGCCCATGTCTCCCTCGTCCCTCCTCACGCTCAGCCCGCCCCTTGCGGCGCGGCACGCCCCACGCCCGTTGTGCTCTCCAGCGACGCTTGGCTTCTTACCCTCATCATGATCACCCTACTGCGACTGAGCATACCTGCAATACTCTGTGCGCGGGTCGTGGACGCGCGATGGTTCACCGTCATGAACAACTGTCCCTTCACAATATGGTGCGTTCATCATGTCCTTCTCACTTGACTGTATGCGCTGACCAGAAACAGGCCGGCGGTAAGAGCGCTGTGCTATGTTCATAGTGGAAACTCCTGAACGACCCTGTAGATGTTTACGGACCTTTCAGCGGGCACCGCGGTGCCGCTGTTTGCCACTGGGTACGTACCTCTAATGATGCTGAGATTTCAGCTGCTCTAATGCGCATGCAGGTGGGAAGCCGCAGCTTTCACGTCCGTGGGGTTCGCCGTGCCTGACAATTGGAAAGCGGGCAGGATATGGGTGAGTCGATTCTTCACCAGTCACTGGGATCTAGTGGAATGAACATCCGGGCGCGATGACGGCAGGGCCGGAGGGACTGTGACTTCACGATCACGACTGGCCCGACATGCTTGGATGGATGGTGTAACGGAGGGCTGCTCTGCGACCCCACTACCGGAACGGTACGTTCTCCCGAACCATCTTGGAGTGCTCATTTTCATCGAAGCTTTCCTGCACAGGGCGTCCCTCCGGCCTCTGTGGCGGAGTGGACTCTCCAGGGCGATGGGAACCTCGATTTCTACGATGGTGAGTGGCTATATGCGCCCGCTTTGCTCAGTGTTTGATCGAGATCCGGTAGTTTCCCTTGTGGACGGCTACAATTTACCTATGGCCATTACGAACAACGTCAATTGCCCTGTAGCAGACTGTCTGGTAGACCTTGGCCCCGGATGTGCGTTATCGTCTTCCCATGGCCTTCCGCATATGGAATCTGACCCGGCGACAGGCCCTGATCCGCTCAAAGGACCGTTCGATTCGACTGGGTTCCCAGTCGGATGCCAGAGTGCGTGTGCTGCAAACATAGACGGAAATCCGAGTCAGTCATAGCGAGCTGCATCACGAGCTGCATCGACCTGATCTGTATGTACGCAGCCGACTCCGCCAACTGCTGCTCCGGAAGTCACAGCACACCGGAGACGTGCCCGCCTTCAGGGGTGCAGTTCTACGACTATTTCAGTGAGTCATCCCTTTGCGACGAACCGACTAGCGTCTGACTCAGAGCTCAGAGGGGAACTGTCCCAACGCTTACGCATATGCTTTCGACGAATCCAGCGGCACCGCTCTATGGACGTGCGATTCCGGCTTGAACGCAGATTACACGTTGACATTCTGCCCGTAAGTGCTCTAATTCGCCTTAAGCTTGACTCATATCCGACCATCCTTCCGTGTCGAATAGTCCACCAGCATCTAGTGCGCCGTCTACAAATTCGTCCGCAGGAGCGGCCTTCACGTCCCCGACATCCTCGGCCGTCGACAACGGCAGCAACAGCTCGACATCAACCTCCTCCGATAGCTCCCTTGAGAGTTCACCGGCGGTCGCCGAGTCTTCTGCACCATCAACAAGGACATCCGCCACGTCCACGACCGATTCATCCAGTACGACAGCCCCGGTAGAGGCTCGTCCCGCCAATGCCGCTTTGAAGCAGTCTCCAATGTCAGCAGTTTGGCTGAGTCTTCTTTCCCCTGTTTTGGTCAACATATGCGGACGAATGTAGTCACTGCACGCATAGACGGAGTTATGTTCCACGTATGGATGATGGACGATATTGAGTTTGGAGATTGCGGTTCGGTGTCCAAGGATTGTGGTATCGTTGCCCCTCGTGATCTTCCTCGAGGCCGATCTGGGACCGCCTCGTGTGGGGAGGGTCCCGTATCTTGCCTTTCTTGGCGCGTTCGAAGAGTCATCTCACGGACCCGCCGAGATTTCATGCCCAGTGTCGCACGCCGCAGAGAGTTTGTTGTCGACCTGCATTGCATTCAACGAGGCATACAAAAGGTGGTCGTCGAGCGGGCCCTCCCCACGGTCTCTCACTCACAGACCACATCCCCCAGATGCGTCGCTTCTTGTCTCGCCGCTCAACAGCCGGGCCCTCTATGAGCGAAAAACAGGGCCAACCTGTCCCAGCCTCGACGAGCTTCCGTGATGCTCCCCAGCGGCGCTATAGAAGGCACTCCGCGGGTCTCTTTCCTGTCGATGACTCTCTGGACGACGACGAGGCCTCGACGGCAGCGCTCTTTTCGCCCGCCGCACCTCCGCCCCCGGCGGTGCTCAAAGTCAAGCGCGTGGACTACTATTACAGCACGTGGTCGAAGGTGTGGAAGTACCGCAACACGTCAGCCAAGGTTCGCGCAGACGCGCTCCTGACCGTCGTCGGCAACGGCAACGAGGGCAACGCGGACGACGCCTGGGCCGGCTACTGTTTCGTCGTGGTCCGCAAGATCCCTCAGCCTACCACGGATGGACAGCAGGGCGAGCCGACCTTCCAGGTCGTGGTGAAGAGCCCGTATCTGCTCGCGGCATGCAAGGAGGTCATGGGCAAGATTCAGGGTGTGTCGTGGACGGCCGAGCCACTCGAGGTGAGCAACATCACTGGCGAATCGTTCACGCTCTGACACATCTCCCAGCTCGACCCGTTGCTCCTGCTCGCCTTCCTTCCCCGCTTCGAGGCTTACCGCGACGACCTCACGCGCAAGACCTCACGCACCCTCCAGGATGACAACATCCTGAAGACCGTCAACGCGCTGCTGGAGTACCTCCACAAGGACTACGCCGCTACACTCTCCAAGCTCACGAACCTGATGGAGCATGGCGAGATCACCTTCGACACCCTCTTCGCCATCTTTGTCCCGCGCTCCATCCTCGTCGCCGACTGCCCCATCACCGGCGAGCCGCGCGCATTCGAGCTCGTCTCCGCCCAGAAGCTCACCGCGGTTTCAGGCGGGGTGTACGACCTCATCTGCGAGAGCGTCGACGCGTCCCACGACGAGGACCCCGCGGCCGCTGCAGACGAGGACGGCGCGCCGGCCGGACACCGCGCCGCGTTCAACCCCGCGCTGAGCTCCAACCTTGCCAACGTCATGTCGCTTCCCCCCATGATGCACCCGCCGCCGCCAGGGAACGACTGGGGGCTGCAGCGCGCGAGCGGGAAGACGTTCGGGCGCGTGCAGAGCCGCGTCTTCGTCCCATTCTTCAAGGGCACGGTGAAGGTGAACTCGCTCGACGTGTACCCGATCGGGTACCACGCGAACGCGGGCGCGCTCGAGACGGCGCTCGTCGCGCGCGGGCGCAAGTGGCTCGCGCTGCGGGGCGTGCACCACATGCACTACGTGGGCCCCGCGACGTACACGCTGTCGACGGGGATGGGGAAGAAGAGCATCAAGTACAACGTGAGTGCCGAGTGCCGAGTGCGCCACCGCCCATCGCTGACGGATTGAGTGCAGGTGAAGTCGAGAGTCATGATCGACAAAGGTAGCTTGCGTTTCTCGCTGGGTGACACGCACGCTGTTGACAACGTTCGTTCCGTCAGCGAACTTTAGACGTCTAAACCCCAGTTACGAGATGCCAGCCGTCAAGATGGAGGCCACTCCAAATAACCCTCCGCCAGGGAACGTGCCAGGGAGCTGGGGGAGATACAGCCCGCCACCTGTTCAGTACAACCCCAGTGCGTCAGTCCACTGTTGCTAGCACGAAGCGCGGCTGACAGGTCTCCAGATGCCTGTGTGCCCACGTTCCAGGCTCGCGCGAAAATGCCGCGCGAGAAGGACGAGCTGACGGACGATGAGCTCATGCTCGCCCCTTCCATCGTCTACGGTTTCAGCCTTGCCGACAAGGCATGGCGTGAGTGTTGCGTGATTTGTTGTTTGGCTTGCGACTAATCGTGTGTTGCAGTCGAGTTCAACATCGAGCGCGTGCAGCCCGTCACCTGGAACGACGAAGCGTTCGAGAACCTCGTCATCCCGGCAGACCGCAAGGCGCTGCTCCAGTCCCTCGTCGACGCCCACAGCGTGAACACGGGCTTTGACGACTTCATCGAAGGCAAGGGCCGCGGCCTCGTGTTCAACCTCTTCGGCCCTCCTGGAGTGGGCAAGACACTCTCGGCGGAGGCGACGTCCGAGCACGTCCGCCGGCCGCTGTACGTCGTCGGCGGGGGCGACCTCGGCACGTCCGCGGCGACGCTCGACGCGGCGCTCAACACCGTCTTCGACCTCGCGACGGCGTGGCACGCGCTCGTGCTGATTGACGAGGCGGACGTCTTCCTCGAGGAGCGCTCGCTGCACGACCTCGAGCGGAACGCGATGGTCGCCGTCTTCCTCCGCCACGTGGAGTACTACCGCGGGATCCTCTTCCTCACCACGAACCGCGTCCGGGCGTTCGACGAGGCGTTCCTCTCCCGCATACACGTCGCCCTCCACTTCCGCGAGCTCGACCGCGACGCGCGCCGCCAGGTCTGGGCCGCGTTCCTCCGGCGGGCGGGGCCCGGTGCGGCGGCGGTGGCGGGGAGTGCGGAGGCGCTGGACGCGCTCGCGGCGCGCGCGCTGAACGGTCGGCAGATCAAGAACGCGGTGCGCACCGCGAGCTCGCTCGCGGGCAGCCGGGGGGTGCCGCTCCGTCTCGAGCACCTCGCGGGCACGCTCGACACGATGGATGAGTTCTCGGCTGAGTTCGCGGGCCCAGGGCGGAAGTGATCAAGGTGGAGGTGTATTTTTAGGTGATTGGACTTGTATCACAGCGGCGCATCTGCAGTGAATGGATTGGTCATTCCACGCGTTATGTGTGGCACGGCTGGACCGCAAGGGGGCAAAGCGCACGGGGAAGCACCACAGCGAGAAGCACGTAGGTTGTGGCTCTTTACGCAGAAGAAAGGCCGACAGCTGTTCTAGAACACAGTAGAACTGCGGGTCTCAGAGGAACCGGCCTGGACCCACATTTGGTTCGTACGAGCCCACCCGACCTCGCAGCACTGGTAATCGTGGTGGACTTTATCTCGGAGTCCGAGCCAGATGACAAAGCAACTGCAAGACGAGAGAGGGCATGTATATAAGAGGAAGCGATATCCCAACAGGTTCTTGCATTCACACAGTCCTCAGCCAACGACACCAGCATCATGCCTCCCGCATACGAAATCGCTCCCGCTCCAGAGACTTCCTTCTTCACCCCCGCCCAAGTGCCCCCTGCGGGTACCGCGCCGGCCTCTGTCCAGAAGAAGCCTTTACCGAAGCTCTTCCAACCCATTGAGATTCGCGGCGTCGAGTTCCAGAACCGCCTTTGGGTGAGCGTCCGCTTGCGGCCGTGTGTCATGCGTCACCGCGGAGGGCTCACCTTCCATTGTGCAGGTCTCCCCGATGGTCATGATGTCCGCTGGCACCGACGGCAAGATGACGCCATTCCACAGCACAATCCGTAAGCTCCTCTCCACCCCACGCATCCTCTGCGCACCCACTCAGCCCGCCTCACAGTCGGCGCCAAGTTCATCCACGGCCCCGGCCTGACGATCGTCGAGGGCACCGCCGTCGTGCCCGAGGGCCGCATCACCCCGCACGACCTCGGGCTCTGGTCGGACGCGCAGATCGCGCCGCTCCGCGCCGTCGTCGCCCTCGCGCACAGCCAGGGCCAGAAGCTCGGCGTGCAGCTCTTCCACGCCGGCCGCAAGGGCTCCGTCGCGCCGGTCTGGCACGCCGGGCACGAGGTCGTCCCGCCCGGGGCGCGCACCGGCGGCTTTGCGGACGACCTCGTCGCGCCCTCGGCGGTGCCGCACGACGTCGGCGTGGTCCCCCGCGCGATGACGGTCGAAGATATCAAGGCGATGGTGCGCGCGTTCGTCGACGCGGCGCGGCGCGCGGTCGAGGCCGGCGTCGACGTCGTCGAGGTGCACGCCGCGCACGGGTACTTGCTGCACAGCTTCCTGAGCCCGGTGACGAACCGGCGCACGGACGACTATGGGGGGAGCTTCGAGAACCGGGCGCGGTTGCTCCTCGAGGTCGTCGACGCCGTCCGCGCAGTCGTTCCCGACACGATGCCGCTGTTCGTCAGGTGCGTGTTTTGCGTTGTCGATGGGGCGGCGGGACGACGCTCACCAGGATGCAGGGTGTCCGCGACGGATTGGCTCGAGAAGGTGCTCCCGAACGAGCCGTCGTGGACTCTCGAGGACACCGTCCACCTCGCGACGCTCCTCCCGGACCACGGCGTGGACGTCATCGACGTGTCGACAGGCGGCATTGACCCTCGACAGAAGATCGAGGTCGTGGGGGCCGCCTACCAGGCACGCTTCTCGGAAGCGATCAAGAAGGCGGTGGGAGACCGTCTCGTGGTCACCGCGGTCGGAGGCATCAGAGACGGGCACATCGCCGAGGAGGTGCCACAGAAGGGACAGGCGGACGTGGCGATGGTCGGGACGGCGTCGTTGAAGAACCCGGCGTTCGTGCTTGCGTACGCCGAGCAACTGGGCGTCGAGGTGAAGCCGCCGCATCAGGTAGATTGGGTGTTGTATGGGCGCGGGAGCATGTGGAGGTGGAAGGACTGAGCGCGAGCCGAGTCGACGTTGAAGTTGAACATGGAGACCAACAAGCCCTGCGAAGATAAGATAAGACCTCTCATTCACGGTCACGGCCGGTGAAGAGACTATGCGCAAAATGCATTAGAACGCGCATTTGAATATTTACTCTCTTCAATGCATAATTGAAATCATAGGAAGGTTATGATCTTAGACGTGATACGGGTAGACGTATATGGTACACTGTTGGGACTATGGGAGGTACTGATACATGTGACTAGGGATTACTACAGGTCTAACAGAACGAGAATTATAACGACACGACGTGATATAACAGCGCATATATGCAGTCCTCGAACGAGGTCTGACCAGGGGAGACTCATAGAGTCCACAGGATAATCGTAAACACTCACTCACTTGAGCTCGAAGAACCGCGGTAGGTTCTTCCAAATCCTCAAACGCGTCGCCTGGATCCGCGCCTCAAACCCCCGCTCGCACGACCCACACAACCGCCCCTCCTCCTCCTTCCGCTCCTCATACTTCCTCACCACCTCCTCCAACATCCACAGCGGGTCCCCAGGGACCCCATCGTCGCCCGTGGACGCGCACGCCGCAAACAGCCCCTCGACGCAGTCGAAGCACATCGTCGAGTCGTCCGCGACGACCTCCACCTCGCCGTCCTTCAGCCCGCCTGCAAAGTCGAGGTCGAACGCGACCCGGTGCGCGATGTGGTCCCCGACGTCCACGCGCACCCGCGCGATCGCCGCCCGCCCCCGCGCCCACCGCATCCAGTCGTCGCTCGGCAGCCCGTCCCAGTGCGCGGGGGGCGTCCGGACCCGCAGCGCGCGGCCCCACGCCCGCCCGTGCGTCGTGGTGGCGAGCTGGTAGAACGCGGCCGGGAGGAGGGAGGGCACGTCGAAGGCGCGGGCGAAGGCGATCGCCGTGACTGGCTCCGGAGCGCGGCGGCGGGAAACAGCGATGGGCAGCGCGCGCAGGGACGCTTGACGTGCATCCCAGGCTTCCAGCGTGGTGGGCCAGTCCGAGGTGACTTGGGAGATAAGATGGGCGCGGAGATCGTCCATGAAGTATTTGTCGGCGAGACGGAGGATGGTGGTGAGAGAGAGGAGGTTGGAAGGCGTCAGAGGTTGGAAGGAGAGCTCGCTGACGAAGGAGGATCATGGGCATGAGGGAAGGGCGAGCAGACGATCGATGGAGATGCTCACGATGGGAAGTAGAGGGAGGTCAGCAGGAGCGAGACGTCCTCAGCATCGTCTCCGAGGTGGACGAGGGGGACGCCGTCGTGCATATCGCTCCTCTCGGGGGCTGCGTCTTGAAGCAGGTGGGAGAAGATGGCGGACTGGTCGCTGAGGACGTGCTTGTGGACGCGGAAGGCGCGGGGGGAGGCATTGAGCTCGGTAGAACGCGAGGTTGTCGACAACTGTGGGGCGATGAGGACGATGTCACCGTTTTCGAAGTAGAGGCGGGGATGGTGCGTGACTGGTGGATCCATAGCTGAGACAGTCAATGAAAGTGGAGGATGGGGGGGAGGGAGAGATGGAGGAGAATTATTGGCACCGTGACGGCCTTGACATCAAGAAGGGCCGCCCGATAGGGTCGGGACTCGGCGCGCGGGGATCATTGTACCCCGCATAGCGTGATATGCTAAAATTTTGAAACATGATACGCACCGCCGGATGCGTCATGACACAAAAGGCCTCCCCATTGATCCTCAGGGTCTGCCAGATCACCCTGCAGCTTAGAGCGCCGTGCGTTGGAGTCCATTTCGGGTTCGGTCGTCGGTGAACTGTTCAGCCAGAGGAAGCCAGGAAGTGAGTGCATGTCGTTCGTTTGAAGTGCACATACGCGTGGAGAAAGATGTTCTTGGCGGGTAGGCTCGAGCTCAAGGTAGAAAAACGAAGGGCATCAAGTCGCGAGGCGGCATGAATCGCCCGCGCGACTCGAGGTCTGTTCGAATGTCTTGAAGAGAGGGAGGTGAAGGAGGTCCACCGGAACGTGGCACACTTGAACGCGAGCAAAAGGAAGGAAAAATAGCGCGGGACTCGGGCGCCCAGCCTCGTCGGCTCTGGCGCCCCGGAACGCGAAGATGGGATTTTGTTTTCCGACGGATGGGGCAGACGGATGGCTACGTACGTAGATAGATACAAGAAGAAAAAACAAAGAAACCGGTTCTGGGAGGGCACAGTGGAGGGTAGTTCGAAAAATGCTCGACTCGCGTCTGGCAGCAGCACGGAAGGTGTCAGCAAGACGGGACGAGCGCGAGGGAGCCAGGCCTGCTCACCTGGCAGCAGCACGGAAGGGTTGGGCTAGCACGGAGCCGCCTCGCGCCCTTCGACGTCTGCCCGGTGAGAGGGGCTCATGCCGCGTGTGCCGCAGGCTCATCGGGCGACCGTCAGGGGTCGTGGACCCGGGCTGTAGCGTGGGGCAGAGAGGCGTCGGAACGCAGGGCGTCATGGCGCGCGCGCGCCTCGGAGGCACACGGTGGTGCGCGCGTGCGCGCGCGAATTTCCCGGAGGGTGCGCAGCTGCTAGGTGAGCATAGCGAGCTCTAGGACGAAACGTCGCGGTGACGTGTTGGTCCGTGCTGGTCGAAACGGAGGTGAGCGGCACCGTCGTCCGCGCTCGTCCGGTTGAGTACGGGCTGGTGCCGGGCCGCTGCCCGCGCGATTCAACTTGTGTAAACCTCGGTTTAAACCACGATTCATCTGAGACTTACGTAAGTATATATCGCGTCGATTGTGCGCTTCCTGCTGTCCGAAGAGTTCGGACGGGAAAGCGCGCGCCAGCCGAGGTAGTTCAACGTGTCCTCGTCGGCCCAGGTCGGCCCTCTCCACCATTTGCTCAACTCATTTTATGTAGTTGTATCTCTCCGTACTTCTGGAAACTCTGGGGGCGAGCAGAGGACATATCCGTTGAAGGGATACAGTGACGTCACGACGCGCGTTGCTGGCCTGCCTGTTCGGACTTTTGCTTGTGTGGGACAAACGATTGATATCGCGTGGATGATTACAAGTTCATTGCAAATGACTATATGGGTTATGCGAGGGTGATAGCAGTATAGTAAATACATACACCGGCCCTGGTTCACTTGAAGTTGCAAACACGTCACGAACCGAGACTGCGGACTCTTGCCAGACGCCCCACCAAGCCCCATACGCCGTGTTTGTGCAGACCACACACGCCTAGTTGATCTCCGCGAACGTGTTCTCGGTGATCGCGAAGCCGACCTGGTAGTTGTCGGCGTCGTAGACGTGGTAGAAGCGCTCCAGGAACGTCATCCCGTTGATGAAGTCCATGCCCTCACCCCAGTTGCTGCCCAAGTCAGCGACGATCAGGTAAACGCTGTCCGTGTCGCCCCCGATCGCGGTGTTCAGCTGCAGGAGGCCGGACGGGGTCAGCGGGACGCGCGTGCACCGAAGCCTGTGCGGGGACGTACGGGGCGGGGCCAGATCTGCGCGTTCGCGGTGAACTCGAAGGTGTGGTCGCCGAAGTGGAAGAAGAGGCTCTGTAGGGACGCGAACTGCTTCGCGGTGAGCTTCAGGAGACCGACGTCGTCGTCGAGAACGGCGCCGGTGGCCTTCTGGTACGCGGCGAACGCGTCTGCGAGACGTTAGCACTGATACGACGCTTGTGAGAGGTAAGTCATACCAGTGGCAATGTAGACGAGCGTGCTGCCGGTGTCGGTGATACCCGCGGTGGTCGCGAGAATGGGGATGTTCGAAGAACCGTAGGTGATCGACTGGTCGATACCCACGTAGTTCGACGACGGCGAAGTCGATGTGACCGGACTGTGATCGAAACGTACCGCCAGCGTTAACGGCACTCTTACACAGAGAAACGCGGATGTGCTTACACGTAGGTGATGTCGCCAGTGTACTTGCTCTCGTCAACGGCACCGAAAGAAAGCTGGCCGTTGGTGGACTCGAGCACGGTGCTGGGCACGAAGGCGACGCCCACGAGGTCGGCCTCGATGAGACCCTGGCTGAACATATTGTCCGTCACGGTAGGAATAATTTCGCCGCCCGACGTGGAACCCTTGGTAAGAATCTCAGGGCCGAGGCTGTAGAACCCCATGTTAAAACACTTGGTCGTACTGATGCGGCTAAAGCACTCACCCGAGGATGCCGTCAACACCTTCGAAGCCCCACACGGTCTTAGCAACGCCAATTCCCTGGCCTGTGATTACGGCATCGCCGAGAGTGACCGTGTCGGTGTACTCATAACCTATACAGCCCGCGGTTAGCCGCCTCATCCACAATCGGGGCCAAACAGAACGCCTCACCAAAGGCGAGGCCAGAGCCGTACTGGATTACCTGCAATCGCGCACCGCGTCAGCACTGTCGCACGCGCCGCGAAGCAACCGATGTTGGCACTCACAAAATACTCGCGCCCGTCCCCGACCGGCACGCTCGTGCTCGTGTTCACGTACGGCTTGTCCGCGCCGAGCCACGTGTTCGAGCTCCCGGTGTCGATCAGGAGGTTGTAGTACGTCGGCGGCGAGCCGACGCCGACGCTCGCGATGTAGTTGTACACCTGGTTCGTCGCGTCAACGGGCACGAGCCCGGCGGCCTGCTTCGCGCTCATCACGGTCGCGTTCTGCGCCGTCGCGCGCTCGAAGAGCATCTTCGCGCGCGCGCGGTCCGCCTCGATGATGCTCGGCACCCCGGTGAGGTTCAACCGGCGCGTGACGGAGAGCGTCAGACCCGCAGAGCGGCGCGACATGGGCGACGCGGACGAGAGCGAGACGAGGGAGGCGGCGCACGCGCAGAGCGCGAGGAGAGGGAGGCGAGCGAACATGGTCCTGGTCCTGGTTCGAGGGAGGGGGTGGAGGATGTAGGTGGGGCCTGCGGGTCCAACGCGGTTGGGGCGCAGGCTTTATACCCCGTTCTTCAGCCTACGGGGCGCGGATGGATTATGTGCGCAAGACGTAGAGCGCGCGGCGTAGTCCCGCCGTCCCCGGCAGACCCGGAAGGAGGGAGAATGCCGGTTTCTCGAAGTGCAAGGTGCCGCATCGACGCATCAGCGGTGCGCGAGAATCAGCGCCGCTGGTCTTGCGCATACGCAACTTTCTTGCTGGTCTCGTCCCCGGCCGCTCTGTACCGCACCACACCACCACCTATACGAGGGTGGTGTGCGGTACAGAGCGGCTGGGGACGAGACTACTTGCTTGTGCACTTCCGTAACTTGAGCCCGGCATAGTGAAGGCGAGATGAAAGGCCGATCGGTGCTTGTGCACTTCCGCAACTTGAGCCCAGCATGGTGGAGGCGAGATGAAACTTCAAGGAAAGGCCGGTCGGTGCTTGTGCGGAGGGATCTTCTGGTCACGTGCGTGAGACCCACTGGGTTGCCGATGACGGCGCGCCACCTTCCCCAATCCTCTACGGTCTTAGTCTAAAGGGTGAATCCGAATCAGTAGGAACACATCAAGACCAAGCTGTCGCGTACCCCAAACAACATGCGGAGAAACTCTCGACGTCAGTGGTACGTCAAGGCCGTTATAGTGGCCTTGAAGAGCACGAGAGTGAGCACACCGAATGAGGCAGGGATGACGACAGAACGCACCGGGTAGTAGATATCAGCGACGACGGGCAGATGCCTGGGAAATAGCGCCCGTAATAAGCTTTTTGCGGAGAAATCGAGATATGCCAAGCCATACCCTGCACCGAGCGGGTAAGGTTGCATGTGATTTATATCGACAGCAGCGATCGCCAAGACCTGTGCCCGGATAAAACGACTACGTCCAACGGTACAACATGCTCCTCTCGTCAGAGGGAGCGCCGACCTGAACTTGTCTCAACCGGCAACCTGCTTCTAGCTACCTGCAGGGATGGGAGCAGGTCTGACACACGGAAGATCAGAACGCAGATGCCATGTGTAGCAAGGCACAGATTACTGACCGGTTTGCGCACTGCCGATGGTGACCACGGTGCTTTCGAAACGCAGTCGTCATCGCAGTTACTACCCCGGCAGCGACTAGCGTCGAACTCCCATCTCCCCATCAATATCATGAAGAGCGTCATGAATCCTGGGTGCGCCATGCAGCTAGCCTTCGGGGCATATATCACTACCAGCGGACACTCTTGAGCAGATACAAAGGACTTCCCGGTGCGGCAAAGATGCACTAGTACTGCAAGGCCACCTTCGAGTGTGACCCATGCAGCGTTTCCGAGAGCCATCTATTCGTCAGCGACGGTCAGACACAACAATGATCAACATACCATCGGTGCACGGTCTCATTCAAACCGAGACATTGTGGTACGCCTAACTTCATTGGTATAAGGCTTCCTTTGACCAGACATCTATTCAGCAATTCCTTCATCCACGTCCACAAAACGTCCATGCCAGCACGTCTGACCAACAGGCGGCCGTCTCTACCCGTGCCGTGTCGTCTACAACATCCCCTGCAACCACATCACCAAAATCGTCATGAGTGCTGCCCCCACGAGGACAACGTGCGCGCCCCAGTCGTCCCAGAAGTCATTCAAAACGAACGCGTCCTTCGGCTCCGGCGCGAGGATGAGCGTCTGCCGCATGGCGTCGTGCGCCCATTCGGTCGTGGCCAGCCCGCAGACGAGGAGTGTCCGGTCCTGGGAGTGCGTCGCGGGGACGAAGATCTCCGTCCGGTTCGTCGTTGGGGTGGGCAGGCCCGTGCGCGGCGGGATGCCGACAGAGGGCCCAGTGGAGGGAGCAAATGGTGACGACGGCGACGACGGGACGGCCCACTCGTACGTGAACGTGCCGGTGTTGATCTCGTACTCGAACTTGAACGGGACGCCGACGGTCTTGGCGGGGTAGGGGCGCACGACGGCGCGGAGGATGCGTCCGCCGTTGTCGAGTGTGGGCGACGACGGTGGCAGGGCGTGCTTCTGGGAGAACTACGAGAAGTTCTCGCCGTTCCAGTCGTCACCAGTGTGGTAGTTGTTGTCGGGGTTGTAATTCCACAAACTAATCGCATGAAGTGAGTGTCGGTACCGGGGCGCATATCGGCGGGGAGCTTACGTGAAACTGACAAGAGAACGCTCCAGCGCGGTGATCATAACATCCATCATCTTCATCTGCATGATCTTCCGCCCGAGTCAACACGGCGCCTCGGTCAAGAAGCAGCTGCAGACGCACCTCAAAGCCCGTAAAGCCAAACCCGGCCGCCAGAAGACTCACACCATGGTCGCCGCTGCCAATTTCTGGTACCCACACGGCCACAGCCCACGCTCCTCCTCCGTGTGCCCGCCGCCACGCACGCCGCGGAGCCACGTCGCCCCCGGCTCCTCCAGCCCATGCAGGTCGAGGCCGACGGCCTCGAGGGTCCACGCGGGTGCGCCGGAGCCGCCGGAGTAGCGCGACCACACGTCCTGGTGGAGAGCGACGAAGGCGACAAGCCCGAACTGCGGCATGAGCGAGAGCAGCGCGCGGACGTAGTCGAGGTATTCGGCGTCGTAAACGCCGCTGGTGAGGCCGTGTGAGGAGAGGACATTTGCGGAGAAATACGGACGGCTCACGGAGCGGTATGTTCGACAGCTTCCCATGTTACGAGGAAACGGACTAGAGGGAGGTCGATATATGCGCATGGAAGACACGAGAATGGAACGTACCGAATGTCAGGCCTCATCGTCGAAGGCGAGCGAAGTGGTCCGGGGCTTGTTTAAGGGGAAAGGGTCGTCCGACGAATGTCACGTTGGCGAAACAAGTCGTGGTCATGATTCACTGGTCTTCGCTCTCGTTCAGCAGGCAGAGGGGTATGTAGAAGAGTAGACGCACGTTTTGCAGTTCCCAGACAAATTTACTCCACGGACGGTGCATATCCGTCCGTAGGAGTCGAGGACATGGCGCGCGTGTATGTATAGCTTTCCACCAGTCCCATATGAAGACCAATCATGGCAAAATGTTCGTTAGGGGGTTGTTGGTTGCGTTGTGGGGGAAGGGGTGAAGCTTGCGGCGCTGTAGTGTCGTCCACGAGGATGAAGGGTGCTTCAGACTCCGTGCGAGAGAGGGACGTTCGCTTCTAGATGCAGCGGCTAGTATCGAGCCGGTATAGCAGATTAAAGATGAGCCAAAAGGAGAGAAAGGCAGAGCCTGGGGAAGACAGATGACGGTAGGACCTGGACCAGGGACGCGCCGGCGGGTGCCTGGACGAGCATTTGCCTGGCAGTAACCCGACGTCTGGGAACTTGACGCCGAACGGTTCATGTTTGTGGAGATAAGATAAGATATTTCACCCGGTAGCGCCCAGCACTGCTGGCTCGCTTCAAGCTTTACTTCAGCTTCAAGGCTTTACCATCGATCCTCTCCCTCACCCTTCCTACCACCATCTCCCGCCGCGGCCAGGCGCCAGTTTTTTGAAACGAACGCGTCAATGATGCAGAAGTGGTCGCAGGGGCGGGGAAACACTCCTTGCACAACTGAAGTTCTCGCTTGCGCAGTGCATGAACTCATGAAGTGGTCGACAGAAAACGTATCTCAAAGCGTGGCGCTGCCAGTAGGGCCGGATGACATACCTGGTGCGGTTTGACTCGCCGGTATCTATAATACCCTCCACAGCTCTCCCGACATGATCCAGACGTCGTCCTCCGAATCTCAATCGTTTCGTTGATGGGCTCTCGGAAGCCTACCTCAATGACGTTCATTCCACGAGGACTAGTTCTGTAAGTACACTGTCACCTTCAGATACAGGCAGTGACGGTTGGCGTATCTGCCAACTGTCACTGCCACATGATCTGAGATCACATCCGGTTCCGATGTCAGAGCACTGCGGGGCGACCAACACCTCGCTTTCTCAGGTCTTTGCGCCATCTCTCGCCGTGCGTCGTCGCGCCCTCGTTCCGTCTTGTCTGCTCTCTCCCTCCACCGCGCGCGCCCAGAGCGACGCGCGCTGCGTCCATGTCGCTCCTTGCTGCCCTCTCTCTCTGCGTCGCTCTTTCGGGCTGTCTTTCTCTGACAATCGCGGCGTCTATCTCTACGAGGGACGATATCGACAATGTGGAGAGCACTACGTCGGTGGTACGTCGTGTCCACTCATTGTCGCGTTCAGCGGGTTGACGTCCGATTTTCACCGCTGTTCAGACGCAGATAGCAATTGCCTCCATTGTAGCTATCGTCGTCATGTCTGTCCCCATTGGATGGTACTGGAAGAGGTACCGTCTTCGCCAGCTCGAAAGAATAATTGCGGCAGAAGGGCCGTTCACATTCAAAGGAAAGGGGAGAGCCACCTACAGCGCCCCGTCTGTGACAAACAAGCCCATTCCCCCAGCCGCTCCGCCCTCCGAGCCTGAAGATCAAGAATCCAGTCCACCGCCTTCCCCGTTGCCCGGCACCCACGGCACGCGACACTGCGCATCGCCGAGCTCGCGCTCAAGCATCAGCACGAACACACGTCCTTCGCACGACGGAGAACGCCCCATTCCCCGCGCGCAAACTCCGCCCAACGTCCACGAAGTCCCCGACGACCTCGCAAACCCGGATCCTGACTGCGAGAAGGCGCTTCCGTCCGCGGACTCTCCGGAGCCCGAGAAAGCATCCGTCACGCGCAGAGAAGACGCCCACATGCCTGATGATGACGAGTCCGTGTTCGCCGACGCGCGCTCGACTCTCCCTCCCTCCTACCGCACCGCGCCGTCCGCGAATGGGTTCCTGATATACCCCAGCACGCCGCGTGGCCCGCGGCCGATCCCCGAGCCGATCCCGATGCTCCCGCCGCTGTATACCCCGAGAGACACCAACGCGCCGCGCGTACGAGTGGAGAAGAAGGGGGATCGGGATGGCGGGCTGCATCTTGTCGGGGGTGCGGTGCCAGAGGATGTCGAAGGCGTGGAAGAGTGATAGATGGAGCCGTTCTGGATTGGGTGAGCCGGTTGTTTGTCAATGTTTTATTGAGAGTACCTCCACAGTCGGTCCTTACTTGCAGAATACACGTATACTCTGGCAATATTTAATGTGTATCTAGACTGATTTGAATGTTCCAATATGACCGGGCTGTTGAGAGAGCATTGCTATTGGCGCCAGCGATGCATTGTGTCCGAATTCCGGGCCGGTAACCCCGGGCCACGTTGACGGTGATGCCGAGATTCTCAGGATTGTTCATACCCAACCATCATTACCCTCAACCTAACCAGGTTGTCTCTAGTAGACGTATCGCTGTTGCTGAGGCTATGCTGGAATAAAATCAATCATATTGCGGAGCACTGCTTCCGTATCACCGTAGACAGTGGGCACGGCCCTGCGAGCGTCCGCAAGGTGCGTACTCTCACGTCACCAGGTCGTGCTCGCCGCTTCTCACTCTTGTACTCACGACAGTACTTGGCGCGGTGTCGTTACGGTCGCATTGTTGACCATTCAGGCTACCTGTGGCACCGCTTTGCAACATGATGCTGCGAACAACTAGTATTAGACGCTCTGCGAACCTATCCGATGGCATCCCATCTCCAGACTGGACTTGGCTTCCTCTACACACGCTGTCATCGAAGCCCGCTGACGTCTTAATTTGGTGCCGCTATCATCGGTCACCTTTATATACCGCTGGTGCATCACTCGTGTTTGCCTCATCCATTTGCCGTCTCCTTCGTTCGTTTTCCCATACGGTACCCTTCACAGGAAATACCTCAAAGATAGCTCCTCTACGCCCTGCCCGGCAGTCTTCTTAGCCCCCCAGGTTTACCTGCTCTGGAAGCTCTCGCGCTGTCAAACTCGTGTTCGTATCTCTCTCTCACGGCGCTCCTAGCACCGCTCATGGCATCGACTATGACTGGTATGGGTATCATAAACAGGACTCTCAATCAACCGGTGTATTTCCCTCTTACCTCGAGGATGCACACACTATCGACACGGGCGGACTTCAACGACGGCGACGGCGTTGGGCTGATCATAGGCGTGCGTATCATACGTTTGCGCGCGCTCCCAGACTTAGATGCTGATGCTTATTTATTTCTTCCTTATCTTAGTTTGCCGCCGCCGGCGTTGCTGCCGTTGCGATATTGATGCTCCTGATTGCTCTCGCGCGTAGAATATACGCACGACGTCGACGTCCGAGCGTCCAGACTTCAGCCGAGAACGCCGATTCCCCCGAAAGCAAACCGCCCGAAATGCGGCAGCGAGAGAACCGCGCCGGCGCCGCGCCTTCCACGACGCCGTCTAGGGTCGCCACTGTTCCTCGGCTTTCTTTGAGGGCTAGTGCTCGCAGTCGAGCACCTGCCGTGAATGTACCTCCGCCTCCACCCTCGTCATGGCCTCTGAAAGTGCCCACTGTTACTAGCAGCTCAGTCTATGCGTCAGGTTCAAATAACATTTCGGAAGTTCAAGCCGCCTACGGCGAGCGAGAAATTGCTCCAGCACTAGCAAAAGACACGGACTCCGTCTACTATCACGATATCTCGACTGTTCCCACACACGAACGAGCCGGACACACCCAAGTTTCCTCATTATTCGTAGACCCTGGTCCCGCCCGCACCCCACCGCCGCGGCGCCGAAATAGAGCAAGTAGGGTCGCAGCGGACTCCGATTCGACGTACACAAACGGGCTGTTCGCGACGCTCCCGCTCTCGTATCGCACCGCACCGTCGACGGACGGGTTTCTGGTGTACCCGCGCACGCCTCGCGACCCCCCACTACTTCCATGTCCACACAGTGCGCCCCCTCTTCCACCGCCGCGCGATCTTGTGGAGATGTCTCGGGTCTCGGTGGAGGAGAGAGCGGGGCAGCGGGTGGAGAGGAACGGTGGAGTGTGTGTCGAGGGGAGACACTTCGGGTGAGTTCGCTGTGTTGACGGTGATTACACGAGGGGTAAGTGAATTTTTGTCGCATACGCGGGAGACGTGTATCTCTGAACTGATCATCAGATACTATAGTGCATTGCAACTTCAACATCCTACCGAGGATAATTTAAACGATCGACCTCAGTAACTACGTAGAACGGACATCATGCGGCGAGGAGGAGGAGGGGTCGGAGGGGGGGAAACTGCGATTTCAGCCCGACCCAGACGACCTCCGGCCGGCAGTGTCGGACTCTCACTGGGCCGCTACCGTAGCGGTGTTTTTGATGCGGACAACTGGCACGCGCACGGCGTTCGGCCTGGGTTCGCGCTCTCGGCAGTTGGTCGGATGGTATGTGTTTACATGCTGCCCTCATGATATTCTATGCAACTTACGCGATGTATGACTGTCTGTGTCGCGTGGCAGCCCGCTACTGCCATCATCCTGCGCACGCATGCGATGTCAGATGTCTAACGACAGATAGACGACTGGACTGCCAGTGCGAAGATTCCGGCCGTGTTCTAGCGTCCCGAAAGTACTTACAGGCTGCGGCTTCTTTACATAAGTAACACGCCGTGCAAGAGCGCGCCGCTGGACGTCAAGTAGTGTTTGGTACGCTCCACCAACCTCCCTCGTGGTCGGAGCGCTCACTGACTCGAGTGGTAGCCACCCGCGACCTCGCATTGGTCCCTCGTCCAGAGCTCCACCCCTTGTTCTTCTTCCGCGATTTTAACTGTATCTGGGAGCATTTAATGCGGTAATCTGCGGATCTTCTATTTCATGAAACGCGGTTTCAAAAGCACGCCTGTTACTTGGCTCAGGAGGATCTAACGCTTTCCGGAGTTCATGTGTTCTCTGCGGGTGGGGCGTTGTTGTACCGTATTCGGTCTGATCACTCCGTGCACCTCTGTAAATACTCGCTGCTTGTTTCGTAAAAGGGAAAGCCGGCGCGAGGCATACCATTATCACACTGTGGGAGATCATGGAGTGGGCACCCCGGAATGTTAAGTCTGGTTTTGCTCTCACACCGCCGCCTTTGTCAGAACCGCGGTCACAGGCGGATACGAACTCTAGTTCAATGGGCGGCACTTTTTTCCAGTATGCAGCTGGCTCTCTGGGGATAGATCACGATTGTTCAGCTCGAATTGGATAGTAAGCGGCATTTCCGGGCCGGTTCTGGGCCGGCATCGCCGAGATCGCGCGTCAATGACAGAAGCGCCAGTGCTGTGTCTTGTCGTCTCCCCTCATCATCTCCAGCTTGTCGACTGTCGAATCCCTCATGGGTACCGAGGCTGGCGCAAACTGCGCAAGTAATGCGATGAGACACTAGGACACCAGAGATGGTCTGCCGTTGCAGTGCCGAGTCTTCGTGATATGCGCCAGAGAAAGAGGGGACTTCGTACGTCATACGGGCGCGTCGCTTGAAGCTTCCCCCAGTCGATGCTCACCTTCAGGCACTAGCTCCTCCAGCACGCATATAGGCACCTATACATGCCTGTGTGGAAGAATAATAGGTCACTTATTGAGTTGTGTTATCAAAAACGACCGTGACGAAGAAGTTCGTCGAGGTCAGATGCAGTTCAAAGTGGGCGCGGAGTACCACCGATTGGCTAAGACGCGATGGACGCTCTTGGATGCCCTGTGACACTTCTGGTGAGTTTCATGGGTCCGTTCGCACACTTTGGTACCCCAGCGGCAGTGTTGGAAGGTCGCATATATACATCTCGTCGCCCCCACACACGCTTTTTCGTCCACCCCCCATCCCTCCTCGTTCGCTCACGATCATACGTCCGACATGTCGCAGCTCAACCTTGCAAACGAGAAGGTAGTTTCTGCTGAAGCTAGACGCGAAATCTCCTCCGAGTACGAGTCCAACTCCGACCAGCTGCACCCCTCCCAGCCGGCAAAAGACTCAAGTAAAGACATCCAAGAGCTCAATGCGAAGCTAGCCAACCCTCTCGCTGGCCTCTCGCAGGAGCGGCTTCTTGCCGATGCCGCGACGTTCGCCCGCGCCCACGGCCTGGAGGCATACACGGAGGCGATCCAGAAGGGCGCCTTGGTCGCGCAGGACCCGGTGGCGTTCGAGGGTCTCTCGATGCTCACGGACGAGGACAAGAGAGTGCTTCGGCGCGAGTTCACGCACAAATGGGACCAGCCGTTCATGCTCTACTACCTCGTCGTCATGTGCTCTGTCGCCGCGGCCGTGCAGGGGGTGAGTGGCTACGCGACCTCTTCTCGTGGCACTGGTCGCTGCGCATATACTCACCCATGCCGTGTAGATGGACGAGTCGGTGATCAATGGCGCGAACCTGTTCTTCCCGTCGCAGTTTGGCATCGATCCTGGGAATTCGCCTGGGTCAGGGAACAGCAGGAACCAGTGGATCCTGGGATTGGTGAACTCTGCACCCTACGTATGCCCATCTCCGTGGTTGTCTTCGATTAGTGCTTATGCTTATCTTCCTTCAGCTTTGTTGCGGTCTCATCAGTTGCTGGTTGACGGATCCGGTGAGTGTACCTTTCTCGTGGTTGTATGCGCGGCTACCAACGTCTGGAGACAGCTCATAGATTACTCGGCCGGCGCGGGACAATCTTTGTTGCGGCCATGTTCTGTTTCCTTACTTGCATCTGGCAAGGTGTGACAAACTCCTGGCCTCATTTGTTCATAGCCCGCTTCGTCCTAGGGTTCGGTGTCGGACCGAAGAGCGCAACCGTTCCTGTGTACTCGGCCGAGTATGTGTCTCTCATTCGTCATCGCTCTACGTCCCATTAATGGTTTACCCAGATGTTCGCCCCCGCTCATTCGCGGTGCCTTAGTAATGATGTGGCAGACGTGGACGGCGTTCGGAATCATGCTTGGCTACGTCATGGACCTCGCGTTCGAGAACGTCCCTGATCCTAAGCACGCCAATATCACTGGCCTCAGGTGGCGTCTCATGCTCGGAAGTGTATGTGCCGCTCCCTCTGTCCCCTCTATAAGTTGACACGGAGTCTCATTTCAGGCCGGCATACCAGCCCTCGTAGTCGCTATCCAAGTGTTCTTCTGCCCGGAGTCCCCTCGCTGGTGCATGATGAAAGGTCGTTACGTGCAAGCCTTCCAGTCCCTTCGCAAACTGCGTCACACGGAGCTCCAAGCCGCGCGCGACCTCTACTGTGCGTTGATCCCTTTGCTTTTAACGTCTTATCGATTCAGAAACGCTCCAATAGACATTCATGTCCTCCTTGAGGCCGAGAAAGAAGCGGACCGACGGACGCGCAACAAGTTCCTCGAGCTCTTCACCGTCCCGCGCAACCGCCGCGCCACACTCGCGTCTGGGATCGTCATGTTCATGCAACAGTTCTGCGGCATCAACGCGATCGCATACTACTCCTCCAACATCTTCGTCCAGGGTGGCCTCGGCGTCCACAACGCGCTCATCGCGTCTTGGGGATACGGCATGATCAATTTCGTTTTTGCTGGGCCCGCGGTATGGACCATCGACACCTTCGGCCGACGCAACCTTCTACTCGTCTCCTTCCCGCTCATGGCGTTCTTCTTGCTCATGACTGGCTTCGCGTTGTATGTTTTCGACAGACTGTCGATATGGAGCTTCTCTCACTCGTTTTCCTACTGCAGCTACATCCCGCTATCCAGCTCCGCGCATGTCGGGATCATCGCGCTGGGAATCTACTTGTTCAGCGCCGCGTACTCTCCCGGAGAAGGCCCTGTGCCGTTCACGTACTCGGCTGAGGCGTTCCCGTTGTACGTGCGCGACATGGGCATGTCTATGGCGACCGCGTTGCTCTGGTTCTTGTGCGTGTCTTCAGTCCCTCACCACCTTTCGCTCACTGACGCCATATCGTCCCTCCACAGCAACTTCGTCATCGCGCTCACCGTACCCGCCCTCCTCGGTGCCTGGACGCCCCAAGGCACCTTCGGCTGGTTCGCCGCGTGGAAGTGCGCCTCCACTCTTCCCTTCCCTGTCTCGTCTCGACGCTCACCCACGCCCGTAAACGCGCCTACAGCATCTTCGGCTTCTTCGCCGCGCTCCTCTTCGTGCCCGAGACCAAGGCGCTCTCGCTCGAGGAGCTCGACCAGGTGTTCAGCGTTTCGACGCGCGCGCACGCCGCGTACCAGCTCCGCGCGCTCGGCCACAACTTCCGCAAGCACGTGCTGCGCCGGCGCGTCGGCGACGTCCCGCCGCTGTACGAGCACGAGCGCGAGGAGGCGGAGGGCAAGAGTGCGGGCGTCGCCGCGGCGTGAGGGGACGAGAGCGTGCGCGCGTATGTGGATTCGTGCAGTGGTCCGGTGTTTGTTTGTATGCTAGAGTCGACGTCGTTTGGAAAGCGGGGACGCTCCTCCGAGTGTCGCTTAGTTTGTGTATGTATTTTTGAGCCTCCAGTCCAGTCAGGCTCCTACCCAGCCGTCTGTTCGAGGTAATTGTGCCGGCGCAGAGCGGGCGGCGCGGCAGGCCCTACGGGCCTGAAAGCAATAGTATGTTGGAATATAGAGTATCAATAGAAGGAATAGAATGCCAGGTTGGGCCGGGCCAGGCGGGTCTACGCCACAAGGTCACGGGAACACACTCAGCACTGGGCACAGCCCAACCTTTCCCTCCTTCAAACCCAATTCTACCCCGTTTTCACACATCCTTCATGCTCTTTTGATCCTGCTACCTCTGTACGGCCCCTCATGGCTGCCCTAAGCACCGTCAAACTTGTGCTCGTGCATGTGCTCTCCTGGCTTGCCACGCCCCGACTCACGCCCCGCGACATCAACGGCATCCACCTCGCCGTCCATCCCGTCTGCGGCACGCTCTCGGGGCACGTCGTGGACGTCAACGCGGGCGTGGACCTCGGCCTCATCAACACCGTCGTTGCGTTCGGGGTGAGCATATGCTGTTTTCGTGCGCCGTGGACAGGCTTCCGAGACTGGTCGCACACGGACAGGACTCGTACACGGACGGCGGACGCGACGACGGCGGACCGCTCGCGCCTCCAGTGGTCATTCCGCCCGATGCATTGGCTGGTGGAAGGTCGACCAATGGAAAGGTCTGGGTAGAGCATCTGTCGGACGACATTGGCGCGACGCTGATGGACTACGCAGTGAGTGTGTCGTTCTTCGCGCGCTTCCCGATGGCCGTTGAATGCGGGTCGCAGCAATCTGGGGCATGCACGGATCTCAGGCTGTGGCCGAGTAACTACAAGAAGGTGGACTTCTTGGGACAAAGTGAGTGCGCATCGATGCATCTTGGGAAGGGGGGTTCCAACGATCGCAGTGAGCACATTCCTCGGACAGAACAATAGTCTCGCCCCCGGCACCACCCTTTATGCCGTCTTTTTCGGCATCAAGTGAGTATCTATGTCGAGATGCACGATCAGGAGGCTCAAACCTCTGGTTATAAACCAGTGACTTTGGTGACTCGAGAAGTAAGTCAATCCTCGCTTCTCGCGTTGATCCCTCGTGTCCCCCCGGTCCTCATCCTGCTGCAGACGACTGCGAAGAGAGCCTCCAAGCTGCTGCCCAAGTCATCTTAGAGCAGATTCGCATCCTCGCATCTCCCCCGACGAACGGACGTTCCTTCCTCGTCCTCGATGACTACGGCATAGGCACTCACACCGCCGCCGGCGACGCCTTCGTGCAAACGGTCTTTTCGGGCCTTCGCGACCTTCACGATGGCATCAACTCCACTACCCCCTTCACACCCTCGAGCCCACCGCCAGTCCTCGATGCGCAGCGCCCTCTCCAGGCGGGTGTTGTGCGAGGACCGCGGCTGAACGTCGCCTTCGCATCCCTCAGCCGGATCTGGGATGGGGTGCTCGGTCCCGACCCCGGCTACGAGGCTTTCGGGTACAGGAGCACGGATGCGTGCATCACCCAGTGTTCGCTTTTGTTCTGCTCCGTCGAGGGGATGTGCGATGACCCCGAGCACTACTTCTCCTACATTCCATCGTGAGTGTTGCCTGCTGCAGCTAGGGTTAGGGTCACAGGCTCACGTCGTCACGCAGGCACCCATCGAAGGAGGGCATGCGGATAATGGCAGACTACGTGAAGGAAGTGATGAACAAGTGTGTTGTCGGGTAGGTTTGGACACTGGTGAGTGTGTTGTTTGGCATGGTATGACGTAACTCAAGGTCTCAATCGTGTGCCTTCAGTAGGGTCAATGGAATTCCGAAGTGACAATGTATGTATTGGTACCCAGATCCCGATCCTGTATTTTAGCCTTCCTGCTATCAACAGATTATTTGTCTCCACTGGAACGAGGCTCTTAGCTCAAGGCTAGAACTGGCGAGCAGATATGTCGTCCAAATGCCGGTATCAAGCTCGCCTTCGATCCCCCATCATCCACATAGAGTCAAACCAAATTACGGTGGCAAGATGCTCTTTCATGTCTACAGTCCCGCGCGTGGAGAATGTCACGTGGTTTCCGCTATGGTGGGTCTCGGTGGGCGCGACACGCGCGAACGAATTTTTGCATGACACAAGTTAGCAAACTGATTTATACCATCTTCTTCAAAGACGCTATCCATTCAAGGAATGCGACTTCTGTTGCGGCTCACCGGCCAGACCCATGCCCGTCGATCGCTTCTGCTTCCGATGAACACCTTCCCTGTAAGTGTCCTAGTAGGAAGTCACTCGTCGGCTCGGTAAACGTGTTATGTACAGGTCGCAGCGCGGTCGCAAAGCACCCCCAGAAACTCATCAACCGACCCGTGGTGACCACTGTGCCACTCTTACACGCGACACTGCGACGCGACACGTGTCAGAGATGGTGAGCCATCGTCGTGCATGCCCAGACACCAATGTATTCTGGGAGTGTCCGCGTACACGCTGTCGCGAGCCTGCCTTGTTTTCAACCCGCTCGTCTTCTCTGATGCCTTCGTAGAGCCGAACACCGCCAGCAGCTCACGTCAAGGCTGACCCTCACCGCCAGGATTTTGCCTGACAACACGCTTTTAGCTCTTGGATGGCTGGGAGGAAAAGATGTCCGCGATGCGAAGGTCTGAAATCTCGGTTTGCAAGATCGTGAGTCGCTCTTTCCGGGAACCCGAGCCACTACTGCTACTGCAAGCCACTGACGACGTTCGATCGTTCGCAGAACGCACTGCGCTCCGCTGGATACAGCGCTACATCCGGAACTTTGGCGGAGACCCCACTAAAGTCACCCTGTAGGCAACTCGCTCTCCTCGCCGACGCGCTCCGGTGACTGAATCATTGTGCACAGAATCGGCCTTAGTTCCGGCGCGGTCTCGGCCGGCTTCCACACCGTCTACAACGACGGCGAAAACCTGTTCCGCGCACTCTGGGCCGAGTCCGGCGCGATCCAACCACGGCTGGATCGACGCGCCAGAGCCCCAGGCGGCGTTCGATACTTACTCCGCATTTGTTGGTTGCGGCAACGCCACGGACGTCCTCGCGTGCATCCGTCATGCTCCACTGGAGGCGGTGACCAACACCTCCGCCGTCAACAGTCTGTGGTCACCGCGGGCGGACGGGGCAGTCTTCCTGGACCTCCCACAAAAGCTGCTCACCTCGGGGCGTGCTCATAACGTCCCTGTTGTTGCCGGTGGGTTCGACTCCCTGGGTTCAACCATTCATATGCTGATGGGATCGATGTTCATAGGGAACGCGGAAGACGAGGGCACGCTGTTTTCCCTGAACATTCCTGGCCTCACGTTAGTACATGCGAGAGATGGTGCCGAGAACGTAATCGTTGATGTGGGCTTGCAGTTCTGACGCAGAGTTCCTCCAAACGCTCCTGTCCACTGGTTGGTTCGGAAACCTGAGCGCGCCGCAAGGGCCACAGCTGCTCGATCTGTACTCCAACGACCCGGCGCTCGGTGCGCCGTACGGGACCGGGGATGACTTCCAGTACGAGCAGATGCACAAGCGCTTCGCATCGGTGGTGGGAGACGCGACCATCGACGCCGTCCGGCGGCTGTTCTCGCGCGAGATGAGCAAGAAAAACCACGTCTGGTCCTACTGTACGTCCCTCGCTCTGCTGCAGCCTCAATTTCTGCTGACCAGTCTTGCGTTGCTGTTGCAGTGTACAGGCGCCATAAAGTCGCCGGCTTCGGATCGGTGAGTCGTCTATCCCGCACCTGCGCTTTTTGGTGCTTCCCACCTTCGGTCTTGAGCCTGAGCTGACGCGCGCGCCGCCGCGCCTCGCAGACGCACGGCTCCGAAATCCCCGAGATGTACCAGACGGTCGGGAGCCAGCTCCAGGACCTCTTCATCCACTTCGCGAACACGCTCGACCCGAACGGGACGCCCGGCGTCGCGCAGGCGTGGCCCAAGTACAGCGAGAAGGCGCCGGTGCTGCTCGACTTCTCGGGCAATTCGACGCTCCGGCTGACGGACGACACGTACCGGGGGAAGCAGATCGACTTCCTCGTGGATCTTTCGCAGCAGTACCCGTGGCCGCTTCAATGAGCGTCTGAAGTGAGGACGGCGTGGCGGTGGCCCCCGCATGACTGGCCCCCTTCGTCTCTCCTGTCCCGCATCGCTGGTACGGCACGCTCGAACTCGTTACTCCCCATACGTCCTGTCTTGTCGTGGACAGTACCGCGGCCCGATTCCACCAGTCTGCATCGCGATGGACATCTTCTGCTCATTATAGACTCTATAGACTTAAGACGACGCTACGACCTAGCGACTCGCGTTCTCGCGGTATCTATCTGCAGACACGGCCAGCTGCTCTTTTCCTTTGTGCAACCGGGAAGTCGCTGACGTCGAATGCTCGCACTGCAGGCCATGACGTCATTGCGATGACGGAGATTGCCGTATGTGAGAAAATGTTATGCAACTGACGCCAACCTGCCACGTGGCGAATGTTCTCCGTCTGCGGCTTCGCGTGTTCAAAGCTCCAAATAACCTCATAGCTTCCATAGAGCAGATCTTGCGGCCGGCGAGGGAGAGCTAGAGCCGTCAGATCTTCATAGGCAAGGGTGATCGCGGAAGTGAAGTACAGGCCTGGGTCTATGCAGGAACTTCGGGGCGACTATGAGGAGATTAACAGAGAAGTGAGCGAGATGAGCTTACAGATTCCAACACATTGCGCCATAGAAGAGCGTCGTCTTTCTGTCATTTGGGCCATCATCGCGGACACCTGGGCTATGCGCGGCAGGCGAGCCCGGAGCTTCTTCAGGTCACTGAACGCACCCAGATACAGCTCTGAAACTCGGTGCTGCGTAGCTTTCTTCTGGAGAGGCTTGTCCCGGTTTCGTATATTGTACCCGCGACAGGCACAGGCCGTCGAAAGACGACATAGGCGGTTTCACCCTTCCGGAGAAAGTCTTCGGCGATGGCACCATCGGTTATACCGCCCACTGTGGCGACAAGTATACGATCCCCGACCGCTTTCTTGGCGGCTTCTGCGAGATGGGCCTGGTAAGCACTGTCGAGCACCCCGATTTTCTGGCGATAGTCGGTGCCGCCAGACAAGACGTCGACGAGGTTCACGCCGTGATCGGCCAGGATCCCCACCAGGTCGATTGTGTCTTCCGGCGTCCACGAGGGCTCGTCTGGCCCACAGCCATCGCGCGCGGGACGGGGGCCCGCCCCTCCTCGCCGGGCCCGTCGTGGTACGCGAGCGCGGAGGGGGCGACGAGCCGGTCCGTCCACCCGCCGCGCGCGCGCAGGATGTGCCCGCGCGGCGCATGCCAGGACGGCGCGAGGGAGCCCTTGCGGCCGGCGTGCGCGAGCTGCACGCCAACCTTCTGGCCCTGACCGTGGATGAACTTCGCGCCGACTGTGCGTAGATTGGAGGGGTGAGGAGTGCGCCGCCGGTTTGTAATGCGTGGAGGTGCTTACGGATTGCTATGTGGAAGGGTGTCATTTTGCCGTCGGCGCCGGCGGACATTGTCGCAAGTGGAGAAACCTGCGCAGGGGCGGCTGGTGTCAGGTAAGTACCGGCGCGCGAGGATATCTGAACGATGCATACCCACAGGTGGTTTTGGAAATCGACACCGCGAATGCTAAGAGGTTGGAAGAGGTTCGGAAGAGGTCGATCTTGTCTGAACAATGGGGCCGTTCCTGCTTCGGGAGTCCGGGTGGGGGTGAAGAACGAGACCCCAGGTGCAGTGGCTGGAGGCATGGTCTGGGATGAGGACTAGGGATCACCAAGGGTCCGGGTGACCCGTGCGGGTTCGCGGGTGCGGGTACCACGGGTGCGGGTGCGGGTCTCATCTCCAGGACCCGTGGACCCTTGGCACCCGTGAGGAGGAGGAGTACTGAACGTTGAACACTGGGCTGAACACTACTAGCTATACAGTTGCTTAGTAAGGGTGGCTGGAGGCCGGACAAAGTACATGTACGTATACCACTCGGTACCGGTACCCCTCATGTGCACCGTCTCGCACACACTGTCTCGGCGCCCGCACCATCTCGCCCAGTGCTCTGTCTCGCCCGTGCCCTCTCTCACCCACGCACCGTCCCCCTCGCCCCGTCTTCCTCGCACGCACTGTCTCTCGCCTACGCCGTCTCCCGTGCACCGTCTCCCTCGCCCGCGCCGTCCCTCGCCTGCATCCGCCGTCTCTCGCCCGCGCTGTCTCTCGCCCGCGCCCTCTCTCGCCTGCACCCTCTTGCCCACGCCGTCTCCCGCGCACCGTCTCCCTCACCCACACCGTCTCCCTCGCCGTCTCTCAGCGCCCCAGTGGGCGGCAAGGACGCGTAGCGCGCATCGAGTGATGCACGCCACGCGTCCCTCCCTTCCTTGCTCTCCTCCACCGCCTGCTCCCTGCTCAGCCTCACCGTCTGTCCAGGCAAACGATAGCGACTACACAGTCGTCTGTCGTCTGCTGTTGGACTGCAGTGTCACTTGGTGACACTGTTCTCCCCTCCCCCACCTCGACCTCGACCTCGGTCCTCCATGCCGTCCTTCACCCACCTTACCGGCCTCCCTCACAACGTCGAGGGCGCATGAGGACGTCCATCCGGACGTCACCAGTATGGAGATTGGAATATGGGGGCCGCGGCGATGTACCGCAGCCCCTGTTTTGGTGAGTCCTCCGCCCTGCCCTGCCGTATTCCCAACGCCCACCTGTCCTCCCTGCCGCCCAGTCGACAACTACACGGACGTCCTCCTCCTCTCGGCCCTCCAAGTCGCCCTCCTCCTCTGCGCCGCTCTCCTCTGCGCATGTCGCCCGCCTCTGCATCGCCGAGCTCGTCCTCCTCCGCTCGCGCTGCCTGCGCACGCCGCCCTGCTTCTCCTCACCCTCCTCCGCCCGCTCCTGCCGCCTCCTCCGCCCGCCCCTGTCGCCTCCTTCGCGCCGCCCACCCCCGTGACTTCACGCCACCCTCCCACCTCCGCCTCCGTCCGCGTTGCCCGCCTCCGCACCACACTCCTCCAAACCGCGCTCCTCCGCCCGCCTCGCCCTTCTCCGCGCTGGCCTCCACCCTCCTCGCCTGTCCTGCTCCTCCTCGCCCTGCTCCGCCTACGCTTCTCGCCCCTTTCGCACCGCCCACCTGCTTCCTGCCGCCCGCCCCCGCGTTGCCCGCCTCCTCCGCATTGCCCGCCTCGCCGTTGCCCTTCTCCACGCATGTTGCCCGCGTCCGCCTCGCCCGCGTCCGCATCGTCTTCCCCCGCGTCCGCCTCGCCTGCGTCCGCATCGTTTTCCCCCGCGTCCGCCTCGCCTGCGTCCGCGTTCAAGCCCTCCTCCGCGTCGTTCAGCTCCTCCCGCCTCGCCTCCTCCACCTCGCACACCACTTCCTCTGCCTCGTCCCGGCCCTGCGCCTCCTCCCTCGAGCCCTCCTCCATCTCTGCCTCGCCCGCATCCGCGTCGCCTACCTCCGCCCGCACGCTGCCCTCCTCCGCCTCGCCCGCCTCGGCGCCGCCCTCTGCCTCCCTCCATCTGTCCCGTAGCGTACAATAAATATATTTTCATCTATAATAATGCACAGCGTCTCTCGCCTGTGCCGCCTCCCTTCTCCCATGCGCCATCTCCCTCGCACGCACCGTCTCTCGCCCACGCCTTCTCGCCCGCACCTTCTCGCCCGTACTGGAGTCTCACCAACTCCATCTCTCTCGCGCCGTCTTGCGCCATCTCCCTTGCGCCATCTCCTGCGCGTCGCCATCTTGGTCTCGCGCGTGCCGTCCCGTGCAGCTCGTCTCGCACATGCCGTTTCGCGCGTGCGGTATCGCATGCACGCTCTTGCGTGCAACACCTCACTGGTGACTCGTCCCAGGCCCGCGGGTGTCCGCCACGGGTGTACACCCGTGAGATACCCGTCCGACCCGTGTGCATGCTGACCCTCGGGTCTGCGGGTGCGGGTGTGCGCGGGTACGGGTGCGGGTTGAGTCAGAATCACCCGAGGGTCACCCGTGGTGAACCCTAAGATTCCCTGGAGTGTTAAGGAGGTCTGTGAGGGTGGTCTTGATGTCTCGCGCGAACATACGGTACTGCTTCTCAAGACGTTTGACGATGGGCGACACTTTGGTGACAGTGAGCGGAGGGTTGATGACCCAGGCGAAGGTCGATCTGTCGACGGGCTTCGACTTCTTTCGATCCGGCTCCTCTTCATCGGACGAGGAGTCGCCGTCGCGGTACCGAAGTGCGCGCTTTGCTCTGCGAGACGGTCCTCCTGATCCAGGTTCAGGGGTTCCGACGGCGTTGTCCTCGTCAGGTCGCACAGCGGAGATGTAAGCCTTTCGGCGAGGGTGCGGCGAGGCGACGTGTGTGGTCCGTGGTCCTCCATCCTCTTCCTCTTCCTCGGAGCTCGACGACTCGTCGTTATCATCTCCGCCGCGGGGAGGTTGACGACCGGCTCGGAGGCGTCCACCGGAGCGGGAATCCCGAGTTGTGCTGCTCGTTGCATCGAGTCGTTTCTCCTGGTCGACAAGGTCGAGGCTCCTAGAGAATCCTTGAAGAGCATTCTCGATGTCCCCTTCAAGAAGACCGAGTTGTTCGGCGATGGGGCAGAAGAAACGGCTGAAGGAGGTGATAGCCTTGTCTCGAGAGAAGGCGTGGTCCCGGTATTTGGATAACGTCTCTTCAGTGAACTCACGGACTCGGGCTTGGGCTCGCTGAGCCTCATCTCCAGTAAGGCAGGACCTGGGCGAGGTTGCAGCCTTTCCAGCAGAGGTAGACGGTCCCCTGACTGATTGTTCATTGGGCATGGGTGATTCGACAGATGGGAACAGAGTGATTGTATAGTTCGAAAAAATGCTCGACTCGCGTCTGGCAGCAGCACGGAAGGTGTCAGCAAGACGGGACGAGCGTGAGGGAGCCAGGCCTGCTCACCTGGCAGCAGCACGGAAAGGTTGGGCTAGCACGGAGCCGCCTCGCACCCTTCGACGTCTGCCCGGTGAGAGGGGCTCATGCCGCGTGTGCCGTAGGCTCATCGGGCGACCGTCAGGGGTCGTGGACCCGGGCTGTAGCGTGGGGCAGAGAGGCGTCGGAACGCAGGGCGTCATGGCGCGTGCGCGCCTCGGAGGCACACGGTGGTGCGCGCGTGCGCGCGCGAATTTCCCGGAGGGTGCGCAGCTGCTAGGTGAGCATAGCGAGCTCTAGGACGAAACGTCGCGGTGACGTGTTGGTCCGTGCTGGTCGAAACGGAGGTGAGCGGCACCGTCGTCCGCGCTCGTCCGGTTGAGTACGGGCTGGTGCCGGGCCGCTGCCCGCGCGATTCAACTTGTGTAAACCTCGGTTTAAACCACGATTCAGAGTTCATGCGCCCCTGTCCCACTCTTTGTCCGCTGGAATGATGCGCAACGTCGGATGACCGCGTCGAAGCAAACCCGGTTACGTGACGTCTTCCCGCGAAGTCAATGATGTAGATATTTTCTCTGTAATTTAGGAGAACAATTCTGACATGAGCAACTTGCCACTGGTGAGAGGATAAATGGTCCTGGGGCAAGACTCGCTCGCCACGGTTTGGAAACATATCGGGCATCTCGGTCATGATCAAACTTTCAGTGAACGTAGGTTCGAGCCCCGGAAGCTCCAAGGTCCATCCCCCAAGATCTGCATAATCTGTGCTTCTGACTTCGTTGCCTCGACAGCGAATGATTACGACAAGCAACGCCATTACATACTTTGACACAAACCAAGTAACGAGTCTGTTCCCCTCCCACGTATGCAGTCTCCACACTCATGCCTCTTCGCCGTCTCCCAAAAAGGCGCTCAACGCTCTCTCAGGCATGTCCCAATGCGCCTTAAGAAAGAGTAAGTCAGGCACAAACTCCTACAAGCGACGGACCACGCCACGCACCATATGGTTCGCCCCACGGAAACGCGCGACCTGCACTTTGCGCATCGCCTTCCCGTCCTCCCGCGCCGCTGCTAGCTCTTCCTCGAGCCGCTTACCAGCCCACGCGCTCGGCCATATCGAGCGATCGCACCAGACCACCCGCACCTCCACCTCTTCCCATCCACTCCGGTGCGCGTCGGGCTCGAGGTAGAACGCGCGCTCTTTCGTGAGGCCGGAGATCCCGTGCACCGCCCACAAGATGATCATCCCCATGTCGCTGCCCTCGCCCTGCTCGCCCCACGGCGTGCGGCATGTACACGCCGCGCGCTGCTCCGGGGTCAGGCCGGGCAGTGACGACGCCACCGGGGTCGCCGCGCGCGTCTCAAGCCCGATGCGCTCGCCGTGGTCGTAGTAGCCTCCGACCCACGCGTCAAACGCATCGAAGCGCTCCGCGCCGGAGAGCGACTGGTCCCTGGTGGGCGAGTACGTCCCCTCCGGGTCCTCGAAGCCGAAGAAGCCGGCGATGCCGTCTAGATAGAGAATGTCAGCGGGTGCCCAGAGCGTCGAAGGGGTCCGGAGAGGCGCGCGCGCACCGTAGAGCACCACCCTTCGTACGTACGAGGACAGGTCTGGCGCCGCGCGGCCGCCGAGCGCGCTGCCCTCGCTTTCGCTAGTCTCAGCCACAATATCGGGGGCGTACGCCAGGAACGCGGTCGCCCAGAGCGTCCCCATCGACCACCCCACGAGCACGATCCCGCCCCCGTCCGCGCGGCGTGGAAGGCTCGGCTCCCGGCGCACGAGGTCGCAGAGGAAGTCGTGGACCTCGCGCGCACGGTCGAGCGCGACGTCGTGCGCGTCTGCGAAGGCGTCCTTGGACTCTGGCGAGGCTTTGAGGAGCCGCGCGAGACGCTCGCGCTCGGTTGCCGAGTAGGAGGCCGAGCCGGGGTAGTCGTACCGCGCGGGCGCGACGATGCGCACGTTGTGCGCGGCGGCGAGCGGGAGCAGTCTTTCGAAGACGGCTTCGGGACGGTGTGAGGGCATGGAGGCATCTGCGGACTGTGAGGAGACACTCACGGGCGTGCCATGTGAAGCCGTGGATGAGGACGAGGGTGGTGTAGTCGACGCTGCCAGGGACGGGACCTGAGTCGATGATCGTCGACCAAGGAGGCATTTCTTCAGAGGGCTCCATTTGGGAGTTGCGTAGTATCTGCGGGTGCGTTGGGATGGAGAAGACTTGGGTGCAAGGGGCGATATATATAAGTTCTCTACCCGAATAGAGGCGCGCGATTGGGATCATACATGTGTTGCCAGTGCGGCGGTGCATCGACGGTGAACGTCCCAACTTTGGGCAGAATAATATTCTGCGGCAATTCTTGCTCGGGGGTTCAGCGCCATCTGTCCGCCAGAAACGAAATCTTATCTGTTAAGTTCGGCTTACGGCTTAATGAGCCACACTAGGAGCCATCAGGAATTCATTGGCAGCGCGCCACTGGTTCTGCTCGCTTGACGCAGTGGGCGATGTGTGCGTGATGGATACAACAGAAGCACATGCGCGGGGAGGTTGAAACGTTGACCACCACGCTCTCACGTTGGAGAGCTTCCATCCGCAGCAGGGACGGAGCCGACTGCTGCATAGAATGGACGCGCCGTGAGCCCAAGCTTTCCACTATTGGTTACGACGGTCGCTGACGGACCCGAAGTATCATGCCATATTCCGATCGTGCGCGGAGCGGTGGCACTTAGCGGACTCCGTTCCAACATGGCGTTCCTCAAGAGGCGAAGCTTGGAGACTGTTCATGCAGTGCATGGGTTCCAAGTTGTGCCGTCTCAAAACTTTCAGGGATGCTATGGAGCACGAGGAAAGCAGGAAGCGTACCTGACCATCAGCACAACGGCTGAGATGTACCTTCCCAGACCCGGATTGGGCTCCTGAGTGGAACATAAACTCAGAGAGCACTATGCAACGAAGAAAGCCACAGAAGCTGACCGGTGCCCAGATCACGGTGATTTACTTACCGCGGTTCATGCTTCGCCACTACTTACGCGCGTATCTTCTAGACGAAATTTCAAGGCGAGAGCAGCGTCGCGCGGCCTCCATCTGCGGTTCGAAACCATAGTTTGACTTCTTTCAAGCACGAACTAAAACGGTATGAGCATCGCCAAGGCACAGAGTCCACCCGGAACATACCGACGCAATTCAATGTTTGGAAGGTGCATGTTGACGTTGAACGTTGATGACTGAAACAATGGTGGGCGTCGTCGGGGTCAGAGTGACCGGAGTTGCGCGAGACGTCGTGAGTGCGTGTACACATTTGCCTCTGACAGCTGGGATGTATGGATGCGGCAAGTCGATGACGATGGGAGGTTCAATCCGCGTTGGATCCCGGAGCGGACTGGAAAAATGTTATATAATTCGCCGGCTCGGAGCGCGTCTCCCTAGGACCCCAGCCACCGCTACCAATCCTCAAGGCCTCATCTTGCGGAGGTCAAGCCTTCAGCCGGCCGCATCGACCTAGTCAGACGAGCGCGCCCCCTATTTTTTGCTGAGTTTATTGGGACCCACTGTGAAAGTCTGCATGTTCGTGACAACGAAAAACGGCCAAACCTGATTTCTGTGGTAATCCTCGTGCGTTTGCACATTGCCGATGTGGACCTGCGTGGTGCCGGCCGAGGTGAACATGACCTCGTACGACCGCGGTCTGCCGTTTCGCTGAGACTTTGTGCCGGATGGCTGATCGCGCGATCTAGACAAGAATAATGAGAACGACAAGCTGATATATATGCTCTCCCCCTCCATCGTCTACGGCTTCGGCCTGGGTGACAGGCTCTGGCGTGAGTACTGCGATTCTACTAGTCGAGCTCAACGTCGAGCTATTCAAGCGGCCTTCGATAACACCGTCCTCTCCGAAAGCCGCAAGGTCCTCCGACACCCACGGCGCCGACACCAGCAGCGACGGCTCCGTCGTCGGCAAAGGCCGCGGCCTCGCTCGTCCACCCTGATCGTCGAGGCGGCGGAGGAAGACGGCGACGGTCACGTTCTGCGCGACGTCGTGCGGCGCTCGAGAAAGACATCCACCTCGAGCACTGCCGCGGCGACCCTTCCTCACCGTGCCACCGTCCGCGCTCCCCTCCCCTCCCGGATCCACATCGCGCTGTGGTTCCGCGAGCTCGACCGCGGCGCGCGCCGCCGGGCCCGGCGGTGTGCCTCCTCCGCCTGTGCCCCGCCGCGGTTTACGAGGAGCCGTGGGGCGCCGCTGTTACTGGAACACATCACGGACGCCCTGAGCACGATGAGGTGGTCGAGGCCGGCTTTGTGGAAGCGGAAGGGGAGCGAGGGCGGATCCTGCGTGGTCTGTATTTCGTGGCCTCAGGTGGGCGAAGTCGGGAGGAATGGGAGAGGAACTTGAGACAGTGCGCGATAATACGGTGCATACACTGAGCGCGGAGTAAACAGAGACTTTTATGGATGGGGAGATGGTGCTGAGATGACGCTCACTCGTATGATGCGTTGCAGCGACCGAGTTGGGTTCGGAGGTCACTTGCAGGTCTAGCCGTGAGTGGGTTCGTCGGTGGCTCGTAGTGAACGCGGTGTTGCCAGTCTAGAGACATTATCAGCATTCACGTGCGCCATACGCAGCATGTAGGGAACATCAATGCATCATGGCCCGCCTACCGCAAACGACGTGTCTGGCCAGGGCAGTTCGACCGCACCCGACCACGGGCTCGTTGTCGAACACACGCGCGGGCCCATGTGGTACAGCAACAACTTCGTATTTCGCGACTTTCCCCAAGCACGCCGTGCGCGCATACAGCCAAGCAGATCCGGTGCGCACCTGCATCACGTCTCCCAGCCGTCTACATGCGTCCCCGCCTACGTGCGCCCCTCCTTCTCGTACATCCCCATCTCCGACACCCCCGACACCGACGTCTTCTCCTCAGGCGACCCCTCCCCCGAGTCCTCGTCAGCCGCCGCCGCCGCCCACATCGCGATGTTGAGCCTCCGCAGCGTCCCGCCCTGCGAGGGCGCCGTGCGCGGGCCGTACAGCACCGACATCCGGCGCGACGGAGGGGTGGGCAGCGGCCGGCAGGCGAGCTGCGCGTGCGCAGGTTCCGCCGGCTCGAGCTCTTGGGCTGGGGGAGGGGGAGCAGCGGCCGCCGGGGTGGAAGGGAGAGGGAGGCCGGAGGGGGTGCGCGCGGAGGCAGCGGCGCTGGCTCGGCCGAGACGCAGCCACTGCGTGAGCTTGCTACTAGCGCCGTTCTGGGTGTGTGGAGGGGGCGCGGCGGGGATCGCGTCTGCGAGGCGGGCGGGCGTTGGGGAGGGGCGGGCGTGGTAGGGGGGCGCGACGTCGACGCACCTGACATCGCCGCAGATGCTCCTCGGGCTTCGAAGCTTCACGCTTGAAGCTGGCGACGGGCGAGGTGGGTCGTGGGGGATACGGGCGGCTGCGTGCGCGGGGACTTGCGGTTGAGCGGGGTGCCCCAGCACGATCGCGCCGCGGGAAGTGCAAGGGAAGGGAGCTGGGCAAAAGGGCGTGTGTTGGAAAACGAACCTGGAGGGGGACGAGGTCAATGTCTTGCTCGTGCTTCTCGCCTCGACCGCCGACGGCCCGCGCGAGACCAGCGCTGAAGCGCTGATGGCACGGCGGCTGATGGCGGCGACTCGTTCTCCAGATCCGCTTACATACACAAGCATGGAAGGGCAAGCTCAACGGTGAGACATACCCCCCCTTCCTACCAACACCCTCGCCGCTGTGTGCCATTGGCAGTGGCACTCGTCCATACAGGGTAGGGGGAAATTGGCGCTGGACGCCGAGCTCGCGGGACCAGTCGCCCCCAAGTAAGTATCGGACGTTGGGGCTTCCCTACGAGGCGGACGACATGGGTATTGTCCATCTGGTCGACCTCGACTGTCTGCCCAAGGGGGCGTCGTGGATTCCCGATCGTGGGACTGCTTGGTATTCTGAACCGCTCTGGAATATCACGTAGGCTTCTAAAGCCAACAACTTCAAGCTCAGCGAACACAGTAAGCTCACTTTTTGGACTGGGCTTATACCACTCATAAACGGAGGAACAGCTCCACGCGAACGCGGGGCGTCCTTTTCCGTAGCACCCAATGAGCACCATAATAAGTACCGTGGCAACTATCATGCTCACGTTCCGTCTACCTCGGGGGTCGACTCCGAAGAATTCACTGCATCCGCCTCCCCCCAGCGTCCGTCGGTTGGCAACCACAGCATCCCCGAAGCGGGGCCTGCAGAACGGACGCCACGACGGTTCGCGCGCAGGCCGAAGGCACGGTCAGCCCTAAGCAGAGTGTGTGCATTCCCCACCGTCGTTCCCCAGCACGCGCTCGTCACAGGACGAGGCGACGAGCTCACGCGGGCGTCCGCGTCGGTGGCGGGATCGCGAGTCGAGTCTTGCGGACGCGTGCAGGGCCCGGCGCCCGTGGATGCGCATCATCGGACAGCACTGGTCTTCGAGCTCTTGCTGGTGATCAGTGCTCCCGTCGATGTTGAGTAGTCGCGCACTGAATAGGGCAGTGGATGCCTTTGACATGGCACCAGCTCTAGCCAGTCCCGCGCCAGTCAATTCGTCGCGCGTTCTCGGAACTTCGCCAGCCGTTCTCAATTGTCCCTCCTGGCATCACGACATGTACCCCGTACTTTCGGCTCCCGATATACAGTATTAGTATGAACGCTATCCTAATCGTGGAAATGCAATAACCGCATTTGTTACCTGTAGACTCGTGGCCCCGTCCCGAACTCCCGCTCATCAATACCTCCTGTACGGCGGCGGCAGCACCTGCGGACCCCCATCCTCCACGCTCTCCTCAAGCGGCCCCCCCGCAAGCCGCACCCCGCCGTCCTCCTCCATCCGCCGCGCGTGCTCTGAGCTCGTCATCGACAGCACCTCCCCGTCGTCCGACGCCAAGCCCCGGCTCCCGACGGACCGCGGGGAGGACCCTGCGCCGAGCTCCAGTGTCGAGTGCGAGTGCACGGCGTGCGCGCTGCTGATGGTGGTAGCGGTCGTGGTCGCGTTCGCGCTCGAGAGCGCGGCGTCGATGCTCGCCGCGTGCCCGTGCCCGCCGCCGCCGACGTCGCGCGCCTTGCGGTCCCCGCGGTGCCGCCGCGCGCTCGCGCTCACGCCCGCGAGGGAGAGCGCGAACGCGTCCGTCGCGGTCCCCGGGCCGTACTCCGCGAGGCGCGAGTCCCCGCTGAGGCTCGGGGTGTGCGTCGGCGTCGGCGTCGGGCGCGGCTCGCGCGAGCCGGCGGTGGACGCGGTCCACGTCGGGGAGGTCGTGCCGGAGCGCAGGAGGTGCGCGTCCGCGGCCTTGTCCGTCGACGACAGCGACGTCGGGGACGCGGCGTGCAGGCGGTTCGGCGTGAGCGAGCGCGCGTCCGAGTGCCATGCGCGCGCGGCGGAGTCCTGGAGCGAGGGAGAGGACCCGGTCCATTCGGAGGTGATCGCGGAGGGCGGCACTGGATCACCGTGGTTAGCGGTGGCGAGAGCGGGGGCGGGGAAGGACGCACTTGGCGCTTTTTCGTCGTCCGCGAACGGCTCGAGGATATCGATGGACCGGGAGCGCCGGCGCCGGCGGCAGACGATGATGACGGTGGCCAGCGCGATGAGCAGTGCGACGATGGCGACTGCGAGACCTGCGATTGCGCCGGTGTTCAGGGTCGCGGAGCTGAGGGTGATTCAGCAACGTTAAGAAGATAGGAAAAGCGCGCCCGTACGTGCCTCTTGGATGGGGCGGATTGTGGGGTCTCCGGGATACTAACTGAAGTACCAGAGGACTGAGAAACTGTAGAATTACTGGAATATCAGAAAACGATGTAGAAGATACAGTAGAGATAACACCCACCAGAGGACATCTGCGAGGGTGATACTGATGTGGTTGAAGATCCCGCAGGTGCGACGAAACGGATACCATCCAGTTGTAGAAAATCTCCGAAGTTCGTAACAGTCAGGATATGTTCATGGATGTTCTGCGGGGGAATGGTGCACAATACAGTAGCGTTTCCATTGGCGTTGAGCGTGGCTGTCGTGCGTGTGGCGACTGCGGGACTGCCATCGACGCTGCAGGTAACATTGGTCGGGGAAGTCGATCCAGCGGCAGACTGCCACCATCCCCAAACCTCAAGCGTGCTCCCATTCCCTGTGAGCTTATCAGAATCATCACTGAATATACCACAATGTGCATACCTGCGAACGGATAAGCGATTTGAGCTCCCAACACAGTTGTGCTTCTTGCAGTGCCGTCGAAGTACATCGCGTTCGCAACATTCACCCATCTTCCCATCGGAATGTACTGGATATCGGCATCGCGGTCGTCTACGCATGCATTAGGCGCGGCGCAAGGGGTCGTGGAGGCGTTCATGATGTCGTCACTGCAATTCTTGTCAACGGGTGGAGCACAAGAGAAGGAGGGGAGGGGTTCTGACAGGGGAGAACGCACAGGGCGCAGGCACCGGGTGAGAGGGTGGGAGGGAGGCCAACCACGACGTCCGCTCTCGCAGCTCTATATCGGATATCAGCCGTTCGTGCCGCTGCCAGAGCTATCCGGTGCCGGCCGTAAACAGTGTGAGAGGAGGGCGTCCATCATCTGCTCGTTAGCATTTGCAACTCTGATTCAAGGTTCGCTCGAGTGGACACAGCTTATTTATTCCAGCTCATCCACAATTGAACTTTCCATGACCCCCTCTCGTTCCTATATCTACGCACGCGAACTTGTAGCGCATAGCCTGGGGTCGCGTAATCATCGCATCCCAGATCCACTAGTGAATGAGCCATACGAATCAGACTTGTGCAACGAAGAAGTTTTAAAGTTGCACGTACTTTTTGGAACTTAAAGTTTGCGAAGCCGTCACGAGGCTTCAGTGAGAGCATATCGCACCCGCAAACGGCTGAGTTCGCATGCGCACACAGTGGAATGCGTCCCGGGCGCTCGGACTTCCGCTGACAGAACATCCGATGCCAGTGGGCCGGGGGAGATACGACTGCGGACCGTTGGAACTGTTTGCCACGTCCAAAGAGCCTCGGGGCGGAGCGGGTGACGTCTGTACGGCGAGAATGATCTGCTGACAGCCGGTTCAGCTTTCGTGGTACCCCTAGCACGGCCGTCGCATACCCCGCAGCATGCGAGGATGCGGATACCTCTCCGAGACGATGCTACACGCTCGTGCAACCCAAGGGCGTTCACCGCAGCGGAGCAGAGCATCGAAGTGTATGGCTCTAACCCTCCATCGATCGAAGACGAGAGATGTGCCACCATATGGGCAATTGAAACTTCGCCGGGGATGCACTGCTAGGCATTAGTCTTGTGTTATTCCCGAACTCTGCCTGGTTCAAATTGGCGGCAAGTATGCGGCCCACGCGGGACGCCGCGCGGAAGGTGTTCTCATCCGAGCCGACTTCGAATTCGGCTATAATGTCCCTGGAGTTGACTCAATTGGACCAGGCTGGGAAAACGGAAGGCACCTGTGTGGCAATGGCATTTTCATGTCAGCATCAGCCACAGAAGTCTGGAAATTGTTGTCCACCTGGTCCAAAAACTTTGATACCGCTGAGAACGCGCGCATAAAGTGACCTTTATTATTATTATTATTCTCATTCTATCCCTATGTGTCACATGAGAGCGCGTGTAACTACACAGCTAAGAACGTATCCCGCAGCGCATAAAGTGACCAGTCAACCGCAAACGGCGCCCTCGTAGTGACTTACTGCGGGCACGTGATGTGACATGTCACGGTTATTACAGTGACGGTGACTCGTACCGTCACTCGATGTCGACCATCCGCGGGAAACACATCCGTATTGCTTGCGCGCGAATATCCTAGCTCGAGTGTTCCCAAAAAAAGCACGTCGCGGTCCATTTCGAACGGACTCCTCGGGGCCGGGATGCCATCACAAACACATGGGGAGGAAGGCGGTGGGTGAACGGGCGCAGATGGGAGGAAGGGGTCGAGAAGAGGGTCCTGGCCATGGGTGAGCGTGGATTGAAGACCACGATCTCAGTCCAGTTTTCTGGGAAATCGTGCGCTTTCTGGGCGAAGCGAGCGGAGATTCTCGAGTTCCTGAAACAGACGGACAGGCGACAGGCGTGGTGGAGAGCCAGTCGTTGGTCACAACTCTGGGCGCGACAGGAATCACTGGGGAAACGCTCCTCCGCCGGCACGCGCCTCGGTCAGCGAAGATTCGGTCTAGATCATGTGAACAATCGAACTCACCGAGATCGCTTTGCACCAGACTGCCACCAGCGGCTCTTCCTGCGTTTACTGCCATAGTACAACGATACCATGAGTGCCATGACGAAACCGCCAAAGGACACCCCAATAAATATTTCTGCGAGGCGTGACGGATTTGAGGATGTCGCGGAAGAGTTGGATTGAGGACACAAATATTATGAGTGGACTCGCATCTTATCAAGCCGCAGATTAGATCAGCTGAGTCAGAAGGAAGCGCCGGCACTTCGTCGCGCTCTTCCTCCTACCATGCCCCGCAGCTGGTCTCCACTGAGCCGACCTTCTCCCGAAGCCCCAGCAGACACCGCTGGGAATCCATGACCCCTGGGCATTAATACCGTCTCTTTTGCTCTCCCATGTCAAATAACGCCGGTCCTTGTCAGTTCTCTACTGCGACCAGCGGATTGATCTCATCTATCGAGGCGGCCTCACGCTGTTGCTGGTCTGCCACTGGGATCCATCCTCGTATGTTTCCACCACCGTGTTCATGCTAGACTCGCTCTGACATGTTGCAGCCGTTCCCCGAGTACGCAATCCGTCAAAGCAGCGCAACAGCAACTGTCGCTTTTGTACCTGGCAACGTCTCCTCGCTGACTCGGATGCACTAAACACCCGTTCCCTTGGAGCAGCTTCCGTCCCCGCACGCGATTGGCCGGCCGCAACTACCCTGCATGATCATTGAGGCGCGTCGCGGGCAGCTCGGTGAATCTGATAGGTCCTCGTCAACCGGCAAGCCTTCAGCCTGTAGCTGGTGAGGGTGGGAGCGGTGGCAGAGGAAGTGAGCTGGGACCGACCGCGGTGCACACTACTTCTTCCTCCTTCACTCCCTAGTTCCGTCTTCATATTTTGCATGGTCTTGGCCGTGTTCGCATGCCGATCGCCCCGGCTTGCGCATCTTCATTGTGGATGTATGGTGCGTTCTCGCTTTTCCCGCACCGTCTGCCAGCCAAGTCCGCCAAGCTCATGTCGCGTACCGTGCAGATAGTCTGAACTCGTACCTTCGCTTTCATCATCGGTGCGGGTCACCCAGCGGGGCGGGGATGGGTGATCATCCTTGGAGGGCATTCTCTGGGCGCGCTCTGGCTTCCCTTGTGGCTGGTGCCGAGCAGGTCCCGTGGTGGAGGTGTGGTCCATTGCTGTCATTCATTGTCGAAACCGTCATATATTCGATATCGTGAGTCCTCTCATCTGGCGGTCGTGTGCCGCGCTCACATCCGTCCCCCAAGTGCCGCCTTCTTCCTCTCATGCAAGCATCAGCATTCACGCACTACCCCATTGCTCCTCCTCCTCCTCCTCCTCCTCTCGCTATGTGCTTCCCCCGTGTCCGCGCAAGGGGAGCTCGCTTTAGGGCCACTCCCGCCCTCCATCAACGTCTGTACTCAAACCGCCATCTCCTGGCGCGGAGGCACTCCCCCCTACACCCTCAACGTTCTCCCTGAGAGTTCAAGCAGCACTCCGGCCGGTAACGAAACTATACATGGGATCAAGGTCCAGACGTACGACTGGATCGCGGACCTTGCCCCAGGCACGAAGGTCAAGCTCTCTGTCACCGACTCGACAGGCGCCTCGGTGTCGGACGACCTCTCCGTCTCGAACAACACGCTCAGCTCGTGCGTCGGACGAGAGGTGAACGCGGACGCGAGCTACGGCGTCGCCCTCGCCACCCTCACTGATCAGCCACACACGCATCGGCTCAGCACCGCTGCGATCGTGGGCATCGCGATCGGCACGATCGCCACCGCCGGCCTCCTCGGCGCCGTCCTGTGGTACGTGCTACGCGAACGAGGCGACAAGCAGCGCATACGGCCGCCGCAAAGACCGATCGTCGGTACGTATCATTTTCTTGACTTGCTCTCCTGAGCACGCCTCACTAACGCACACCGCGTCTCGCAGACCTCAACGCCTCTCCCCTCGGCGCACACCCGCGCTCGACGTGGATGCGCGACGTCGAGGCTGGCTTCGCCCCTCCGATGGACCGCGGCGCGCCCCCCTCGGACCCGGAGAAGCGGCCCGCACAGAACCCGCAAGGTCACCCGTTCTTCAACGCCCTCACCATCTCCCCGCACAGCCCGCCCGCTACGGAGAAGCCATTCGAGGCCGCTAAGCCATCCTCTCCCGGGGGAAGAAGCTCTGGGGAGAGCTCCCGCCCGTCGTCGTACAGGTCCTCACGGGGGCACTGGCAGATGGTCTACCCCGCGCCCCCCGTCCCCGCACTGCCGACGTCCCCGCCAGCGTCGGCGCAGGACAAGTCGCTCCCGTCCCCGCCGGACGAACGCGCTCGGAAGGGGATGCGCGACGTCGCCGCGGCGCCGCCCGCGACGCTGCAAGCCGCGCTACTCAAGGCGGAGAAGGGGCGGAGGAAGCAGGCGCAGGACGGGGGGCTGCGGCTCGTGGGGGGCCCGCGGACGCCGTCGGTGGGCTCGGAGGACGGGGTCGACGGGAAGCGGCAGACGCTGCCGCCGCCGTATGCGCCGTACCCGCACGAGCGTTTTTGAGTGGGTGCGGTGTGTTGGCGGGGTGGACGATGCCTTTGTATGATCTGCTGTGCACGCTTTCGTCGAAGAATCCATTGCTTTGTCTGTAGCGAATCGAGGTTCCCAAGGCCGAGCCGGAACTTATTGTGGTTCTGGATGTGGTTGTCTCTGTGGTACAGAGAGCAGGAACGATAAGTATCTTCCCCACCTTTCCCCACAGTACGCCCGCTAATCTCAGAAGCCTTCCTTGTTGAGCGCGGAACCCGGGCCGGACGTGAAACGCTCGACTCCGATTGGCTTACGCCCATCGGAAGGCCTCGGACAGGCGGTCCCGCACGGCTGTGACGGCATCCCGCCCAGCTCTCGACTCGACCGCCACCATCTCTGACCTCGACGGTTGATCGAGCTGGCTGCTGCCCCCGTTTGCGACCTCCGTGGCGGCTTTTGTTTGCCTCAAGCTCCTATGCGTTCAACCCACACAACGAGCGCAAGAGCCGCGTGGCATGCGCATACAAGCATGTCTCGAAGGCGCACACCAGTGCCATGGCAGGTGCGCAGTCTCTTTCCCTTCGTGATCATCACGATCACGCTGTCAATAAATCAGCTCACGCCTGCATATCACATATAGTTCCTAAGCACGGTACGTATAGAAGAGCAAGATGGACATGTTCTTGTGATATTACCTCAGACCTGCTCTGCACAACTCGAGATCTCCTCACATGCTTCCTTTGCGGAACTGCCCTTTTTCCTTTTCTCGACGATCCTTTGGCGTTGATCGACCCTGACAGTGTCTGATAACCTGATGACCGGCGGCCACTTTCCGGCTCATCTCACCACCTCTCAGGCTCTCAGCACTCTGGTCAGCGGTGAATGTTCGCGGCTTCCTGGTTTGTGAGGATTGCGTACGTTCTCATAACGGTCTTGGGGGAACGCTCCTGTTTGCTTACCCCATCCTACAGCAAATGAAACCAACCAGCGGTATACGTGTATTTATGGCCATCACATGCTTGCGGACAGTGCCGCGAAACGTTGTCAGTGTTGAGTATCGGCGTTAAACAATGTAACATCTCCGCATCGCTCACCCATGCGCCCGGCCCGCAGAGTTCGCCCTGAGCTTGCCCGTCGCGGTGGATGTCTTCCACGACTGTGCTCATTCATGCGGGTTGCTCTTTCGCTCCCACCTCCCCTCTCCGTGGACCAGCTGCAGGCTGCCTTGGGCCTCTCGCCCGCCTACATTCCTTTCGCTGACCCCGTTCGGTCCCATGTCGTTCTTTATGCAGGCTGTCCCCTTCTCTAGCTTCGGTCTCACGTTCCAGGTGTTGTCGGATTTCCTTCGCAGCGCCATGTTTGCACAGTCAGTATCTTACTCCGAAGCTCGAACTCGACTAACGGCAACGCTGCAGGATCCTTTCAACGCCGAAACGCGCCCAGCCCTTCCGAATTCCCCTCTTCGCGCTCTTCCTCAGCGTCTTCCTTGTCGCCGACGTCCACGCCACGATCTTCATCGGCACCCCCAGTTCTTCGGTCCAATGCGGGACGACACATATCACGTGGTCGGGCGGTGCGCCTCTCTATCAGCTGTCGTTCAGCGGATCGAACGGCGCGTCGGACTCGATCGCTGACGTGAACGCGACCGACGCGGACTGGAAGACGACGATGCCGGCGGGGACGGTTGTCACCCTGACGATCCACGATGACCACCTGCAGGGCACGGCGCAGTGGACGGTGGCGGATGGGTCGGACAGTAGCTGTTTGGGAGGGGTGGGGACGGCGACGGACACGGTTTCTGCGACTGCCACGGGTACGTCGTCGTCTTCAAGTACAAGCTCGAGCGACCCCGCATCGTCCACGGATACATCGCTTCCCACCATGTCCACGTCTTCCGAGGAGAGTACGTCTACAGGCACTACATCAGAGTCTTCGACGGAGACTCCGACCTCAACGACGACATCGCACACCATCACAAGCACCTCGACTTCCGTCACCACTAGTACGTCGTCGTCCGTTGTTGGTACGGACACAAGCGGAGAGCACACCACGGTACGTGTTTGTACGATAATGGTGTATGTGTTTCACTTATAGCCTTCAGACCCGCTGGAGACATCCTACAACCACCACCTCGTCAACAGGCTCATCGACCACGTCTTCGGCGAGTTCCTCGACTACCACGACTACCAGGAGGTCCGAAACTACCACCCTTGCCACTGTCATTACGACCTCGACTTCCTCATCCAACACGACTGTAGAGTCATTTCCCGCGGCGTTCCCTACGAGCAGCTTCATTCCTCTCCTCAACTTTGTCAATACCACAACTTCCGACAGTGTTATCATTATTTCTTCGACCATCACGAGTTCTCCCTCGGATCCTACTTCGGCGACGACGTCTCTGCCTCAACCTATCAACGCGGTCGGCATTTCGTCTACCAGTTCCAGCACGGATTCCACCAGAACTGGCGCCGACAAAGCAACCAAGACCAGTGCATCTGGAACGACCTCACGAACCTCCGCTGCCAGCCAAGCTGGCCAGACGGATTCCTCGAATCCGATCTCTGGCGCGGTTCCGACTGGGACGGGTTCTGGCAGTCTCCAGTCTGCACTCAGTTCGGGTGCTCTGGTAGGCATTGTCGTCGCTGTCATCGCGCTCGTCGTGTTGCTTCTCTTCCTGCTCCTCTTGCTCTGCAGAAGGCGGCGCAAGAATGCACGCGGACGATGTCATGGTGCGTTTCGTCCTCCTCGAGTCGCGCGATTCGTTATGCTAAAGTTTTCCCCTCTCGTCCGCAGAGATGTCTGAGAAGGCGCCTCCCGCCGAGCACGACCGTCTCTCCGTCAACTCCGCGTCGTACTATACCTCCTCCGTATCCGACCGCCCTCTCATTGCGCATGGCTCTTCCGCGTCCCTCGACTTCCTCGCGACCATCAGGCGCCTCACGAGCGCTTTCAGCACTACGCCCCCGCACAGGGTCTACCGCACCGGCGCGGCGCGGGACGCGGAGAACGGCGGCGGCGACGCCTCCTCGTTCGGGAGCTCGTCTCTGCGTCTCGTCCATTCGCCCGAGTCGTTCTACTCCGGCCCGGACCTCGACGCGTCCGCAGATGCCCTGGCGTCGCCCATGCCCCTCCTCCAGCACACGCGCGCGCTGCGGCCCTCGACGACCTCTACTACCGTGGGCGCAAGCGTGATGCTGCAATCCCCCACCACGCCCGGCACGGACGACCCCTTCGCCGCGTTCGTCGCGCGCCAATTCGGCCCCGCGTTCGACACGCTCGACCCCACGGACGACCGCTCGCTCTCGGTCGCGAGCGCCGCATTCGACCACCCCTTCGTCGGCCGCGCGTCGGCCGCGCCCGCGTCCACGCTCGCGATGCGCCCGCGCGCGACAGGCTTCTGGTCCGCGGGCGACGACGACGGCGAGCGCTCGCGCGCGAGCGGCGCGTCCTTCCCGGACTCGACCGGGCGCGCGAGCACCAAGTACTCCGTCGACGGCGGGGTGCGGCTCGCGGGCGGGCGCCCGGGGAGCCAGGAGGCGGACGTCGTCCCGTACGGGTACGACGACGGGGGCGCGTCGACGGTGAAGACGATGCCGCCGCCGTACGGGCGGGTGCTGTCCGTCGCGGACTCGCTCCCGCCGCCGGTGCCGTCGCTGCCGTCGCCGGAGGAGGGGGAGTCCGCGGGGTCGTCGGTGTGGGCTAGGTGACGGCGCTTTGTGCGCTTTGTTTTTTTATTTAAATGGGGCACGGCGGTGTGCCTAATGTATTGGGGGTGTACGTGTGCGTTGTGTGGCGGGTGTCTGGCGCGCGAGGGTTCCCTGGAAGGATCTTCCCTTCACCCCGGTTCGCGCGTGAACCCAACCATTCGAAGTCCATACACGACTATTCGACGCGACAGCAAAATTCACCGATTGTAGCATGTGCGGCGACATCCCGGCCGTCGCGACCTTCGGGCTCGGGCGAGCAAGCGCGGGACACTGGGGTGTCGGCGTCCCGTAATGGTCGTGGTCGACGTTCGAAGGTCGCCCAACCAGTACACGCTCGACGGTGTACCAGGCGATTCGGAGAGGGGTACACTCGGACCGTCCCGGCGACTCCAGAATATGGGGCCGATTGTGGATGCTCGGAGTGCAAGATGGAGGCGGGGGACTTGGCGATACAGGCGTCGACTGAGGAGTGTTAGGGCGGGTGCTGCGGCCGAGCAGTGTGATGCGGCGGGTGCAGCGCCGCAGTAGATCATCTACAAGGTTTTGGGGACGAAGGAAGCGAAGGAGGTGTTTATTCTCATGTCGTGAGCGCAAGGTCGTGGGAGGGCAACACGGTATTCCTGTGGCGCGACCGACCATATGCAACTGGCCAGTGGAAAATGCCGGCTCCCACGTGGTGGGCCCAGGCCTCGGGCGCCCTGGGCCTGGGAACATACTGGCAATGCGGCTCTCGTACGGCTGCATTTTGTTCGAGCCACACTCCAGTACTCAGTCTTGGCAACAGCTTCAACGGTTTCTCGACAACAGTCGTCCCTGCGCCTCGTCTCTCACATCAAGGAAGCTTCACTAAAGCTTCTTACTCAGCCGCGTTCGACCCGCGCATGAACTTCTCCTCGCAGTCGCGACAGTCCCAAGACGAGGCACACGTCGGCCAAGGAGAACTTGAGCGTTTTCACAGCAAAATACATGGAAGCCGAAGGTGCATACGGATCTAGCCAGTTCTGCGCCCTGGTTGAGCATCCCACGGCCGCCACCGGCGTGGAACAGGCTCGAACACTCCCATGCGTCTATAGCCTCTTTTGAAAGCGCATCGTCGACCGCCTTTCACGCGGCGGGGGGCACCTGCTGCACTCGGCCTCTCACGCGCGTTCAGTGCGGCGAACTGTGCCGCGGCGTGTGCGCGTGCGCTCTCTGCCCGCCCGGAAGCCTCCTGTGGCACCCGCCCAGTGGGACGTCGCCCGGGTCGCGCCTCCACAAGTATGTGCAGGGGAACGCTGCCGTCAACTCCGCGGACTTGGCGCCCGCAGTATCCTCTGTGCCGAGGCGCGCCCGCGAGGCTATATGAGCTCGCGTGAGGTCGGTTTGCCTCCGTCTGCTCCCTCCACTCTGTCTCCGCTGTCACAACGGGCGACATTACTTTCAGCCATGGTCATCGCACCTGCAGTACTCCCGTTGTCGCTCATGGTCGCGAGTGCGTCCGTGCCGCGTTGTAGGATCAACACTCCGTACGTTCTTCAATGGCCAGAATGAATGGTTTACAGCTGATCGTATGCCCAGGAAAACACCATCTCAGTGCGAATTCACGAAGGTGTCGTGGACGGGGTGTGCAGGTGAGTCCTCGTTGCCTGTGTCAGACGACATACCAGACTAACGCTGTCGGGTCCGCAGCTCCTGTTGTTTTGGTGAGTTCAGGTGTACTAGCCCTCAGGTTCCTCGGGACGCTCATCCCGTCTGCGCTCCGTGCTCCAGAGGTGCGCCGGTTACTAACGCGGTTTCTGTCATGCATTTTTTCATGTCATACCTCTTTAGCATCGCAAGCGTCTCCAACAAAACGCTGGTTGACACGTTTGAGTTCTCGCAAGGGACGTTCGAGTTCAGCTGGCTCGCCCGTCTCCCCGCAGGTCAGTCTTGTCTTCATCCCCCTCCGTCTCCATTTCCGAGCCCACGCCTCCTCATCTGACGTCAGTACTTACGCGTGCGCAGGGACTCCTCTTGCGCTGTCCCTATCAGACAATGCGGGTGCGCTAGCCCAATCGCTAGTGTTCGAGGTGCACGATGGGCGTGCGTCAATCCTTCTTTTCGCTCTATCCCCGATGTTGACATAACCTTGACCCACATAGGTGACTTCTGTCTCTCGTGATAAATCACGAGAACATACGGACCAGAGCACCCGCGACGTTATCTTGCGGGCTCCGAGGACCGCATTTGTAGAGCCCACTACGACCTGTCTGAACTATTCCGCATGACTCAAACAGAATATGTGTATAATAGCCTCTTGTATCGTTACACGTTGTGATCACAGCGTTAAATGCTCTGCTTTCCCGTCGAATATCTGCTAGTATGATGATCGTTGGTGAGCGCACTGGTGCGTGCGTTTTTGGAGCTAAAGGACCCTCCCCACGCGGCCGGCCGTAGAGCCGACGGTGCAGACGGCCGACGGCGAATTCGTCGTGGTCTGGAGACTGCACGCTTTGTGAGATGGCTCTGGACATCAACTGACGTCATTGCTCACATCCCGGCCCGCAGCTAGCCGCTAGAGCGTCTAATCCGAGCGAAAATACTCAATTCTGTCATCTTGTATCTCCTCCCCCACGAACGTCGACCATGGCCTCATTGCCTACACATCTTCACAGCTGTCTTTCCGTGTCAACACTGGGATACGGAGTCCACAATGGCCGGTACGTCCTTTGCCAATTACCCTCGATCTTCCCAGCGACGATGACAGAGACGTTGTACAGCATCCCCGCCGCTGGGCTGTCTCGAAAGGCGCATCCGTACCCAAACCACGTCAAGCGTGCTGATGTATGCGGCTACCATACCATTTGTTCCCGGATAAGGGCATTTTGTGACACTTGCTGATAGTGCCTTTGGCCTTCCCTACCGCTCTCCACGAGGACCTCTTCCCCCCTGAAGTGTACCACCATCGAAGGCTTAGTACAAGGTAGTCACACAAGGACATTTTGTTGTGGAGCACAAAAGTCATTTCCGGAGGCCCACATGGACGGGGCACACGGTCTGTGACGTGTAGTAGGCATAGCCAGGTACGCCTCTTCGCCACCACTGGTCTCTATCTCTCAGACCGATCTCCATAATATCCTGCATCGCGGCAAAGAAGCATTCCCTCATCGCGTGTGCAGGGTTCCAACTGGTGAGTACCGTATGCCTACCTCCTATATGCACGTATTTGGTGACGCGATGGGTCTGACAGCTTCACTACGCCTGCTGCTGAAGTCGTGCCCAATGGTCGACCTACGCCGTAGCCTCGCTATCGCGTTGATCGCCACGCCTGCTTTCGCCCAGCAACTCACACTTCATTCTCCATCGTCCGTAATTCAATGCCAGCAAACGCTCTTCACCTGGGATGGCGGGATCCCGCCTTACGATCTCCAACTTTCCTCCAGCAGCGCGTCCTCAATTCAGCACGAGGAATGGCAGGTCGACGCAACGCAGCAGAGAATTACTGTGGACTTTCCCTCCGGCACTGTCATCAAAGTGGCTCTTGCGGACGGATCGGGGCTGACGACCAGCATCGTCTTCACGGTCCAGCCGAACGACGATTCGAGCTGCTTCCTACACGGCCAAGCACCAGGACACACTCATTCTCCTCCTTTCACTTTCACTTCGGACTCGACCACCGATCCTGTCCCTCCTTCTTCAACTCCCGCGTCCCCATCGTCGACCCCTCTGTCCTCTTCTTCGGTCGCTCGTGGTACCAGTTCTGAATCAGCTGTCGATAGCGCAAGCTCTCGAGAAAACTCCCCTTCTACAAGGACATCTGTCCCTGTGAACGATCCGACATCGGCATCGCGACCTGCTTCCTCGCCGTCCAGTCCTGCTTCTTCCGTGGCTAGCTCCTTTGGCACGTTGCCAACGACCGCACTGACGTCCGGTCCAACCCTCTCCCCATCGTCGAGCCCGACGCAGTCCCGTCTCACTCCCTCTCACTCTCCAACGAAGCCCGACGCGGCCGAGGTCGGCTTGATAGTGGCAGCCGCGGTCCTCTTTCTCATCGCTGTCGCTCTGTTGTGGTTATGCATGCATCTACGACGGCGGAAGGGTGCACGCCGCGTCCTTGTCACACCACGCTCTGGTATGCCCGACCTCAGCTCCTCAGACTTGTCGCGATATACTGACACCTTCGTGCTACCCTCGCAGAAGCTGAAGAGGGCTGTTCACATGGCCTTCGCCTGTCGACTGATTCAGCACTACCGCTTGTGAACGACGACGAAGGCTCTCCCACCGCCATGAACGTGCTCTCCACAGAATCCGGAACAGCCTCTTCGCCAGCACTCTCTCCGGCACTCGCGCTTCCTTCTCCTGTCCTCTTGCCCGCGCCACGGAAGGCAGGCCTCAGGGTAGAGAATGACGTCATTCCCATCAACGGCCTCTTCGCACCATCCGTCCTCTCCTCCGCCAGAGCGACCATCCTGTCTCTCCCCTCCGGGACCCTCCTCATACAGTGGACACATCTGTCGGTGTATCGTTCGAAACCGGACAGGCACCGCCTCGTCCACGCGACCCCGACGCGATTCTCCCTGCAGGCGCCTCAGACACGTCAATCGCAGGTCGGCACTTGGCGTGGTTGGAGACGGATGTGGACGGGCACGCGGTCCTCGCCGGGCTACGTCCGCTTGAGGGAGATGGCAAGCGTGGCTTCGCGCGCTCGAGCTCGAGGACGACCTGCCAGACGCCGCCGCCGCCGTACACGTCGAATCCGGAGAGCTGATGCGGATGGTTTGAGTACCCCGCTTGTAGGGAAACCAAGAGTAAACACGATATACTCTGGTGAGCCCACATGTTTCTCAAGCCGTTGAGACCCACTGAAACTTATGCTGTCTTTGTAGACCCTCCTCGTGTCTATCGGTCTAACGCGACCGCTTGAAAACCACGATCGCACCAGGACTGCGCCATACCCAGGACCGTGCACCCCGTTATAACTACACCTTCCGACTCTTCCTCTCCGTTCTCCCCTCCTGTTTGCCCTTCCATACCGCAGAAAATAGCCTGGGAGGAGACGATGACGTCATCACGACCAACGGCCTCCGTCGTAGCGACCCATAAGCTTCGTGGAGGCCTCTCCCTCGTGCCTCCCTTCCGTCGACACACCGAGCACACAACCTTCCATTGTCTCGTATCTCTATTGTCCAACGACCGACGGGCACATCCGCGTCCTCCCGGTCAGGCACGGTGGTTTTCCCTACCGGCGCCATGGGCACGTCGATCGCGCGCCGTTACTCCGTGTGGGTTCCGGTGGAAGCGGACGCGGGTGTGGACATGGATATGGATGCAGGTCGCGCCATGTGCTTGAGGATGCCATATATTCGGACGCCGGGTCGGATGCGGACGCGTCTGCCGCACGCGTTCAAACCAGACGCCCTGGGGCACCAGATTGCAGGGGTTTCGTCTTGAATCGGACCAAGGACAAAACACGCGTACTTACGGGAGGCGGCGGAGACTTCCGCCGCGTTCCACGTTCCTTACCATTCCGTTGTCATATGTATATTCCGTCGGCGGGCGGACGGGCGGTCTTCGCCGACTCGAGCTCGGCGCAGACCGTCGCGTGCAGAGCCTCAACTTGACGGGTCCACTAGCGACAAAGCGCAGAACTGATCACATAGACATCCCGACATCTTTTCTGCGGACCAAGGTTCGGAAACTCGACATTGCGGCGAAAGGTTCCCATCGTGACGCGAGCGCTTTCAAAAAGGTCTGACATAGAACCGGTTACGGCATACGCCTTCGCGCTGACGCGGTCCGCCAAGGTCCACGCGCCTTCCTTCCAGCCTCGGCCGACGGCGACCTCGTCAGGTAACGGCCATCTGCAAGCTACGATGACAACCTCGGTCCGACCAGATGTCGAAGGCGCGGGAGAAGTCGAGTAACGCGGACACGGCGAACATTGCCGTGCGCGAGCGAGTGGGCAGCAAATACAGACGGTACCGGCGAGCCCGACCACAACGCACGCGGACGGTGCCATATCCAAGGCCAGAGGAGTGCGACTTCCACCGCGACTTCGCCCTCCCATCCCATCACGAGCGCCGCAATGATAGGTCAGCGCAACGGATGGCCGCCAACGCCGCGCGGTGTTCGTCAGATCTCGGCGGCTCGTCTGAATGCAAACTGTCGAGTTGGCGAGGCTCCGGGCCCTTGGCCAGCTGTTATACGCATCGCTCTCACGCGCGCGGCGTGATTCAACCGTCTCTTGTCGTGAGCCTGACGAGGGTGTCGCTTTGACACGTATTTGGCGCCTTCTTGCTCCTCTCCCTTCTTCCCCTCTGACTGAGTGGGCGAGGCGCTCTCTTCAACGGTTTTGCGCTCTGGAGCGCGGAGCCCGGCTTTCTTCGGTGCGTAGCCCTTGCTGTCTAGCTAGTTGCGGGTCGACGTCCGGCTGATCGGGCTTTACCTCTGTAGTTTGAGCCCGCGGCTCCATTCGGCTTTTTTTGACAGTTTCGAGGGATCTGGGATCCATTGAAGGTGCGACATGCCCACCCATGCTCCGATGCAACATTGCACGATTGCTAAAGACGACGTCCTCTGCTCCTGACATTTCAATACACCTTCGGTGACGAAGTCCCGATGCGCCTCCGCCCTGCCCTCATCTCCGGCGCGCTCTCCGTTTCGCTCCTCCTCCTCGCCGCGCGCGCCGACCCCATCGCGCTCTCCATCCCCGCCATCGTCGTAACATGCAAGCTCGGGAACATATCCTGGACGGGCGGCACGCCCCCGTACAGCCTCGAGTTCGTCAGCCCGAACTTCACCGACATCACGACCAACTTCGACCTCGCGTTCGGCGTCACCAACACCTCCTTCGCCTGGCTCGCGGACTTTCCCGCGGGCGCGGTCGTCGACGTCATCGTCACCGACGCGGCCAAGGACACGTCCACCGTCGTGTCCTCGGGCGGGCGCATCCTCGTCGTCGCGGGCGCGGACACGAGCTGCCTGAACGCGACGAACCGCCACGCGGTGCTCCCCCAGGCGACGACGTCGACGGCGTCCACGCAGACGGCGGGCGCGTCGCAGACGCAGCGCTCTGGCGGGAGCCTGGCGAGTGCGAACGGGGACGGACAGTTGCTGAGCGCGCTCGCGATCTCCGCCGCGGCCGTGGCCGGCCTCGTCGTGGTGCTCATGGTCGGGGGCGCGCTCTGCGTTGTGCGGCGTCGGCGAAAGAAGAGGCGGCAGCTCAACGAGAAGGCCCCGCAGTCCGGTACGTGGATCCCCCACCCCCGCTTCTCGTGCTCGCTGCAGACTCCGCTCACCCGCGCGCATGTAGCGACGTCGACGACGCACATGGTCGATCCCCGTAAAACCTCCGTCGTCTCCGCCATGACGGCGGTCGACCCCCGCTCCCCAGCCGCGCCCCCCTCCCGCCCCCGCGACCATCCACAGCCCGACGTCGAGCAGGCCAAGCCCCTCCCGTCGCCGCCCGCGGGGTACGCCCCCGAGACCCTCGCCGTCCCGCGCTTCCACGGCGACGGCGCGGAGCCGGTCTCCCCCGCGTCCGCGGCGGCGGCCCCGCCCTCGCCGCTGCTCGCGTCCGCGGAGTGGCTCGCGGGCGTGCGCTCGTTCGCGCGCAGCGACTCCGCGTACTCCGCGCGCTCGGTTTTCTCCGCGCCCTCCGTGTACTCCGTGTACTCCGCGTCCCCGTCGGCGCGTGCTGGTGCGGGCACGGGTGCGAGTGTGGACACGCCGTCGACGGTGCACACGACGCCGAGCGCGTTCTTCCGCGTGCCCCCGGGGACGCCGCGCTCGAGCGTGGGCACGGTGCGTGCGGCGACGGAGGGGGCGTCCGCCGCTGGCACGCCGACTGTGAGCGGCGCGGGTCAGCCGTGGGGCATGGGTGCGGGCTCTGGGAGGTCGAGCAGGACGCTTCTCTGATAGACTTTTCGTGGCGGACGCGGGCCTGGTGATCTTTGTACATAGCGAAGAGAGTCTTAGAGTGTCGACGATGTAAGCTTGCTGTGACATCACGCTATGTTGTATATACTCGCGCTGTAAGTAGAAACTTTGCGCTTTGCCAGAGCAGCTGAGAGGAGGGCGGTGACGTCACCGGGCTGGGATTTGGTTATTGACATCGATTGAGTCGAGTGCTTTGTTGTATGGGTGGTTGTATTCGCATGCATACACCGCGGGCATTGGCGGCTGTGACGGTCTGTTTCTTTGTTGCTTCATGTCTGCATCATGTTGTATGTCTTCGCGTGGGGACTTGGTGGGGACATTTAAATGAGAAATATTCACGAGACATTGATTATCAGCCAATCAGAACCCGAGTTTCCAGATGTTACAAGGATGTTGCAAGAATGTTTCGGCGCGATGACATACTGCATGAGGCAAACATGACGCATCAAAGAAACGCCGGGATTCATTGGCCTATCACGACGGGCAACGGCTCAGCTTCGGAGCCCGAAAAGGCGTAGAAAAAGCCTGTCAAAGGTGTCATTTCCGGCAGGTATTTTTCCAGGGGAGAAAAAGGGTGGGAAAGGCGAACTTTTATGTCAAGTTTGTGTGTGTCGTAGAGTATCCTGAAAGGTGACGTTTTGGGCGAATGTTTTGGCACGACAGAATACTGTGCTCAGAACAAAGACAATAGAATTCATTGTAAAGGCAATAGAACGTGTATAGTATGTGAGTAACAAACAAGTGAGTACGAATGATAAGTAACGCGCGTTATTGGAATGGGTACCAAAGGTCTCTTTATCGATCGTTTTCGGCACCCCGTAAAGCATCCGGAAAAATTGCCCATTTTAGTGCCTTTTTCACACGCGCACAAAAGGCGGCAGAAAAGACACCTTTGACAGGCTTTTTCTACGCGTTTTCGAGCTCCGAAGCTGGGCCGTTGCCCGTCGTGTATGCCCCCGGTGCTACCTTGGAGGCACGTATGCTATGTCACCAGGTGGAGTGACGGTAAAGTCACCGTTACTGTAACTGTCACCTCAATTGAGGCGTGCGCGTTGAACGGGCGCCGCATTTTATATCGCCTCTTGACCAGTCACTATATGCGTGCGTTCTCCGTATCAAAGCTTTTGGATCAGGTAAACAAAATTTCCGAGACATCTAGAGTCAATTTGGAAGCGCTGACATACAATTACCATGCAGGTTGCATACAGGTGCCTCCCGGGGACGGCTTGCAGGGGGCCGTTTGACGAGAGCGTGGGGCCGCAGGTGCTGCCGCGATTTTGTTGACCTTTTTAGTAAATGAAGTTTCAGACGTCTATATCTCCAACGATAAGTTACAAGCCTGCTCGGTCGTGCCATGTATTCGTGCTTGTGGAGGGCCGTGACGTCATTGGCCGGGACCGTGGGGACATCAATGTGCGCACGTGATGTCGCTGTGACGTGTCCGGTTTGCTTTTTTGACCTCATAACTTCACGTCAGTCACTTGAACATAGGACCTCGGCTCATCGCGGGCAGGAAACCAGACGGCGAGTGAGTTCCATGTAGATCAAAGCAACCACTCGAGTTCGCTCTCTTCGACCACATCATTTACGTTCGCCGCCGCGCAACTTCGTTACCGGCGTCGAATGCGACAGAGTCGGCAAAACTATCCTCATCTATATCTACGACTTCAGGTGCACAGTTGGGCTTTTCCTTCGCAGCGATATTTCTGTCGCGCTCGTGATCGTGCTTGCTGTCAAGGCTGATAGGCGCAGGCGAAGTGACAATGATACTCCAGTATCCAGTGCGTCTTTCCACTTCATCAGCTCTTTTCTCTTTTCTCTCACAAGGAACGCTCTAGCAGATATCGAGGAGGTCATGGCGTCGTCGAGCTCTTTGCCCCTGGCAATCGTAACGAATCTCGGATGCAGGACGAACCACAAGCGCGGACTACTGTCTTCCTCGCCTGTGTCAGATCCTCATCAAGGGGAAACACACAGCTCATTTCCGTCGTCGCTATCCCACCACCCATTCCCCGCGTCAGCCAGCACGCCGGTCTCCACAGTGTGCCTTCGTCAGCGGCAGCGGTGGTAGGTTCCCGGCCGACGTCGTTGACCACGCCGCACGCTCGGTCCGCATCTGACACCTGGTGTCCGGAGCTCTCGGTCCCCGCGAAGCCCTGCGGTTACATATTACGCTGCGCTCATAGAGAAGTACCGCTCGGACCCACGTCTGCGGACGGACGGTGACGATGTGCCCAGTGCTAGCGGGCAGGATGGAGATGGGGGGTGTGAGCGTTGGTAGTAGCCACAGGGCGCACCCGCACGAAGAGCGAAGGAACTCGGAGGCAGCGCGTGCCTGAGAGTTCGCGAGTGCTCCCGGATGGGGGCTCCCAACTTCGACGCCGCTCGCCCATCTGCTTCATGAACGCAAGCACGGATGTGTTGCACTTTCCCTGTACTGTATTCGTAATGCACAGGTCCCGTTCGCTTCGCCGCATTGAGCTTGAGAGCTTTCTTATCGTAGACGCTCGAGGTCTGGCACCGAGCTTGACAAGGTTGGCACGCCTCCCTGATCGTTCACTGTATGCAAGCTGATCATCGTAAATTCAGAGTGTTCGTATGGGTGATCTCTTCAAACGCCTCCAGTCATCCGTTGTGTAACCTCCCGCGGACCACAGTTCTCGCACCATGAGTGCCTGTCACCATATCGGGTACGTTCAAGACTGTGTTCAAGGTATCACCCTACTGCGGCATTCCGTCGGGTGTTTTTTCATGATCTCCCTTGTACCTCCGTTGACCACATATTGAGATAGGAACGTTAGATGCCGCCCTTCTACTAGAAGATCTTCTCGCGAGTGGAACTGCCCTTCTCAAGGAAGCCCCGAGACTCCTGTCAAGGAAGTGATGGGAGCGGCCGCTGATTTAGATCTTTTACTTAAGTGGTGCCGGTCGGACTCTCGTGTACGTTCTCCGCCTCCCCCACCGGGCCGCACGCCACTCGTTTCCCCTACGGACGCACATGAAACTCCGCTCTTCACTGCCCGATCTCCTCCAAGTGAGCATCTTCCTGGTTGGTCTGCGTTCTTGCCAGCCGTTACTAATCGCGGCCGACCGTAGGATGCCGCGCTTTTCGCACTTGCTATTATTTATTTGCATCTGGCTGTTTCCTTCGCTGCTATCTCATCGTACTTCGTCTTACCTGGTGGCGGCCACCCCCCGCAACATCGAAGTCTCCGAGGTCACGACGTGTACCAAAGCCACGATCTCCTGGAGCGACTTCGATGACGAGTGGCCTTGGTCGCTCGAATTCAGGGGGGTTCAATCACCGGATACTGAGAGCACAAATATACCTTCGTTCACGTGGACTCCACCTCGAAGATATCTCGCAGGAACAGAAGTGGTACTCCAGATCTTCAACTTCGACAATGAAGAAGGCGAAGCTACTTTCACGATTGCGCCGTGCGCGACGGCGGCGGAAACAGCCCCTCCCCCAACGACCACCTCCGCCCCACCTCCGCCTCCGCCTCCGCCTCCGAGCTCTCCGCCTCCAGAGCCTCCTGTGACATCGCACACGGATGCCTCGGCTTCGTCCGTGCACGTTTCAATCGATAGCACGTCGCAAAGCCAGAACACCCCTCCCGCCTCCGTATCGGCTTCCGGATTTCTGTCCACTTCGGTCCAGGGCTCTGCCTTCGCGCAGACATCTATCACGGCATCCTCATCCTCCAAAGGCTCCACTCAATCTCACCTCTCCCCTACCAGTGAAGGCGACGCCGTCTCGTCGACGTCAAGTTCGACATCTTCTCAGTCCTCTCCGTCCCCTTCTCTTGCGTCCACCCCTCCAAGTCATCCATCCGCGACACTCCTCATTGTGGGCGGCGCACTTGCGCTTTTTGGAGTGCTCCTTCTTTTCATTGTGATCTACGTGATACGGCGTAGGCGAAGGGCTAAACGAGATCCCTGGGGTACGTTGTTATCGCTCCTCTCGATGAATGGGTGGGCTTATGATACATTCTCTCTCAAGACCACAGGGAGCCAAGCCTGCTGGCAGTGGAAGATGAGGATAACGAGAAAGCGTCTCGACGTGGTTCATCGCTCCCTGAGGAATTCAACAAGGACCAGCTGGTTCTCGACGGTCCATCGTGGCATTTGAACACTCCCTCACCGGGCTTCATCCAGCCCGCAGGAACGCCACAACTCGCTCCGCTTCTCTCCGGAACTGAAACGCAAGTCCCACCGTCGCCATCGCCTCTTCCTATCCCGCTGCCTTCAGCGGATCATCAACACTCCACCTCCCTCTCCCCTCTGTCGACTGCTCACCATGGGACACAGAAAGGCCTCAACGCCTGGAGTCCCCCTTTGTCCAGCGATGATACATACATGACACCAGCTCTCGACAGCAAGCGCCAGCACCCCTCCCGAGTCCCGCCTCCGAGTATTCCGACGACCGCGTCCCAGCGTCACGTCGACTCGCCCCGCGACCAGGCACCGGACGATACCCGCGCCGTCTCACGCGAGGACGCGCTCATCTGTCAATATGCAGGGGGAGGCGGCGATGTCCATCGCGAAGCGTCCGCGCGGGATGCCATCGTTCAGTACGAGGAAGACGGCGGGATCAGGATCGCAGGCGGGCCGGCGAGCGGGGCGTTAGGCTTCGAGGGACCGCCGGCGGATGCGCACCCGCAACAGACGCACAGGCTCATCTTCCCGCCCCCGTACTCTTCTATTGTTGGACGCTGAATTCATCTGTAGGTCGTGTATAGGATGCGGACTTCTCCGATGAACTGTCATTACATGGATCCGTGAATGCGCTTCTATCTCCGCGTGCGTGCGATTCCAACGCCACCATATCTGATATGATGCACCGCGTGAATGACATACGTTCTATCAGAAACGTTGCGCATTATCATTATCTGTGTGTTCTAAGTATCAACGCATCCCGGCCTGGCACGGTGAGAAGTCCCGGCAAGGCGACAGAGAGCGCTGCGTTCTGGCGCTGATGTGATTAGCACAGATTGCATTGCTGTTGAGTATTGATGTTTGTCTTATATCTTCACTTGAGCGGGAACGGTTGTTGGATCCCCGTCACTATCCTCTCTTCCTCTTCCCTCCCAATACTTGGGGGATATGATGGCAAGTGCGTACGCATCCTTTGGAACTGAGGAGCAATTTCATTGACCAGCACGGCGTGCAGCACCGACGCTCCTTACCACAACGCTCTTTCACGCTGTTCTATTTCTATCGGCATCGTCCCTCATCCCGTATACACTCGGGGTGAGCCGGGGTACGCATCCCGGAATCAACCTTGTCCTTCCGGAAGTTACCGCCTGTAAGGGGGCACGGTTTGCCTGGTCTGGTGGTCAAGCGCCATACCAGATCTACTTCGACATTGCGAACGTAAGCACGAAGGAGCAGGACGACCACCAATACGCTGTGTCATTACCGCAGCTGGCCTGGATGCCAGTGTGGCCAGCGAACACGGCCGTCGAGATCAACGTAGTCGACTCCAAGGGGGCTGATGCGGACAAGACGTTCACGATCGTGTCGTGTCCGCCGACGAGCACCCCGATCCTCGAACCTCCCCCGAAGTCGACATCCACCACGCCAACACCGGTTTCTTCCTCTTCCTCCACTCCGAATACGTCTGGCTCCTCTTCCCCCACCTCTGCTCCTGCATCATCTCCCCACGCCGCCATCGCTCAGAGTTCGGCGTCTTCTACAACCTCTCTCGCGACCACGTGGACGAACACAGTCAACGTTTCCCGAACAACTACAACGACATTTACCATCAGCACTCAAGCCTCTTCCAGCGCCTTCAGCATGTCCTCGACTTCCTCTCCCACCACCGCTGTCGGAGCGAACGCATCCTCCGGCAGAGATCTGGCAGCGCTTCGTGCTCCCCTGATAGGTGGGATCGTCGCCGCCGCGGTCGTCCTCCTCGTTATCTGCGCCCTTGTTGTTTTCCTCCGACGCCGATCTGCGAATCGCTCCGAGAGAACTCGGCCTCGCTCATATGGTACGTTCGTCGCACTCGACGGAGATCTCTTATACTCACCCTTCGCAGGAGAGCCGTATCCATCTAGTCTTCTAGAGCCCAGTGCTAGGCAGGGAGGCGCGGAGAGCAAGATGCGGTTAAGCTCTCCCTCGAGCTTCCACGGCCTCCTGTCCCCATCATCGTTCCTCGTCCGACCTAGCTCACTCGGGGCAAGTGATGCTCGAAGCTTTGAAGATCTGTCGGTAGTTGCGCACAGGAGCGCGGTGATCCAGTCTGAGTATCACCCGTACTCCTCACGTACCTCCGTCGCCTACCCACACAGCTCCTCCGCTCCCACAGCATCTGAAGAGAAAGATCCTTCGAGACAGCACCCGGCCTCACCCGGCCCGCGGCAGCCATATCCATCCGTCGACGAGGGCCGGTCCTCCGAAGACACCCCAGGTCTGTACGGGACAGCAAACGGTATGCCTAGTCCGGGGAATTATTTTGCGGAAGGATATTACGGTGGTACCGACCTGACGGGTTCAAGCGTCGTGCAGTATCAGTTCGAAGAAGATGGAGGCGTTCGACTGGCGGGTGGGCCATTGGGAACGCGTATGCGACCGGTTTTGATGCCGCCGCCTTATTTATCTATCGGATATGATACGGGGCTTTAATCGATGTTCGCGCTGCTCTAATGTACGATGAGTACTTGTCGATGTCAGCCCTATACCTACTCTGCCGATGAGAAACGACGAGCGCTTGGTTCGGCGTCTTCGGCATTTGACTGTTATTTCGGCCCGGGAGTCCCGCGAGAACTGCGTGCTGATTCAGCAGCTACCACGGCAACGCGGTTCACGTCCTCTTCCTCATCCCTGCTCAGTTCAGGCTGCTGCATCCATCCTTCCCGCACAGCACGCTCCTCTATCGTTGAACCAACTCCTGCTTACTGCTCGCACTCGTTTTGACATCATGCCTTTATCAATGTTCGACCACAAGAAGCCATCATCGCTTCGCAAGTTGTTGTCCGTGGCAGCTCCGACGGCCAGCCCAAACCATGATCTGCTGTTTAACGCTTGAGGCTCCCGTGCATCTGCCGCTCAAACGGCGCCGAGCTCGGACACAGACTCGTGCGTATCTCATTCCGTACGTCTCTTCCCGCCCGCCTGTCATGGATGTCGTCCGTGGTCCAGGTTTGCCAGCCTGTGCATCGGTGGGAACGTCTAGTGCCTCATTGCTCTTCCCCGTCGTCCACCCGTTCGCGCCCATTTCGGTGCCGCTTGAGACCGCGCTCTCCCTTCACCCTCACGCTCCTTTCTATGCCGTCGCTCCTTTCATGTTCTTCGTCTCACGCGAGGTCAGTAGCTTTGTGCAACGAATTCGCTCCGATGGAAACTGGGGATCTAACGTAGCTTTCACGAAGTTCCCGCCAAACCTCCCCTCCTCATCGAAACGATGAAGCACCAGCTCAGAGCCGGAGTGACCTCGGTTTAATTCGTCAAGACCGGGCCGCTTTCGGCGACATGCCATCTTCGGGAGTAGGAGACGAGGATACACAAGATAGGCCACTTTCGTCATCAGTAGTGGATCGCGATGGTCAATATGCTTGCGACCTCCCCCAGGCTCGTGAAGGAACCGAGTCTGGGTGCTTTAAACGACAAGGTGAGACCGCTGCAAAGGCATATATTGTCGCGGATAGTGACCTAGGTTCACCTACATAAGTTTTCCATGCCTCGTCCTATCATACACCTGGACACCCGCATCTTCACTCGCGTAGAGCGATCATTTTTTCCACTTTTTCCACCGAAACTGTCTTCGAGACCACCATCATAGTCGATGAAGGCCCTCATCATGCCAACACTGTCCAGAACGGCGCAACGCCAACCTCTGAACAGGGAGTCGTGACTACACCTGCTCCGATCTCAACGAGCGCCGAGACATCCACATCCAAGGATCCTCCAACCTCGACTATGCAGCCCGTATCAACCCGCGGCACAACCGGGGATTCGTCAACCTTTCCGCCGCTTCGGTCGACCCAGCAGCAAACGCCGACGAGTACTGCCCAAAGCGTCACCCCATCTGCCAGCGCATCTTCTTCCCTTTCACACTCCGACTCTTCCTCCCCGTCTGAAGGATCTACAACGCTGTTTAACAGTTCCCTTGCCACGTCTCTAGCGACAGAAACATCGGGCACCACTACGCCCTCCAGCTCCTCCACCGCAACTCCACGGGGGGTCGTCCAATCCGCGGGGCGCAGCCACTCCGACACGGGCGTAATCGCGGGCGTTGCGGCCGGCGTGCTTCTGCTCGTGATCATCGCGGTCGCGCTCTTCCTCTGGCAGCGCAAACGCCGACGGGCGCGCTCGCCCAGGAGCGAAGGTGCGTTTACTTCTTCTGACCGCGGGGGACGTGCGACTGATCAACGCACACATTCATCATTCTCTCTGCCGCTCCCTTCTTCCCTCCGTCTCCCTGCAGATGGATTCCGCGCTTTGCAGTCCCGGACGTCGGACGGCGCCCGAGCGACCTCCCCGCCTTCCACGCCTTCCACGTACAGCATGGCGGAAACCGCGTCACGGTTGGTCGCGCACACGGGCCCCACCTCGACCTGGGACGCGTTGCACGGCGGGTCTTCCGCCGCCGCGCCTCCTCCCGCGGGCACGGAAGACACCACGAGCGTAATCAGCTTCTCCTGGCCGCCCACGCCGTCCTCCACGACGTCCAGCTTCCCCTCGACGCCCACCGCCCCGCTGCTGCCTGCGCCCCCTGCGGCGGTCGCGCGCTCGCGCTCGTCGTCCCGGCGCGCCGCGGACGCGTACGCGCGCATCGCGCTCGCGCGCGCGCCCTCCGCGTCCCTCTCGCTCGCCTCCGGGCGCGCGACCGTCCACGTCCCGTCCTCGCCCTTTCCCGCGCCCACCGCGCCGCTCCCCGCGCCGCCCGCCATGTCGGAGAGAACGCCGCGCATCCACGTCCACGTCCACTCAGCCGCCGCCGCCGCCGCCGCTTCCACGCGCCCCCGCGAGAAGCGCGACCGCACGCACGCCCCAAGCGCGATGCCCCCGGCTCCACCGCTCGCGCTCGCTGCGGACGAACGCGTCCGGGCTGACGGAGTACTCCGTCGACGGCGGCGTGCGCCTCGCGGGCGGCCGTCCGGACGAGAACGTGCGGGAGCTGCCGCCGTACGCGCTCGGGGCGCCGACGCGGGCGCGGGTCATGCCGCCGCCGTACAGCGCCTTGTACACCGTCGCGGGTCCGGAGAGGCCGGGCGGGAGAGGGAGCGGCGGCGGGGCGGCGACGGCGTCGTGGGGGGTTCGTTGAGGGCGGGGTCGGAGTATTGCTAGTTGGGGGCACGGGGCGCGAGGGGACGTTGCTTGTATTCTTGGCTGCCCGTGTGACAGAGTGTATACCGTCTCTATATTGACTTATTTCGTACCTAATATGCGCACAGACACGCGTGGGTTGATGCTGGCAGGGGGGGAGGGTTAGTGACCACTGCACACTGCGTCGCGAATTACGAAGTATATATATAGAATTGTACAGACTGGCGGGCTCAAGAACCAGGAACGTCTGTGGGTACGAAAACGAAAGTGAACGAGGACGGTAAGGTGAGTAAGCAAGAAAACGAAGGTGCTAGTATACAAAACGCTGCAATGATTGCAGACAAGTACGTACGTCGGAGAGTGTCATAGAACGATCAACAGTGGGAAGAGGGAGCACTCCTCCGCACGGCGCGCGGATGCAGGACGATGCGCCTAGAACTCGTGGTTCAAGCCCGCGAAGTCCTCCGACTGCCGCCGCAGAGGTGACAGTGTCTCCCCGTGCCCCAAGGGAGGATGGGCCGGTGCCGCAACGGGTGCGAACGCGGGCGCGGGGTCGCCCATGCCGGTGTACGGGTCGTACTCCGACGGCTCGAAGTCGCTCGCGGCCCCGTACGACCCGTACGTGTACCCGTACGGCGGGAGCGTGGTGACCGCGCTCGGCGCCATCGAGAGGTGCTTCTCTGCCTTCTCCGAGAGCGGCGGCGGCAGTGGATCCGGCGACGGCGCGGCGTGGGGCTGTGGCGAGGTGGTGACGAAGGCGCGCGGTTCTGCACACGGGATCAGATTCGAATTTGAAGAGGTGAGCGCGAGGTGCGAAAAACAGAGCGCGGAGAGGGAGGACGCACCGAATCGGTGGAGCGCGCTCCGTGTCTGCGCTCGTCTCCGCCTGCGCACGAGCCAGAGCGCGCCGAGCAGGAGCAGCAGCAGTAGACCGATCACGATGCCTGCGATAGCCCCCGCGGATAGCCCGCCGTTCTTGCTGAGGCCGCCCGATGTGCCATTGGTGCCGCTGCTTGAGCTGGAGGCGGGCGGCGCGTGGTTGCCGTTGGTGCTGCCGCCGGAGACCGGAAAACCGGTATTCGACGGGGTACTGAGTGTGAGTGGTGTGGGGGAAGATGTGGCGGTAGCACCTTCCGATGATAGAGATGATGAGGAATATGTTGCGGTATCGCCTGAAACAGGAGTGACGTTCAGGCGACCTGAATTGGCCTCAAGAGGGACTACGCACTTGGAGAAGACCCATCGGAGAGTGACGACGACACAAGAGAGCTAGTAGCTGAAATGATCGGCATAGACGATGTTGTCAGACTCGTGCTGGTTACTGTTGTTTGGGCTCCAGATTGAGAGGACGAAAAGGCTGTCGATGATTCCGAGTCTGGAGAAGTGACTGTAGGACTACCGATCCTGAAGAAGTCGATGCCGAGGGTCGCACCGTCGTTTTCTATGGTGAGTGTATGCGTTCCGTCACTACCAGTCCAGTTGTGAAGAATCCCGTCGTTGATATTCGAGAGATCTTGAAAATTCGTAACTGTGGCCTTGTCTCCGTCGATGGTGTACGAGGAGCCGTCATTGGGACCCTCAATTGGTTTTATTTGCGCCCCCCAAACCTCCAGCGAGCTCCCTGTGCGACTGATACGTGAGAAATTTTTTCCATCAGAGTCTTGCACCACTCACCCTGAAAGACAAACTGCGCCGTGGACCCGGATACCCTCGTTACAACAAGGGAGTTGCTCGCGTTGCTTGGATCGGACACTGGTGTCCAATAGCCACGGATGGCCTGCATCGCACTGCTGCCTTGGCATGTTGTCGCGGCATCGTCGACACAAGATACGCTATGAAACGGGAACTGTAGGTTTGTACCATCGGGGTCTGTAGTTTGTGTACCAGCAGGTGCCGTGTTCATTTGAGGCGGATTCGAGTTCACAGGGCCACCGGAAGGGGGTTCCCGAGTTTACGTGGTTGCGTTGGGAAGGGTTACCGTTGGAGCGAATGTTAGCCCGTTGCGAAACGTGCGTGCCAAGGTCAGACTGACCTGAACTGGGACCACCGTTCTGTCCAATCGACAACATCAAGCCCATGACGAGGTTGGGAAAACTTGACAGGACGATATTCCCGGGAAACAACAAAGTCGTAGGCTCAGCAAGCGAAAGGCCCCACAGGAGGGGAGGTCATGGAAGTGGAGGGAAAAGCGAGCGGAAAGCGAGGGCGATGGATTTGAAGATCGGTGAGTACGGCTTCGCGTGATGGGGCGAAGGGAGTGCGGAGACTATGCGTGGGCGCTGATCCAGAAGCTGATATGTTTGACAGATGCAGGCGGACTCCAAATCGCACCGTGGGCACTCGGAACTTCCATGCGTCTGTTTCACTCCTCGCAATTCTTGCTGCCCACCAGGCACAGTGTATTCTCGACGCGGATGTGAGGCTTGCTGAGAGCTCAGGCGGTGGTGCAAAGACTGGAAGCATAGTCACGGGGGCCGGGGTGTCTCCGGAAAGGCGGTGTGAGTTCCGTAGCGCCTGGAAAGGGCAACCGTCAACAAGCCGTCAATCTTCAGGCGGAAAAGTCACCTCCTCGCTCGCGCCCGTGGGCGTTGGAGAAGGCACGTCTGGGTGTTGTCTCGGCCATCTTCGCCGGCTGTCTCTGTGGGGCCTTCGTGTGGGTCAACCGCGGCCAGGACTGCGCTCACCTAGACGCCGTCCGGTGGCGTCTGAGCGCAGAGGTGCAGACATCCTCAAGCGAGAACAGCGGGCATCAAACGAGGACTAGCAAAAACCGGGAGAGTCGACACCTCGATTGCAGGAGGTTCCAGTCTTGTCTCGATAGTTGGGCGTCTCCCGGTCTCCGCATCATCTCCGAACCAATCTCCCTGCCTGAGTTTGAAATTTGAAATTTGCTCAGCCCTGTGCAACAGGCTCTGCCTTCCGCTGCCCGCATCTCTTCTCTGCGCGCCCGCTTCATCTTTATCTTGTCTTCTATCATCATCTACCGAACACCCGCAAACCCTCAGGCTCGAAGCCAGATCTCTCAATCAGCGCAGAAGACCCAGAAGGCCCACCTGCACGGTCAACGGTTCTCCGAAGAAGTATGCAGGACGGCTGCTCCTGTAGATGACATGAAGTATCCTCCTGGGTGCGCGAGTCGGCCTCATATCCTCTTGTGTCCGCCCCCCTGTTATACCACATTCAATCCAATATCTTGTTGTGCTCCCATATCGACGTTGGACATGTCCTGCGATCTGCTGAGACTGGGATGGCGTGTTCCTCAACGCTTCACTCCCGTCGTCCGTCAAGTCAAGATGCTTTCATCTCACCTCTTCCCTTCCCCTTCAAACACGGATTGAACGCGATTTTTGTCCCTTCATCATCTCATCTGACGACACTTGATGTAAGGTCCGGACCATCGCGAGATCGAGCATGGACAACGTAACTGATCATACACGTCACTAAGCATGAACGAGAGAACGGTGCGCACAATTCTACTCTCCTCCCATCTACTCTCAAAATTATCTGATTCCCAGATCGCCGCAGCGCTCCTGTGCGCGCACGCAACCTTCTGTGAATGGCGACCCAAGCATGACCAGGGCTTGTCGCATGGACACCGCGCGTCCGCGCGGTCCGGAGTCGCCTGCAGGAAGCAGCATCCGTCTGCTGCGGCGTTCACCCTTAGGAGTCGGAAGACTCAGGGATTTGACTGACGAACGACGAGTTTGTGGCGAGCCTTCACGTCTTCCCCAAGACCTCAGGCTTGCGCCGAGACATCCACGGGAGCACCACGGCGCGGGGCAGCGGGATACGCGGCTCTTCCCAGTGCGCATCCTGCGCGAGGGACGCCTTCGCAGTGAAGGGTTTGCTCGGGGCGTCGACGAGGCTGATCCCGGTCACCGAAGAGTCGCGGTGGCTCGCGACGTCCGCGCGGTTCTCGTCGCTGTCGATGGACTTCGTCCTCGAGCGTGCGCAAGACGGGTGTGGGGTCGCCGGAGATGAAGAGGGGGCTGGAGACGAGGCGATCGACATGAATGAGCGCCTGCAGGTAAGCACGGTTTTGGACGAGAACGTACATGCGGTGAGCTGACGTCTTCGCCAGACCCCAACGCCGAGCATCACGAGGACAGCGAAGAGGAAGAGGGCGCCGAACACGACGCCGACGAGCGTCCCCATTGAGAGCTTGTTCCCGTCCGAGCCGTCCCCGGGCGCGTCTCTAGAGAACAGAGCGTGCATGTCTGTATATGCGGTGAGAACCACTGTGTTTCACGAAATAAATTGATGTGCTTACCCATGGTTCCAGCGTGTGTATTGGCTGTGGTGGTCATCGCGAGAGGAGCCATCAATGGGCAGGTGGATGCTGTTGGGAAGTTGGGCGGGGCTACCCGTCGAGCGTCGCTCCTTGGGTTGGTGATAGAGCAGCGTGCAGTGGCAATGGATCCCGTCCTGCTTTATGACAAGCTCGGATGCCGACCGAGCACGTACGTGCGCAGTACAGTGAGGGAGGCTGCGCTGTGATGGGACATTGCCGCGGACAGTGCGAGGTACATCGCACGCAATGGGAGCAATACGGAGCAGCGCGCATGTCTGTCAGAGGGGACAATGCGTGCTGCGCGACGCTTGACGGTGTCTTTGCGCAGGGGGCTGGATCAAACGCACGCGAGAAACGAGTGCAGAAGACTGGTGGTAGAAGGATGGCGTGTCTGGCGCACAGCCCCGGCGGTACCGCGGCGCAGCGAGGCCGTTTGCTCCCAGAGTATGTCCACCTCCGATCCCTCTTCATACATAATCAGTCACTGATACACGCCGCGCAGGCAGTAGAACCAAGGTACCCGAGTCATCATCGACTCATTTCCGTCCTATCCTCGTATAACTGTGCTGATACCATCTCCAAGCACTCTCGTGCTCCACAACGTCGACTTCCTCACCTCTTTCTACCCCCTCTATGCTCTCGATTCGACCCGCCCGAGATGGGTATGGATGTATAGTACATAGACGACGCCCTGCTAGTAAGCATCAACTCTGGACTCTTTTCTCGTCACCCTCGTTCTCCCGGATAAGACGCGTCGTTCGGGATGCTGAACTTCAGTGCGCTTATCGAATCCGCTTTCACTGGGGAAGCTTGCTGAACCCGCTTCTGCGCTTCTGCGCGTAGCCGCCCCCGCGTCAAAGACCCCGTCGGCCTACATCACACAAGAAGTGTTAGAAGTCGGCAGCTCGGACGAGGTCGGACGAGGGGGTAAAGGCAATCGATACCACGCGGTTGGTCCCTATGGGCACCGGGAGGCGAGTACAGACGGACGCGGGGGAGAACGAGGTGGTGGTGAAGGGCAAACGCGTGAGGCGAGTGCGGGACGAGGGACGGCGGCTATTTACATGATGACTAAGCACAAGTAAGGTACGACCGATCGAGCTTGCCATACGTGAGCAGATTCCAACAAGAAGAGGGCCGGGCGCGCTACGCACCGGTCTTTCCTTCCGGTCGCACACCCACCCCGCTCGCGCACCCAGAGCGCGACGAAGACCGCCGCGAGCGCGAGCACGATCAGCCCGTCGAGCGCCGCGGCGGTGACGAGCCCGGCGCGCTCTACCCCGCCAGTGTCCCGCGCGAGGCCGCGCGTCACGCTCGAGCGGAGCGACGACGAGGCTTATCCAGTCATGTCTCAGCCTCCGCCTGCGGCGAAAATAGGAGGAGGAGGTACACACCGAGAGACCCGGGCCCGAGCCCGACCTGGAAGGCGTCGATGGCGATGTCTGCGTCGCTGGTGAGGGCGACGAGCTCGTGCGCCCCGTCGGTACCGTTCCAGCTGAACAGTCGGGATGGGGAGGATGGCGGTGAGGGGCCGACGAAGTGTGGGTTCTTGAAGTCTACGAGGAAACTGGACCCGCCTTCTGGGGCGCTGGCTTGGAGCGTGCCAAAGACGTCTACCGACTCGCCTTGGAGCGCGAACGAAGACTCGGCCTTCTATGTACTGGATCGAGGGGGACAAGATAAAGACGTACCTTGGAAGACAAACAGCAAGGCACTCAGATCTAGGTCACCTACGAGCTCGCTGATTAACCCTAAGTCAGAGCCGGAGCTGTTCGCTTTCGAGAGGAGCGATTTGAGGGTAGTGTGCGCCGCGGCGTTCGATGGGCGGCAAATTGTGTGCGCATCTGGTTTGCACAAGGTTGTCGAATTAGGCCACTAATTTCCTCATGGTAGCTCCTACGTGAAATGGCCACTCCTGTGCGTCTTACCCCCGATTATCTTTTCAAAGCGTTATCCAGTGACGGGGTCCTTTAATAGACAATACCCGAACACACAGAACATAAAAATGTGAGCAACATGCGCACATTGTACGGCGCTGATGATCGAGAAGGGGAGGTGATCACCTTGACTGCAGGTATCCTATACATCATCTTGTATGGCTGGGATTCGCGCGGAATACATAGCATCGCTCGTTTCTGAACAACTCACATGAGCAGGCGGTCGGAGCGGTAGTAGATAAGATAAGATAAGATAAGATAAGACCATTTGGGAGCATCGTTCGATTCCCAAATGCTTACGTGAGTGAGCTGAGCCCGGCGTCTTCTCCTCCTGCATCCTCACCTCCTCCCACTTCGCTCGGAAATAGCAGGTAAATTTGCCGACCCCTCAAAGCACAATCGCAGCCCTCGAACTGACTTCAACGAGTCACAGCATACGTACAATGCTCCACCGCACTTGGAATGAGGACGTCCTTCACTTGATCGCCCTTCATCTAACCGGACAAGATGCGATGAACTTGGCGACCACATCCAGGATGGCGTACCAAGCGGCCATCCTCCGCGTCGCGGCGTCTGCAAAATGCGATAGTCCTGCCCAGCTCCAGCGGTTCCACGCGTACATTCTCGGAAGGACCGAAGACGGCCGTACACGCGCGCGGTACCTTGAAGACCTCATCATCTCTGAAAATTCATTCTTGAGACGCAGATTCATACAACGGGACATCGGTGCGGAGTTGAACGATGTAGTAGACACTCAAGTGATCCAAATCATGGATATCCTCCAGGCGGCGAGTAACCTTCGCCGCCTTGTCATCGCTCACCTCTACAGGTGCATGTGTACAGACCCTCGGATGGCCTCATCCCTTCCATCACTGCATGCACTCCACGCGCTCGAGCTGGTTTGCGTGGGCGATGAGGAGATCAAAACTATATCACTTCCACCCAACATTGTGACCCTTACGTTATCCCAACGATCCAGCATCAACTCCGCACCATCCTTCCTCCGACTCCTCGTCGCCCTCCCACGTCTAAAAACCCTCATGCGTGTGGGTATCCGTTGAAGCCTACTTCCATACCGCGTTTGCACAGTGGTTCGACCTCGAAGTCACACCGCGCTCGGAGCCTGTGGAGGAGTACAACCAAGAAGGTTATCTGCCCGTGCTCCTGCGATCGGCGTCTCCAGTACGGCTGCAGCACGTCGTCTGTGCGAACCGCGGCGTTGCGGGGACGCGGCTGTGGGCGTCGATCGCGGAGCTCTGCCCGCGCCTGCGGTCGCTTGAGGTCTCGCTGACGAGCTTTTTGTGGAGCGAGGGAGACCTGGTGGGTTCGCACGCGACAGTTTGGAGACTTTGGTTGACGTCGCTGTTGGCAGGAAGGAATTGGGGCCGCGCTCTCCCATCTCTCGCTAGAGGAGCTCTCCTTGCGGATGAGCGTGGCGATCCTCGATCCGCTGCATTCTCCTTCTCCGAAGAAGCCGCTTTGGGAGGAGATACGCCCGACCGAGGAGTATCGTGCGCGCGGGGTGCAATCCTTTCTGCAGCTGCTTCTGGATGTGCTCCCTCATCTGAAGCTTTGCTCACTTGCTGGGGTGGACCGGGACGGCGCGTTACAGGACTATGTGCCGGAGGACCTCGGAGAGATCAAGGGCAAGTGCACAACGAACAAAGCGAATGAACAAGAGCCTTGGCGTAGGTGGCGCGTCGTCTGCGTAGACGGGGCTCGAGAGGTGGAGCGCATCGCAGAGGCGGATTACATGCGTGCGCTGGAGATCCTCTTAAAGGACGACCCTTGAAGGTTGCGTAGTGAATAGTGATGGTCACGAGCAATACGCTGACCAGAGTTCGTCTTCACGCAGCCTCTCCGCCACCTCGTACGGCCAGTGCCCCTCCGTACGCGAGTACAACCCCCCGGCGCGGCGCCCTCGGGCCGCCAGCCCTGAGCTCCACGCGCTGGCCGCAGACGCAGGGGTCGTGGGCGAGGACTTGTTGTCGGGTGCCAGCCCCCAAAGGGGAGGACAGGGGTGGTACTACCATCGAGATCGGTGAAACAAGGGACGGAGAAGCCTGGTGGGAGATTAGATAAGATTAGGTTGACCGCGTCTGCTCACCTTCTCCGAGCCGGGTATCTATCATCATGCCTCGATCCCCACCGTCAAGGACATGATGATGCTCTGATACCGTCCCCATCCTCCACATGGGCCAGAGAGGTCACGCCCAAGGATGGCCAAGGCACCTTCGCCGGCTCGCACGCTGGTCTGCGAAGCTCGCGCTGCAAGCAAGAGGGTGTGGGCAAAAAAGGCTTCCGGCGAAGCCATAAATAGGCGATAGATAGATAGATGTGCGAAAACAACAACAGCACACGGCGCGACAGAGGCGGGAGCGCACGGTGCGTGTAGGAAGAAAGAAGAGTTGAACGTTTGAACAGTCCGCACACCCCAACGCCCAAGTGCCCCAATCGAACCGCGGAGCCAGAAAAGAAAACCCCCGCTCCGACCCTCACTCCTTCCGTCCCCACACCAGAGGCTCGTCCGCGAATGGGGAGAAGGGGGGGAGGGAGAGCGAAGGGAGGGGAGGGGGCGGGAAGGGGTCAAACCGCGTGCCCGACGGGGCCCGCGGGCGGCCGCGGCCAGCCGTCGAGCGCCGACGGCGCGTACGACGACACCGACACGGGCACCGACGGCGGGCGCCCGAACCAGTGCCCGTCCGCGCTCAGCCCCTCGGGCACCGCCGCGACGCCGTCGTCGTCCTCGTACGCGATCTGGACGCTGCTCGCGTCCGCGTCCGCGTGCTCGCCGACGGCGGCGAGCGGACCGGAGGGCGGCGAGCGTGGGAGGACGCCGGAGTTGGGGGAGCGGCCGAGGATGTACGAGTCGTGCGTCGGCCGGGCGGCGTACGAGGGCGAGAGCTGGTCCGGGTACGCGTACGGCGGGAGGGTCGGGACCTCGGAGGGCGCCCCGGAGAGGCGCTGGTCCGAGTAGCCGTACGTCGCGTCGTCGTCCTTCTTCCCGTGCAGGGCCTTCTCGTGCACTGCGAAGGCGTACGCGAGATCCGGGTCGACGTTCGGGTTGGCGACGCCGCCCATGAACGTGTTGTCTGCGGGCGAGAGCGGGGGGCGGGGACAAGCGGAGGGCCGAGTGCGGACAAGGAGCAGGCGATAGGGTGACGCCGCGCGTGAAGAGGGCGGGCGAGAGGCAAAGAAGTGGATAGCGAGGGACAGGAACGCGAGCGCATGAGCAAATACCGCCAGATGGGGAACAACGCGCGGGAGAGAGGGACGTACCGAAGCGCGCGAGCATGCCGCGCGTCTTCTGCCGCCTCCGACGGCGGACGTACCAGAGCGCGAAGATGATGAGCAGGAGGAAGAGGATCGCGCCGAGGACCCCGCCGACGATCGCGGCAGTGTTGTTGCTGCTGCCGGACGCACCGGCGGGCGCGGCGGCGGCGGTCGGGTTCGCGTTGTTGTTGTTGTCGCCGACACTGTGATTCGCGCCGCTGGTGTCGGTGGCTGCGGCGCCGAGCGCGGTGCCGGATGAGGTGTATGAGTGATCGGCGGCGGCGGAAGGACTCGAGTTGCTGACGCCATCTGTTGATGTTGAAGTTGACGGAGGGCCTGATGGTGAGATTGACGGTCAGCGATGATGAAATGGGAAGAGAAGGAACGCGAGAGGGCTGACCGGTCGTAGAAGTAGCGCCGGAAGTGGATGAGGAAGAGGACGTGTTCTGGTTGCTGCTATCCTGAGACGTGGTTTGCAAGCTATCTGAAGTTGTGGCAGGCGAATCCTGGGAAGAGGTGGAAGAGGTGGGAGACTGTTGTTGCGTGGTTTGTTGGGCCTGGGTGGTCTGTTGGGCCTGGGTGGTCTTGACGGTGGTCTGCTGCTGCTGCTGCGTCGTCGTCTGCTGCTGCTGCTGTTGCGTTGTCGTGTGCTGCTGTTGGTTGCCGGAGTTGCCGGAGTTGCCAGAGTTGCCAGAGTTGCCGGACGACTGCGAAAGGCCGACCTTAAAGAAGTCGAGGCCGAGGGTGACACCGTTGTTGGTGATCTGGAGCGTGTGCTGCCCGTTGCTCAACCCGCTGGCTTTGTACAGCAGGGAAGGGTTCTGCGGGGCGTTCTGGGAGCGGTCCGAGATCGACCCCGCGTGTCCGCCGTCGACGGTGTACGCAGAGTTCCCCTGACCTGGCCCGGCGTTGCCGTTGACCTGCCCTCCCCAGACCTCGATTGACGTCCCTGCGCCGATCGAGTTCGCGAACAGCCGGATGAAAAGGAAGCGATGAAGACACGCACCAGTGAACGTCAATCGCCCAGTATCGCCTTTCACGAACGAGGCCTCCACGGTACTGGTGCCCGACCATGGTTGGGGGCCCCAGCTCCCTGAGTACTGAACCGAGCCGCCCTCCGCTTGAATGCACTGCGTGGACGAGTCGGCCTGGCATGTTGTCATGACCGAAAGTTGAAGCGCGCCACCGATTGACGGGGTGCACGGACCGAATGACGGGGGTTTAAGGAATGGTTAAAGAGCGTATGATACCAAAAGCTATTGGTGCAGTGGGGCGACGAGGTCAGGACGGTGGCGGAAGCATGGAGGAGGGAGGGAGGGGAAACAGAAACGGGCCACTGGGGGTGATGTGCAGTTAAAAGCGAGACTCACCGTGCGTCCGCGGCCCCATCAAGATGGGAGGGGATCCGGTCCCTGAAAGCCTGAGGGCGCTCTCTGATGTTATGGGCGTGAGGTTCGGCATGATCGGTCGGAGTGAGTCGGGGCCTGACCTGAAGCGGCGCTGTGCCTTGAGGAGACACAGGGGCGGAGAACGGAGGGGAAGGTGGAGAAGCGGAAGGAGGTCCGTGCAGGGGTGGCGTCCCCTACTTAATGCCTCTGCCTGGGCGGAACAGACGAGAAAATGAGATGAAGGGCGTGGGACTAGCGAGGGAGATATGCTTACGCTAGTCCGCTCCGTTCTTCCACAGCGCCGAGACGATGAGCACCGTCAATCTCCCTTCGTGTGCGATCAGAGGCGGCGCAGTTCATGGATGAGTATTGCAGATGTTGATCGCGAACGCGTTCGCCGTTCGGAGCCGCCGTCGCGGGATGAAGAGGACGGTGGCCGCGCCGCGGGAGGCGGAGTCTGTTGTGTATTGGCAAGTGCAGGAAAGGCGGTCTGGAAAACGGTTGTCAGCGACGACGGCGACCACGATCACCTCCCCCAGCGACCACGCCTGCCCCGGATCTGGTCGACCCGGAGGGCGTGTCAACAGCGCCAAACAACCCAGATGGGCGCGCGCCTATGCCATCGTCTTCGACTTGCGACCGTCATCTTCCTGGTCGGCCGTCCTCTATCCGCCGACCGAGTTGCCTTGGTGTACCGGCCGGCTGCACTCAATCACGCCCTCGTACTTGTCAGGCTGTACCTAGTCGTCGTTACCTCGTGTGAGCCTTCGCAGCGCCCGGGCAAGCTTCGAGATGGCACGCTCAGGAAGATGTCACTATCACGACGATTCCTGCCTGTCGTTTATAGGACCACGGGAGACGCACCGACAGGCGGTTTCCCGTCTCTCCTCGTCCTCTTTCCTAGTGCCTCGCAATTGTTCCACGCACCCCACACTCTTTTCAATCCTGGAGATTATCATCTAACCGTCTATCATGTGCGACGTCGGCTGCGTCTACGCCGATTTGGGACCCGGTGTCACCTTCATCCCAGATGGACATTGGTACGAGAACGGCGGGAACACGAAAGTGTCACGCACGCCATACGATAACGCCACATTCGTTTTTACTGGTGAGCGGTTCTTGTTGCCTGCATGCGCACCACCACTCAGTTGCCAATTCTAGGAACGTCCATTGAGGTGCTGGGCGCACAGCTCACGTTGAACGAAGGCCTGGACGGATGGTCAGCATACATCCTAGAAGACGGCAGCTTGTCGAAAAACACCGAGATCCCCCCTACAACACCAGATTCTTTCATCACCCTTTTCTCGACCTCACTCCCTGCTGGAGACCATACGCTGACCGTGCACAATGGGGGTGTGGCGCTTACCCTACACAACTTCAACGTCGGTGTAAACTCCCAAGGAGGGTTGGCCCCAGGCATTCCCACGGCAAGTGCCAGCAGCCTCACCTCAACTTCGACACTAGTACACCCCACGACCACTATTATATCTTCCTCTAGGGGTCACTCCTCTACTCTTACCACCTTCGTCCCCTCCTCGCCTTCAGGAATATCCTCGCTGTCGTCGACCAAAGCAACTACGAGCTCCACAAGTAGAGCTTCCAGCAATACCACTAGTTCAACGTCACACCAGACCCCTACGCCTTTGTCATCATCTTCAGCTTCGTCTGCTGCCTCCACTTCCCTATCGTCATCTTCAACGTCGCCTACGACGACCCCGCCTGTGCCCCCAGCTTCTGTACCCCCGCCCTCTTCAACCGTCAAGGTCGCCATCAGTGTGGCAGTGCTCGCCATCGTCCTCGTCGTTCTCATCATCATTTTCATCGCCATATGGCTTCGCCGCCGCCGCGGGGGACGACTAATCGTAGTATCTCGTGCGTTCTTTTATTACTCACCCTGTCTCGTGGACTCTGTTCTGACGCCGTCGTCTCGCTGGCCGTCTTCAGCGGGGCTTCCCAGATCGCAGACGCTTTTCTCCGAGACCGAAACCGTCATCGAGAGAGCGGATGCCGACGGCGTCCTCTTGATCGGCAAATACGTACCGTCCTCGAACTTCGGCTCGGGGGCGCTTTTGGCGCTCCGGCATGGTTCTACCAGAAGCGACGCCGCCTTGTCCAGAACGCAGCTTCACTCTACCGTTGGCGAGTCCGTCGGCGTGTGATGTCATTTTGTGCACGCGGTCGTCCTCTTCACTAGAACGGTTCCACTTCCAAGCGTGAATCTGTGGTTCGTGGGTACGCTTCCACCGAAATGAGAGCTCACTGGGGGCGACACCTGTAGTATACCCTTTTCCTTTCCTCATTGATCAACTTTTGTATGTAGATTGCTAGTCAACCAGTCCGTTCTTTGGTAGCTCAAGCTTCATCGCCACCGAGACCGATTCTATCTCGGCATACCCCTTTCCAGCAAGAGCGTACAGCCGTTTGCATACGAACGCGGAATCGTGATTTCGCAATTTTCGGGAGACGCCCAGGCACCTTGCACAGATGTGACTCGCGCGTCACGTCCCAGGATCCCACGGGCGTGCACGTCGGGAAGTGCTGTCCTCCGCGATGTGGCTCGCGCGTGTGCGGGACGACCGTCTTAACACTCCCAGAGGCCTTAGCCCGCTCGCGCAGACCTGGCACGCCTCTACACATTCACCATCAGCGGCGGCGCCCCCGTCCTCGTTGGCGCAGGGGTCCTTCAGCAGCTCCACGACGCCCTGCGCAAGTCGGGTAAGTATCGCGTACGACCATGTCGCAAGAGCACCACCAACCCACCGCCGACGTAAACGTCCTCCCCAGCCATGCAGGACTCCCGAAGCCATACCCCGCCCTCACCATTGCGGATCTAGACCCCGCCCCCGATGGGCACACCTCTGAGGGCTTCCTGCCACCACTCACTCAGTCAGCCTGGACACCCAGGGTGGTGCGCCCTACTATCCCCACGCTCACGCAAGAGCAGCACCAGTCCAGTCGCATCCCGCGCCCCGCGACGCCTAACTGTCCGAGCCAAGGCTCGCGGCGCCGGCCACCCCCGCGATACCCCCGGACAGCTTCCACTACTGCGCGCGGAAGTCTGGCTGGGAGTGCGCAGACGCCCCCGGTGCTACCTTCGCCGCAGACCTTCTGGCGGGCGTACATGGCGGGAGAGCCGTGGATCAATAGAACATTCCGAAGCGGCGAAGGTGCAGCATGCTGAGCGTGGGCGAAGTGGGTCGAAAGAGGCCAAAGCCGTGGCCGAGTGACAGTGGTCGTACACGAGGTCACTGGGAAGAAGCTGCAAGAGGTGTGGAGAAGTGCATATGCATTACAGCCAGGGCCTCGTCGTCGTCGTTTTGTGGTGCAATGATACACCGTCACACAGTCCCCTCACAAAGCTACTTCCCCAGTGCGACGTCCAAGCTCCGGTCCCACACCCAGTCCCCATGCACTCAAACACCTCCAACTCAAATCACCGTGCGCACATGCATCGCCACCTTCTGGAACTTGGACGAGAGTCCCTTCCAGTTTGATATGAGGGTTGGGGTGATCGGTCTCCTGTTAGGTGTGCCGCGCCCGTGCTCCTCCCCAAACTTCGCCACCGCCGTTCAAGCCGCCGTTCGAACGTGCAGGCATTGATGCGCACTCAAACGCCTTTTTGCGCGACACGGTGAGCACGCCTGGCGCCGGGGGGCCTCCCATGTCGGCAGGTCGAGCGGGTAGGGGGTGGACGTGAAGCCAGACCGGAGGCGGCGGAGCGCGGTGCGCCAGGCGCGCCACCAGAAGTGCTGATGGGCGAAGCTGCGAAGGAGCTTGTGGAGTTTGCGCTGCATCATGATGGCAGCTTTTTCGGCATTGAGCGCAGCGGTCCAGCGGAGGCCGTCAAGTTCAGGTTCAAGATGCGCGCGCGAGCTGCATCGAGCTGCATCGCGGAGGACTCCTCGAGCTCGACATGCCACAAGCGCGAGTCGTGACGCGTGAGTCACATCTGCGCATGGTGCCTGGGCGTCTCCCGAAAATTGCGAAATCACGATTCCGCGTTCGTATGCAAACGGCTGTAAGTAACATCGACGCATGCATTGCTGCGTTGTTGCACCCGGCGCCGTGCCCGCCGAAATCAAATGCCTGACGTCTCATGAGATGGCGTGCCTGATCCACCGCCCACATGGGCGCCTCAGGTCCCGAACGGCCGTCGCGTCCTGGCGCATGATCTCCGCATCGTACTTTGCCTTTTGCTCGTCCTGCTGCGCTTGGACCTTCTTCTTCTCCCCGTCTTCCTGCGTCCCGCCTGCTTGACTTTGAAACCCGCGCTTTCCGGAAGTACTTGTGTTCACTGGAGAAGCCATCGCTTCGCGCTTCTCTTCTTTCGTGTCCCCTGCAGCCCTAGGACGACCCACGCAGCGCAATGTCAAATACCGTTTCCGCAAGCGTCGCGGACGCGGACTACGAGGGCGGGTGGCTCTTCCTCGGCGAGCCCGCGTCGTACGACACCGGCGACACGGCCACCGTCAAGTTCAACGGTACGTCCCCCCTCCCCCTCCCCCGTGTCGTTCTCCTTCCCCCGCGTTCCGCATGCCGACTCTGCACTCGCCCAGGGACCGGCGTGCAAGTGCTCGGCTGGCAAGCCCTCGCGGGCGGCACCAACGCGAGCACGCTCAACGCGTCCACCTGGTCCGTCGACGGCGGCGCGTCCATGACGTACGCGCAGATAACCGACGGCTCCCCGGACAACCCGCTCGTCATGTTCGTCGCGAGCGGGCTCGCGCGCGGCGCGCACACGCTCGTGGGCACGAACGAAGGCGTGACGCTCTTCCTCGACACGTTCGTGTTCGCGACGGGCGACGACGTGGGAACGACGACGGACTCGGTGGGGACGTCGTCGACGGCGTCGGGGACCTCGGTCACGAGGGGGACGACGACGGAGGGGACCAACACGGGTGAGACGACGAGTTCTAGAGGGACTGTAGGTGCGTGCTCAGAGTCGGTCCTGTTCCGTTCGCGGTCCGCGCCGCGCGCTAACTTGACTTCGCGTCCCAGGCGGGAGCACATCCACTTCATCCTCTATCGGGAGCTCGTCTGTGACGGTCATCAGCAATACATCCACGACGACGACGACGATGGCATTCACATCGCAGGCTTCGTCTACCACTGCCACCCCCGGTAACAGCGGCAGCAGTGGCAGTTCGAGCGGAGCCGTCGGCACCCCGCAAAACACCAACGCAGCCGCACAGGCCCAAGACAAGCACGGCGTTCCTGCAGGTGCAGTGGCAGGCGCGGTCATTGGAGCTGTCGCGCTCCTCGCGCTCGCGGCGGCGGCACTGGTGTGGGCGCTGCGCCGGAGGCGGCGATCCAGGCGCGTCGGTGCGTCGATCTTTCCCTCAGCTCTTCTCTGCGCGATCTCACGTCCGGGACGCGCTGCAGCGCACGGGTTCTTGCTCGATCCCAATGAGAAGGGTGCCGCTTCTCCGGGTGGGTCTGGCGGCGGCGCGTCGGGGTCGGGCGTCCTGCCGTCGCTCTCCGGCGGCAGCACGGGTGCGCTCCTTCGCCCACAGAAGGCCGGGCTCAGCGCGCAGTCCAGTGGGAGCGACGTCTCGCACGCGCACGCGACCACGCACAGCGCGTCGGAGCGCATTCTCGACATGCGCTCCGCGCCTTCATCGCCCGTCGCGCAGCCGGCCGCATCTCCACCAGACGCAACGCCCACATGGCACGCTTCGAACCCTACTGGCGCCGGTTTTCAAGCAGGGCCCGCACGCGAGCCACAGCGAAGACGCGCTAAGGACCCCGCTGCCGCGGTGTCGCGCGCGCCCCCAACACCTATCCCGGAGGCCTACGCGCCCCCTCCATCTCAGCCTTCCGCGGACAACGGGCGAAGACGCGGGCCACGCTACGAGACGGACGGGGGCGTGAGCCTCGGCCGGGGCTTGCTGGACGACAACGACGACGACGGAGACGACGGGGCGTCGATGTCGACGCTGCCGCCGCCGTACTTTTCCATCCCACAGACACGCGGGGCGCGGCGGCCGACACGGACAATCGCGGGGTTCCATGAGTAGCGCGTGGGGGTTGAGCTTGGATGACGATAGCTTGGACGTGCATGTTGTTTTCCATCGGACGTTGAGCAGCTTCGCTTTGTATACCATCGCCCGCGCTCGCCGCGGCTTCATATTGTGACACGGTAGACGGGCCCGCCCGGAACGTCGGCCGGAGTGCACCACTCCCCTGCCGCCCCGCCCCGTAGAACTCCCATTCCTTGGTGAGCCTCTCCATTTTCTTAGCGTCAGGATTTTGTCTGAGCGCGAGCGTTCGACCTTCTGGTACAGGATCCACTGCGATGCCCGCGCCAGGGTTTCGGCCGCCGCCGACGATCGTGCGGGGCGCGAGCGGAGGCTCGCTGCGCGCCGCATTCCACTGCTTAAGTACGCTCCTGCAGGCGTCCGCGAGCCTGCGCGGCTGCGTCTTGACGTGACTTTCCGTCGCAGACAGCGTCAGACCGTCCTCTCTGCAGCACGGCCGAGGCGACGTGCCCCGTGAGCATCCTGCCCACCGTCCCCGTCGTCGAGCGCGTAGTAGCGCGCCTCCCCCGGCCCGTCTGGCTCCCCGTCCCCTGCTCTGCGCCTGCGGATATTCGGATGGGGGCGGTGTTGTGGGCGGCGACTTCGGGGGGCAAACGGCATTTCGGGAGTTGATGCCCGAGGCCTGAGGCCTCGTCAGAGGGAATCCGGAATGGCAGAGGCGCGCCGCGGCGGGCGGAGACTTGCCTTGTGTATTATGAGGATCTTAGCGCTTAGATAGAGGATATCTGGACGTGGACGGGCCTCACCCAGCCATTTGACTCAACGTCTTTTCATCCCTACCATCGACAGTAACTTGACCCCCGGACACGATCTGCGTACATATCGTGGAACATGCATTCCCAATGGCCAATATGAGCTCAAGTCTCAAATATCTTCTTGACGGTGCGACATACTTAAGCGAACGTTGCGAGAGACTCATCCTCAGAGCCATTGAAATACTACGGCTTCTAGGTGACAGGTCCGCAATCTCATCTCATGTCGTGCCTGTTGTGTCAAACCAAGGTTAAACGCACTGCCGCAAAGTTCTAAACAGCGTGAGTACGCGATTGATTTCTTCATAACGCAGTGGAATTTACGGTTCGGGCATGATTGTCCTTCCTCCCCGACTCCACAGATAGCCCGATTCCCTGCTGCCGCCCTGAAATCACGATGAATGCTACCCAGTGCAACACCAACGATGGATTTGTCTGCGTTGACGGGTCGGTCGGGGCGGACCCTCGACTTTCTTTCAACGGTTTATGGAGCTACCTGGACAACGGCAGCTCGAGCTTCCTGAACGGCACCGTCGCGTACACCACAACCCCCGCGAACGTATCCCAGGACTTCAGCGGCCAATTACGCGGGACTTTTGGTGTCTTTGATGCGAGTGGTACGCTCCTGACTCCTGCTTCCGAGTCTGATTTTCACCACTTCGCAGACACGCCTCTCAGCGACTTCCAGGTGTACGGATGGGTGCTCGCTCATGCAGGCGAAGGAGACGGAACCCGAACCCCCCAAGCCATCTTCAACTTCAACGCTAGGGCCTTCAGTCAGTACCAGGTCTGGTACAACACGACCGGGGTCGGCGACCCGTCGAACTACTCAAGCATTGCGGACTTCGTGGCATCGCTCCCGCCGCCGCAGCTCTTCTTCGGGGTCCAGGCGGAATCTGCGCTTCCGCTCACGAACGTCACGTTCGCGCTGGACTACGGCTCGTTCTTCGCGATCGACTACTTCCGCGTGCGACCTGCCACAACGACGGCGTCGACGAGCGGGAAGCACAGTGAGTGTGGTGTTGGACTGATTCTGGTGGAAGTTGACCTCGCCTGCAGGGAATGTGGGCGCGATTGTAGGAGGCGTCATCGGAGGATTCGTGGGGCTTGCAGTGGTTGTGGGAGCTTTCGTCTGGTATCGGTCGCGCGCGATGAAGCGCAACGTCCCACGGAGGATCTAGTGGGGGAGGTGATTCTACTTGCAAGGATGTTACGGCGAGCGACGCGTGGACATTTTTCGGACCGTTTGAACGTCGCAGCAGCATAATCGGACCAGTTTCCAGAAGAGGCCGCGACTCACCCGGTATGCTAGGGTACACCCATTGTGCGGGCATCGCGGAGCGGTACAACGGAGTGAATGTCGAGCGGGTGGATGGATACGTTGGTTCTGGGGTCGACGCATCCCAGGTCGACGCATCCCAGGTCGACGCATCCCAGGTCGACGCATCCCAGAGTTCCGACAAGCGCTCTTTGGCGAATTCGAGGAGGAATGGATTTGACAGCGCGTGCGCGACGCGAAGCAGCAAGAGCCCGCCGTGACTATGTTCCTCCCAATCACTCTCATTTATAAATACTGTCCGGCATGCCTCATGTGGGTTACGAGCTCCACACTCCACATCTTGATTCCTGGAATTCACAAATAAACTAGGCATTTTAGGAGGTCACATATTTCACGGCGTTTTCCCATATGGCCTCTAGTGCGCGCGACGCCGTGAGCGCCGCAACGAGCTTCATGTGGAGCGCATGGAACGTTTTTGTGGCGCGCTCGTGCTCCCCACTACCCCCGCACGTAACAGCACTTCTCTGAGTAGATGTCTACAGGAACACAAGTCAGCCGCGGGACAAAACCGGAACCAAACTATGTACTCACCATCAAGATCAGACATACAGAACGCCTCGTTCTGCACGAGCCGCAGCGCACGCTCCCCGTCCTCGCGCCAGAGCTCGAACAGCCATCGCGACACGCCGTCGCCGTCCTCGCGCTCGACGCGCCACCACCGCTCGGACCGCATGCCCTCCGACTCGCGCCACCCGTCCGATACGCCCACCACGCGCAGTGTGGGAATGGCCGCGGCGAGCCTCCCGGGGAACGCGGCGAGCGCGCGGAGGCGTGGGCGCTCCGCTTGGCCCTTCGACCCCCCGAGCATTTCTGGGTCCGCCTTGAGATGGACACAGACGAGCGGGAGCCGGGCGAGCTCCGCCGCGAGCGCATCCTGGCGTGTGGGGGATATCCGGTGAGCAAGGGGCGCGCTCGGATCAGGCTGAGCGCGACGTACCGGGGGAAACCATCTGGTATCGTCGCTGCACGTGTCCACATGGAGCACGAGCGCACGCAGACGCGGGGCAGCTGCGGCGACCTCTTGCCAGAGGGTTCCCGTGCGATCAGAAAGCTTCGTGTTCCCCGTCGCTGATATCTCCAGGTAGAGGGAGAGCGGCTTGAGCACAGCGAGGACGCGCGGGAGTCGGCACGCGGGTTCGTGCTCCGTGTACGAGATACCGTCATCTGTGAACTCCCAGACAATGGATTCGAGTCGAAGGTGTGTCGCGCACAAGCCTCGGTGTCCCAGTAACGAGACCATGAGGTCTCCGACCTCCGTGGTCGGAAACGTGAGGGTGAGTCGAGGGATCGCCTGCGAGGGGCGCCATCTCGGTTGGGATTCGTGAGGATCCCCTTGGCGAGGATGGTCGAGACAAAGTTCCAGGGAGGTGACATTGGGGCACAAATAAACGAGGTCTGTCGCAGGCCTGTTGACGCCGTCGAGGGTGAGCTGTTGAATGGAGGGGAATGGCGGGTAGCTGGCGATGTCAACAGCGGTAGTCGGCATAAAGTACTGCAGAATGAGAGCATAAAGACGAGGGAAGGATCTGATGGCTGAGATGAGAGAGGGGAGGTGATCTGAAACGTTTTGGTTTTCATGGTAGCGTAAACAGAGGCTTGTGAGATTGGGAGAGGGGATGCTTTGGATCATCGGCAGCATTTTGTCCTGGACCTCGACACAAGAGAGTGTCCGGAGCTCGCACAGCCCTGAAAGAGCTGTAGAAAGACGCGGGTCGTCAAAGTGGAGATAAATACAGGATATCTCGAGGGAACGGATGTTCGTGGTTGCGAACAAGACATCGGGGAGCATCAGTGCCTTGTCGTCGACATGGATCGCCATCTCACGGATATGACGAGCATTGGTGCCAATGTTTTCGTGCCACCGAAAGACTGAGAAATCCCGGTCTATCAAAGCGACTGTCCAGAGTTTTGGAGAGGAAATCGTATGGAGGTATTTGGAGGTGAGCGACAAGGCGCGGAGGTCTCGCCTCTGGAGATAGTAGAGGATGAGGAGGAGAATATCGTCATTGAGACGATCGATAATGAGTGCCATGGCGGGAACCTGGAAATGTATGGATCAGAACGTCAACATAAGTAATACCTGCAAGATAGCACTTGCTCTGAACTTGCAGATGAGTACCGTCGAACGGAGTTTGACAAGTGTGCGGGGTTAAATAAGGAGCATCCACCTGCTGAAAAAAGGGAATATTAATTATCACATACGCCCATCGACTTTCTTTAGATGGTATGTTACCTGTGGACTCGGTATGTGGTGGTACGTGAGGAGGCAGACACAGGAGTAGGCGTCTATTGCGGCTTTTCTTGGGGCCCGAGTCGGAGTAGATTAGATTAGATGAGCACATCTGGTCACCTGCTCAAGCTGATACTGTTTTTCGGCGAGGGAGTACATCCGAGTCAGAGTCTTGTCTCTGCTTAAGACTCAACAGGACTGGCTGACAATATTCTTCGATGCCAAGATCACTTCCACTCATCGCTTGTACGCATACACCCACGTCATGGCGCACAAGAAGCACCCCATATCTGGAGCCACATGCACCGCACCACATTTTGCACATCCACAGAGCGTCCGTCCCCGGGCCCCCGTTGACAGCGAGCGTGTCGACTGCGCGCACAGCACAAGCATTCTCCGATCCTGGCGGAGGCGTCGCACCGATCGCCAGAGACATAGTACAGTACGTCCTTGCACACCCGTCCTCCGTATTCTCCCTCCTTCTCCTCTGTTTCTAAGCCCGGAAGTGCGAGTCCCTGGGGCGTGGTACGACGCCCGAAAGAAGGTTGCGCTGATAGAGCGCGTGGTCTTCATCGTTGAGTTCTGTCTCGAGTTCAAGGATGAGACACTGGTACGCGTTCATGCTACACCCACATGAATTTGTTCTACCCTTGCCACTTCCACGACCTCCGTCCTCGCCGACGTATGGCACTACTCATCTGTTTCATGGTGGCATTTGCGGCGGCGTCGGTCGGTACTTTTGACTCCCGGGTCCGGGAGGAGAGGAACGGAGAGCAACCGAATGCAAGTCCGGTCTCCCGAACATTGGTTCAGTGATCGTGTGGCGTGGCGCTGGGAATGCAGATGAATTGGGTGTATACCGCGGCTGAAATTCTTGCCCTACTCCAACTACTATGGCCTTCTGAAACATACGGGATTCATCTCCGGAGCCTAGGCCTCATCTTGGACGCGCAGAGCATATACATACGTGAGCGCTTATTATTGTCCACCGCGCGTACCGAACGCTCATGATCACACGCAAACTTCCTGTGTTTCCAGGGCCAACTGTCGCGGATGTGATGCGACTGATTTAAATATGGACACGAAGCCGATAGCCTCTCGTCTAGAGACACTTATGCTGAAAAGGAAAGGGTTCATATGTGGTACATAAGGCACGCACACACCGTTGTGAACTTCCTGTCCATGTCACATCCGACATCCATTCAGGTCTCTAAGCGAACTCCACCTTACGTCCCCAGGTCAATAATCTTTCAAAAAGCTCTATTTCTACGCCTAACGATCAACGTTTCTTTCAAAAAGCTCGTCGTCATGCGGTTCTCCGCCATCACCACTGTATTCACAGCTACCGCAAGTGCCACTGCAATCGCGTTGGTGTCTCGTACTGAAATATTTACTGGATAGTAAGTACTCACTTGTAATTGCCCTTGATCATTAGTGGAAACTAAATCAAGCATCTCGTATCAGCGCAACGTTCTTCTTTCAGGGGGGTATTGCAGGTGCCTGCGGCTCCATCCACCAAGACTTTGACTTTATCGCTGCACTATGTACGTACAAATGTCCCGCGGCGCTGGCCCATAGCCAATGTCGCTCATCAATACTCGCATTACCCACACAGCGCCGACGATGTACGGTCCGATAAATGCCAAATCTCCCCTGTGTTCCAAACGCATGCGAATCACGAACACAATGAATAACAAGACGGTTGAGGTAACTGTCGCCGACGCATGTCCAACTTGCCCGGGAGCGAACGATCTCGATCTGTCAGTTGCGGCGTTTGAATCCCTCGGCCAGGAGGTGCAAGGTATTCTTCCCAGTGAGTACTACTCACCTCTGCGAGGCTTTCACGCATTCTCCAGCTGATATGTCCACCTGCAGTCACCTGGTTCTTCTTGGATTGAAAAAGGAACATATCGGCACTAGTACCGTCTTATGCCGATGTTCTTTGGTATCCCCATGATCGGATCCATCGTGTCGTCGATCAGGATTCGAACCGGAGACTTGATATCGCTGTCACAGTTCATGCTGTGCGAACTTCATTCTGACTCTACTGAGCAGTAATGGCCCGCGATTCATGTACAACGTCAGTCATGTATCACCGATTCACAAAATGCGCCGCATTCGACTTTATTTCGCTGTTTATGACGTCATGGCCATGCGTGCTGCGGGCGTCTCGCCCACTTCACCGCCACGTCGTCGTCTCCTCGCCCCCGCCGTGCCCCAGTCGCCACGCTGTGCTTCTCTCACTCGCCAAGACCGGTCAACACACGCTGTGAACACGGCGGCTCTAGATGGCCTCACGGGCTCAATGGTACGCCTTCAATGTGAGATTCTTGGATGCCAAGATCACGTCCACTCATTGCTCACACTCATACACCCACGCTGTGGCGCACAAGAAGCACCCCATGGAGCCATATGCACTGCACCACATCTTGCACACCCACAGAGTTCGCGTACGGGTGTGCCACGACGCCTCCTCAGCAGCAGCCGAGCCCCCGTTGACAGCGAGCGCGTCGACTGCGCACGCAGCACGCGCATTCTCCGATCCTGGCGGAGGCGTCGCGCCGATCGCCTGAGACATAAAGTACGTCCCTACACACCTGTTCTCCGCATTCTCCCCCCTCCTCCTTGTCTCTTTCCATCAGGAGGTCACCTTACCCTCCCTTTTTCTTGCTTCACTCGATACTTCCTAATATGCGCATTGGCGTGCTCGCATCATTATCACCTCTTCTCTCCCTCGCCTCAGGTCTTGCTGTGTCTGGCAGGTCGCAGGCTAACCACAGCTCAGCCGTGTACCCAGTTTCTGTGTCGAATGACAACTCGTCTCGCTCGTTCGGTTTCACCAACGCGTTCGACGTCCACTACACCGTCACACTCTACGTGAACGGGGCTCCTTACCAGGTGGGCATCTCTCCTTATTCGATCGGCAGCCGCCGACGTCTCAACGACAATCGCCATGCAGGTATTCGTGGACTTGGGAAGCTCCGACACATGGTTCAGTCCTTCCGCTCAGGGTGGGCTCATGCCACCCGACGTTATCGACACGGGGATAAACGCCACGTTCGATTACCTGTACGTCAACAACGTTCCCATTGCAGCGAACCTGCATCTGACTTCCTTTTGTCTGTCGTAAGAGCCGGAGGTAGCGCCCCGGGACAAGTTGTCCTGGCAAATGTTACCCTCGGTCCGTACACTATCAACAACCAGGCAATTGGTACGACCTTCGTTGCGATGGGAGGACCGAGTGTTGAACTTCGCTTCGCAGCTGTGGTCACCAATTCGACCCAGACTCTTCCTGGCGCATTTGTTGGAGTCATCGGTATTGGCGGGTGCGTTGCTTTCCCATTTCAGGGCACTGTTCGCTCAAAAGCTCATCGTCTGCATAACAGAGCAGGGATCTCTCGGATCTCGCAGGCTCTCGCCAATTCGTCGTACGCAGACAACGGCACTCCCGTGATGTACAACGTACGTTTTGGAAACACAGTGCGTCGCCCAATATCTTACGGAGTTGTGGACAGTTGTTCAAGCACCAGCCCGAGCTGCCCAACTACATGACCTTTCTTATGAATCAGACAGCCTACACTACCCTTGGCGACGGCGGTGTCGTGACGATCGGTAGGCGCGGCCGTCGCTGTGCTTGTACGACGCTTGAGCTGACCACACCTTCTCATAGGAAACGTCCTTGCGGACAAGACTGATATCCTGAACGCCCCGGTCATCCAGAGCCCAACGCTCTGGGGTCAATGGGCGTCCTTTATGACGGGCGTATCTGCCAACGGGCGCATGCTGACAGGACACTCGGGCATGAACGCTACAAACTACAAGAACTACACTGTCGCCGTGCCCGAAGGCAGCACTGTCGCGCTCTTCGACACTGGAACCGGTCTCAGTAAGTGTCCGTCATATGCGACTTCGCACACCATCGCTCATTCCTTTTCAGTTGTCGGCCCCGAGTACTACGCTGAGCAGATATACGGAAACATCCCGGGTGCTGAGAAGAGCGAGTTATTCGGCGACGTCGCCTGGAAGGTACCTTGCGACACGAAGCTGAACATTAGCTTTGTTTTCGGGTGTGTTCCTTCCGTCTGCCTTCTGTGCGAATCTCGAATGTACTGACTGGGCCTTACCAGGGACGCATCCTACCCGCTGCGCCCCGCCGACGCGACGTTCGGCCAGATCGACTTGAACGGGACTTACACCTGCTATGGGACAGTCCTAGGCGCGCCCATTGCGGACGCTACCGGTTAGTGTTTGCCAGTTTTGATCAGCGATCCACAGTGGATGCTCATCACACGTTTCCTCAGGGGCCGACTGGCTTCTGGGAGCCTACTTCATGGGGAGCGTGTACCAGCTCTTCGACTACGGCGACCCGGACCCCGCGGACGGTCTCTACCGCACTTCGACCCAGCTCCTCACTGTACGCAATCCGTTCCACAGCCTCTCACGCTTCATCTGATGACGCCCTCAGTCCTTCGACCCCGACGAAGCGTGGGCGGAGGCCGATGCCCTCCTCGCCGCGCGCAAGCAGGCATGGCTCGACGCCTACTCGTCCGTCATCACGATGACCGCGACCTCCACCGTCGGCACGCTGCCCGCGACCTGGACGGGCGCGCAGTTCACGCCCGCGGTCACGACGGTCACGGACTCGATGATCTCGTCCGCGCAGTCGGCGACGCCCATCACGATCGTGCCCCCGACCTCGGTCACGTCCACGGGCACGGCGACCGCGACATCCACCGCGGCGGCAGCCTCGTCTTCGTCGCTCGCGAGCGGCATGTCGTTCTTCCGGGGCCTTCGGGCGGCGGTGTGGTCTCACCTGCAGTCCTCGTGAGCGTTCGCGGACATGGTAAGGTTTCGAACGGACCGGTCGCTTCATCATTACGTTACGCACATATATATCTGTTAATGAACCTCACCAGTGTGGATTTTGTGTGCTTTGCGCTATCGCTGGAGAAGGCGCGCTGCACAGATGACGATGGGCATGCCTTGCGAGATCCTGTTCACTACGCGCGCGCCCGAGCTTGACATCTGGGCTGGAAGGCGAGACTACAGGGAGCGGAGCCTTGAACGGTGCGCAACACCTTGCGCCGCCGCAAAGTGCTGCGCTGACCAGAGCCATCGACCTCGACGCCCACCGGCGCAAGCCTTCGAACATCACGGTTACGTCTTTCCCACTCACCCGGTCGTCTCCCGTATCCACTGGGCTTCGTTGCTGCCAGCCTTGACGGTTGCATCGGTGGGGGGTGCGTCGGGCAGCGTGGGCAGCACGACCGGTGCGGGCGCCGCAGTGGCCCAGACGAGCGTGCCACTGTGTGCGAGTGTTCTTGATGCTTGCCGCCGCGGGTGCCACGATGCTCGACGACAGTAAAACCGAGTGCCACCCAAGCGCGGCGGGACAGTCGTCTTTTGCCTCACGCCGCGACGCAGGCTGTTCCCGCTCCACCGATAGATATGGGTGGCGTTGACCTCGCAAGACACGCACAGACAGGAAGTTCCCCATGGGGTAACGTACGGTCTCGTCAATTCTGTCCTCGTTGATCGCATGCGCACCGAGTCCGTTGCAGACCATCTCTCTCGCGCCGCCTGTTCCCATGACCCTCGATCCATCTTCCGTGGTCTTCTTAGTTCAGAGACGTGCATTACTATGGACGAGCGCGCCGGCGTGGTCGAGGCTTCAGGAAGTTATGATCGCGGTAGGAGCCCACGCCGCAAGATCAGGATGCGGAAGTACGAGAAGCTGCGAGCACGAGGAGGAGGAAGAAGAAGGGAATTTCCGCAGCAGTTGGGATCATTTGCACTCTTATGTCAGCCTCTTGCGTTGATGTGGGCACAGGGGGCGCGAAATACCGATCAACCGCGCAATACAAGTGATAGATCCAGCAACAGATCTCCCAAGCTCACCGCTGCTCTCCAGAGTCTAACAAACATCCCCTTCCCGCGCCGCGTCTGTGAGGACCTCAGCTTGTTTGACGCGCCGCAGCCAGAGTTAGACCCGACAGTTTCGAAATAGCTTCGAGCCTCGAGCGTGCGCTCTCCCCATTTTCAATTGAAAGTCCTGTGCGGCTGTGATGGATATGTGCAATACGTCCAATACATCAGCTTTGGCAATCGGGCCGGAGACGCACCGCGCGCGGGCCTTCGGGGCGTCCTCCCTTCGAAGTTCGCGCGGTACCGGCGTTGCACTGCCGCAGTGGATTCGAGCGAGCGAGCCGTCTGTCGCCGGTGGACAGTCGGTTCCAGACACGAAATCTTGCACGATCACGTCCAAGGCTGCATTCGGAGACGGACCATCATGCATCAGCATCTGTCGAGGCACGCGTGTCAGAGTTGGACTCGACGGAGTGCGCGGACAGCGGGGCGCCAGTGCATTTGAGGCCCCGCGCCGCGGTGGGCGCACCGCCTCGCTCCTCCTTCTTTCTGACGCTCATTCACACCTGAGGCCACCGTGCCCCCACCCTCGCTCGCTTTCTTTCCATTCCCCGCTCTTTTGCTTCTCGCCCACGCCCACGCCAGCGGACGACGGCGAGCACAAACAGAACAGATGGCGAATTCGCGGTTGCTGCTCGTCTTCACTGCGCCCGCGAAGAGCGAGCTTCCTGTGGACTGGTGCGATCACGAGCACCTGCCTGCGTATGTCGCCGGTGCGGTGCCCAGCGTGCAGTCGTGCACCCGCTGGGCGGCGGCGGACAACAAGACCCCCGCCGTAATCTCGCTGTACGACCTCCGCCTCTCATCCTCTGCCTCATCCTCCTCCTCCGGTCCGGCGTCGCCTTCGTCCCAACACTCGTCGTCTGAGGACGAAGAAGACTCCCAACCCTCGACACCGACAACTCCGGCAGCATTCGGGTGGAAGGCGAAGGGCAAAGGGAAGGCGCAGGATCTCGGGAAGGTGGCCTACGTGGGGGTAGACTTGGACTCGGAAGCGTACGCCCCCACATCTACACTCCCTCCCCTTCCCCCTCCCCCTGCGCCCGAGTCCGACTCGGAGTCCGAAGACGACGCCTCGGTCCTCACCGACACCCCCACGCTCGACGACCCAGAGTGCTCCGCTGGGAACCCTGCGCCCCTCGACTTCGTCCAGACGCGCGTCTACGTGCCCCTCTCCGACCGCTCCCGCGCCGACTTTGCAGACGACCCCGAGGTGCAGACGCTGTACTCGTACGCGCAGTCCGCGAGCGACGCGGACGAGATCACGCTCGACTGGAAGTACGTCTCCCTCGTCGAGGTCGAGCTCGCACGCGGCACCGAGCGCGAGTTCCACCGCTGGTTCGACGAGGAGCACGTCCCGCTCCTCGCGCGCGTCCCCGGCTGGCGGCGGTCCCGCCGCTTCCGCCTCGAGGACGTCGTCTCGTCCACCCTCGGCGGCGGCCCCGCGGCGACCGCGTCGCAGCCGCGGAAGAAGCGCGCGGCGTCGATCAAGAGCAAGAGCTCGCGCAAGAGCGCGAAGGCGCGTGGGTTCGCGGCGGGCGCGAACCGGCGGCGGTCGCGCCGTGTCAAGACCGCGCCCCGTGGTCCGCGCCCCGGGAAGCTCCGCGACCGTGACAGAGAGCGCGAGCGGGAACGGGAGCGGGAACGCGAACGGGAGCGGGAGCTGGAGAGGGAAAGGGGGCGGGCGACCAGGAAGCGGCGAGCGGGGCCAGAGGAGCGCGCGGACGAGGACGGTGTTCTTTTCTCGGACCCGCGGTGGACGCGACCGCCACGGATCCTCGTCGTCCACGAGTGGGACGCGCTCGACGCGTTCTGGAGCCCCGAGTTCCGGCGCGCGACGAGCACGCCGTGGCGCGCAGCCGTGCTCGCGGAAGATCGTGCGCTGCGGTACGAGCTCCGGGTGTTCAGGGAGGCGGACGTCGTCGTCGAGCTGTGAGCGGTGGTGGTGCGTCGTGGTGCTTTGCGCATGTTTTTGCTGTCTTATTTTATTCGATTCTTTCTATGCATGTTGTATTGATACCGTTATTCCTAGTCCACCGTGTCGTGGTCGTCTGTCATCTGCTTCTCCCCGGCTCGGGCCAGACGTGAGTGATATGTGATACGGGTGACTTTGTGGCAGCTTCTCGCGGACGCTAAAGATGGGGACGTCCTGCAATCGGGATGTCGCTCTCCCAATCTTCGCTCGCCCTCGTTTGATGCCCACCGTCCTCGCTTGAGAATATCTGCACCTCGGTGCACGGACGCCACTGGACGGCGTCCAGATTGGCGCCGTTGACCAACACGAAGGCCCCGCAGGAACAACCAACGAAGATGGCCGGGACAACGCCCCCGAGTACGTGATTTTTTCGCCTGGAAGTTGACGGCTTGTTGACGGTTGCCCTTGCGAGGCGCTACAGAGATCGCACCGGTTTTTCCGGACACACCACGTCCCCCACCGTGCTTCCAGTCTTTGTACCCCCGTCCGAGCTCTCAGGAAGCCTCACATCCACTTCGAGGATATACGGTGCCTTATGGGCAGCAAGAATTGTGAGACACATACTTAGAGGTTCCGATTGCCTACGGTGCGATTTGTCCGACGTCTGCATCTGTTGGGCATCAGTATCAGCTTCTGTATTAGCGCCCGTGTATAGTCTCCGCACTCTCTTCGCTCACCACGCGAACCCCACTAGAAGCTCCCGTCCTCTCTGGCCTTTAAATCCATCGCCCTCGACGCCTTCGCCCACTTTCCTCTCCACTTCCGTGTCCTCCCCTCCTGTAAGGCGCTTCGCTTGCTGAGCTCACGACCTCGTTGTTTCCGGGAATTTCGTCCTGTCTTTTCTCAACCCCGCCATGGGCTTGCTCTTGTCGAGTGGACAAACCGGCGGTCCCAGTTCAGGTCAGTCTGACCCTGGCTCGCACAGTCGGCAACGGTCTAACATTCGCTCCAATTGCAACCCTTCTCACCGCGACCATGGAAACTCGGGAACCCCTTCCCGGTGGCCCTGTTAACTCAAATTCGCCTTCAATGAACACGGAACCTGTTGGTACACAAACTATAGACACCGGTTCAAGTTTTCATAGCGTGTCTTGTGTCGGCAATGCCACGACGACATGCGAACGCAGTGAGCTGCTGACGCACAATGGCGATTGGACATCAGTGCCCGATCCAAGCAACGCGAGCAACACTCTTCTTTTGACGTTTGGATATGGTTCCTCGGCTCAGCTTGTCTTTCGGGGTGAGTGGTGCAAAATTCCGACGGAAAAGACTTCTAAGGTGTCAGTCGCACAGGGAGCTCGCTGGAGGTTTGGGGGGCGCAGATAAAACCAAGTAATGGCACCAGTTTCGGCTCTTCGTACGCCATCGACGGAGACACGGCCACCTTTGGGGAGTTTCAAGATTCCTCGGATATCAACGACGTTATTCTTCGCAGCTGGACTGGTAGTGACGGAACGCATACACTCACCATAGAAAACGACGGTGCGAACCTCGCCATCGACTTCTTCAAAATTAGTAGTCCTCCAGACAGGTCTGCAAGCTCGGCATCGTCGTCAGCCCCTCCATCCTTTCAAACTGGAGCCGAAACAACTGTGACCAGCACGAGTCTGACAACATCGCCTATGCCAATCATTTCAGCTACTGGCTCTCTTGTGTCGTCGTCACTCTCCGATGGGTCTTCTCCAAGTGCGTAGTCCCTCTTGAGGCCAGTTCAAGTCGCTTGAACGTCACTTCTGTTGTAGGCGATACCACAATATCTTTCTTACTATCTCTATTATCGGATGGTGCTACCGCCACATCTTCCCCCACACCACACACCCCCAGTACCCCGTCGACTCCCGGTTTTCCAGTCGCCGCCGGCAGCACCAACGGCAACAATGCGCTGCCCACCCCTGGCTCAGGCGGCGGCGTCAATGGCACATCAGGCAGCCTCAGCAAGAACGGCGGGCTATCCGCGGGGGCTATCGCAGGCATCGTTATCGGTCTATTCCTGCTCCTCCTACTCGCTATGCTGTGGCTCATGCACAGGCGGGCACGCGCGAAAACACGGGCCATGCTCAACCAACTCGGTGCGTCTTTCCTCTCCGCAGTTTTTTTGCACCTCGCGCTCCCCTCTTAAAATTGGGCGTCGTCTGCAGAACCGCACGCCTTCGTCACCGCCTCGCCAAGGCCCCACGCGTCGTCGTCGCCGACTCCACTGCCGCCACTTTCGGAGAACTACCTCTCGATGGCACCGAGCGCGGTCACCACGCTCCCGCCGTACGGCTACATGTCGGAGTACGACCCGTACGCCGGCGTGGGCGACCCCGCGCCCGTTGCGACACCCGCGCATCGTCCCGTAGGGCATGACGCGCCACTGCGGCGACAGCCGGAGGACTTCACGCTCTTCCTCCAGCAGCGCAACCGCCCAAGCGGGCGCTCGCCCAGGAGCGAAGGTGCGCTTGCTTCTTCTGACCGCGGGGGACGTGCGACTGATCAATGCACACAATAATCTGCATTCTCTCCGCCTCTCCCTCCTGCCCCTTTCCTCGTCCTTGCAGACGGATCACGCGCTGTCCAGTCTGGGACGTCGGACGGCGCCCAAGCGACCTCCCCGCCTTCCCCGCCTTCCATGTACTACCGCCCCAACATGGCGAAAGCCGCATCAGGACTGGTCCTGCACACAGGTCCCGCATCGACCTCGGGCGCGTTGCACGGCGGGTCATACTCAGACCCTTCCGCCGCCGCGCCTCCTCCTGCGGACGCAGAAGACATCGCGAGCCCAATCGGCTTCGCCTGGCCGCCCACGCCGTCGTCTGCGATGTCTAGCATGCCATCGACGCCCGCTGCACTTCCGTTGCCTGCGCCTTCTGCGGCGTTCGCGCGTTCGCGCTCGTCGCCCGGGCACGCCGCGGACGCGAACGCGCGCCAGCCCCCCGCGTCCCTCTCCTTCGCCTCCGCGCCCCTTCCCGCCCCTCCCATCATACCAGAGAAATCGCGAGAAGACCACCCCGCAGCCACCGCCACCACCCGCCCCCGCGAGAAGCGCGACCGCACGCACGCCCCGAGCGCGATGCCCCCTTCTCCTCCGCGCGCGCACACCCCGAGCGTAGGGGCGGAAGACGACCTCGGCAGCTCGTGCTCGCTGCGGACGACGTCGTCCGGGATCACGGAGTACTCCGTCGACGGCGGCGTGCGTCTCGCGGGCGGCCGCCTGAGCGAGGACGCGCAGGAGCTACCGCCGTACGCGTTCGGGGCGCCGACGCGGGCGCGGGTCATGCCGCCGCCGTACAGCGACCTGTACCCCGTCGCTGAGGAGAGGCGGGACTAAAGAGGAAGCGGCTTCGGGGCAGGAACGATGTCCGGGGGGTCGTCGGGGGCTCGCTGAGGCCGGGGTCACAGTACCAGTTGTGTTCGCGAATGGGGTGCGTGGCGGCAGGCCCGGCCTTCTTCTTGTGCAATGCGGGTCGACGGGGTCTTTGGCGCAAGGACGGCTACGCGCAGAATCGCAGGTACGGGTTCAAGAAGCTTCCCTAGTGATGGCGAAATCGATGAGCGCAAGTCCAGCATCCCGAACGACGCACCTTGGCCGGGAGAACGAGGGTGACGAGGAAATATCTCGGAGCTGGTGCTTACTATCAGAGCGTCGTCTATGTACTCTACATCCATATCTATCTTGGGTGCATCAAATCGAGAGCCTAGAAGGGGTTGAAAGAGGTGAGGGAGTCGACGTTGTGGGCGCTTGAAGATAGTATCAGCGCAAGTTATACGAGGACAGGACGGAAATGAGTCGATAATGACGCGGTCTTTCGGGTACCTTGGTTTGACTGCCCGCACGGCGTGTATCAGCGACTGATTCCGTGTGCTTAAAGAGGGATAGGATGTGAACATACATTACGTGCAATTGGAAGTCAAAATCCAAGTCAGAACATGCGGCGGTGCAAACGGCCTCGGTGCTGTGCCGCGGTACCTCCGGCGCCGCGCACTAGACACTCAGGCGCGTTTGATCTGGCCACCTGCGCAAAGACACCGTCAAGTGTCGCGCAGCACGCATGGTCCCCTCTGACAGACATGCGCGCTGCTCCGTATTGCTCCCATTGCGCGCGATGCACTTCGCGCTGTCCGCGGCAATGTCCCATCACAGCGCAGCCTCCTTCACTCTGTACTGCGCACGTACGTTCCCGGTCGGTATCCGAGCTTTTCATAAAGCAGGAAGGGCTCCATTGCACCCACACGCTGCTCTATCACCAGCCCAAGGAGCGACGCTCGACGGGTAGCCCCGCCCACCTTCCCAACAGCATCCACCTGCCCATTGATCGCTCCCGGTCTCGCGATGACCACCACAGCCAATACACACGCTGGAACCACGAGTAAGCACATCATTTTATTTCGTGAAACGCAGCGGTTCTCACCGCATATACAGACATGTACCCTCTGTTCTCTAGAGACGCACCCGGGGACGGCTCAGACGGGAACAAGTTCTCAATGGGGACGCTCGTCGGCGTCGTGTTCAGCGCCCTCTTCCTCTTCGCTGTCCTCGTGATGCTTGGCGTTGGGATCTGGCGAAGACGTCAGATCACCGCATGTACGTTCTCATTCATCGCCGTGCTTACCTTCAGGCGCTCATTCACGTCCATCGTCTCGTCTCCAGCCCCGTCCTCATCTCCGGCGACCCTACACCCGTCTTGCGCACGCTCGAGCACGAAGTCCATCGACAGCGACGAGAACCGCGCGGACGTCGCGAGCCACCGCGACTCTTCGGTGACTGGGATCAGCCTCGACACACCGAGCAAACCCTTCGCCGCGAAGGCGTTCCTCACGCAGGACGCGGACTGGGAAGAGCCGCGTATCCCGCTGCCCCGCGCCATGGTGCTCCCGTGGGTGTCTCGGCGCAAGCCTGAGGTCTCGGGGAAGACGTGACAGCCCATTTCGACCTCGGTTCGTCAGTCAAATCCCGAGTCATCCGACTCCTAAGGATGGACGCCGCAGCAGACGGATACTGCTTCCGGCAGGCGACTCCGGACCGCGCTGGGACGCGTGGTGTCCACGCGACGAGCCCTGGTCATGGTGACCGCTGGGGTTGCCATTCACAGAAGGGTTGCGTGCGCAGGAGCGCTGCGGCGATAATGTTGAGGGAAGATGGGAGGAGAGTACGTAGGATGGAGGATACGCACCGTTCTCTCGTACTACGTGCCCGGTGACGTGCATGATCGGTCACGTTAACTGTTCTCGATCCCGCGATGGTCTGAACTTTGCTTCAAGTGTCATCGGGTTAGTCCCACGAAAGAGGTCGATAGAAGAGGTAAGATGAAAACATCCTGACTTGACGGACGACGGGAGGGAGGCGTTGACCAGCACGCCATCACTGCCTCAGAAAATCACACGACACGTCCAACATGACAAGATATTGGATTGAAGGTGGTATAACAGGGGGCGGACACAAGAGGATATGGGGCTGACTCGCGCACCTGGCGGGAGATTGCACGGCATCTATAAAAGCAGTCATCATGCAGGTGGGCCTTCTGGGCTGATTGAAGGATCTAGCTTGGAGCCTGAAGGCCTGATGGTTTGCGGGTATCCGAGAGAGATGATAATGACGGGAGATGGCGGACGAGATGCGGATAAGTAGCGGAAGGCGAAGCCTGTTACGAGATGGCTGGGCAAATTTCAAATTCAAACTCAGGCAGTGAGATTGGTTCGGAGATGATGCGGAGATTGGTGGGTGGTGACGCTCGACAAGGTTGGAACGTCAAGTTGCAATCCAGATGTCGCCTCTCCCAGTTTTGTCTCGCTCTCATTCGATTCCCGCTATTATCGCTTGAGTGTTTACGTGACACCTCTGCGCCCGGACGCCGTCTAGGTGGGCGCGGTATAGGTCGCGGTTTACCCACACTAAGGCCCAGCGAAGATGGCAACAGCAACCAGAGCCTTCTCCGACGCCCACCGGCGCGAGCGGCGAAGTGACTGCTCTGCATGAAGATTGACTGCTTGTTGACGGTTGTCCTTTCCAGGCGCTACAGATATCGCACCGGTTTTCTGGAAACACCACGCTTCCACTGCTCCCGCCTGGGTTCTCAGGCTCATATCTGCGTTGAGAATACACTGCCTTTTGGGAAACAATAATTGCGAGGAGTGAACCAGACACATGGAGATTCCGATCGGCCACGGATACCACGCGAAGCTACCGTACTCGTTGGTCCCCAAATGCAGCGCCCTCGCCATCTGCGCCCACTTTCCCCTCCACTTCCATGTCCTCTCGCCTCCTGTAGGGTGCTTCGCTTGCAACTTTGTTGTTTCCAGGGGGGTTTTCTCCCCCGCCATTTGCGCAACCTTTTCGAGTGGAACACCCGGCGGTCCCAATTTACTAGGGTTGTCTGATCTTAGCATGCACAGTCCGCAACGGTCTGACATTCGCTCCAATGATAGTAGCCCTTCCCAACGCGACCATGGAAACTCGTGACCCTGGCCCGGCGAACTCGAATCCGCCCCCAATAAACACGGCCCTGTCGGTACAAAAGCTATGTACAGACTCAGGTGGTGGTGCCTTATCACCCTCGCCTTCCGCGCCCGTTTTCCCCTCCACTTCCATGTCCTCTCCTCCTGTAGGGCTCTTCGCTTGCTGAGATTACGACTTGGTTAATTTTTCCCCAGTATCTTTTCTCATCCTCGTCATGGACGTAGAGAACGACGACGCGACCATCGGCGTCGACTTCGTCAAACTTTACAGTCCTCCAAACACTTCTCCAGGCCTGGCATCGTCATCAGCCCCTCCTTCCTTTCAGGCTGGAACCGAAACAACAGCGACCAGCGCGACATCGACAGCCTCGCCGACATCAATTGTTCCGACCCCTTGCTATCTTGTGTTGCTCTCCTATGAGTCTGCCCAAAGTGCGTAATCCCTCTTGAAGTCAATTCAAGTTGCATGAACGGTCTGTTGCATGCTATGCAGCCACATATTCCTCGACCGGGTTTCCAGTCTCCGGCTGCAGCACCAACGGCAACAACGCGCCGCCCCTCATCGTCCCAAACGACCGAAGCACATCAGAAAGCCTCAGCAAGAACGACGGGCTATCCGCGGAGGCCATCACAGGCATTGTGATCGGTCCACTCCTACTTCACCTGCTCGTCGCGCTCTGGCTCGTGTGCGACCGAAGCACGCCAGAAAGCCTCAGCAAGAACGACGGACTATCCACCGGGGCCATCGCAGGCATTGTGATCGGTCTGCTCTTGGTTTTCCTGATCGTCGCGCTCTGGCTCGTGCCCAGACGGATACAGGCGGAGAAATGGGCTATACTCCACCCATTCGGTGCGTCCTTCCCCTCCGCGCTGCTTTTGCACCTAGCGCTCACCTCTTCAAATTCGGTCTCGTCTGCAGAACAGCGCGCCTTCTTCACTACCTCGCCACAGCGCCGCGCGTCGTCGTCGCTGACTCCTCCCGTAGGGAACGAGGCGTCTCTGTTCCCACTGCGGCGACAGCCGGGGGACTGCATGGTCGCGCTTTCCCTTCGGAAGTGCAAACACCGACGCGCACGCTCGCCCAGCCTGCGCAAAGGTGCGTTTGCTTATTCTGACCGCGTGGGACGTGCGACTGATCAAACCACGCGATCATCATTCTCTCTTCCGCTCCCTTCGTCCCTTCATCCCTTCACCTCTTTCCGACTGCAGGCGGGTTGCGCGCTTTACAGTATGGGACGTCGGACGGCGTCAGAGCGACCTCCCCGCATTCCACGCACTCCACACACTCCCGCCCCAGCATGGCGGAAACCGCGTCAGGGTCGGCCGCGTATACGGGCCCCGCCTCAACCTCGGGCGCGTCGCATAGCGGGTCTTCCTCTGACCCCGCGCCCACCGCCCCGCTGTTGCCTGCGCCTTCTGCGGCACACTCCCGCCCGCCCCCGTCATCCAGGTGCGCCGCGGACGCGCACATCGTGCTCGCGCGCCCGCCTTCCGTGTCCCTCTCGCTCGCCTCCGCGCGCGCGACCATCCACATCCCGTCCTCGCCAGACCAACCCACATCCACCGCCACCACCCGCCCCCGCGAGAAGCGCGACCGCACGCACGCCCCGAGCGCGATGCCCCCTCTTCCTTCCCGCACGCACACCCCAGGCGTGGGGGCGGAGGACGACCCCGGCAGCTCGCGCTCGCTGCGGACGACGTCGTCCGGGCTCACGGAGTACTCCGTCGACGGCGGCGTGCGCCTCGCGGGCGGCCGCCCGGGCGAGGACGTGCCAGCGGAGCTACCGCCGCACGCGGTCGGGGCGCCGACGCGGGCGCGGGTCGTGCCACCGCCGTACAGCGACGTGTATGCCGTCGCGGGGGAGAGGCCGCGCGAGAGAGGGAGCGGCGGCGAGGGTGGGGCGTCGTCAGGGGTTCGTTGAGGCCGGGGTCGCAGTACTAGATGGTGCCCGTGTGGCAGAGTGTAGTATACTCGTCGCTCCATTGCGCGTTCTGTATTCCATCGTCGCCTATCGCCTATCTAATGCGGTTGCCGCATGCAAAATGGATACAGAGTAGCTAGTATCATATTGGGTGAAGTGAAAGTCAAGAACGTACGAGCCAGTCATAGTGCTCCATCTAGAATGAGATTATGTCTAAGCGGAGATGGAGTGTGCAGTGGCGGAAGCAATAGTAGAAGGAGAAGAGGCAGAGACGGTACTAGCCGAAGACGGCGTCGTACCCGTGCCAACAGACACGCTCGCAGATCCAGTAGGTAATTCGGACGCCGTTGCGAGGAACGAAGACACCGCAGTGTCCGCAAGAGTAGTGACCGAGGCAGGGCTCGTAGATCCCGTCCAAGTCGCGGGACGTGTGTCTGTTGGAACCATGCTCAGAGGGGTGGGGTCCTGCGTACAGGGGGAAGGGGGCCGCTTGGCCGCTTCGAGGAATTTCTGCCTGCGGTCGGCCAGAAGTGCGTCCGTCTCCGCCCATGCTTGATCGGGGTCGACAACCTGCTCGCACGACGCGATGCATTAAGTGCCGTGGCGTAGCATAGAAAAAACAGACGCGCTCACCCCGAGGAGCTGCGTTGTACCCCTGATGGGGCCGCTAGCCACGTCTATGTCGCCATAGTCGAAGACCTGGTATACACTGCCCATAAACCTGTCTCCCATGAGCCAGTCGACGTCTACATTGGCACGAAATCAGAGGAAATATGATATGAAGCGTCATAAGCCCATACCTATGGTCCACAGATTATCGTTTCCAAGTATGGAGCCGATGCAGAGATATTCTCCGTCCAGGGATAGCAGGCCATGTGTGGAGTCGACAGGATGCAAAGGGTACGTGACACCACTGATCCGCAAAAGGTAAGTCCGGGGTCGGTGAATCAGCCGGCTAGCATACGCACTCGAATACCCAGCTGATGTTGAGCTTAGTATCGCAGGGGACCTCCCACGCGACATCCGAGCCGCCGATAATTGTCCTGTTCGCGCCTTCCACACCACTGTATATCTCATCGACGTACCAAGATGGGCCTTGAACTGTAAGACGACAAAATTGAGTGCTGGGAAAGATTGGACGATGAGATGAAGACTCACTCAAGGCGGAACCAGTGTCGAAGAGCACGACGGTATTACCCTCGGGAACAGTGACGATCTTTCCCAAGGCCGTGTCATTGGTTATGTTCGAGTGCCCGGAAAGCGTTCGGCCGTTGACTTCTACTCTTTGAAGGAAACTCATCCACTGTCCAGGGAGAAGGCTTTCCATGACGGGAGAATCGAGGACTTCCTCCGCATCTGATAGCACGCTTCCTGTGTCCCACGTGAGCCACGGATGAACTTGACCGCAACAGGGAGATCGTCACCGATAGTGAACACGCCGCCGTTCCCAAGCTCGGAGCCGTATGGAGACTTGGTGTCCAGCTGAAACGTGACGTAGTTAGGAAGCTCCGGGACGAGTTTGAAAAGCTGAGACGGCCGCGTCAGTAAAACCCAGCGATGAGAAGAGTAAAACCTGCATTGATCATGATGGGAATTCCGTTCTTCGCAAACGAGGAGTTGGCGGTCTCAAATGCGATCAACGATACTTCCTTCCTGTGCAGTGTACGAATGGATCAACACGAAATTCATTGTGGGGTCATACGTGGACGTACCCGGCGAGTCCGATAAGCCCCGCATACCCCCCAGGGCACGTTACGGTAGTCTCATTGACGATTCCTGTAGAAATAGATGAGAACGCGTGCATTGGGAAGTGCACGAGACCACGACAAACCTATTGCCTGGTTGTTGATCGTGTAAGGGCCAAGAGTGACGTTCGCCAACACGATGTCGGCCGGTGCGTTTCCGCCCGCCCTGACAATATATCCGTTAGAATCATATTCATGGGAAGAGGAGTTCGTATCCCACAAATAATCGATGGTGGCGTTTATTCCTGTATAGATGAGACCAGGCGGAGTGACGTTGCCTTGAACCACGGGGTTGATCCATGTGTCTGAACTCCCCAGGTCGACGAGCACCTGCGAGATGTTGCCATATTATCAGCCAGTCGAACCCGCGCATTGACAGCGAAACAATACCTGATAAGCCACGCCATTCACCTTCATAGTGATGGTGTAGTGGATGGCGAAGGCGTTGGTAAAAGCAAACTCTTGGACAGAGTCATTCCCCGTCGAAACAGTGATAGGGTATGCGCTGCCAACTTCATCCTGTATCAGTGCTGGAACGGCACTCGAGGATGCGACCGCAGCGCAAAAAAGAGAGAAGACGAGCGAGGTGATGCGCATGCAGGTAGGCTGGAGGAAACAGGAGGTCCAAGGACAGGAATGACTGTCCAGAGCCTCCCTCCCCCTCCCTTTATGCTCGAAGGAAGGCGTATGCTGTACGCACGCGGCATGGGTTGTAGCGTTTCCGCACCGTGGCACGGCTTCATCCAGTTGGGCGCCGGTGGTGGCTCGAGTCATGCCGATGACTGACGCTGGTCCACCACCAATAAAGAACACGAAGAAGCACAGGTACTCGCGGCTGGGACTGCGGAAGTAACGGAGAGTCACAAAGTCCGGGAGACCTTTCATGGGTTAGTAATCTGCATGTGTCGACGGTGGCGACAACGAAAGAGAGTTCCCGAACGCCGATATCGGTGGGGGGCCGCTTCCGCGTGCGGTAGGGCCATTGTCTCACAGCGGTCGTAGCAGCCCGCATTTCAACGTCACAAGTCCGGGGTTTCATAGACATGTGATGAGGGTACCTAGAGGCCGTAGAATGTGAGAAACACTCGCTCAGCATGAGTCGATATTTGCGTACCGCACGGCGGCCGAGCGCAGCGTGTGCATCTCAGCCTCTACGTCGCTGAACACGGAGGACAGAGATACACTTGGACGATTACGACATCTTGAGAGGGAAAAGACAAGGCAAGTTGAGTGACGTAGCCAAGGCGCAATCACCGGAGACTTGCCGGCCCGCGATTGGTCATGTGATGACGTCACCGCCTCAGTGCTAAGCGCTCTTCTCAACTCCAAGTCCATAAGTACGAAGTCCCGGGTCATCGAGAGGATACAGTGACGCTTGCGGGCCGTTACATTCCATAGCACATCCTGGAAATCGCAGTTGTTCCGCCAGCTTTTTCTGAGAGGTGCTCGGCTACCACGCCTGGCTGGCTGCGCGAGGATACTGTCAATAGGACTTCAGCGATACTTATATGAGGCGGTAAATGCATGGCACGCGATCCAACACATCGTCTCGATCTCAACGTCTCTCCCATCAGCTACTAATAAGATCGTATCTACGTCACTTCGCATGATATACCGCCTGAACTTCGTGAAAAACCATCCTCGCATGCGCGCCCCCACTAGAACGGACGATATCCACCTCAGGCCGAGCACGTCTGCTCCGCGGCGATGTCCCAGGTGCTCCGGAGCGACGCGCCGTTGTAGCTGAACGCCGGGAAGTCGCTCGTGCCTGCGGGGAGCGCCGCGTCCGTGGCCACGCACTGCGCCGTGAACTGGCTCGTGACGCCCGCGGGGAGCACGAGCTGGCCGGTGTGCGCTGCGGGGCAGGGCGCGCGTCAGCGGACCGTCGAGGGATATCAAGGGAGAAAAGACGCACTGAGGCGGTTGAGGAGCGAAAAGCGGACGACGTTCGCGGCGCTCACCCCGGGCACGACCGACTTGAGGTAGAGCGTGCGCGAGGTCTCCTTCGCGGCCTTGACGGACGCCGTCGCCGAGTCGCCGACGAGGGCTTCGGGCAGGAACGCCTTGCGGATCGCCGTCCGCCAGTTCGCGGAGCTCTTGGCGAAGATCGCGCAGAGCATCGCCGTCGTGCCCTTGTTCACCTTCGCGTTGTTGTTCGCGAACGCGATCGCGCTGTCCGTGTCGATTCAGTATCCTACCGTGCGAGCGAGGGCGGGCGGGACTCACATGTCCTTGTCGTCGGTGACGTACACCCCGGGCCCGTTCTCGGCGTCTGCACCGCTGCTGCCCTTGGCCTGGTTAGAGTCGAAGTCGAAGAAGTCGAAGAAGCCGGTCGGCTTCGTCGGCTTCGCGAGCTGGCCCTTCTGCGCCCAGAACGTGGCCGTGTCCTGTAAGCGCGCGAAACCGGTAAGCACCAGCCCAGTCCGGGTAGTAGACAGACAGAGCGCGAGACGGTGCGGACGTACGCTGTTCGTGCCGTGCCAGCCGATGAACTCCTGCGTGTTGCGCCGGAAGAGGTGCTCGAGATCCTCGAACGGCTGCTCGCGTGGGCTGCGCTTGCCCTTGAACTTGTTCGCGGTGCACGCCTTCCCGGTCGACTTCGGCGCGGCGGACGACTTCGCGGCAGACGACTTCGCGGCCGCGGCGGTGGTCTTCGCGGTCGTTTTGGCTGGCGTCTTCGCGGTGGTCTTCGCGGTTGTCTTCGCCTTCGCGGTAGTCTTGGCTTTCGCGACAGTTTTGGGCTTTGCAGTAGTCTTGGGCTTCGCGACAGTCGTGGGCTTCGCCGTAGTCTTGGGCTTCGCAGTGGTCTTGGGCTTCGCGGTGGTCTTCGGTTTCGCAACGGTCTTCGGTTTCGCGACGGTCTTCGGCTTCGCGGCAGCCTTCTTAGCGGGCGCGCGGCGCTCTAGTTCACCGCTGTCCTCCTCCGCGTCGTCAACCTGATGCACCGTCTCAGCATACATTGAGACATCACACCGCAAGGGGGGCGTACCTCGTCGTCGAAGTCCTCGTCGTCGAAGTCCGCGCCTTCGTCGCTCTCGTCGAACGAGCGCTCATCGAGAGCGTACGCGTCGACGTCCTGAACGTCCTTCCGGTGGAGCTGGATTGATCGCGTTAGGTCCCGATCGCGTGCACGGGTGCGAGAAGATCGGACGCACCTCAACGTCCGTGGACGCGCCCGGGACGGGGATGGCGTGGACTGAGAGAGAAACACCGAGGACGGCGAGAACGAGGAGGCGGCTGATGGAAGGCATGATGATGTAGGGGGCGGGTCGTCGAGTACGAACGAGTGTGTTTGGACGGGTCGAAGAAAAACGATATAAGAATAAATTCGTGAGTAGAAAGCCGCACAGCTGCAAAGACACGAGAACGTTAGCCATGGGTCTCCATCGCGCGACTGAACGAGCGTTCTTACCAGCTGTAAAGGTCAGGGAGAGCGAAGAGAAGCAAAGGGGCTGGGTGGCTCGAAGGAAAGGAAAGAGCTGGGGACTTCACGCCGATCCCGACGGGTTTAAATAGCTGCCCGAGACGATCATAATCGGCAGTCCTCGACATACGGCGCGTTGTCGGGATCACCCATGCACTGCAGACATGTCAATGTGCATCGGATTTGAGGAAGGGATGTGCAAGGAACAACGGATTTGGGCGGGTGCGCATCAGATCACTAGCATAGCATTTGAAGGCCCTATGATACCGCGCTGCGGCACCGTTGATGGAAATATAGATCACCTGTCTGGATGAAGGTCTGGCTCGCGGGCTGTCCGCTACCGCCAGGCCTGGAGGTCGACCATAAGCCAAAAGGTTCCAGTTTTGGTCCGCTGCCAGGGAGATGGTGCACATGCTTCGAGCACCTGAGTCGGTGATGGCGGCGATCTGAGAGAAGGAGGATCACGGAGCTGAGTATAAGCTCTGAGGAAAGCATGCGCGTCGATACCTGTCGCTAAGTTCCGTGGTATGATACTTGGAAGAAAGTAGATGCGGAAGATTTGCAATGATTGGCGTATGTCACGCACGTCAGCCTGCGCTCGAGGGATACTGTGGGTGTGCTATTTTCAGAGTGGGAGGTGACGGTGGTTTTCAGAGGCCCCAGCCGTCAGATACAAGTCTCACGAAGAAGGGGCATGCGCACTCACCTCGTACTCTGCGTCCATGTCGTCTGCGCATGCAGGGGCGTGACGCGGTTCGAACTTGGCGTTTGACGAGCTCCTCGTTAACGACGTAATGTCACGTTTGGTGACCGTCGTGATATGGCGTGACTCGGAGGCTCCCAAATGCATTGAGGTCGGCTTCGAGTCACCGAGAGGCTACGCCCACCACGGGTCGTAAGTACTTAATGCGGTCAAGTACATGATGAAGAGTGCGTGGTTGCGACGGGGAGGCGGGAAGGCGGGCGATGGAGGGAGATGGCAGTGTACATACATATTTATAGCCAGCACGACCGAGGTGAGATGGGATTGTGGGAGCAACGACTACATGAGGGAGCAAAGATGGTGAAATGGGGGGAAATTAAGGCCGGCATTGATGATTGCATGGCGAAACAGCAACTGGAGCCGTTACAAGTTGACTACTTGATGACGTCATGAGTACAGCGCATGCAGCCCCGGCACATCCAACCGCGTTGCTCTAATGCCCACGTTTGGGCGAAACGGGTCATTATACACATAGTTAGATATTGTCGTGGCGCCCAAACATGGTGCGGAAAGGGTCGGGGTGCGGCGTTGACGATTTCTTCCGCCCGAGGGTGCGAACAACAGGGCCAGTTGACGGCTTGGAGATGCGACTGCGGTTGTGGAATGCCCTCTGAGATGTAGTGGAAGAGGGTGGGGGGTTGAAGCGCCATGGCTTGGATCGGACGGGGATGGAGTCGCGAGACCCCCAAGTAGGGCTGCTGTCGAATATGTCGGAGAACGAGTGATCAGATTGGCTGTCTGGATCGGAGCCGAGCAGCTTTCCTTCGACCTCCTTGAGCATCCTGTAGGGTGGAACGGTTAGCGATAGCTCGAGACTGTAGAGAAGGCGCCTACTGATTGAAAAGCGACACGATGAACGACACGATGTCGGAGAGATCGATGGTGCCGTGGAAGGAGCCGGCCTTTCCCATGAGGATATACCTCACATCCACTGAGAATGGCCCTCCTTTCCCCGACATGCCGACCATTCCTCTCAAAGTTCCCGAGAGCTCCATGCGCTCGATGTCCACGAGCTCGAGTGCCTGGTCTGCCAGCCACTGCCCGACCTCGAGCGCGACATCCTCGAGCTGCTGTGCGAGTTCGAGCGCCTTCTTCAGGCCCTCGATCGCCGTCTTGGCCGCCGCCTTGGCCGCGTCCAGCATGGCCTGCGCGGCCTCGAAGGCGGCGTACTCGGCGCAGTCCTCGACCATGTCAATCGCGTCGCGCGCGGCATCGAACGCCGCCTCGTTCGCGTTCTTGTACGCCTCGAGGGCCTCTTTCGCGGCCTCCAGCGCGCCGTACTCCACGCCGTACCGCACGGCCTCCAGCGCGGCCTCCGCGGCGTCAAGTGCCTCCTTCGACTCCTCGTCCGCGGCGGTGAGCCCGGCTTGCGCGGCGTCGATGAGATCCTGCGCGGCCTTGCGCGCCGCTGCGAGCGCTTCCTTCGCGAGCTCCACCGCGCCGGACGCGGCGAGGTACTCCACGCCTTGGACGACGGCCTTCGCAGCCTCGAGCAGGTCCCAGGCGAGGTCCTTGGCGACCTCGAGCCCGGCCAGCTCGGCGTAGTACCCGACGACCGCGGCGTGCGCGGGGATGTCCCACCACGGCCGCCCGTTGCACCAGTTGATGTGCGCCTGGCAGGCGTCGATGTCGCTTTGGAGGCCGTCGACCTTTTCCTGGGCGGCCTCGATGTCGCGCACGGCGTAGCCTGCGCGTATCGCGTGAGCGTGGAGTCCGCGGCACTCAGCGATACGTACCGAAGTTGCGGTTCAGGAAGTCTTGGACGACATTGAGCGCGTCGATCGCGCTATTGATCATTGCCGTTGCTGTGTTCTTGGCTATCTCCAAAGCCGTTCTCGCGTCGCGCAGCGCCGCCTCGCGGTCGTTGTTCGCCTTCTGCACCGCGTTCTCGGCATCCCTTATTGCCTGAACGACTCGTTAGCGCGATGACCGCCGAGACAGGTAGAGAACACGCACGTTGTCGTAGGCATTCTGAGCGTAGGCGATATCCTGCTCTAAGTCGCTGATGTCCTTGAGATATTCGTCGACGATCTTCTGAGCGGCGTCTACAACCTCATGATATTTGCGGTTCCACGCGTCTCGAGCCTCTTTCAGCTTTTCTTTCGCCGCATCCTGTCGTCCTCAAGGTCAGCCAAATGGAGATACCAACGCGGGTGGAACGCACAATCTGCCGAGTTGCGAGGTCCTCCTCGTCTTGCAGCGCCTTCTTCGCGTCATCGAACCCTTGTTCGGCGCTCTTGCGGAATATGTCGAACTGAGCGTCTACTCGGTCGCGCACATAGTCCAAGATGTCCTGCTGCAACATCGCGTCCAAGTTGAAGTCTGCACCCTCGATGGAGGTGTACGACGCGAGATATCCGTCCAGCCCAGCGGAGAGGGTGAAGGTGAATTGATCGGTGAACTTCAAGTCCTGAAGAAGTTCGCGGTTAGCGTACAGTGACATCAAAGCATAGCGTCGCACGCACCATGTAGAAGTGCAGGTCCAGCCTCGGCAGGATGGAAATCCTGATGTCGACCGCCACGCTGGCATCGAGGAAGGAGACTACACCGTCGATGAAGACGTGCTGCTCTCGTGCGTCGACGAAGATGTCAACCGTCGCACGCGGGCCGTCCGTGCCGCGCACAGAGAGGGGACCGAGCACGAAGTTGTCGACACCGCCCTTGCCGATGATACACCTGCTGTCCACGGCCAACGCAGCGTCGAACTTTTTGCTGAGCAGTATCATCGTCGTCTTGAACGAGAAGCCTTGCGGGTACACGATCGTGCCGATCATCGTGCCGAACGGGCAGATGTACAGCGACATGTCTTGGAAGTCGATCATGTCGGGCGACGGGATGTCAAGTCCGGTGATGACGTTCGCAAACGAGACGATGTCGTTCAGATCGAGATTCTTCACTTCGCCCACGAGGATCTCCTCTGTATGGTGATGGCGGTCAGTCTGGGGAGCTGTGGCATGGGAAACGGGAAGTGAAACGTACGTTTAGGGTCCTCAGACACCTGCATGGCCACTTGGGCCGATGCAGTCCCAATGGCAAGCCCGCCTGCGACCCCGAATTGACTGTCGATGCAAGGTGGGCGGGAGCTGCTGAATCGGCACTTTGAACTCACCTGATGGTACCCGTCGACACAAACTGGGCGAATATGATACCGATCGACAGCGCCACATCAGGCCCGATTACGACCTTCTTCCCGAGCCCGAGCGGGTCCCTCCAGTTGCCGTGCATCTGCGCTGTGGCAGACGCCCCAACGAGGTTGATGTCGAGCGTCAATGAGAACTTGAGCTTGTCGCCATCCGGCGGGGTCGGGATGTTGACCCCCGCGGACAGCTGCAGCGTCGGCTCGCTCCCGCCGAACATGATGCGCAGCGCGAACGGATCCGTCGTGACCCCGTTCCCAAAGTTGACGATCGAGTCCGTCGGCATGAGTACCTCGAGCTCGAAGCCCGTCTGCTTCGACCACCCGGCGCTGAGGACGAGTCCGGTCGTCGGCGTGTTCGAGCGCAGGAGGGAGTCGAGCTCCTTGATGGGCGACAGGACCGCGCACACCTGAACGCCTTTGTGGATCCGGTAGCCGCCGGCGACGAGGTCAGAGTCCAGAGGGTCGTCTTGCGAGGCCGCGACGAAGACGACCTTGGTGAGCGCGAGGTCGAGGAAAGTGTCGCGCAGCACGGGGACTATCTTGGAGATCGCGAGCACCTGGGTGTCGGTGGTCAGGGACGCGAATGCGGTCCACTGCATGCTCTGGTCCGTGCCGCGGTAGAGGTGCACGAGGGCGTCGATGGTGAGTGATGCGAAGGAAATCTCTCCGCCGAGCATGACTCCGGAGTCCTCCATCCCTTTTCGCAGGTCTATCTGGATGTACGCCTTCTTGAGCTCCACCTCTCCGAAAGTGATTCCGTCGGCACTCGTGACGTCTCCGCGAACCATAGCCCCTCGTGAATTGACGGACAAGACTGCATTAGCAGCGATGTGGCCTTCCACTTCGACGTCGGTGAGTGCGATAAGGAGGCCGGCGCCAGATGCTACCGTCACTGTCGCAGAGCCGACCTTGAAGTCGATATCAGGAAGGTCGAGTGACTCCCCGGTGAGCGACTCGAAGATATCGCTGATGGTGATGATGTCGAAATTGGACACGGCAGCGCTGAGGGAGAAATGGCCGCCCGCGGCGTAGGAGCCGCTGAAGAAAGCGGTGGTGACGCCGTACTCGAAGACCGCGGAAACGGAAAAGGAGAAGGTCTTCATGGGAGAGCTGGCGACAAGATCCGATTCGAACGACACCTCCGACAGCTATCCCCAGATACATGAGCGGATGGACGTCAACAGACAAGCAAACATAACGCACCTTCAGGCCTGTTATGCCGAAGGGAGAGTCCCAGGTTTCTGTCTTTAGAACCGCGGCCAGACGCAACACGTCACCGATTTTTTGCATCTGGAAGTCGAGCTCGAGCGGCACAAGGGCCCCCGGGACCGTGAGCGAGAACGATCCAAAGACGCCGAAGCCGTACTCCATGCTCGTCTTCGGCTTGACACCGCCAGGGATGACACGACGGACGCCCATGATCTGAACGCCGATGGACGACAGCGTCAGCCCGTCGCAGATGTTGACCGCGATCCCAGGCAAGGAGCCTTCGAGCGTGAAGCTGTGCACCGTGAGCGTGTCGTTCCATCCGTGGCTGAGGCCCAGCCCAGCGTGGAGATGGATGGTAGGCTCTTGGATGCCGAGCATGGTGTGAAGGACGTCGTAAAGCAGCCCGGCGTCCGAGTTGATGGGGAGGTCGACGTCGACGTGCCATCCGGGCGCCTTTGTCGCGTCGAACACAATGTCTTGGCGCATGAACGTAGCGTCGCGGAAGGTGAGTGCGTCGAACGGCGTGCCTTTGAGGACATCGAGGACAGACGAGAGCTTGAAATCCCCGGGTACAATCGCCATCTCATACAGGGGATTCTCGACCTTCGAATCGCGCGGGACGGGCCCATGCCAGGTGTAGAACTTGGCAGTAAGGGTAGGGATGCCGAAGAGGTCGATTTCGCCCTCGAGCGTGAATCCGTTGGGCGGGGGCTCGGCGCCGGTGATGAGAAGAGGAAGAGGTTGCGCTTCATCGTGGGCTGCTGAAGCAATTTTCACTCTCAGCGATGTGGGAGGTGACGACGACGGCGAGTCGCCTTGATGTAGCACGATCTTTGGTGATCTGATCGTGACGCCGCTGAGGAGGATGGACTCGGGTATGAACCCTTGCTCCGGATCCGTGCCGATTGGGGGAACGGCAGGAGATACGAGAGTGAGACCTGGTAAGTTGAATCCGCTGTCGTCCAATGGGATTTGCGAGGCAGGGACCTGAGAGGAATACCGAGCGGCGCGTCGAGAAGATGCGGCACCCTGTCGTTGTGCTGGTGGCAATGTACCGTGATCGGAGAGCGAGAACGATTGGTTGAGGTACGCGCTGAGGTAGATGTCGCGTGCTGAGTCGAGCTTCCGAGCGGTTTGTGGGTCGATCATTGCGAGCGCCATAGTAGAGGCCTTCTTCTGCGGTGATGCGAGGGTCGGGGCAGGAGCAGGTCCGGTAAGAAGACCGAACTTGTTAAGCACGACGTCGAGGACGAGTTCATCGAGTTCCACTTCCTTCAGGAGTGGTCTGTAACGACTGAACGGATCAAAATCGACTCGCGCGTTAATTGTGAGGTTGATATGCTGTGACATATAACATCAGTCCCGTCACTTGGATACGGAAAATTGACGACGGGACTTACTTGAGGATTGAGATCGATGTTAAATGCGTAGTTCAGACGCATGGAGAGCCACCACATGGTTCCGGGGGTGTCGTCCCACGCCTTCTTGAACCAGCCAGGGATCGTGTCTACGACGACGCTCCCGTCTGCTTGCATATGGTCAACGGTCCCGACGAGGATGTTCTCCGTGATGAGGAGGCCGCTCGATGCATCCGGGCACTTGAGGATGAACTTCGTGATCGCGTTCTCGGCGCGGAGCATATGGGTGTTGCACTCCTTCGTCCCGAAGACCAAATTGCACTTGTTCTGCGACGAGAACGGGTTGATGTCGTCCCCGAGGCCACCAAATCGGAATGCAACCCGGTGAAGCCACTGAGAAATAATGTCAGTGACGTCGTACCACGACAGATCAAGTGTACGTGCCTCCGCAGTGTCAACCATGTCGTGCCCCGGGCTGCCCCAAAGTTTGTTGGCGACCTGGCGAGCGTAGTAAGCACGCCATGAGCACAGAACATAGTCGGGGGACCGACATACCTCCGTCGCGGACACACCGTTCATCACGGCCGCCTGGCTCCTCGCTTGCCTCCGACGACCCTGGGCCCCGTAGATCTTCTCAGCCGTCACCCTCGCCGTCACCTCCGCTTCTTCTGGCCCAGGTGAGGGGTCGTTCGGATCGACAAACAGCTGGGCGATGTCAGCGGCCATCGTACCGCTCATGGGCCACGGTCTATTGAGCGGGTCGACGTCTTGTTCCTCGCATACAGTCGCATAGGTGGTGGACGACGTCCAAGTCTCGTAGACGCCGAGAAACGCAGAGCCCACGTGGCAGAGGGACCCGTCCGCTTCGGCATCTCGGTACGACAGCACCCGGGGGCGAGGCGCAGGGAGCGCGGCCACGACGGCCTCGAGCTCGGCGAGCGAGAGGTAGTCCGCGCTCGCGGTTGGAGAGACGACGAACTGGTCGAAGGAGACAGACGCGGGGAGCTGCAGAAAGCGGCCCATGACGGGGTTGTACGGGATGGGCCGCGTTGCGACTTCGGCAGAGTCCATAATCCGCCCCCAGAGGCGCTTCTGGTTGTACGACCACTTCGAGAAGATCATCCCCCGGCTGACACGGTGCATGAACGACGTCGGAGTGGGGAACCAACTGCCGTTGGATTTCCAGACGTGGAAGAAGTCGATCTTGCCCGTCTGCGACTTGTTGAAGTCCGCTTTGAGAGTGTTTTTCTTGAGACGGGTGTCGAAGTCCGACGTGCGTATGTAGAAGTCCGGTAAGAACTTGCCGATGTAGAGATAGTCGTGTGCCTCATCTCTGCTGTCATCTTCAAAGAGAGCCTGTGCTCATGGTGAGAACGAGCGTGCCAAGAGGATATGAGAGCGGACCTGGTATACGGTGACCTGAGTGGAACCAATCAGGTGTTTTTTGCCCTGTTCGTGAGGAAGGAAGTACTGGTAGTCGATTTTGTCGCCCATCGTGCGAGAGGTCTAGGACAACGGTTTGCTCTGGGCGCAGCGCCGTATATATGCCTGGACAGCGTTATCTCGTGCAACGCTTGGCGATGAACAGAATGACAACAGAGGGTAGTTCCGGGAACACACACCTGATCTGGTGCATCCTGTGCTCATGACAGGTGGAATGGGCGACGAAGCTGAGGAAGCACGTCGATCCGTGCCAACATGATAGCAATGGCTTCAGATTTGGTTATCTTGACGCCGTGTGTCTTGTCGGGCAGCTGTGAGGCCTTGAGGCCTTGAAGCCTTGAAGGCGCGGTCCGTTCAATCGAGTTGTTCACATGAGGGCGTTATGGCAGATGCGCGAATGATTCCACCGTGAGCAAACGCTTGTGCGCAGTCCACGCACGTGGATCGAGTGACGTGGCGGGCCGGACGAGACGCGTAGACAACGTGACCGTAATAGCGCGTCTACAAGCTTAGTGTAAGTATCCCGCGCCATGCGCCGCTCTTGCAGATATCATTCCGGCCGCCCGGCGCAAGGTGTCTTGAACGAACGCGTGGTAAGTGCAGACCCCATAGGTATGACCCCAACATGCGACGTGGAAGGTGACGCCAGTGGACGGTCTGAGACGGGTGACATGGGAATGCTGACAGGCAACGCCGAGCACGCCGCCGTCTTCATCTCCTCCCACGCGAGTTTGTCTTCGCTCCCCACGTGGCATCGACCTCCCTACTCACGCTACCATTCGTGCAGGTTGGATTTGGCTGTAGGATGGCTCTATTCGTAATGCCGATGCTACAAGCTTACACTCCTATGCTTTAATATCCGGCGAGGGCAACAGCCGCGACCCTGACACAGGTCCACCTCTTCATAACTCATGAGGTCAAGTTCTACAAACCTTCTCCTACCCGAATCGCTCATGCTTTATTTCAACAACAGACCAGCGAGCATCTGTCAGAGGACAGCCCTGAACAGCAACCCAGATCGCGAACCCCTCTTGACGCTGTCTCGGGCCGAGAACGGTGCCAGGCTTCACGCCTCCGCTCTGACTCTCCTCTGCCGGGCGCGCCATTCCCCAAAACATCGTCTCGAGCGCGGCGATGATCTGGCTTTCCTTCCTTTTCTCCACCACCTTCGCTTCACCCATCCACACTCTTTCAAACCTCGCCGAACTCACTCCCCATGGCCCCTTCCGCTCTCCTGGCCTCCCCTTCATTAGTCGCTCGTAGTCAGAGCACCGTCCCCACGATCGTGTCCGATATCGGCTGGGTATGTCTCCGCACATTCTACTCCGCGTCTGAAGCTTACCGTGTGCGTCCTTCTTGACTAGTTCGTCATCGTAATCGGGGCTGGAGTCATCAGCTTCACCCTCATCCTCTACGTCGTCTGGGCCTACGTCGTCAGCTGGAATTCTGCGGAAATCGGCACGACGCACGCCCCGACGCGCCCCACGCAAGTGCAGCCCTTCCGCGATGCCGTCGACCCTCGCCCCCTCAACTCCCGTCATCCGCTCGCAGCGCACTCGGAAACCGCCGCGTCGACGTCCAACCTCAAGCTCCACGCCGCGTCGACGGCGAATGTCGAGCTCCACGCTGGCACCTCGACGCCTACCCAGGCCAGTACCAACGGCAACCGCCTCGTGCTTCTCGACTCCCACCCCGTCGGCCCCTCCGACGGTGCAGGCCCGACCGGGTTCCCCGGCGGGCATCAGCGACCGCGAGTTGACGAAGAGACGCCGCGGTCTTCGTTGCAAGCAAACTACTCGTCCTACTCAACCCCGCGCTCGACGCTGCCGCCCTCGTACCACACCAACCCCGCACGTCCCTTGTCCGATCCGTATGCGGAGGACGCGTATGCCGATGCGTATTTCGATGAATCCGATGGGCCGGCAGCGAGAAATGAGAATAACGGGGGCGTGCGGCCAGCTGGCGGACCGATCGCGATGAAGGGTGGAAAGTTTTGAGGGCATCTTGGTCGGGTGAGTGTATGCGGACTTTCTTTACTTTTGGAATGTTGCTTTCCTGTTGTGCTTTTGCTGTGAAAGTCACCGTAGATACTCTTTTTGCGATCGATATCAACGTCCGCAGTTCATCCCTTCCTCCTTCTTTCAATCTGGAGCTTTCTCCCTTCCACAGAGCGTACACAGCGCTATTTTCTTGCCCACCGTATGAAACGAACACTATGCACACCAACACCGCCATGGATGGCGCTTCTCCATGATATCACTGGCGAGTACGCTCTCATGTTCGATGCACTGCTATGACAGATATCTGATCCTACTCCCGTCCAACAGCCGCCACTTTTGCCACTGTCTACCACGGCGTACGCTCAACACGCTCAACACGCTCAACACGCTCAACACGCTCCACTTCACGTACAGCTTCTATCTCACGCGTCAGCTATGTATCCCGCCGACCGCGCGCACTGCAGCGATGCGCTCGTCTGCCCCCGGCCATGGTCCCTCCTCCACCCGCGAGCCTGCACGGACTCTCCACCGTCGCTCCAAGCACATCTTCGTCTCCTCAAGTGATGGCCCCGCACTCCCGGCGCAGTATCCCGAGCGGCCCCACCACTTCGTCAAAGACGATCGTCATGGTAAGAAACCACAGCTATGTCCTTCTGTTCTGTCCAGCTGACCTCTCTATCTTTTCAGATCATCATCCTCACATCCTGCTCGATCGGACTCGCCGCTCTCGTGTTCCTCATCACAGCCCGCGTCCGAAAACGGCGACGCCAGAATCCCCGTAAGGACGCTCCGCCTCCCATCGTCCCCGATAAGTCCGCCAAGGGCTCGGCGCTCGTCTCCCCCTTCACCGCACTCGACCACACTTCCCCGGCAGCGTCGACCCTCTCCAAGGACGCGGACGCGGACGCCGACACACCACCGCGGTCCACCTTCCCCGTTCGCGCCCCACCCCCCTCGCCGCGCCCCCCGTCGTCGCTCGCCGCCACCATAGGATCAGCCTCCGCCGAGCGCTCTCCCTCCCCTCCCCCTCGTCCCCTTCCCCGCGCCAGATTGGCTCACCTGGTGAAGCGTAGACCGCCCAAGCCGCCCCCGATCACCGGGCCGCGCCGCCACCCCCGCCACCGGCGCGCGTCGGCGCACACCGTGGCCACGGCCAGCGACGGCGCGTCGACGCTCCCGCCGTCCTACCGCCCGGCGCGCTCAACGCACGAGCTCCGGTTGTGTGACGCTCCTGGCGCGCGAGGACCGGGGCCCGTCGGGACGCGGCGGCCGCTCCCTGAGCCGCCTGGATTGGATTGTCGGATGGGATACGCAGGGGTGCGGGCGGGCGGGGCGGGAGGGAGGGAGGGGAGGCGGAAGGAGGTCGATGGGGGCGTGCGGATTGCGGTGGGGTGAGAGGTGGTGGGATTGGTTGTGCAGACTCGGTTAGAACGAGTCGGGACACGCCGTCTCGCACCCTCGGATCGCCCAAGGACCTCGGACAAGGAATGAATGATGCAAGGGAATGTAATACTTAAGCAACGCAGCGTCCGAGATGATTATACAAGAGCGCACCGCGAACCGGCACCTAGGCTACAACAACACCCGAAGTGTCCAACGCGCTGCGCGGGCCGCCGATCCGCCCCCAACCCCCAATCACTTGTCGTACGGGGTCGAGTACGACCCGTGGCCGTCCGAGTACCCGCCGCTGTGCCCGCCGCCGATGGGCCGGTACTCGCGCGTGCGCCGGTTAGCGCGCACGACGAGGGCGAGCACGGCGAGCAGGAGGATGACGACGCCGGCGAGGAGCGCCATGATGATGTACGAGTTGCGGACGAGCACGCTCCAGTTCGGGCCGTAGACCGGGCCGCTCGCCGCGTCGCTGGTGCTGGCGGCGGCGGCGGCGAGCACGGCGAACGTGTCGGTCGCGGTCGCGGCGAGCGAGTCTCCGGTCGCAGTCGCGGACGCGGCGTAGTCGGAGTCGGTCATGGTCATGGAGGACGAGTCGGTGAGGTCGTTGTTCACGGCGGTGACGGACTCGGGTGCGTCAGAGCCGGTGAAGGTTGGGCGGGCCGTGCCGGCGGAAAGCGGCGCAGCGACGGTGGAGGAGTAGTCGGCCTGGTGGGCGCTGAGACGGGCGGCGATCATGGCGTCAACCTCCATCCATGCTTGGTCCGGGTCGACGATCTACGGGAACAATGTCAATACGAAAAGCGCCGACACATACGAAAGGACTTACGCTGAGAAGCTGCGTCGTGGGGCGATCGAGGTAGGTCTGGGAGTAGCCGGGGACGTTGACCATGCCGGAGCTGTAGTCGTACAGGGCATACATGTTGCGCAGGAAGGCGGCACCCAGTAGCCAATCTGCACGAAAACGTCGCGTGAGCCTCAGACTCCGGGCAGACACATCACAAAGTGGACTGACCAGCCTCGGGTACGGCACCAGCGCTGATGGCGCCGAGGCACGTTGTTCCGTTCGCGTCCACGAGGGGGGGTGCCACCTCAATGGGATGCATGGGGTAGGTGACACCGCTGTTGTCAACGTCAGCGCTTCGTGGATCGAGGATATCCAGAATATTTGTACGAACCCGAACGTCCAGGTAATGTTGACCTTAGTGTCACAGGGAACAGAGTAGTAGTAGTTACCGCCGCCACCGTCGATCTCCTGGGCTCCATTGATCATGGCGTAAATTGCACGCGCCGACTCAAGGGGACCCATGACTGCATTAGGGCGCCGTAGTAAGCGAATGTCTCAGACATGGTCTGGAGGCCAGCATGCATACGTACTGAACGAAGTTCCGGTGTCAAAGCACGCGACAGAGGTGTTCGACGGCACAGTTGTGTTCCACTGCTGCAGGTAGTGGTCGGCAAACACAGTCGACTGAGGCACGGATTGGCCGTTGACAGTGATGTCTTCTAGGTACGACGTCCAGGCCCCTGGCGCAGGGCTGGCGAGAACGGGTGCCTTGACGACGTCGGTCATGTTCGACAGGACTTCGGCTGTAGTAAAGTGTCTCAGCCTGAAGTCCAAGCCTCGATAGACGAACACGCACAGATAGTGAGGACACCTCCATCGGAGATACCCACGTCCGACCGTGACATGTACCAGGCAGCGTAATCAGGCATCGTAGGTTCATGGTCGAAAAGCTAACCCAGCCGTTAGCGGCGATACGGGTGACGCAGCACAAGCTCACGTTGTAAAGGATCGGGATACCGTTTTCGGCGTAAGTGGTGTTCTCGACAAGGCCCATAATTTGCGATCCGAGGGCACTGGACGCAGACCATGAGCGAACGATACCAGATCACAGTCAATGGACATACCCCCCAAGGCCAATCAAACCGTTCCACAACCCAGGAGAGTCGGCCGCTCCACCGTACGACGTGGCTACCAGGGGTTAGTCGGGTCACTATATGCACTTGAATAGGGATAAAATACGCACTGAACGCTTGGTTGACGACGGTGTAGGGACCAAACGTGATGTTTGCGAGCACGATCTCTCCCGTCGCTGACGACCCGTCCACGTATGATGTCGTGGAGTTGATGCCAGTGTGGATGAGGTTCGGGGGAGCCATGCCGCCGACACTGTCGGGGTCGATCCATGTATCCGAACTGCCGGTGTCGAGGATAACCTGTTGGCCATCGAAGCGCGTTGGCGCAATGTTCGATACGCGCATATAGCGAAGCAAGCACGCACCTGATAGTCGACGCCATTGATCGTGATCCTCGCAGTGTACTCTTGGTTTTGTGCGTGCGTGAAGCCGAACCCGGTGTCGGACGAGTTGGGGTCACGGATGACGGAGACGGGGTACGCCCCCGGAGTGCTTGACGCGTCCGCAGAGGCGGAGGTCGCGGTGCTTGATGCGTCCTCAGACGCATAGGTGGAGGCCGCGGTGTCGAGTTTCAAGGGATGCTTCCACGCGAGCGCGGAGGTGGCGAGGGGGAGGAGAGCCGCGAACTTGCGCGCGAGCATCGTGGCTTAATGGAATTGGAAAGCGGCCTAAAGTCTTCCGAGCGCAAGGAAAGAGGAAGGAGGGGGGCGGAAAAGCGCAGGGGCAGGGAAGGGAAAGGAGTGGATGAGAACGGAGTCGGGACGACGGGGATGCCTCGCTGCTCACCTTCGTCTTTTGTATCCACGCCGTGTCCGACCCTTCCGCGGGGTCTGGTTGCAACGAGGTTGCAACCGCGTCATCCCGAATCAGGAAAGAGGCACTGACGTTGCGGCCTCCGCCCCCCGCACCCTCCACTCGGATCACTGTCTTGTCCACAAGCGGTGCCTCGGAAGAGCTGTCGAAGACCCCTCAGTCCGTTGGCCCAGACCATCACCAGGGGCAGCTAAGTGTGTAAGTAGATGGTTTCTTTCTCAACGCCGGGGTAGGCAGGTTGTATCCAGGACGTCTGAAATGTGGACAAAGCAGAGGGTCATGAAACACGCGCCGACCTGCATGCACATAGAGGAACCCACCAAACTGAGGACGGTGCGCATCCGGTCAAATTGGGTGATCGCCGGACGGCGTGCCCGACGCTCCTGAGTGCCATCGGATGTGGCTGGTGTGCACCGCAATAAGACGCGTAAATTCGGGGTCGCGACGATGAGACAGTTATGTAGTAGGCTGTATGCGAGGACGAGGCGGTGGGCGGGAGTCAGGCCTTCAGGGGCAGGAGGGAGCAGGGCGCTGCGTGACAGCGCTACCCGAGACAGTGTGACGTTGCTGCGCTTTGATGGGACCACAATAATAAGAGCGCGATATCGATGCTGTCCACGCCTTGCCCACGCCTCCCTCACTCTCCCGTGCATCCGAAGCCCAGAGCCAAGTCCGAGACTTGATGCAGGCGCGAAGCTCATGGTACATGAACGTTTGAACTTTGCAACCCAACCGACAAGATGATGATCTACACATAGTACTACGGAATCTATGAGTGACTACTAACGAGCAGTACCAGTACACATCCCCTCAGGATCCCCGACACTATTGATGATACAGTACAATATCGTCCAACTCCCGCCCGTGCCATGGCGAGCACTTCGGCGACCCCTCTCCCGCATAGGTCACCGACGGCCGCGGACTCTCACCTCGACACCGCGCCGCGTACGCCTCGAGCATCCCCGTCCTCACGCTCTCCGCGTCCGAGTCGTACGCGACCCCCAACCCCCCCTCCTCCTCCTCCACGTCCGCCGCACCGTAAATCTCGTCCTCACCAGCGAACCCCTCCCGGCTCGCCGAGTGTGCGCGGAGCGGCAGGTACTCCCACGCGCGTCGGCCCCGGTCCCGCGCGCGCGCGCGCTCGTCCGCGCAGCGCACCGCGGAGCGCGCCGCCCCGACGACGACGAGCCCAACGAAGAGCACGCCGCCGAGCGCGCCCGCGATGACGTGCGCGCGGCTCCAATCCTCCTCTTCCTCGTCTTCGTCTTCGTCGTCGTCCTCCGTGGGGAGCGCCTCCGCGGCGGGGAACGCCGTGTGCAGCGCGGCGCGCGTCAGGCTCGCGGTCGCGAGCGCGTGCGGGCCCGTGAAGACCGGGCGCGCGGTCGCGGGCGCGGCGGGGACGGGCGTGGCGCGCGTCGACGCGAAGTCGGCCGCGAAGGCGAGCGCGCGCGCGCGGAGGGCGGTGGCGGCGGCAGCGTACGCGGCGTCCGGGTCGACGAGGGTGTGGAGCTGGATGGACGGCGGCGCGAGCGCGTCGCGGCCGTCGCCGTAGGACCAGAGCGAGTAGACGCTCCGGAGGAAGGTGTCGCCGAGGAGCCAGTCGCGACCGAAGTTGTCGCCGCCGATGAAGGAGCTCAGGCAGACGAGCTCGCCGTCATCCCAGACGACGACGCGGTGCGCGTCGGCGGGGTCGAGGGGGTAGGCGATCCCGCCGAAGACGAAGGAGATGTTGAGCCTGGTGTCGCAGGGGACCTCGTAGAGGATCTCGCCTTCGTCGACGATGCGTTGCGAGTTCGGGATCGAGCCGAAGATGGCGTCGACGTAGTAGTCGGGGGCGCGGACTGAAGAACAACGCAGATAGTCAGCGTCGTGCGAACAAAACCGGGAGTATAGATCGACGCACTGAAAGACGTGCCAGTGTCGAATGTCGCAATCGTCTGGTCGTCATCGACAACCACTCCTAGGTTCTTGAACGCCTCCGAGTTGTTCGAATGGCCTGTGAGGAACTTTCCGTCGACGAAGATGCCGTCCATGAGCACCGTCCACTCGCTGGGCACAACGCTATCCATCCGCGGGGCATCCAGGACAGCGGTCTTGTCCGCGAGGACTTCACCAAAGGTGAGGACACCTCCGTCGCCCAGCCCAATATCCGTATGAGACGGAAGCCAGGTGGAATACGGTGCGAGGTCGGGTTGGTGGGAGAAGAGCTAGGTCGCGATCAACGTCGAGCATACGCACGACACCCAGACGCCAGCGACATACGTTGTACATGATCGGTGCCCCATTCTCGGCCCATGTCGTGTTCTCGAGCTGGTGAAACACGCTTGACGCCGCACCTCCCGCCAGTCCGAGGAGACCATTTGAGAAGCCGGGATTTACCGAACTACCTGACGCTCCGTATGCGAGAGCTGCGCGAGTGCCGTCGTCAGCACGAACATAGCTGTATGCGTCTGACCTGCACGTACTGATCGCCTGGTTCCTAACCACGAACGGCCCAAAGGTCACATCAGCCAGTACAATCGGGCCCGTTGACGAGGACCCATCGCTAGCAGGAATACAATGAGCACAATCAAACAAGAGAGAAGCGTGGGCGGAAGACGTACACGTAGACCGTAGACGAATTCACCCCAGTCTCGACGAGGTCTGGGATCTCGACCCCACCCACCGACCACGGGTCGATCCACGAGTCGGCGCTGCCGGTATCAAGCAAGACTTGGAAGGGCACGCCGTTGACGAGGATGGTGCAGGTGTAGATCTGGTCGTCCGCACGGGTGAAGCCGTAGTCGAAGACCTTTGGTGTGTCCTCCCCAGCGCTTGAGACGGCGGAAAGCCGCGCGGCGGAGACCGGGTGGTGTGAGGACTGCGGGGCGCGCGCGGTGAACGCGTAACGGCGGGTGGGAAGTCCATGAGACGGGGGAACTGCGAGAGCGGAGGTGTGCGCGATTTGTGCGAGGAGAGCGAGGAGAGAGAGCGGGAGAAGAAGCATGACGAGCGAATAAGGCTGGGAGCGGTAGAGAGTGGCCGAAACAGCGCGAGGGGTGGAGAATGGCGTGGATGGGTCAAAGCAGAGTCGAACTCACCACCAAGGCGGATAAGGTCCTCAGAGGGAGAAGACGCGCGCCCAGACCGCGTGAGGAAAGGGATGAGAGGGCGAGAGGGGGAAGGTGGAAGAGTTGGCGGTTCTTCCACTATATCTTTTGCATCGTGGCCGTGGAATGGACGCTTCTTCGGCGTCCAGTCCAGGGCGGGGATGCGGAATCCAGGGCGCGAGGATGCGCAGCGGGTCCGGAGGTGGCGAGGCGCGGGACGTGATCAGCTCCGCAGCATCGACGCGAGCCTTGCGGGGCGCCGGTCGCAAGCTTGGAATACTAAGTCTGGTGGCGCAGGAGCGCGGGCTTGGCGCCTTTCGTGGTTCTTGTAAGGTCTATGAGGAGGACAAAAGACACAGTCCAATCTCCAGCAATTGTCAGTGTTGAGCCTGCTGAGGAGGGGAGAACTCAGAATGAGCGACTGGGCACAAAACGCACCTGGGCCGCACCGCACCGGAACCTTGGAAGACGTACTACACGGAGACGGGCTGCGCCGATGGGCGGGAGACGTCTTTTCCGAGCACCACATCCGATAGTCTAGAAGGGTGCTTATTTGTTGTCATATGTCGCCCATGCCAGTGTGTTCAAAAGCGCTCCAGATGTGTTTCTAGCCTTTCTAGAATAGCATTGTATAGGTTGGGGATGTGCAGAGAGACGCTGAGAGTCCTTGGACCTCGGATGCCCCGCTAGAGGAGAGAATGAGAGTTCATGCGCGAGGGGCGTCGTGCGCGGGAGAGGTCGTCACTGCGCTGCGGACAAGCCAAGATAAGCGCTAGATCGCCGTTGCCCCTTTGGGAATCGCCGGCGCGGGTGCGACGGTCGGACCAGCGTCCTCTCCTGCTGCCAAAGTTCGACAGACATCGATGTGCATTGGTTGAGAACATGCTGGCGCGTGTACAGGATCGGTGCAAAATAAAGTAATATGGATTGGATTGGCACTGGGCGCATCACCAAAGCCGCTGCAAATAGCATTGGCGATGAGCTCAACATCCCACGAACGTCCTGTGCTGCGTCTCCATGCATGCACACGACTGGCAGGTGCGCGGGGGCATCGTGTGTTCTCGGGCGAGTCGGCCCTCAGCTCGTCGCTGTAGCCAAACGGACCGATCTTCTTGAGTACGGAAAATTCCTAAGTAGGAGCGGTACGGGACATAGGGGTTTCTGACGACGACAGTGACACCGAGCTGCATAACCATGTGAAGCGCATACATAAACGTTTAAACACCGGCAGACTCCCACGCCCTCCACACCACCACCTCCAGCAGCTCTTTCCGCACACGCCGCGTGCGCCTTGTACAGTACACCAATACGCTGATCCCCTTAATGTCCTTTCCCCCCGCCGCGCCACGCACGCACGCCTCGGGCTCTGCGCGCGTCCGGAGGGCCCCGCGCGCCGAGCACTTGTGAGCTTCGTCAGGCCCGTCGCGCATAGAAACGCGGAGATGACGGGGAAGAGCGGCGGCATCGAGTTTGGCGCGGTTCAGGGCTTGCACCAGGGAGGACGGGAGAAGCGACTCGTAGGCGATTTCCGCGCGCATCCTTGTCGGAGACAAGGCCTGGGGCGGGGAAGAGCCATGGTGAGGTCCGAGTCCGAGTGAGCGCCCTTGCGAGTGACGGAGATGTGCCGAGAGGCGCGGTGGAAGGGGAGCACGGCGAGCAGCGCGCGCCGATGGTGTCGCGCACCATCAGCTTGCGCACTGAGGTACTGAAGTACGGGGGAGGTGATGAGGCGCTTGAGTGTGTGGAGCTCGACGGGCTCGATGTCAGGCGCGAAGGCGAGGTACAACTTGTTGAGCTGTGGCAGTTCGAGGTCTGCGAAGCAGGAAGGCAGAAGAGGACGGCGTGGTATCCGAGACGTCGTCCGATCGATTAGAAAGAACGTACTATACACCGATATGCGTCCTCGGCCTCCAACGTCCACCAGCCAACAGCCCCGCCCATCGTACACGCCAGCCACCACGCATACACCCACTCAACCGGGCTCGACGTACCGGTGCAGCGACACCTCGCTCGAATGGCTGTCTTCCGTGTGCCACGAAGATATCCGCACCCCATGCGAGAACACCGAGCCGGAGTCGGTCGTGCGCAGCGTCGGGGGCCGTGCCGACGAGATGGGAGAGGAAGCCCGAGAATCCGTCGACGCGCGCGCGTAACCGCCTTCTCTGCTTTCCCCACCATCCGTACCCTCGGCGCCAACGTCCGTGTCTTCTTCCAACGTCGAGAGGATTCTGCGAGGGACGGGGGCGTGCAGCCCCGAATCGTCGTCGTCGTCATCGTCGTCGCCGGGGTCGTAGAACGGGTCTTGCGCGAGCGGATGGGGGTGGGAGTGCTGAATAGACCGGCGCGGGCCGTCGGAGGATAGCGTCGCCGTCTCGGCGGAAGACATCGCGGGCGAGGCCGACCGGACCGAGCCCGCGGCGTACGCTTTGTCGAAGGCGGAAGGGGACGTCGACCATGCGCCGGGAGTGGGCGCGCGCTTCGACAACGCACGGCAGACGAGAGTTGGGGCAGAGGTTGATGATGACGGAGCGGGCGAGGGTGCGCCTCGTCGGGAGGGGAAGGAGGAGGGGGGCTTGCGAGTGGATGCCGCGCGGTGGGTGGCAAACGCGTGTCGGTCACGGGCGGTCGCCCGGGACGAGGACTCGGTGTATGCGGGAGGAACGGTGGATTGGATGGAGGGCGAGTCTAGGAAACGGACGTGTGAGCGTGGGGCGAGCCTCGTAGAAGGACGGAAACGACGGGTGGGAGGGGGAGCACATAGCCCGGACGACGGGGTGGGCGAGAAGGTCGGAAGACGGGGACTGACCTGTGCGTGCTGCTTTGAACTTTGTGCCCCCACCGCGCTCGACCATCGCCGTTTCCCTCCGATACGAATGCCCCGGCCAGTCCGGGTCCCGTGCATCGCCGTACCGGAGTCCGCAAAGCGTGCCCGACCCGAATGACCCTCGCCGACAGAGCAAGGCGAGCGTGGCGAGTGTAAAGACTCCGACGATGGTGCTTGCGACGATACCTGCGAACAAGAAGTAGGGAGGGCCAGTCTGGAGGGCGGCACGGGGGGGTTGATCGTCGGGGGCATTGATGGTAGTGGCGCTCGAAACACCAGAGTAGTAGGAAGAGATGAAAACGGTAGAATATGACACATGCGCCGAGTCGTCGAGGTCGATGGTGATGCTGGAGGCCGATGCCACGAGACTACTAGACTCAACGATGGTTTTATGAGCCGTGGCATAATTCTCTTCCTCGTCGCTCATGTTGAAAACTTGACCGCGACGGACGAGGGCTGGAGTGGGCGTGGTAGCCAGGAGCCGGGCGGCGGAGATGGCGACTTCCGTGGGCAACCTTGATGATGACATGATGAACAGCGGGCTCACCGAGCAAAAGAAGACACTCGCCAGCTTGAAGAACAAGTCGTCGTTGACGGTGGACGCGTCGCCCGCAGGCGCGAAAAAGGGTCCCCTGGCAAGATGTGGACGTGAGACGTCGGTTGCCAAACCTTGATGATGGCCTCACACAGAGGCGCAAAAATGAACGCCTTTACGCTCACACACAAGTGTGCAAGATGCTGGGCGGGGCGGGAAGCGGAGGAGGGTTGCAGACCGGCTCAGACTGGCAAGCACGACCAACGGGCGGGGAAAGGGGAGGGGACGGCGGGAAGGGGAGAGAATGCCGACAGGCACGGTGAGTGGATGCCGAGAGGCGGTGCGCGAGGATGATGCCACCTGCACATGAGGATCGCCGTGTGCCCAGTCGTCGTGCCCGCCCCCGCCGCCGTCATCTGAGGCGGAGAGAAGAGTTGGGGTGCATCGTCGGCTGGCGCGCTGCGGACATGCGACGGACGGCGGGAGGCGGACGGGCGCAGCCAGCTCCAGATCGATATCCCGGTGCAGGCACCGTGCAGCCGAGGACGCGTCGTGATCCACGTGACCGTCGCATCCGAACGTCGCGACTCCCAGTGCACCGTGCAACAAATCAAACCGACTTCACTCAGAGCTTCAACAGACCGCTCATCAATGCATGCGCATCATCCCCCAGCTCTTCTTGTCAAGAAAACATATCTGAACCATCTGCGCAGCCGAGCCCTTGCTTCTCCCAGTACGTACTGCAGCCACACCTTGAGCTCCCACTCGATGCGCTCGGGCCCGACGCTGTCTGACACTTGCCGCACCGTCTTGTACGGCCACTTTGTCTTCGCCCACATCCGCCACTCGTTCCGGAGCACGAACCACGCCGGAGTGAGCACCCGCATCTCGTTCTCCTCCACAGTTTGCATCGCGTCGTGGCACGCGGTGCTCGACAATTGATCTCGCAGACACGAGCAAGACAGACAATTTGGGTGGAGTGACGGCAACGTCGTCATTCGCGTGGAGAACACGCTCTTTGAACTCCACCCACCCGTCGCACTGCTGCGGCTACTATTCCCAGCTGTTGGAAGCTCCCGGAGACCCCGAGGAGGTCACCGAGGACTGCCCCGTTGTACGGCGCTCCCGAGCAGATGACGGCGGCACAGTTCATTTTTGACCGCCGTCGGCCAAGAAACAGTTGGGTTGTCTCTGGGGCGGCGATCCCGTCTTGGGGCCCCCCGGCCTGAGGCGTCCAGTGCGGGCTGGTTATCTTGCGCGCCGCGCGCGACTTCGAAGTCTCCCAGACGGGGAAGCGCGCGTTGTTGCTCGTTGCCGTCTTGCTCATCTGCGTCCTCGTTCTCGTCATCTTCTTCCTGCGCGTCTTCTGCCGCGCCTCAGTGGTTCTGGAGTTCCGGATCTGACATTTCAATGTTGACAATCAATCTCGTTATCCGAGGGAGAGCGTTGTGACCCACAGTTCAGGCGTTCAAGTCTGGCGGTACAGCTCACATTGATACCAACTATCGGGCCAGTCATCCTGTTTGTGCGAGCCACTGAGTGTGGAGATGAAGAGAAGAGGACGGCAACCATCGGCCCGGCCGGGTCGCAGTCCAACCGGGCGCTTTGTCACGCCGTGATCGATGATGTGACTCAGTGACTGCTCTCCGAAACTTCGGGCGCTTGCCAACGCGTCGATATCTGCTTGCCTCTCGACATCATCGTTCGACCAGTGGAGATGTGGAGTCGCGGGTAACAGACTAAGAGCTAAATACGGCTTATTTTCCTTGTTTTCTCTCCTGTTTCCCTTTCTTCAAGCTCACGGGGGTTTTCGTTACCATGTGAACTCTCAGACTCCGAGTCTCACCATCAGACGAAGGTCTGTGCCTCGGCTGGCAGCGCCATGTGCATGGCTTCAAGAGCTGTAAGGAAGTAAAGGCGGGTTAGTTGTATGATGTTAACAGATCTTTTCCTAGACTCGCCGCCCCCTCGAACGACAATGAATATCGGTTACAACGTTTGGACCTGTGCAGAACCCCGAGGAACTTTCGAAGTCGATACCAGACGGTTCTGAAGGAGCCCAATCGGTTTGCCAACCGCTCCAGCGCTCCGCCCTGGGCAAGCATATGCTGATCTCCGCCCCGGTGCCCGTGAAGCCCGCGTGGGCACATAACAGCCGTCAGGGTATTTCTCCGTCGCGCCTTTCGCTCCCGCTCTTCGTTCTTCTCGAATGCCTCCCCACTCGATACTGACTCGCGCACACCGCTCAGTGTACCGAAGGTCATCAGACGACGATGGCGGGCCCGCTAATCTCTGCGATGCCGGCCAGTGCATCGACAACACCTCCGTCGACATCGAGTACTCTCCGTCTCAGAACTGGCGGACGATCACAGTGACGGGCGCATCCGCGGTGGGCACCTTCAACAACGACGTGACCTTTTCACAAAACACGGGCGATTCCTTGACGGTGACATTCAACGGTACGTCTGTCTTTTGTCCCTTAAGGCGCCAAGCTCAGTCTCCAACATCAGGGACGGGGGTCAAAGTTTTCGGCGCCATCGTTCCCCACGGCCAGGACGACCCCAGTGTCGTTCTTTCTATCGACGACGACGCTTCATCAACGCTAGAGCCGCCGCCGGGGGATACTGTCTCCGAACCTCCTGTTCTCGAACTTTTCAGCACGCAATCTCTTCAGTCTGGATCGCACATACTTTCCATCACCAACAACGGGTTTCTATTTTGGTTGGACCGCTTTGAGGTCACCCCCGCCCCTTCTTCATCGAGCTCTTCTACGCCACCGCTCCCATCCACTTCTGCCACCTCCTCCACGAGCTCGAGCGCGAGTGGCGCGTCTTTAAGCACGGATAATTCTTCGAGCAGTGAGTGCCATGTATGTGTTCTTGACTCGTCGTCCTCATGCATTCATATGTGTGGGAGCGACCCCGGAAACCACAAGTACAACGTCCGCCTCAAGCACCACGGCGTTCACTTCGAGTGCTCCGATGTTAATCTATAGCGATACGACATCCACTTCAAGCGCTACGACGTTCGCTGTCAGCGCTACGACGTTCACTCTAAGCGTTTCGACGCTCACTCTAGGCGCTACGACGTCCACTACAAGTACGACGACGCTCGCATCCAGTGTCTCGGTGATTTCAACGTGGGCATTGCGCACCACGGCCTTGACGTCGTTGAGTAGCCCGACGCTCGCATCCAGTGTCTGTACTTCTTCGACGTCAACGGGCTCGACGCTCATACCCGGTGATGCTACTTCCTCGACTCCTACAAGCTCATCGAAACCGACGTCGGAGACGGGCATGGGTTCCGTGCCCCTCAGCGGCGCACTGTACACCAACGGCGGTGGCCCCAACAACGCAGGGATCATCGCCGCGGGCGTCATTGGCGGCCTCATCTTCCTCATCCTCGTCGGGCTGTGGCTCTACCGCCGAAGCGACTCCCGGCGTCGCGCGCGCGCGCTCTCGCGCTTCAGTGCGTCTCCTCTCCTCTTTCCACATCGCCGCCATCCACCGCTGACTCTTCCCTGACCGCCCTCACGCGCGCGCACAGTGCCGTACACCTTCGCCTCCCCCTCCTCCTCCTTTGGCTCGCAGGAGGTCTCCGTCGAGAAGACGTTGGCGTACAGCGGCGACGCACCTGCTCGCGCGCGCTTCAGCTTCCTCAGGACACAGCCGACGGCGACGTCGGGGGGCGGCAGGCCGCCGCCGAGCCCCGCGCAGACCGTCAGCGACGGCGACTGGCTCGAGGTCCGCTCGATCTGGCGGGGTCCGTGATGGCGCGGCGCGGCGCGGAGCCTGCCGTCTTCTTTTGACTTTCTGACTTTGGTGACCGCGTCGCGGACTCGGAAGAATTTCTGTTGCACACTGCACACCATGTACTTATACGCGAGCGCCTGCACGCACACCTTCGTTTTCGTTTTCGCAACCGATGTTCGCGTTCAGCGTTCGCGCTTCGGTTATCGGACATGCATAGTTTGTATATCACTCACATATGTAGTAGTACTACGCTGGACGCGGACCCCATACTTGAACTACCTTTTCATGTCATGCCCCATGAAGGGCACTTTGATTTCTTCGCGCGACTCAGGCTGATGACAGAGGATAAGAACAATGCTTGGCACGTGCGTGGGCAGGGGCCGTCTTCCTCTTTTCTTCTGTCTCTTGTAACTGCGCACGGCCTCCGTCCATGAGTGCAGCGTGATCACAAGCTTCAAGCTCTCCGTTTCCGTGATCAGTATCGTGCCTGAAATGTGGCTTATTTGGTTGATAAGCAGATAGAAAGCATTTCAACGCCAAGTAGTAACAACACCTGCAAGCTTAGGCGGATACGCATTTTGAACCAAATGGGACACGTCTTTACCCATACCCGTACCCTATCTCGTGGGGCGGCGAGCGAGTTGTCGCAATGACGTCAAGATAATATTTTGATGCGATCGAAGTTGAAAATATATGGGTGGCGCGCGGGGTACGTCTCATGGCCAGCATACCGCTTCAACTTCAATCTTTTCGCCTGTTGGATCAAATTCAGCGCCATATGTCCCAGAATTGTCGCTTCTGACATCCACGATCATAATGACAATTCGATTTGTGTGCTCCTGGTGGCGAGAAATTCAAGACGCGCATACCCCTGTACAGGCAAATTCATGCCATCGCGTCTTACAGAGCTTACCGGCTACCTTTTTCTCTTGACGCGATCGGGCCGGGATCTCAACGAGGCAGAGACAGAGATGCATATGCATAAGCCGTCTACGCTACTAGTACTAGTGTGTCTGTAAACTCTGACACGCATTTCGGCCCGGCCGGTCCGAATCGGGGGTAGCCGAGAACCCGGACTTGACAGCACACCTGGTACAACCAGCTGGAAACCGACCTGAGACTGCTTGACTCTCGTTCAGCTGATGCTACATACTTATGCTCTGCTTTCTTGCTCTTTAATTTTCAGGGATCCACGGTCTCTTTCACGGCACAACAACCATCTAATCAATCTACAAGTGCCACTGTAACCGAAGACGCCAGAAGCAGTGATTTCGTGGCGGCGTGGCCTCACAAACGCCGAGCGCGTTGCCATCGTTCCGGGGTACTTATCAACACGATCCACCATTGCGCCCGGCTTCTCCCACCTTTTGAAGAATGCAGTTCGGGCCCTGTGCACCTATAACTACACGCTTGCCCTTCGTCGCCGCTTGAGCTTCCCCCTCCACCATGGCCCCCGTCACCGCTCCCCGACAGACCCGCGCTAGTCGCGTGTTCCATTTTCGCAGAGCTCTTCAGGCAAGAGAAGACGACTATGGGAGTGGCTTCGCCGACGAGAACTCATTTTTTGACACACGGACCAAGATCTACAGCAAACGAGCCCTCGACGGCCACGTCCGTCAGTTGGGCACCGGCGGGGACAACCTATCGCTCACCTTCGAGGGTAACAGAGACTCATACTCCGTACTGTCTAGACGTTCTGACGTTTCCACAGAAAGATCGGTGATCGCGTTTCGTGCGAGCTCACCGCCGCAAGCGCCGAGAGTTGCACTCGCGTCTCCAGTTGGCGACGGACCTCCGGTTGGCAACGGGCCTCCCCCACCCCCCTCGCCTGGCAGTTCACCGCCGCGCGGTCCTGCGGGGGCTCAGTCGTCCACAGGTGATTCTGAACAACGCTCATGATCGTCAACTTGAATGGCGTCAAGTTCTCGTTTGATCTGACCTCGGACGGCACCGGTGCAGGCCAGTCCTCGCAGTCGCAGTCCTCCGAGACGACAACAAAGAGCTCCACCACCGCGAAGTCGACGTTCAGTGAGTGTTCTAGCGTCAGTCCTAGTGTCTATCGAGATGACCGACATTCCGCCCGGCAGCGACTTCCAGCCCTGCTCCAGCCAGCTCTACGTCCTCCGCTGGTGCGTCGACATCCCCCACGGACACCGCGAAAGTGACTTCGACGTCCTCCGGTACGTACTCTCTTCTACTTTCAACAGCGACGCTTCGCTCATCGGGCACAATTGTCAGAGTCTCAGAGCAGCGGCGTCTCTTTGGCCGGTTCCGCGTCGTCCACCGCCACCACCACGCCGAACTCATCCACGTCGATGTCGGCTTCTACGGGTAGCTCGGTGCCAACCAACGGGGTGCTTTCCTACGTTTCGACGGGCGGTGCCAACAAGGGGACCATCGTGGCTGGTGTCGTCGGTGGCATCTTTGCGCTGCTTCTCCTTCTCTTCGCCGCCGCACTGCTTTTCTATCGTCGACGTGAGCGTTTGCGCCGGAAGAGCGCGCTCTCGCGATTCGGTACGTCCTGCCTTCGCCTCACCTCGGTCTCCGTTGATAATCGCGATCGGCACTGCAGAGCCTATGGCATTCACTTCCGGCGACCCCGCTATCAATTCTGCGACACTCGCCAACACCTTCCCGCCGACTCCTGAGTTGTCGCCACAGGTCGGCCAGCCTCCGCCTCGCCGCGGCCTGGAGGTGTCGCCGTTCAGTGATGCATATGCGATCGGACGTTTCTAAGCCATGCTTCACCGATATTTGAGCTAGTCTCAATATGATTTGCTATTGCACCGGTGCGGTGAAGTTCATCGGCCCGGGCCGCGTGGTGCCACTTATGACCCGTGCAGTATCATACTTCCCTCGCCGCGATCGCTCCAAGTTTCCTGAGTAGTAACAGGCCGCATGTCAGACAGTCTGATACGGGATGTGTGGCATGATGGTTTCTTCCACGGTTCTCGAGCACTGTCGACCTCAGTTGTGCCACGAAGACAACGTAGACAAACAACGCGAGCGCGTTTGAGTCACGTGCTGTCAAATTTTACGTCTGGCGCTTATCAAGCTAGGCTTTCGTTCCGCTCTGTTTGCTTCTTGACACTGAGGCTGTTCAACTTCTACACTGAATGCCTCGACTCCGGAGCTGAAGTGCTGCATCTATCTATGCTCTCTACGTCGGTTCTGAGCGCTGAGAACTTCCACAGCCTAGAGTGCAACCCATCATCGCCAAGATCGGCTTCTCTGCACCGCAAGCTGTTCTCGCCGGGGACTCATGCGCCAACGAGAGCTCCCTATGTCCTGTCAAATCCCACGTGCGTAGCATTGAAGAACCGTTCGTCGGGTCTGGGATTGGTGCGGGGGTCGCAGCATGTGGCGCGCCGTGGATGAACGGCGGGACGTATTTATGTGGACGGTGGGATGTATGTGGACGGGCGATGCCTTTCGTACCGAGGTGAGTCTTGCGAACCGTCGAACGGTTCTTCTGGGCGCTGATGCTCTCCATCCATCAGTTTCAGTACTGCATATGTTCGTCCTGCTCTCAATTTCCTGCTCTCAATACACCGGACTTTCGCCCATTTCTCTACTCCGTGTGCCACTTAGAGTATCTCCAAGATTGGCATGGGCGTAGCGCTACGTTGGGCATCTGAGAAGTGCGTCTCTACTCAAGACTACAGATCTACATGCTGTGCGCTCATGCCGGAGCGTGGATGTTCCCATCTGGATGGGAAGATGGGAAGCGGAAGAGCGTGATGCCGTCCTTCGTTCTGTCGTGGTTGATGCGCGTCGCCCGAGGCACGGAAAAGGACGCCTCTTATACCGGTAATCGCTCTTCCTCCCTTGCGATCCCGCCCACCCTGTCTTTTGGTGTCCGACCTCTTACGCTCCTTTCTTTTCCCGTTCCGCAGTTCTACGCCACTCTCGCTGGCTAGATATCCATGCCGAGTCTCCGAGACGACGATGACAACACCCCGCCTCAGTGTATCCAAATACATTGCGTCAACAACGACGACGACAGCATCCGGTATACCCCCGCGACCTCTTGGAAATACAACGTGGACCTCCGTGGCAATGACGGCGCATGGCACAACGATGTCAGTCAATCGGAAACCAAAGGTGATGTCATGAATTATATATTCAGCGGTGATTGCTCCTGCTCGACGCATGCGACATTCGCTGATAAACGCATCCGCAGGCGCGTCCTCGATCTCCGTTTGGGGTGTACTGAATGAGAACGATCCTGGAGGAGAGGTCGTCTTCTCGGTCGGAGACCACTCGGAAACGGCCAGTGCAACGAGCAGCAACCCCTCCGTCACCCTGATTTACAACTCTCCAACGTTCACTGGCGACACACAGACACTCGTCATCGAGAATAGCGGTGTTCTGCTACAACTGGATCACCTGGAGGTCACTCCGTACGGGACCTCCCAGGTATTGGATGGATCGCTCTCGCCTCAGGTACCGCCGAGCGTCTCGAGCACTTCCTCCAATGTCGAGACAAGTACATCGTCCTCAAACCCTGCCACCTCTTCACTGTCTACCATCATCACGTTGACCGTTCCAATCAGTATGTGATTAGCATTAAATGGCCCAGCTCTCTGGTACCGACTGACTTTCTTTTCACAGCTGTAACGGCGTCACCTCTGTCGAGTACACTCGACGCTGTCTCGGCGACGAAAACTGTTATCACCTTAGTCGTCTCCTCTCAGACCGTCGTGTCCACTCCGCCATCCTCCACCGAGGTCGTCACGAACACCGTCACCAGCGACGGATCGGTGCTCATACTGACTACGACTAAGACGTCCCAACCTTCCGGAACATACACGATTGTGACCCAAGCCTCGGACGGTACCGACGCCAACGTGTCCTCACATCCTTCCACCGCAACCATCGCCGGATGCGCCGCCGCGGCCGTCGCGTTCCTCTTCTTGCTCGTCGTCGCGGTCGTCCTCGTGTGCCGGAGACGTGTAAAGCGCGCGCGGGAACGCGTCGCGCTGTCGCGATTCGGTTCGTACTCTTATGCCGCAGCAGGCCTCGATGCGATCTGACCCTCCGTCCGTCACAGAGCCGAATGTGTTTGCCTCACCGTCCCCCGATCCGGGAAAGGCCACCTACGACGCTGACGTCAAGGGGGACTGGTCGGAGAAGCACGACCAGCAGTCTTTATACGCGGCAAGCACGGTGACGACGCTCCCAGCGTATGGGTACACTGCCAACGAGCCGCCACTGCCTTTGCTTGGAGAGGAGGATAAGTACGCGTACGACGAGTACTTTGGGGATTCTTACGAAGGTGTTAGCTCAGCGGGGCATGGACCTGTAGTATTTTAGCCGGTTTCTCAGGTGTGCGTTTCTTGATTTATTTGCTGCAGGCTTTCATCTAGTGGAGCCTCAATGTTCACTACTGTGTACGTTCCCATGGCGCATCGAATTGTTTGGGTTTCATGCGTTTTCTTAGCCCCGTGTCATGATTCTCACAAAGGAGTTGATCAGCGTTTATCCAAGCACGTTATCTTCAGAGCACACAACGCCGCCGAGATTGTGTAAGTACCTTTAAAACACCTCAGAAAACCGCGCCATCTCATTCATCGCTCTGAATACTGTCTATCGTAAGGACCGCTTCCAGATTTCTTGGCACGCTTCCAGACGGCGGTCTTTCGGCATGCGATGGACGAGTGCGCGGCTCATTGCCTCATCCGGTGTTTTCAAGGTCGCTGCGGCGTACACGCCGAGCGTCTTTCTTCCGATGACATCATGTTCCGCCATCGCGGAGCTGTCTAAGAACTTGATGTACAGCTTCACTGAATGCGGCCCTTCTCTCGTCGTGTCGGCTTGAAGCCATTGGGCACTGTAAAGTGACTGAATTTCCATAACAAGGTCGCACGTAGCATGCGAAGAAGAAGAACGGTGAGCGGGATACGAAGCACTCGGCACTCGAACTGGCAAAGGATCATAAGCTCGTTTTAATCACGTATGATCATCTTTTCAATCAGGGCCACTGCTGATATCACGTTCGATTACGTTTTAGTATCGCACTTGTACACGCGGTTTTAACTTCGTTCTCAGAACAAGCCTTATTCACCCGCCCATATGAATGAAAGCGGCGGGTGCGCCTGTTTGATCCCCTGCTGTGTGTACGGGAGAAGAGCGTCCTTGCTTTTAGGCCTGGTAAGCATCACGAGGTTCACTCATCGCATTGTCTCTGTGACTATCGCAGTCCCCTGAGCATTTGAATTTCTACTAGTGAACCGAGAGTAGGAAACGTTCAAGAAGATGAAACCATCATCTCATATGTATTTTTCGACCAATTCAACGACACTCACCGGGACACTCACAAGTTCTACTCAAGCTGGCTCTTTGAACAGCTCTTTGAGCATCTCTTCTACCGCCTCTGCAATTAACTCCACGACACCATCCCCGAAAACAATCACGACCGCAACTTCGACAGATGACGCAACCAGTACAAGTTTCCCATCCAATGCAACCACCACCTGGGAAAACTCGGGTTCGAATTCATCTTCCATAAGCCCCCCCACTGGTGCGATCTTTTTCTCGTTTCTCCTGGGTTTTCTGGCAAGTTGACTATCTCCAAAGATTCGACTTCCACGAAGGAGCCAATCCGCTCTACGCTCATAACCACTGATCCTATGCTTTTAAAATCACCATGCAGTTGTACGTGACGAGTACTTAAAACATGCTGTGCGATACATTTACTCTGTTTCGGGTGACCTCTTCAGCCCCTTCGGAAAGCCAAGTTCGAACAGACAATATTTCTACCCCAACGCCTCATACGTTTATAACTTCCACACCATCTCCCACAACGTCGGCAGCCGAAATGACGCGCGAAGATCACACGATGAACATTGGAACCCTGGTCGGAATAATCGCGGGTATAGTGATTATAATATTGATCTTCGCCGGGGCGTTGAGTGTCGTTCTGACACGGAATCGAAGACGCGCACGCGAGCGGGCTGCCCTCATGACCTTCGGTATGTGCTGAGACCTACGTTTTCAGCCACTCGTTTCGCTAACAGCTCGGTTTGTTATTCAGAACCCACTTCCATGTTCTCCAAAGTAGAATTTTCCACGCCGCAACTCTCATCGAGTCTCCCGCCAGGTCTTGAGCCACGCATGCGCAACGAAACGAACGTATTCCAGGGTGCCGATACGCAAGACGCTTACGTGGTCGACGCGCATCGCCTTGAACAGGTGCTCGACTCGGACGATGGAGGGTATGGATACGGCGACGTGAAGAAGGCTGCGGAGTTCAAGCTGTCGCGCGCAAGCACGGTGACGACGCTCCCCGCTTACTCGGACAAGCGGAGCCACACGAGCCACGACTACCATCATCTCAGCCAAGATCCCGCGCCGGGGGAAGAGCAGCTTCTCGAAGATGGGCGCAGCACGAACTTCTCGGGCGCAGGAACTCCGCGCGTGGCCGGACAGCGGCGGCAGAGTCACGAAAGCAGTGCGGAGACGTTCGGGTCGGCGTGGTCGGGTCCGGTCGTGATGTAGGGGAGGTCGGAATTTGCTGCTATGTCGCGCGATATACCTCGGGATCTCTTGTAGAAGGGCTCATTTGGAGGGCCTCTGTTATTTTCAGCGTAATTCTAGCCAAGCCATAGAACATGCGCACGATTGGTCCCTGTGGGAGCTGTGGAAGTGTTGAGGCAATGCTCGTCGGACATCTTCTGAGCAAGCGTCTGCCAAGTTGTCACGAAGATGGATCAGAGATGGAAGCCCGAGATGGGATGTAAGTGGTCGAGATCCATATTTAGCGCATCCCAGCATGCATAGTCTCGTTCAGAGCGAAGACGCTGCGCGGCTACACCAAGGCTCGCCGCCGTACGTTCACAAAGTGGATGTGCGATATCAATGTGCCTTATGAACGGCCTCGTGTGTGAAGATGGACACCCGCTTCTTACAGAGGCCGATCGACGTCTCTAGCACACATGGAGACAGTCTCCGAAAACGTATGTCTTATCTGGGTGTCATTCTGTCGCTGTTCATCTTTCCACCCCCTCTCTTCGGTCGTTTTCCAGCACACTCCGATACTCTCTTTTCCCCACCCACCCAGCTTTCATGAACGGTACCTTGAATAGTGCAGATCCGACGATGCTCAAAGGGCGCAGGGACGCTGTAGAGCAATGCACTCCACCGAGTTTATGCGAAGACGATGTTGCCTTCACTGTCCAGGACTGGATCGAGCTTCGTGAAGGCGATGTCACGTTTAGCATCTTTCATAACACAATCCGTCAATCGACGAAACCTGGGGCAGTAGCTACCTTTCCAGGCCTCAGTTCGTCGTCCTTCATACCTGTTAACAGCGTAGGCTAACTTTCCACTTCAAAGCCGTACCAAAGGAAGCGGCGGTGATTGTTTTTGGAGTACACGTGCAAGACAAGGATGGAAACGCGGCGTTCGTGTACGACTTCGGCGGTGGGCCGACGACAATCAACTCTGCTCTAGCCAGCACAGAGTCCATCAAATCCGTCTCGAGCGTATTCTCTTCGCAACCTCCGAACAGTGACGGTCCTGCTACAATCAGCATAGAGGTACTCCAAGGAACGATGTATCTGGATTTCGTCTCTGTGAGTACTCAGGGAGTACCTCCGACAGTCAAGACGCCGAAACCCGCTTCATCGAGACTTGGACCTGAAAGTGCATCGCCTACCACGACTGCGAGCACATCTAACACGACAACAAGTGTAGGCACAACGGGCATAACGAGCCCCGGAGTATCAGACCCCTCGCAGGCAGGACCTACACGTACGATGATTCGCGCACTTAAGAAAGTACGTTGCGCTCAACAGCAACTTATTTCACAGCCCTGCCGTCTTCTCAGATGCCGCCCGCGGCGTCCGAAAGCACTCCCCGTGCCCCGCCAGAATCGTACATCGTGTCCTCGAACCTCCCGTCCTCTAGCTCACCGACAGCTGCAACGGACGGGGGTTCCACCACGGATGCACCAACGGCGTCTACTTCCAGCACGGTCAGCAGACCCGGACCACAGAAAGGCATGCAGACGAGCACGTTTGTAGGGATCATCGTCGGCTGCGTCATCCTCCTCCTGCTTCTCCTCCTCCTAGCGGTCTGCCTCCTGCGTCGCCAGCGGAGGAACATGCGGCTACAGAGCGCGCTGAAAAGATTCGGTGCGTACACACGATCTCCACCTCGCGCATGTCTAACGTCGTCTGCACCGGCCTCGCACGTCGCTAGAACCGCTGTCGCTCTTCTCCGCACCGTCGGCGGGCGTCTCTGGAGGCGCTCCCGGAGACGCGGAGGACTTCGGATACGGAGACGAGAAGAAGAACGCGGAGATGGATCGTCGTCACTCGTATTCGAGCACTGTCGAAACGCTGCCGCCATACCGGTACTCCAGCGACGGCGGTCGGTTCGACCCACCAGCGCTGAAGGACGCGGATGAGGTCAACAGCAGCGACGCTCTCGCGGAAGCTTATGACGGGTTTGCGAGGCAAAGAGAGACTCACGAGGGTAGCGCCGAGGGGCTGAAAGCGGAGTGGACGAGCCCGGCAGTTGTGTAGAAAGCATTAATTTTGCGGACCATGGAACCGGACCTCATCTTGTGGACGCTATTCTTGTACCATGCGCACAGCTTGTTTCGACCGGAACCGTGTTAGTCCTTGCAGTGGCGTAGCGCGGATACATACCTGTCGGCGCAAGATGCTGCGGCGAGAGCCAAGCTTGAGCGCTTGAGCTTGCACAATCTCTGAAACGCACTTCGCAGCTGGGTGGATGTTGCAAGGTGGACACTGGACGCATAATAAGCGCGCGACGTGCGAGTTGCTGGCGCCTGTAATTAAGACTCCGCTCGCGGCGATTCCGGCAAGTCCGGCAAGCTCATTGCCGACTCAGACCCGAGCGGCGAGGAGTCGCAAGCCTTCACCTTGTTCTCCCTCGAGCCTCGGCCTTAGTGTTCAGCGATGATCAGCAGCTCGAATATGGGTGCAGTAATCATCAATCCATCGGAGATACCAGGCACGTACTTCATCGCTGGTTTCTCTTAGTGTCTTCTCTCGCGATACCGGCGACAGGATCGCAGCGACTCATGATCTTCGCGTGCGAGTGCGGGCTTTTCGTCGCGCACGGGTGCGGCGTCCGTAGGTGGATGATTCTCACGTTTTGTTCTTCCATCTGTTCAACGGGCTGATGGAAGAGCGTGAGCACTGACTCCACCGCTGCCTCTCACTTCAAGCATTGAGTGAAGCACGCTGGGCGTTGTACAGAAAGCTTGAAGACACGGTGACACATGGTATGAAAAAACGATGGTTGTGTCTTGGGCTCTATGAGACACGCGCTGGGCCACAATTCTGGTAATCTCAAAGCGCCCCCATCCGAAGATCTGCCAGTGACATCACAGCTTCTCGATGAGAAGGCCGCAGACCCGCGTGAGAGCCCGCACTGTCACGGTGCCCGTCGCTCAATGACTTTGCATATCCCAAGGAGAATGACATCTTGCCCGGTCTCCTTTTCTTGGATCTCGTTCCCCCGCGACGAACTCACACTCGCGGTCTTTCACTCTCCTTTGTTTCTACTACACTCGTACATCATGGAAGGTACTACCTACAACATGTCATTCATTCATCTACCTTCCCGAGACACCTCACAAGGGAGTCCCGAATGCCCCGTTCTTGGCGCTACCTGCGATGATGAGGCTTTGTTCGGTTTCAGCTCAGACTGGGGCTTCGTTTCCGACGGCCCTGCGCTCATCGGAACCACTTATCGTCGTTCTACAAACATTGGTCAAAACGTTGTCGCTTCTTACAGTGGATTCAGTGAGTGGTCTTGATTGAGATAAGGAACCTTCGGGTGATATTGACGAGAATGAAGGTGGTTCTGGGCAGCTCTTGGTATTCGGCGCTCACGTTCAAGATAACAGCAGCAGAGGATCCTTCGTCTATGACATAGATGGACAATCAACGACAATCAACTCTGGCATACCATCAAGCGACGCAACGCCGTCCATGTCATGGGTTTTTTCGGCGGAACTCGAAGGCTCTTCTGCGCATACGATCGCCGTCACTGTGTTCGCCGGGACGTTATATCTGGACGGCATCGCTGTCGGAGGACAAGAAACAGCACCACCTCCGTCATCCGCCACAACGACGCCACTCACCAGCTCGCAAACACCACCGCTACCGCCCATCATTTCGTCTCTTACGACCTCTTCCTTCGTCACTGCGTCGCCAACCGTTTCAAGTACACACACGTCATCACCGTTTTTAGCTGCGGGAGGCAAGCCTACTCGTTCGGGTACGATATCTTTGAACATATCGTACCTTTGCGTCACTGAATAATAGCAGGTAGCCGCGGTACTGCTTCCGGGTCGGGCGATAACACTCCTTCGTCACAAGCCACGCCGCTGGCGTCCAATTCGGGAGATGATCCGCCCGATACAGTCGCTTTTTCGAGCTCGGAGAAGGGCTCGGAGACCCCGCCGGCTTCAACGCCCATTGTCAGCCCAGCGGGCTCCTTGGGAACACATACTGGAACATCGACACCAGTGATCGCAGGCATCGTCGTCGCGTGCCTGCTTTTCATCCTCGTGCTCCTCGGATGCGTCTTGTATCTGCGCCGGAAGCAAAGAAATCTCCGCAAGAGCATGCTCACAAGATTTGGTGCGTACATATACCCAACACCTCCCAAGCGAGATGCACAGCTGACCGTCGTGACGCCCTCCTTCGCTTCTCAGAGCCCCTCGCTCTCTTCTCAGACTCCCCAACGCCTTATCCCTCGCCCACCACCCACATAGTCGACCACAATACTCCCATCGAGAAGGTGGACGACTCCACAGCGTTCGGGTACGGAGACGAGAAGGAAGACACGAAGAAGCCGGGCGACCGGTTCTCGTACCCGAGTACGGTCACTACCCTGCCTCGATACCGGTTTTCCAGCGACGGAGACACATTTAACGCGCGAAATATGAACGACGCGTGAGTGTATGGCGACATGGATATCGGAGAGGAACTAGATACTCGCGAGGGTTCCCTCAGCGGACCAGACGTCTCATCGTCGGGACCCGTAGTGGTGTAACGAAGAAGCGGCTCTATTGGCTTAAGCATGTGATGGTGTACCCGATTTACAGTGAGATGGGCGTATATGAGATATTGCACCAGAAAAAACAGGAGAGCATGGAGGGAGACCGTATTGAGGAGAGAGAGACTAGTAGGACCACTGGTGGAGGTTGAGGGTCCGGAGGGCGGGCCGAGTGGCGGATTCCATGTGGCACGTGAACATGCTCTGGCCAGACTCTGAGCGGCGCTCCGCGCGACCGCAACGACCTGTCTTGCCCTGCCCTGCCCGCTCATCCCGATGTCCATCCCCAAAGCGCCCCGCTCTCGCCGCCGCCTTTCCCCCAGCTGCCTCCGGCTGGTCCTCACATGCACAATCACCCACGTTTTCCGCCACGCGCCTTCCTAGCCGCGATAACCGCCGCGCCTGCCAGGTGCAATTCGCCTCCATCCCTCCCTCGCCCTCGTCTGTCTTCCCGGTCCTCCGACACGCTAAAATCGACACGCACAAATCGCATTGCAATTCGAGGCGCGCATATAGGACGGTTTTAGGTCATCCTTAGGTTAGTTCCTCTGTCCTACCCGTATCGCTTGCCTTCTTATCTTGTTGCGCCGCGCTCTCCTCTAGCTGCCGACTTCATCAGGCTCTGCAATTGAGCGTACGAGATGCCCACACCTCACGTGAATGATCTCGGCGATATCTCCGTCATCCACGATGCCCAGCAGTTCTGGTCAGGCATGTCAATCTCCCTTGCTTCAACGATACGACTCCTTCTGACTTGTGTACTTGCAGAGCTCGAAGACATGCTTTGTATTCCAGAGAATCCTTTGCTCTCTCAGCTAGACGGAACATTGCGTCTGCTCATCACATTTTGTGCTGCGTACGACGGTCAGGTCATTCGCATATACTTACCAATGCCGTCGTTTCTAACATTCATACACCCTGCGTCGCATGCAGAGCAATATCTGCAATTTCCTTCGCAAATAGACCACGCCTGCAACCTGATCCTGTCCTCGGAGCTGTTTGTTTTCCACTCGGAGCGGATGTGTGAGCTTATGGTGGAGGACGCGCAGACGGTACGTTTTCCTTCTCTCATTCGCCCCACACCCCCCTCTTATCACTGCATCACCCATTCTTTCTGCTTTACGTCCCGTCAGAACACGGACCCGCATTACGAAATGATCCTGTATTGCGTCATCCTAGCCTTCGGTCGTCGGAGTGCTGCTTTGCATCGTTCCCAGAAACGTTGGCGCGCTCTGTTGCCCCTTCTCATGGACCATGTTCGTTCAGACGTTGACCCGGAGACCGACTGCTATAGTGCTTCAGAATCGAGTTTAGGTGCGACGCGTTCAACAGTCGTCCCCATCGAAGTGAAGCTCCGGTCGTTGTCGGTACGGCTACTCTACGAGGTGTGCCACGTCCAGCAGATGGCACAGCAAGATCTTCGTACGTTCTTTCCCTCTCCTCGCGCGCGCTGGTGAGCTCAGTCGATACGATAGGCATGTTCGATGATGCGTTTATCGACCATTTATTCGACTTGGTAGAGCAAACTCGAGCTGCGCACGATGACTCTTTCAACTATTCCGTCATCAGGCTCATAGTACGTGACGAGAGGTGCCGTCATAACTTGGTGCTGACGCGCGCTCAGGTGGCTTTAAACGAGCAATTCATGGTGGCATCTCTCCAGCCGCACTCTCCACAAACGCCTGCCCACGGATCCATGGAACAGCGCTCGAAGAGACCGGGGTCGACAAATCGCGTGCTATGCACTCTGATGTCTCGTCCCTCATCTAGTCCTACTTTTGGAGCGAACCTTGTCTTCATGCTCAATCGTGCCGATCGGACACCAGAGGACCTATGCATGCAACTGCTCGTGCTCAAGCTGTTGTACCTCCTTTTCACGACGAAGGGGATGGCGGAGTTCTTCTACACGAACGACCTGTGCGTGCTTGTCGACGTTTTCCTGCGGGAGATCGGAGACATCGACGAGGAGAACGAATCGGTGAGTTATCTGCGTACCCTTTTGCGTGAGATAGCGTTGAGATTTTGTCTCGGTCTTTGCAGTTACGACACTCGTACCTGCGGGTACTGCATCCATTGCTTACGAAGACCCAGCTCCGCAATATACCGTACAAGCGCCCACAGACCGTCCGTGTTCTCGAATGTCTTATCGAGAACGAATCCATCAGGGACGTCAACCCCACCACCAAGCGTCTCGTCTCGCGGTGCATGAGCGGAGGGTGGTGCGTCCAGCTCTGCAAGGACAGCCCTTCAACGTCGTCGGTGACAGACCCCCGCAAGTACACCATCCACGAAGAGGGATCTAAGCGTGACGACAGCCCAGGCCTGAATGCCGTCTTGGTCGCACCTCCGCCTAACTCCGCAGGAGCTATTGCTGGTGCCGCGAACCGTCAGCTTGGACGGATGAGCTCAATGCACGGGAATCTCTCCAAGGCGAGCAGAAGACCGGAGCATTTGCCTCTCCCGTCACCGTCGTCCTCAGCATCAGCGAAGCCCCGCCCCGCCTCCAGCCAATCTGCCCCATACGCTGCAAGCGGCCGAATGGCACCCCCATCCACATCCCACCACCTTCACTCCCGTGCGCGGAAGGGATCGGGCGCCGCGTCCACCGTTCCTCATCACCTCGCGAGCGGAGACAGCGCGTCGAGCCTCCCACACGTCGCCGCCACCACGTCGTCCTCGGTCTCAGGCACCCATCTGCCGCGCTTCCGCGCGCGCTCGTTGACCGTCGGGCCCACGACGCCCTCCTTTTCCGCGCTCTCGCTCGGGGACGGACACCCGCCGACGCCCCGCTCTGCCCCGCTCCCCGCCGAGGGGCCCGACGGCCTGCCCTGCCCGCCGTCGTTCTCCCGCCTGCACTCGTCTTCTTCGAGGTCGTCCCCGCGGCGCGCGCCCCCAGCCCCAGATATCCTCGTGCGCTCGCCGACGTCCCGCGCTGGCACGTCTCCGGCTCCCGGGATCGTGCCGCCGACGCCGCCCGTATCACCGCGGGGCTCGTTGGAGTCGACGGCGTCCGGGAAGCCGAGGCGCCCACCGCCGCTTCCGCCGAGAAAGACGCGTAGGAAACCGCCGCCCGCGCCGGTGCGTGTGCCGACCGTGGACGCGGTCGCGGGGAGCAACCGGCCAAACCTGGCGGCGGGGATGGTGGGGACGGCGTCGGCGTGTTGATTGGAAGGAGTACCGGACGGTGGGATGGTTGGACGGATGGAGGAGGGAAGTGCGTGCGCGCTCGTCGTCGACCGCGGACGTCGCTGGTCTGGTTGCTGTATTGGCATGCGATGTCGGCCCGCTCATCGTGCTGCCCTCCCCCACCTCACTCCGCTCATCCTTGCTGTATCGTCTTTCGGTGCTCGTTTCTGCCGTTGCTCTCCGCTTTTACTTTGAGTCTCGCCTCGGCGCTGGATATATATGTGTACTACTTACTACCCTAGCATCGTGCACCTCCGCGCCGTAACCACGCATTCTTCATCATGTAACGACCACATACATACTTCAGAGCATTCGGAGTCCTTGGCGGGCTGCGTCGATGCAAAGGCATTTCGAAGCGGACCTCGGTGGATTTGGGCCCGGAAGCTTCCGAGGAACGTTATGTCACGATGGTCGTGACACTGCGTTATTCTCGAAGTTCGAGCTGCGAAACTGGAGCCGCCCTGTGCAGACGACATGGAGGTAGAGTGAGAGGTGCCGGTGAGTACTTGAGTGTCCACGCCTCTTCTTCGTAAACTCGTATCTGACGATCGACGTCGAGCTCTCTGAAAAGCAGTCTCGCCTCCCTCTTGGCACATCGGCGGCATCCCTCGCCGACGTGGGACACACATGCCGCTTTCTTGTCATTGGTCAATCACAGATCCGCTTGCTTCCAAGTAGAAACTTGGTGAGCAAGACCTTGGCGGCGGTCTCGATGCACTTTCCATTAATTGCCGGCGATTCGCAAAGGCCCCCCTCAGGTGACCAATAATATCTCATCAGACGGTGCCGCGGCACGGTATCATAGGCATTTAAATGCTCCGCTGTGACCAGGAACCCGTCCTCAATTATACACAGGCAACGTGCCGTGCGCAGAGGACAAGAGCCCTTGGCGGGCCGGTGCAGCTACTATTTAAACCCGTCGGGATCCTCGCGAATTCCCCAGCTCCGTCGTTACCTTCGAGCCGCCCCTTTCCCTTCTCCTCGCTCTCCCTGACCTTTGTAGCTGGTAAGAACGCCCGTCCAGTCGCGCGAGGGAGCCTGGCTAACGTGCCCGTCCTCCTCCCATCGCAGCTGTGCGGCTTTCTACTCACCGACCAACTTATCCCACCTTTCTTCGACCCGTCGACCCACATCCGGACCTGCCCCCCACACCACCATGTTCTCCATCGGCCGTCTCCTCGTTCTCGCCCTCCTCGGCGTTTCTCTCTCGGTCAACGCCATCCCCGTCCCCAGAGCGTCCACGGACGTCAGCGTGGTGCGTTCGAGCTTTGATTTTCCCGGCAGCCGGAGGCGCTCACGCGATCAATGCAGCACGCGAAGCGGCAGGACGCTGTTGATGCGGTCCCCATCGACGGCACGTTCGAGGACGCCGACGGCACCGATGTCCAGGTACGCTCGCTTCGCGGTCTGATGTTCCACCGTGGCTGAAAAGTGCCTGCAGATCGTCAGCCCGGACGACCTTGAGGTACGCTCGCGTCGCATTTTGTGATGTCTCGCTGTGTCCTGAGAAGTTGCTTTAGAGCGTCGACGCGACAGAGGTCGAGGTACGCTCCCATCGCTGGGGGGACACACTCCCGAGTGCTGAGTAGCTCCTTCAGTTTGTCGACGAGGACGACGAGGACGAAGACGTTCAGGTACGCCCCCCTCACAGAGTGATGCCCCCCCATGTGCTGACAAGTTGCTTCAGTTCATCGACGCGGACGACCTTGTGGTACGCTCTCCGCACGATGTGTTGTCCCACTGTGCGCTGAGAAGTCGCTTTAGGCCGCGAAGCGGCAGGACGTCGTCGACGCGGTCCCCATCGACGGCACGTCTGAGGACGCCGATGGTACCGACGTCCAGGTGCGCTCTCCTCGCGGTGTGATGTTTTCCGGTGTGCTGAAACCGGCTGCAGATGATCAACCCGGACGACCTTGAGGTGCGCGCTCTCGCTCGCATTTTGTGATATCTCGCCACGTGCTGAGAAACTTCAGGTTGTCGACGCGGAGGAGGTTGAGGTACGCTCCGAAGCGTGATGTGTCCCTGAGAGTACTGAGTAGCTCCTTTATTCTGTCGACGAGGACGACGAGGACGATGAGGATGATGAGGACGACGAGGACGTTCAGGTACGCCGCCTCTGAGAGCGACGTCCCCCCATGTGCTGAGAAGTTGTTTCAGTTCATCGACCCGGAGGACCTTGTGGTGCGCTCTCCGCAACAGCGTAATGCCCCCCTGTGGATGAATACTGAGTAGTTTACCCAGGCCACCAAGAGGCAGGACGTTGTTGATGCGGTTCCCGTCGACGGTACGTTCGAGGACGCCGACGGCACCGACGTTCAGGTATGCTCCCCTCGCAGTGTGATGTCCCACTGTGTGCTGAAAGGTGCCTGCAGGTCATCAACCCGGACGACCTTGAGGTACGCTCTCTTCGCAGCATGACGTGTCCCCCCGTGTACTAAGAACTCGCTCCAGGTCGTCGACGCGGAGGAAGTTGAGGTACGCTCCCGTCACCGCGCAATGTGCCCCCCTGAGTACTGAGAAGCTTCTACAGTCTGTAGAAGGGGAGGACGACGACGTTCAGGTGCGCTTTCCTCACGACGTGATGTCCTCCTGCGTGCTGACGAGTTGCTTCAGTTCATCGACGCTGACGACCTTGAGGTACGCTCCCTCACGATGTGATGTCCCCCCCGTTTACTGAGGAGTTGCTTCAGGAGGTCGACGCGTAAGACGAGCGCGCCGAACTAGAGCCCCGCGCGGCCGTGAAGCTGCACTCATAGCTGACAAGAGAGCGGGAGTGTGCACGCCGCGCAGGGCAGGAGGAGTACGTCGAGTACAAGATTAGCGAACGATATCTTTGGAAAGACGAATAAAGGGCGTTCGGAGGTTATACTAAGGCGAGACTGGTGTGCCTACGACACGGGGATGGCCGAAAGAGTCGGGCTCGGGCACTGCCAGGATCGAGAGCGAGGGGACGGCCTCATCAGCAAAGGGCGTATCTTCTTGCCACGCATCGGGGCGTCTGACCGCGCTTGGCGCTTCCTGATAAGGACTTGCCGTCTTTTGTCTGCTGGACGGCTGATGGTAATACATGACAATCAATTATCTGCTCTACTATTGCTTGCAGATCATGGCATATGGGAGATGGACCAACGTCTGCAAGACGAGGGTTTGACATGTATGGTAACGTATGGTGGGGTGGGAATACTGGTAGGCACATTATATATATTGCACATCCCTGAGGCACGGTGTTGTACATTCCGTGCACATCCTCGACACGGGGCTCGAGCATGCGCACAGGCGGGCGTGGGGGCGATAGGCGAGTGCGCGGCGCGGGGTGGAGACCCAGACGTCGACGAAGGCGAGGTTCGGGTGGGGCGGGAGGTGGTCCGCGTCCGAGAGTCGAGACGTCGTTCTCGCGGCCCTCGAAAACGAGGTGGCGGACACGGGGGAGGCGGAGCCGGACGCGCCGTCCTCGTGCTCGTCGTCGCGGGGGCCCATCTCCGTGTGGTCGCGGAACTCGAGGTAGGTGAGCGCGGCACGGTGCGCGCGGAGCACGCCCGGCTGGACGCGCATGACGAGCAGGAGGACGAGCGCGGCGAGGCGCGGGAGCGCCCAGCGGTCGAAGCGCGGCGGGGGCGGGGGCGGGGCGTGCCGTCGGTGTGCGCGGAGGCGGCGGTCGAGTCGGGGCGGGGGCGGTCGGAAACGGAGAATAGTCCGAGTCCAAGACTTACCATGATCTGATTGCACTCATGATAGATGGAAGTGGGGGCCATTGCGCGCGATCAGCGCCCGCGCAGACAATAGGGCAAACAAGACGCTTCGGCGCGAGCTGCGCGTCTACTGAACGTCTCCCGCAACCGCCATCGTCGCTCCCGATGCCACTCGCCTCACAGTCAGGTATATGAAGAGCACATACCTGGTGCGATATCTCCCTCTCCCTCTCCTCCTCTCATCTGATCATGGTCAAGTTCCCCAGCCTCTCACAGACTGCACGTGTATGCAACGCCTGGGGCGAGTCGGACACGGCGACCGGGTTCCACCACACCCGGTCCCCGGGTGGCAGGTGGTTCAGAGAATGGGATCAGGCGCACATCGGTACGTAGCCCATTCATTCAAATGTGTCTAGCTGAGGTCCAATCGTGCGATCAGGCTGCCCTTGGTGCCTCCGGTCGGACTCACGGCAAGCACCCTGCTCCGGTCGAGCCTCTCGAAGGAGAGCCACATCCCGCCCCTGCCGCTCAGCCAATGCACCAGGTCCTCGTGCCGATGGTCCTCGTCGCCCCCTCGTCGTGCATTCTCTGAATGTAGAACAGCGAGAGTTTGAGTGAGGTCGACCCGACCAAGCCACGAGCTCGTAAAGGGCTCCTCAACGGCGCCCGCCCGCCTGCCCCGGGCCAGTTGATACTCAAGGTAAGCGTCGGTTTTTTACCATACATCTTAATTGACAGTTGCATATTGTTAGCAGGCTTACAAGGCCTTGTACGGCAACCCGGCGGCTGCGATCTGCGGCGATGCGGGTGGGTTACTCACTCGGAACTTGGAAGCAGCCGGGCCAGAAGTCCGTTGCGGAGGGGACGGCCATGGACGCCAACAGCTTCAGGCTGTACTCCGTCGTCGCTACTGCTGCTTTGGTGAGCTCCTCGGTCACGTCTTCGGGCGTCTTCTGACGTATTTTGCAGGTTCGCTTCCGATGCAGACTGTCCCCCGACCACAGGCGATCAGATGCTCGAAGAGAGTGACAGCAAAGAGGAGACCTGGGACACCGAGGAGCCTGTCGGCGACGCGTCAGGCGACGATTGACAGGTATGTATGGTATGCACTTGTCTACGGCAGCACTCGCTCACCGTCTCATTTTACAGATGTAATCATGTATGTTCAAAGTGCGGAAAGCTCGTGATTCACTTTCGTTCTTGTGTCTCCACATCTCCAGTAGTCTCGTATTATATTTTCCATGATCCGATAGGTTCTTCTGAATGATTAATGCGTGTTTTAATCGACCACTATCCAACCAGCGGCAACCTGTGTGCTACAAAATGCGGTCTTACATCCCAACATATGACAAGGGTCTAAAATCATTGTGTCAGATTACCATGTCGCCCCTTGTGTATGGTCGGACAACTACAATGCGTGCAGCCAGGTATTGCCATTGTCTCCCTCGTGTATTGCCATCGGCCCCCTCATGTATTACATTGTGCGGCGGGAGAAGACAATTGTCCGACCAACCGGCGTCTAGAAGGCGGTAGATTGCCATGCCAGACGACCGATGGCCGTCTACGGCTACCACCCTGTCATACGTGATCTGTCTTGCGATTACTTACCATGCAATACGGCCGTTGATCACGCACTGCGATGCATTATCTTCGAATCCCCCGTTTTGCTGATGCTCCGTTCCCTTGCACAACGCCTCGAGGTCTTGCTGCAACGGCGCGGGCTTGGGCACGGGGATGACCTCGATCGGAGCAGGGAGCGGACGTGGTTGCCGCCGAGCACGGTCGCCTTCATCGCGGCTTCGACTGGGCGGGTGACCATCAGCCTCCTGCTCAGTGCTGTTCATGACGAACTGCCACTCGCACGCGGAGCGCAGACCACTGCAAACATTAAGGCGTGAGCGCGGGGATTACGAGAGTAGAAATACACGGCGAGCTCGAAGTAAGCGCAGCTCACTGCAGAGCTCAAGCGCTCCGACCTGGGGGCGGCGAGAGGATCGAGTCGATAGTGCCGAGGTGACGTAGAGGGCGTCTAGCGGGCTGGGCGCCCGTTTCGGGAGGGGCGCCAAGACTTTCCCAGACGCGCGCCAAAGTCCAGATCGAACACCTCCGCATCGCACGCCTTCGACCTCGGCGTCGCAACCACGCACGCTTCATCATGCAATTGCCGCGATGTGTGTATGGAACACGCGTTTTGGTGACTTGAAGCGAACCTCGATGGGTTTGCGGGGTTTGGGAACTTTTGAGTCAGGCCATGTCACGATGGCTACGCACCGCGGCATCCGTCGCTCTCATCCTGGACGGGAAGTTCGAATTCGACAGGGACAGACGGCATGGGGCCCGAATGAGGTGAGTGTGGACGCCTGTCTTTCGTGAGCTTGTGTCTGACGTTGGTGTTTTTGAACACCACCGTCGGCTCCGACCTCATACATGGCACGCCGACAGCGATGTGCGACATACGCTGCAACGCCGATCACCGGTAGGCTTGCTTCCAAGCAAGACCGTGGCGACAGGTCTCGACGCGCATTCTCTGGAGCTCGCGCTGAGGCTGCTCCGCCCTTCCACGTCTCTTCGGGCACCGCCATCAACACCCCTCACGTGCATGTTCAACGCTGTCCCCCTAGCAGCCGACCGAAGTCTTCATCAAATATTTGGTGCCGGGGCCCGGAGCACGGTACCATAGGTACGCAGGGGTATGTTGTGACCTGATGCGGTACAGACCCGACGCGGATCGTTCCACGAAGCCCTCCTCAAATCCAATACACTTTGACGTATCTGCAGTGCACTGATCATGACAACACGTCCGCCGTCAGCTGCCATCCGTCGAGCACACAAGCGCTTGGAGCGGAGGATCGTCTCGGGCAGCTATATAAACCCGTCGGGGTCGGCACGAATCCCCAGCTCTTTTGTTTCCTTCGAGCCACCCAGTGCCTTTACCTTCTCCTCGCTCTCCCTGACTTTTACAGCTGGTAAGAACGCCCCGTTCGGTCGCGCGAGGGAAAGCGGCTAACGTCCTCGTCCTCCTGTCATTGCAGCTGTGCGGCTTTCTACTTACGAACTCATCGCCTTCCTTCAACCCGTCCAACCATATTTTTTCTCCCCCACGACCCACCCAGCACACCATCATGCCCTCCATCACCCGCCTCCTCGTTCTCGCCGTCCTCGGTGTCTCCCTCTCGGTCAACGCCATTCCCGTTCCGGAAGCGTCCGCGGACGTCCGCGAGGTGCGTTCGATCTGCTCGGACCCGTTTCCCAAATCCTTACGCGATCGATCTAGCTCCACCGGAAGGACGCTCAGGACGTCGGCGCGGGCACGTTCGCGGACGCCAACCTTGAGGTACGCTGTCCTCATAGTGCGATGCCACGCCCCAACGTACTGAGGAGCTGCTTCAGGACAGCGGCGCCGTCCTAGAGCGCCGCGCGGCGAAGTGCGTGCCGAACAAGTTCAAGAACAAGCGCAGCGCGCGCGAGGTGCCGTTCGAGGAGCTCGCGCACCTCTTCCGGCGCGACGCGCCGGAGTTCATCGGCTGGCACGGCACGAACAGCGTACGTCCGCACCGTCGCGCGTTTTGTGCACCCGGACTGCGCTGACCGAGACCCCGCGACCCCGCGTGCGCGCAGGACACGGCCGCGTTCTGGAAGCAGCAGGGCCAGCTCGCGAAGCCGACGAAGGCGACCGGCTTCTTCGACTTCTTCGACTTTGACTCGAACCAGGCCGCGGGCAGCAGCGGCGCGGACGCGGAGAACGGGCCCGGGGTGTACGTCACCGACGACAAGGACATGTGAGTGCTCGAGTCCCGACCCGCTCTCGCCCGCACGGCAGGAACCTGGAACGCTGACGCCGCGGCACGGACAGCGCGATCGCGTTCGCGAACAACAACGCGAAGGTGAACAAGGGCACGACCGCGGTGCTCTGCGCAATCTTCGCCAAGAGCTCCGCGAACTGGCGGACGGCGGTCCGCAAGGCGTTCCTGCCCGAGGCGCTCGTCGGCGACTCCGCGACGGCGTCCGTCAAGGCCGCGAAGGAGACCTCGCGCACGCTCTACCTCAAGTCGGTCGTGCCCGGGGTGAGCGCGGCGAACGTCGTCCGCTTCTCGCTCCTCAACCGCTCCAGTGCGTCTTCTCTCTCTCTCTCTCTCTTTCTCTCTCTATCTCTCTCTCACACCGCTGACGCGCGCCATGATCCACAGCGAAGACCGGCCAGCTCGTGCTCCCCGCGGGCGTCACGAGCCTGTTCACGGCGCAGTGCGTGGCCACGAACGCGGCGCTCCCCGCGGGCACGAGCGACTTCCCGGCGTTCAGCTACAACGGCGCGGCGCTCCGGAGCACGTGGGACATCGCCGCGGAGCAGACGTGCTCGGCCTGAGGCCGGCGTCGTCCGTCCGAGTGCGGTACATCATACGATACGTAGTAGCTCTTAATGGGAGATGCGTTGAGATCGAGATGCTTGCTGTGGTGGCCGCCGCGTGCGTGCTCCGTTCGCCCCCTTTGCGCCTCGTGTGGAATTCGAAGCGAGACGCCGCGCTTTGGCTTCTCTGGGCAACGGACGGATGCGCGGGAGATGGCGGTGGACAGGGAGAAACACGTGGCGCGGTACAGTGGCGAGCACAGTGAACGGAAAAGGTCGGACGTTGGAACAACAGGCGGCCAGAACAGTTTCAATCGCTCATGTCGCACGACGGAGGTTTGCGAGAGGTGTCTGAGAAACCCGATGACGTCATAAACTGAGTACACGCTCTTTGCATCGACTTTGACCGAGTAGCACAAAGACGCAGTATCTACCGGCGCCACCCCGGTACAGGCCGGAGATCGCACAGGCAACGCGTTCTCCTGCTGGGGAAGCAACCTTAAACTCAGTGAATCAATCATGTATTGAGTTGCGGAACCAATGACCTCCGTTCCCCACAAGATCTTCCGGTCTTGGAAGACAGTGCCGACGTTCACCTCGTTCTAACACGCCGCTGCACATCGAGCATAGCCTGTTTAGAAAGCAAGAACCGTCAGCGTTGAGCACAAACCAAAACCGCGACGGAGTTACGGGAGCGATCGCGCACCGGCCACGCTTCCAGGCTTCCTAGACAGCTGGTGTGCGACAATCGCCCGGAATGGACGGCGCAGCACACGCACATCCCTGCCTCACGCCCCAGCCTCTCCGACACCTGCACGCTCCAGCACCCCGGAGCATTCACGTCGCCCACTGCGAGCGTGCTTTCCCTGCAAGTGCGCACTGCCGCGCCTCTTCTCCAAAACATCCGAGGGTTTCGTACTGTCAGTCATAAACGGCCCTCGACTGACTCCCAACACGACCCTCCCATTGCGCAGACTTACCATGAGTGGTGTTTCGCTCCCCAAGGCGTACTTCATCGCCATGTTCTGTGAGGCGATCTTGCACGGTGCGTGCTCCCGATGCTTCACGATTGCGACCCACGGCAACGCTGCGCTGTTCCTTCGCCTAGGGATGTACACCGTGCTTGCCGGCGGGGCCCTCTACCTCCTGCTGTAAGTCACCGTTCACACCGCGACCCGCGACGAACATCACGCTGACGAGCCCGTTAGCCGCAAATCACGCAAGCAGAGGATGGCGCGGACGAACCTGGTCATGACCGCGCTGACCGTGCTCATGTACTGCATGTCCACCGTCCACGTCGCGATGGCCCTCCGCGTCGACCTCATGGCGTTCTTCGACCAGCACGCGATCGAAGGCGGCCTCTCCATCCTCGAAGAGCAGGGGGACCCGCTCATCTGGGGCCAGATCTGCTTGGAGCTCATCAACGTCCGTCCAGTGGTGTCGCGCTCGAGCTCGCGCACTTGCTGACCACGCGTTCTGCAGTGCTTGTTGGGGGACTCGATCGTGTGCTGGAGGACGTGGGTGCTTTGGGGCGGGGACTGGCGCATCCTCGTCTTCCCGGTTGCGTGCATCACTGGTGGTGTCGGTGAGCCCCACGGTCGCGCCTACGACGACGACGACGTACTTACACACATCTTGGGCTGAAGCGTCGGGGATCGGGATGACCGTCGCACTGTCGCGCTCACCGGCGGGCGGCGGGCTCTTCGTCGGCAGCATCACCACTTGGTTCGCGTTCTTCGGCGCACTCTCCTTCGTCGCCAACATGTACTCGGTGGTGATGATCTCCTGGAAAGCTTGGTGAGCGAGTCGGACTCGACACCCGTAGGTTCAACGCTCACCTTTGACCGTCGGTCCGAAGGAAGAACCTGCGCGTGATGAAGAACATGAACGCCAGCGTGACGGGGGGCGGGAAGTACTACAGCGCGCTCCTGCTCATCATCGAGTCCGGCGCGACCTACTGCATCGCCGTGGTGCGCTCCCTCTTCGGGACCTGCGCCCGCACCACCACTGACCCGCGCGCCAGGTCGTCACCATCGTGCTCTTCCTCGGGAACAACAACGGGGTCTACGTCATCGCAGACATGCTCAACCACCTCACGGTACGCCCCCGCGCCCCGTCCTCGTCCGCGCGTCCGCACCGCTGAACCTCCCCACAGGGAATATACCCGACGATCATCATCGTCCTCGTCTGTCTCAAGATCACGTTCCACGACGACATGACGCGCGCGGAGATGCAGTCGAGGGCGCGCGCGGACGCGTGGGCGGACCCGCGGCGCGCCGAGCTGGACGCGGCGCTCAGCTGGCGCGTCGCGGGCAACAGTCGCGACGAGAACGGGACGGACACGTTCGCGAGCGAGCGGACGGCGGGCTCGCTGAAGCCAAAACTTGCGGCGAAGACGGACGAGGGGATGCGAGGGGATGCGATGCGGTACGAGGGAGGGGACACGGAGAAAGGGGGCGACGTACTGGAGATGCGGGAGGCCGCCCACGCGCGGAGGTCGCACGGACCCGCAGAGGATATGGTGTGACATTTCAACGACGGACATATTGGATCCTCTGCATATACAACATGGATCGAAAGGGAGACATACTGGTTCCGCGGTCCATGTGTCCTTGCTACCCGCGTAGCCGTCCCAGCGGAACGCGACCAGCGCATTCCCCCGCACCTCTGTGTCCAGAACAGAGCTCGCACCCCTGCATATACGCATGAAAGAGGGGCGGGGAGCGGGCTTACTCTACGAGCATGCGAGAGTATCTGTTCTAGATGCAGCTTGACGGAGGAAGCCTGGAGCCATTGGTGAGAGCATATCGGTGTGGAGAAGCCCCTACAGCGTGCACCAACGGTGAGCACACAGCACGTAGAATTGGAGTAACATGGTGGGAGGAGGCAGAGAGGCGAATGGCGCCCGGGCGAGGCGCGTGTCCAGAGCGACTTCTTCTGCTCAACTTTCCCATCCATGCACACCGCCAGGCTGACCGAAACACCGCTCCGCAGGAATTCCACATCCGAGCGTGGACGATGCCTGTTTAGGACCGGAGCCGCCCCCGAGGCTACGGGAACGACCATCACTGCCACACGCGTTTGATTTTCGGTCTTTCACCATGGCTGCCAAAGTTCTCATCCGACAGAGGTACTCACAACTCCTGTTTCGAACAGCGATCCACTCACACGTATTCGGTGACCACCTTGACCACCCCTGCAACATATAGCACGGCTTTATAGGCTGAAACAGAGAATCTTCCTTCCATAAGGCGGCCATTGCATTTTCAACAACAGCCTCTGATCAATCACTATGTGGACTGCTTCGTCTTCCGAGGTCGGAGGCCGAGTCTGTTTCACCACCCAGCGACAGTTTGTTTCGATAGCGTTTCAGTCTTGACTGACTCTCAGAAGTTACCCACCCACACTACAACCTCCGAGCTTCTGTACACGCCCATGACGCTCACCACACGGCGTAACGACGGCCCAGTCCCTCTTGGCACCAGCGGAGCATCGCCCACAAGCATGGCATCCACCACTCTGCCCAACCACGCCATGATTGCCTGGAACGGGAGTCTCCCAGGTCCGTGACCGCAGGGATCGCCGTCGACTGCGCGCTGGTCGTCGCCCTCGTCACTTCCGCCCCCCGGTATCTCGACCGCAGGCGCCGCGCGACAAGCTCGATCCCGGAGGACGACGCTGGGAGCCCCGGTTCGGTGGACGCCGAATCCTCTTACGCCGCTAGCGCGGCGACCCCGCCTCGTCTGTCACAGGCACGGAGGACCCCTCGCGCTCTCTTCTTCGCTTACTCGCCCGCTCCGCTGATGGGATGCGGGCGGTGGAAGACACGCGTGACGAGGATTGGGGACGCCGTAGACGAGAAGGATCTGGAGAAGACGCACGGGAGCGGCGCTGCCGCCGAAACCCACCCTGGACGACGTGGCAGTAGAAGAGAAGTGGGGACACGACAGCCCGGGGGAAAAGAGCGGAATGTGTGGTGTAGGACTCCCAGTCTTCGAACGTTGGTTCAGGTTCTTGAAGCGATCTTCCAAGCCCGGAACCGAGTACAGCGAACCACACGGAGAGACGAAGTTGTACAACATCGATCCATTGCGCGGGCGAATACACGGTAATAGTGCTACGAGCGGGTCCGTGGTCGATCCATGCATACTACACAACTAGTGATCCAAGAAGCTACTACGATGCCCATCGGAGGACCCCAATATAATACCTATCACCGGAGAGCGAACGTGTCGCCCTTAGAAGGGCACGTGAGAGAGCGTGAGTCGAGTACACCATTAGCGAACCGTAGCGTAAAGAGTAAGCCAAGATTATAAGGAAAGACCGAGTGTGCGGATTATGCCTCCGCGCCCAAGACACGACTGCAGGTGTCTGGTGCAGGACAGCGGCGCGGGGCGCGCTTACGACGGAGGGACGGGCGAGATGGAGGTCTGGGGCCCAGGCAGGACGGAGAGGATGGGGAAGGGCTTGCGCTTGCAGGACGCCTCGATGTCCTTGTTCGTCTTCCCCGCCGGGATGTGCGCCTTCTGCGACGCGGCGGCCTTCGGGACGGGGATGACCTCGGAGCAGTCGGTGAGCGAGCGGAGGTTGTTCCCGAGCGTCGTCATCTTCTTCATCGCGGCCTCGAAGCGGGCGACCATCAGCTTCTGGTTCGTGGCGAACGACTGCCACTCGCACGCCGTGCGCGGGTCGCTGGGCGGGCATCAGGCGGGTGAGCGCGCGGAGTGCGGGAGCAGAAGCTGGGAGACGCACCGAGCGAGCTCGAAGTCGGACTTGAGGCGGAGCTCACCGGGGTAGGGCGAGAGGACCTCGCCCGTGCCGAGCGTGGTGACTCCGGGCGCGGCGGGCATGATGTCGCCCTTGAGGAGGGTCTCGACGAAGAACTGCGCGTCGAACTCGGACGGGGTCGAGTCGAAGGGGCTGCCGTGGATCGAGGGCTGGACGTGGTCCTGCGCCGCGACGGAGTGCGACGCGAGGAGGTCGACGACCTCGTTCGGGCTGAAGCCCGCGGCGCCCATCCGCTTCAGGATCTTGTCGGTCGAGTCCTCGGGGAGCGGGATGAGGCCGTCGGGCGCCGCGGTGGAGTAGTTGGAGCGGCCGGCGAGGAACTGGAGGCGGGGGCCGCCGCCGCAGTTGGAGACGCCGACGGCGCCGGCGAACTGGATGAAGTCGCCGAAGGAGACGTTGTGCTTGAGGGCGAAGGGGCGCTGCTCGTTGGCGATCTCGTCGAGACCGATGGACGCATCGAAGCCGGCCTCAATGTCGGTGAAGGCCATGATCGAGCCATCTGCGGAAGCATCAGTATGTGCGAGTAATGCTGCTAAGGGATGCGTACCGCATCCACCGCCGTTCTTGCCGATCGGGAAGGTGATGCAGTCGTGGAAGGTCAACTAGATCGAGGATCAGCGCGTGGAATCTGAGACTAAGCGGGGCGACCTACGCGGAGAGACTCGTGAGTCTCCTCACCGCACTCGCCGCCGTCGAAGAGGTTCTCCTGGATGTCGTCGAGGACGTCGAACCAGACGCAGCACTAGATCGAATGTCAGCAGACGCTTCTCGCAGTGCTCGAGTCGCCTCACCTTGTCACTGGAAGCGGTACGGCCCTTGCTGCACTTCGCCTTCTTGGCAGGCGTCGCCGAGGCGAGGAGCGCAAGAGACACGAGGGACACAATAGTCTTGGAGAACATTGTTAACGATTAGTGTCGAAGGTGAAGCTGAAAGTGCTGTAGGTCGGAAGTCCGGGAAGGGGAGACTGGAGCTTGAAGGCGAAGAGGAAAGAGCAGTGAGCTGAGGAACCTCGGCCTGAGCTCTCTCCTCTTTATACCTTCTGCGCTCCCGCACGAGACGTCGGTGCCGTCCCCGCGCGTGTCACTCCTGCCCCTTGGCCGAGCGCAGGTCATCCAATAACGCGCTGGTAGATTGCGGGCGCACCGCATCCCACCTTCACGGCGCGACGCCTCGACGGACGGCTCGCATCGCTGCCACCCCTCCCGCTGCCAAGACGGACGGTTTCGCGGCGGGGACACAGGAACGCGCGCAGGCGGCAGGCGGGCCCGAGTCACGGCATCGCAGCATGCGCGCATTCACGCATTTGTGCCGTCGCGACGCGGGTGGGAGAGCGTCCCGCGCTGGAACGCGGGCGGGCGCGCCCGGCCGCTGCGTGCGCCTGCATCGATCGCAGCATCAGCGCTCCACGGTCTGCGATGCGTTCGTGGTCGCCGACACGCACCGCGACGCGTTTGTGCAGTGCGCGCATCCGGGCGCGACGCGGGCGTCCAAAGATGCCGCGGTGCGCTATGGACGGCGGCGGCGTCGGGGACTTGGAGGTGTACCTGGAATGCCTTGAGTCACCGGCGTGCGAGTGCGCGGGGCCGCTGGCTGACAGGGCAAGGCTCCCGGCAGGTGTGCGAGGTGGACGCGTGTTCGGCGCATCCGTCTGCGGAGACCGATTGCGGAGCGCCAGGGTGTCGCGGAGGAGGGTTTCGACGTGAAAGGCACGGGAGGGGAGGTCCGACGGGGCGGGGAGGACCCACTCCGAAAATGCGGGGCGACGTGTGGACAGGCGATGGGCAATGAATGGATGTGTTTGTTTGAGATGAGAGCAGTGAGCGTGTGAGGTGGACGTGGGAGTCCGCCGACTGCGCTCGGGAGGCGGCTTTGTGAAATCATCACTGGGAACCAGTCGGGGCCACGTCAGAACGTGCGCAGGCCGCACGGCAGTCTCAAAGAAGGAGGAAGCCAGTGAGAGCACCCACCGTCCATGAGCACGTCGCAGGTGGAGTTGCCTGCACCGAAGGCAGAGGTGCAGACGAGATGGTTCCCATCGTTTCCGTGGTGAAAGACACGGCCAAGAGCGTGCAAGCAGTGCAGTGCCCGCGTCATCTGTCCCAAAACGGCAGCGTGCATTGCAGCCGCAGAATAGACGCTCGAACCGGCGTTGGCTGCAAAGCATCGGAATACAACCTCAGGTCTGAAGAAACACACCTATGTACTCTCACGGATTTTATGCAATTTCGCGGATCGCATATAAAGCGATGTTCCAAACCTTTCCATGCCTGTGTTGTCGATCGTAGGACAGCGAAGTAGTAGCGCGTCTCTCTCCACCCTTGATTGTGTAGGCCGCGGAACACCGCCAACAACAGTCATATGCCACATGGTCTATGTGGTGCCTCTCACAACGTCCGCCACAAATTCGCGGACCTGACCCAAACGTCGCTTCCTATTGCCCACACCCACGTCAGGCATTCCACCCTCCCAGAGCTCCTGAAGTCGCCGCGACAGGCCAGGCGCCGCACCGCCAACGAAGGCCGTGGCGTGGCGGAATCTGTGGGAAGTCCAGCTGCGTCAATCACGGCCACGCTCACACAAACTCTCGAAGACGCCCCCGACCGGGACGAAGCTCCCTCGGCTTGAAGCGGGCTCGACAGGCCGACGGCGGAAGGTACCTAGCGTGAGATTGTCTCCCTTCTGACTTTCGGGCGCGTTCCTCGGACGGCGCGCCCACGCAGCGCAGAAGCGCGGCGACCAGCCGTCCTCGGGAGCGACCATCGCGAGAGAGATGGAGATGCACAGAACGCGGCGGGTCAGGCATGGCTAGCGCGATTCTCCTGCCAGGTTCGCGCGCCCCACGACGGACACTGTCGCCCGCGCTGGGCAGCAACGCGAGAGCTCCAAACCCAGACGGGACGAAAGCACAGCGGCGGCGAACCCGAGGGTCCGCCCGCCGTTTCCGCGCGACTCGGGCACGCACGCACGCACGCCAGAACGCCACGCGTAGGGTGGACGCGCCGGGGCTGGTGGCTGGAGGAATTGGGTGCGCGGGAACAGGCACAGTGCTGCTACCAGCCCGGGGGACCCGAAGAGGGATAGCCGGGGCTTCGGGTCTGCACTGCATATGCGGTCGAGCACCCACAGCCCGGGCGGGGCGCGACGTCGGATCCTCGCAGCCCTGCAGCTAACCGAGCGTGCGGGGTCGGGGGTGCTTTCGCAGCGGGCCGCCCGGGGGGCGCGGGTCCGGGACGTGGGTGCTGTCGATGAGGACGAGGGGCGTGCTCTCACGAAGAGCGCGACGAGGGATATTCGGAATGCGGCGACAGGATCCTGTTCGTAGACCCGGCCAGAGGACGTTCTCCGTCCAGAGCGAGCCGTTTCGCCGTGGCGTGTGTCGGGCGGCGTGGCGTTATTGCAGGCAGATTGAGGGAGCAACGCACTTGCCTACCACGACGGACGCAACATGTCTTCATGTCCCCAGTCTACACATCTAGATGATAGGCAGACTCCAGAGACAGCGGGCGTACGGTGCTGCATGATCATCGTAGAGCGGGCACAATGCGCAGACTACTGCCTCGGGGCTCGTCGGGCCGCTCCATCGCCAGTTCCCGACAGGTTCCGATTGCCAGCCGACGACCAGCACACAAAGAAAACGAGCAACGCGCGCGGCATAGCCGCGGGGGCAAGAAACCAGTATCATTCGCTTTTCCGACCTCCTCCTTTTCCTCTGAAGCCATCCACATCCACTCGCGCGGGGCGATCCACATACCTATAATACACGAACGGGTCATTATGTGAGTAACGTGAGGGGCGCGTGGCAGCACGCGTCCGCGGGACGTAGACTGGGGGGCGGCGGAGTAGAGACGGTGGGCGGGGATGAAGGCTCGTCGTGAATGCACTGACGGACGGACAGGCGGGGCAGGGAGTGAGAGACAGGGGGGTGGGAGCGCGGATGAGCGCGGACGCGGGGCATGGGGTGATGTCGAGTATGGTATGGTATGTGCGGCGCAAAGGGAACCGGGGATTATGTGCGAAGCGAGATGCGAAGGCAATGCGAAAGCGATGGACAAGAGCACGGAAACAGACCGAGGCCGGGACTGGGAGAACGATGGGTGAGATGGGATGAGATGATGCAGCGAAGACGGGAATTGGAATGCGAATGGACGACGACGGGAAGAGAATGCGCGATGCTTAATACCGGGGAATAGGATAGCCGAGTCGTGACCTGGATCCTGGATCGTAGACGAGGTCGTGAGTGGGGGTAGACGCGTCTCTGGTGGACGCACACGCGGATGCTAGGTGGATGGGAGCAAGAGGAACGACAGCCAAAGGGGGCGGCGACGCGCCGACGTCGGTCCCGGATCTAATGCACGCGCGCGGGCGTGCATAGAGAACACGACGCCGAGGCACGAGCGACACGGAGGGGAGACGGACGGCATGGAAGAGGGAACACATGGCCGCCGCGGGCTGTGAAACATACCGCGCCGCTCGCTGCTGATCCTACGCAACGGCGGAGATGACGCGGGCAGCGCGCGACTCCCATGATCCATCCATTGAATCACCGGCACGACACCGACACCGCGCCGTCCTGCCCGCCCCACGTCCGCGGCGGCGGCGGGAGGTCCATGCCCAACGTGAACTCCGCCCCACTCACGCCGCCGCCGCTCTCGTCGAGCATGACGGGAACGTGGACCGGCAGCTGCTTGAGCGGCTGGCATAGCAGCGCGTTCGGCGAGAGCGTCGGCCGCGGCTGCTGCAGCGGCGTCGCGCCCGGGCGCTCGACGCGCATGCTCTGCGTGCGGGAGCGGACCATCGGGTGGTGCAGGTGCGGAGACGGCGGCGGCGCGAAGGCGTCCGTCGGCGATGAGGGGACGGGAAGCGCCGCGGGCTCGGCGCGGCGCGGGAACGCGTGCACGCTCAGGCCGCTCTCGAGGTCGAAGTCCTCGACGTGCCGCCACTCCTCGTCGTCGTACTCGTCCAGGCCGGACCCGTAGCCTGCCCCGAGCCCGTGCCGGTCCTCCTCGTCGCTGTCGCCCTCCTCTTCCTCGCTAACGGGGAACAGCTGCGCGTCCAGGTCCTTCGTCACTGCGCGGACGCCCACGCTCACCCCAAACTCCGCAAAGACCTCGGGGGCGACCGCGAGTGATGGCCGCAGTGCCGTCGTCGGACTGCGGACCATCAGAGGGGGCGATGGCAGCGCCTCCCAGCGCGCGAGCGTCTCCGCGGTCACGGGCTCGCAGCGCGCGAGCGGCGAGGGGCGGAAGACGGTAGCGAGCCCGACGAGGTTCATGCGCGCGCCGCCCACGTAGTCGCGCGCGGACCACGCGCGCCGGCGGCTCTTGACCTCGAGGATCGTCAGGTTCGAGTCGTACGCGGGCCCGGTCGCGATCTGGTGCGGGGTGGAGGCCATCTTGTGGAGCACGGCCTGGAGGTGCGCGCGGAGGGTGCGGAGGGTGTGGTACGTGTTCATGTCGAAGTCGAACTCCGGCGAGGGCGGTGAGGGGCTCCGCGGCACCTGCGAGGACGAAGGCGCCTTCATGTCAAGCGCGGCGAGGCAAGGGACGCTCGTGCGTGGGGACGCCAGCGCGGGCGTCCAGGGCGAGCGTGCGGGAGAGTCGATCGGGGTGTGAACCGAGGAACCGTCCGTCTCCGTGCTGAGGCTTGTCGCGCTGACCGTCGCGAGGTCGTCGTCGTCGTCTTCCGGGAAGCGCGAGACCGTGGTCGACGTCGAGCACGTCTGGCGCAGCGCGCGTGACGTGTGGTTGAGCGCGAGCTCAGCCCCGTGCGCGTTTGCCTCCGAGAGCATCTCCCGCAGGCGCTCCTCCGTTTTCCGCAACACACTCCGGCACGCCCACGCGGGGTACAACCCCGGCGGGAATCCGTACATTTGCGCGAGGCCTCCAGGTGAGCATTGGGTGCCCAAGAATGATGGCGAGCCCGTTGTCGAGAACACCGGGAGGACGTAGCGGCGCATGATGTCGACCAGCTGAGACCTCGCCTGTGTGCGAAGAAGCTCGTACGGCGCCCGGACCCTACCATGCCTGGGGGGCGCGATGGGTGCACGAGGGCGGACCTCGAGAGGGAAAGCGGGGCTCTGGGCGCAGGCTGGGCTGTTGAGCACGGTGGGAGACGCCGGCGGGGAAGCCGTGAAGTGGGAGAGGCTGCGGGAGTGCGAGGAGGACGGAATCTTGATAGGCGGGAGCGTGGCCGCGCGGTTCGGGGACTCGGAGAGCGCGCCCTTGACGGCGGCGAAGAGGGACGAGAGGAGGGACCGCTGCCGCTTATGCGCCTTGTTCGACAACGTCGACGTCGGGGACACGGGGGCCGACTGAACCCCAGAACCGCTCGCGCGCCCAGAGCTCGCGACGGACGCGTTCACCTGGGCCATCTTCTCCTGGCAGCTGAGGTCCGCCGACTTGGCTACGGTGTCGACGACGGCGTCAAGTGCAGCGAGGCACGTCCCGGGACCACGTTCCGAGGGGAGGGGCCAGGACACGGTGTGGCCGTCCACGAAGGTGCAGGAGATGAGGAGCTCGACTGCGTCGAAGACGACTTCGCTCAGCAGCCCCGTGTGCCAGACGGCCTTGTCGAGCGCGTGGACGTCGCGGGGGAGGTCGACCATGAACCCTTCGTCCTGGAGCATCTCGATTGTGTCCTTCTGCATGTGCCATGACTGCGGGATCGCAGGGATCTGGAAGCGCTGGGGTGGCTGCCTTCCATCCGAGGAAACGGGGCTGATGGGTGGAGGGTTTGTGGGGTCGGGGAGGTTGAGGTTGTAGAGGATGTTAGGGTGGGGGTATGCCGGCGTTAACCGGATGATCATGACGCGATATTAGGGAGAAGTGGTATTGTAGGACCGTGGTGGGGGTGGGCGGACGAGGGTATATTCTGTTCGCGTGCTCAATGGCCGCAGGAAAAGAGGAAGGAGAGTACGCACTTGGTATCAACCGGGACTCCAGAAAATCTAAGGAAAACTGACGACACCCTACTGGAAGCTCTGTCCACGGGTGACGGGGAGGTGGTCGAAGAGAAGCGGGGATGGAGAGAACGGTCAGAGTTCGAGGAAGAGGTGATGTAATGAGCCCGACCGTGACCGATCAAAATGATTTGAGGTACCCAGGCGTGGCGACGACGACGTTATGCGGGCGGATGGATGCGAGGGGGAACGAAGGGAGTAGGCGAGGGGCGCATATAGCCAGTGGGTGGAACGAGAAAGAGAAGAGGTCGGAGGAAGGTGGACAAAGAGGATGAAGAGAACAATCAGACGAGCCTGATGTCGTCAAAACGGCCATAACGCACCTATTCGATGAAGACCATCCACACAGTCCCGTGGCAGACGAGGCGCACGTTTGCAGCCGTCCAAATCCGGGTGGTCGAGGCGGGATGGGGAGGGCGACGGGGAAGGCGGGGCAAACGGGACTGTCAGCGTGGGGCGAGGGCCGCGCTGGGCACAACGGGAACGCACCTGTGGACGAGAGGTCCAGGACGGAGGTCGACGTTCGGGGGTCGTCGTCGCGTCGGGAGGGGACGAAACGCAAGGGCAGCGACCTCATTATATGCGCTTATGTAATACAACCCGAATCGGCAGGCGCATGTTAGCCGCGGCTCGCGACGTTCGCCTCGCCCGCCGCGATCAGCTCGACAATCATCTCGACCAGGCTCTTCATCACCTCCGCCTTCTCCTTCCCCTTCTCCAGCACCTCTTCGTGTGACACCGTCACCTCGTCTACATGGGCCACCGGCTTTCCCGCGAGCTGTCGCGCTGCGTTCACCCTTTCGCGCGACGACAATGAGCACGAGCGAGCGTACCTCTGCCTCGACCTCCGCCTTGATATCTCGGTATCCATCCGGGATGACGACCGCGTTCGTCACCAGACTGAGCACAAGCACCTGCAGCCCCTCCTCCTTGCCCACGACGACCTCCGGCACGGTGCTCATGCCCACTACGTCCGCGCCCGCGTTCCTGAGCATCCGTCCTTCCGCGGCCGTCTCGTACGTCGGGCCGGACACCCACGCGTACACGCCCTCCGCGAGCGCGTCGGACGGGAGCTGCAGCTTGTGCGCGGCCAAAAAGGCGACCCGGCGGAGCGCGACCGAGTGCGCGCTGGAGAGCGGGATGAACCGCGGGTACTCGGGGCCCACCTGGGGCCCGAGCAGTGGGTTCATGCCGGTCAGGTTCGGGAGCGCGATGTGGTCCCGGATAACGACGACTAGGTAGAGAATGACCGTCAGTGGCGAGATCGACGGCGCGAGCGACGGCGCTGAAGTTTGCGCCCCGTCCGGCATGCAGGGCTGCAGACGTTCGGAAAGCTTGCGCGGAATGCCAGAGCAAAGCCCCGTGGTGAGGCGTCGAGCGAAACAGGGCCGCATGTATGCAACATCCGCCTACGCGAAGCATGGCGCACCGCTGAATGAAGGCGAACTCACTTGTGCCAACGGGCAAATCCTTGTTGAGCCCGCCCGCAGCGTTGGTGACTGCGCCCGGCCAATCAGCAGCGCAACATGTCGGGGGCGAAACATTCCTCACCGATCAGGCGGCGGACGCCCAACCTGGCCATGACGCGGATGGGGTAGACCACGGCGGAGAGCTTGTGCCCTTCATACGGGTGGAACTGTCTGACCAGCTCTGTGAGCGCGAGGCTCGGGGGTGGGGATGTGAAGAACGCGGGAGAGAGTACAGACGCGTCCGAGCATAACCACGACAGGCACTCCCGAGCCAGGGCCGATCAAGCCGAAAGCGAGTGCGCTCTTGTGGCCAGGGACTGGAAAAGGTACGCGAGGAGTCGAATCGAAGGCCAGGCGATGGTCAACGTACGACAGCGGAGGGAACGGGACACGGCGCACCTGTGCTCGATCCGAAGCCTGGGAGAGCAGAGTACGGAACTTCGACCTTGTTCCGTATGTCCGCAGCGAGGGTGTGCAGCCCTGATCCGCAGACGATGCCGACCTGGGGCTTGAGAAGGTTCCCAGGGACAGCAGCCTTGATGGCGGCGAGCGTGTCGGCGAATGGAAGAGACTGGTGCGCGTGCTCCGCAGACATCGGTGCGCAGATGGGACTCGATGATGTGGAGGTAGGTGTGCGGTGGGGGATGTGGTGGCCGAGCTCTCGCACGGAAGCGGGCGGGGGCGCACGGGTATGTGTTGCGGGGCGTGGCGGAGGAGGGCAAAGTCCCAAATCGATTGGACGTCGAGAGCAAGATACCCCGGCCCGATATGGCAGCATGTCCCGCCACCGGCTCTAGGCGCTTGAGTCTCTCGGGTTGTCGTCTCCGATTTCGTGTCCTCCTCCACACAAAGCTATCCTATCTTCGTGCGCAGTTACAGCCAATGCCACTTATGTCTAAAATACCGTACTGTCAGCACACCTGCTTCCAGCGTGCGAGCCGCGACCCATCATTTCCTCGCCCCACGACACTCGGAAGCCCAGTCACCACACGCTGGAAGCATATAAGTAGATGAGATTCTCCTGCCTCCATTCTTTTCTTTTATTCCCATCATTTTGCTCTAGATATTATCCGACTCGGCCAACGCGGCTCACGCCGCGCGAGGCTGGGAGAATCATGTTCCGACCGACGTCACACTGCCGTCTCGGGACACGACCTGACTACTTATCCCATACCGGGTTCTCCAGCTGCCTTGACTTATATGTTGCATTTATGGCTGTCCACGCATCAACCTTATAAGCGCGTCTTAAAATACTAGATACTCCAACGGACGGGTTGTGTTGCTCGGATGCAGGATACCTCGAGTTCGTCTTCTGCTCCCTTTTTCCAGTCGGCTTTTCGGCTGATTCACACCAGCTGTACATCCGATGCATCCTGCATGCCAACGCAAGGCTGAGCTAGTGCGCCACTCCCTGAGAACATCCATGATTGTCGTGATGGTGGCTGCCCACCAGACAGCCATTCCTCCCGGCGCGTGTATCTCTCCTTCTGCGGAGTCGCATCCTTCCGCCGAGTCCCGTCCTTGAACTCGCGAGAAACGCACTCGGCACTAAGGAAAGCTCACTGCAAGGTATGCTATTGGATGTCGGCGGTGTCGCCTCCACTCCAGAGGAACACGATGCCGAACGTTCTTTCAAGACCCGTATAGGCTTGATTGGCGCAGCTTTTTCTCCCACAGATGCGCCCACACCGGGCTTCTGGATCGTTTCATGACGCTGCGGCACTTGTTCTCTCACGGCGACCTCAGGGAGGACGGTAGGATATGATCGTAAGTACGTGGTCGTTGGTAGGGTATGTCAGGCGTCATTCGATGTGTTCTAGGCACTGGTAAATATTCCACGCGGTGGTTATAGTTGTCTATGACGATCACGGACGCCTCCGATGGGGGATGCTGCTCGGAGCTGCCTGCTAAGTAGAATCGTCCTGTAGCTAAAGAGGTTGGTGCTGTACACGCCCAATCTGACTAGCGACGAGATTATGTAGCGCACATGTATATGTGTATTTTCTACTTTATAGCCCCAGTTGACGTTGAATGCTGCGAGACCGGCTGCAGACGAAGGCCGGCGGATTGGCGCCCAATACTAGAAGGCGCGCTGCCGATCTGGGCACTGCTCGCGTGGCAACGTCGTCAACGACTCTGCACTTGGCTCTCACCACGGAAACGATGAGAACGCCGTTTCTCCTCTGCCTCCGCTCTCTACGGCACCAACTACGACCTCGCTATGCACGGTGCGTACACTCAGCAACTCAGGCTATTTTCGACCTCTCTGACACCGCTATGCAGGCGATCCGACTTCCCGGAGGACAGTCGGCGGACTCTCACGTCTACTTCACAAACAAACGCAGTCCTGCAGCCATTAGCGCTTATAGAGGCCCACACGCCGCCCCACATGCCTAGAGTGGGAACTTCCCGCCCCGTCGGTGCCTTTTCCCGCACTTTTCAGCGAAACCCTCCTCCATGACAGGCGCTCCGCTCTGTGTCTTCACCCATTCATGCGCAGAACACGTCCACCTCACACACCCACGGAAATAGACATTTCACTTTGCTCACCTCGCAGGCTCGCACGCCGGTGACTCGAGCGCACGGCGTCCTAACTACACCCAACGACGGCGCCACTGTCCACAGCAGAAACAGCACCCTGGGACGCCGACGTAGGCATGCACCCGCACTGCACGAGCAGTCGAACCCGTGGTGCGTGTCGCACACTTCGGAGGCATTGCAGGCCGTGGAGCACTCATGCGGTGACCACAGGCGCACGCAGTCGCTGCGTGCCGTCGCGCTCAAGTCCGGCGCGCCCGGCTGGATGTCGGGACTACCGCCCGTGTTGCGACGGCTCGGGCCCGCGGAGGGCGCCTGCCTATGTTTGCGCCTGCGCCTGCCTGCGCCTGGACCCGCGGTGCCCCTCCGTGCTGGTGGGCGGGGATGGGAACCGCCGCGCCGCCACCTCGCTTGGTTGGGGTGCGATGCGGGGCTAATGCAGGAACGTGCGATTGGACGACGCACGCAGTGGAGCGCGACGCGCACTGGGAACGCCTGCACGGCGTCCAAGTCTTGTGCGCAGGCTCTGAGCTACGCGAGAGGCGTATAAAGGGAGAAGGATCGAGACTGAGGGACCTCAGCCCACTGCTGTTTCCTCTTCGCCTTCAAGGACCAGCCTCTCCTTCCTGGACTTCGACTTCCCGCCAGATATACAACACTCCCCTTCCAACTTCACCTTCGACACTAATCGTTCAACATGTTCGCCAAGACCATCGTGTCGCTCATCTCTCTTGCGCTACTCGCTTCCGCGACGCCTACTAAGAGGGCGACGTGCAGCAAGGGCCGCTCCGCATCCAATGAACAGGTACGACATTCGAACCGTGGCGTCGACCAGGTGCTGACCCCTGCTCTAGTGCTGCGTCTGGTTCGACGTCCTCGACGACATCCAGGAGAACCTCTTCGACGGCGGCGAGTGCGGTGAGGAGACTCACGAGTCTCTCCGCGTAGGTCGCCCCGCTCAGTCTTAGTTTTCACGCGCTCATCCTCGACCCAGTTGACCTTCCACGACTGCATCGCCTTCCCCATCGGCAAGAACGGCGGTGGCTGCGGTGCGCATCTCTCTCATACGCCTCTGCAGTGACAGCGACTCATGCTCCCGCAGACGGCTCGATCATGGCCTTCACCGAGATCGAGACCGGCTTCAACGCCTCCATCGGCCTCGACGAGATCGCCAACGAGCAGCGCCCCTTCGCCCTCAAGCACAACGTCTCCTTCGGCGACTTCATCCAGTTCGCCGGTGCCGTCGGTGTCTCCAACTGCGGCGGCGGTCCCCGCCTGCAGTTCCTCGCCGGCCGCTCGAACCACTCCTCCGCGTCCCCCGACGGCCTCATCCCGCTCCCCGAGGACCCGACCGACAAGATCCTGAACCGCATGGGTGCCGCGGGCTTCAGCCCGAACGAGGTCGTCGACCTGCTCGCGTCGCACTCCGTCGCCGCCCAGGACCACATCGAGCCCTCGATCCACGGCAGCCCGTTCGACTCCACCCCGTCGGACTTCGACGCGCAGTTCTTCGTCGAGACCCTCCTCAAGGGCGTCCTCATGCCCGCGGCGCCCGGAGTCACCACGCTCGCCAGGGGCGAGGTCCTCTCGCCGCTCCCCGGAGAGCTCCGCCTCAACTCGGACTTCGAGCTCGCTCGGTACGTTCCCCCCCCCTCCGTTTCTTATCGAGCGTACGCTCACGCCTCGACGCCCGCAGCGACCCGCGCACCGCGTGCGAGTGGCAGTCGTTCGCCACGAACCAGAAGCTGATGGTCGCCCGCTTCGAGGCCGCGATGAAGAAGATGACCGTGCTCGGCAACAACGTCCCCTCGCTCGTCGACTGCTCCGAGGTCATCCCCGTCCCGAAGGCCGCGGCGTCGCAGAAGGCGCACCTCCCGGCGGGCAAGACGCAGAAGGACATCGAGGCGTCCTGCAAGAGCACGCCGTTCCCCGTGCTCTCCGTCCTGCCCGGGCCCGAGACCAGCATCCCGGTCGTCCCCCCCTCCTAAGCGCGCCCCTCGCTGCCTGCACGCGTGGGAGGCCCCGCCGGATCCGTATTTTGAATGCACAAGTAATCCGCACTCCTCCCTCTCCTTGTAATCGCTGCGCCCCCCTCGTTCTGCCTTCCTACTATATGGTTTGCTAATCTTGTACTCGACGCACCCGCTCCCTCACGCCCTTAACGGGCCGCACGCTCACTCCCTCCTTCCTCTCAGCTATTATCGGAGTATTTATGGCTCGCGCTTCTTGGAAGACTCTGCAGTGTAGTAGTCATGTATAGACCACGGAGTATCCCGTAGCACTAATGTGTACTCGCATGTGCATTGAATATTATTGTTGCTGTATCACCTCTTCTCCTCCGTGCACACCCCGGGCCCATGATCGGCTTTCGGCACCCGGTTTGAACTTTTCAGTGGCCGGAACTTTGAGCTCCGCTCCATTCCTATCGACCACATTTTCAATCGGCGCTGCTGTAGTTCACGCCCCGGGACCCGGGCCGCGATTCGCCCCGAGCGCCGAGTCCGAGCCGCGAATCGCGCCCACTTGTAAGTAACGCGACGCTTTTCCTCAGACCCTCTACGTCCGTACCGTGCCCGACCGAGCCATCCGCCCTCCTTCTCGACCGCCGCTCCCGATTCCCCAAAAGCGCACCCCCAAGACGAGGTTCTCCCGGCCTCAACGCCACCAGCGTGACAAGACTGCGCTTCCCGACGCAAGTACGACCGCACTCCCTGCGCGGCGGCGCGCCGCATCATCGCGCGGGAGGAGCGGACTGGGAAGCTGCGGGTTTACCTCGGCCGCGCAGGGAGCCGGACGGGGTAGGCTCCAGGACAGGCCTTAGTACGTCGCATGCCAGCAGCATCTCGCATTGCCCGTCTCGTCCTGTCCCCGGACAATCAGAAGTCGTTCGCTCGCCCGACCTCGGGGCTGACGACGCGCGTGCGGTCTCGCCATAGGCGCGACAGTCCCAAGTGTGCTCCGAGGACGACCTTGTACGGTGGCCGCAGTCTCCTCCTGGCGCCGCCGATGACGAGCTCGGCTGGCAGGGGTACGTCAATGTGAGGGTAAGTGCGACATCGGCGGCCATAAGGAGGCCCGACTGATCTTGTGTGTGCAGGGCACATAGCCGCTCCGTTCGCGCTACAGCTGGCCATAGTCGCTCAGCGTGTTGCTGCTGTTATACCGCCTGCAACGGCAGCGCAATTGCGGTAACATCCCAGCCCTCTCTGTACCAGACCCAGAAGTTCATGGAGGCAACCTCATCGCCGCAAGTGGACCTGTCCCAGTGAACCAGTGACGAGGGCCGGCCGCTGATCGGTGCCCGCTTCACAGAGCCTTCGCCGTGCAGAGTCCGCGAGACGATCTCCACCAGCCATACCTTTTATCCCAGGTGTATGAACATCACCCTGCGTATCGATTCCACATCACCTCGACGCAGGCCTGGCCATGAACTCATTGCCATCTGTACGTATCTAATTTCATTGTAAATCTTGTGAACTCCTTCTCTCGCTGAGGCACCGAGCCCACCCAGCGCAGGGCAGAGAGCCACGCCCGCTGTCAATCGTCGATGGGCGGCGGTGAACGTTTGAACACCGGGCCCAAAGGTAGCGAGCTACGTCACGAGCGGGGGTCTCGGGCGAGCGCGGGCACGGGGGTCTCGGCCGAGAGAGCGCCCATGCTCCCGTGGCCTTGCTCTTCGGGGCAGGTTCAGGCTCGATGTGGACTCTGGAACTCGAAGGCGAGTACTGTTCGATCCCGCCCCCACCGGCGGGGGTATAAAGCACCGCGGTCTGGGGCACAGAGCGCATCGGTCTGCTCCCCTTCGGAACGAACCGCACTTCACCAAAACCCCACCTACTCCCCCTCCCCTCCGCCAAAAGTCACGATGTTCAAGTCGATTGCTGTCGCTCTCACTCTCGCTACTTTCGCGCTCTCCACCCCTCTTCCCCGCGCCGCAGTCACTGGTGAGCACCACGTTCCCCCCGGCGTACACGCGCTCAACATTCCGTAGACACCCAAGTGCTGCAGTTCGCACTTACCCTCGAGCACCTTGAGAACGCGTTCTATACCGAGGCGCTCTCCAAGTTCTCCGAGCAGGACTTTGCCGACGCCGGCTTCGAGCCCTGGGTCCGCGGCCGGTTCAACCAGATCTCCAAGCACGAGGCCGCCCACGTCGCCTTCCTGGAGTCCGCGCTCGGGGACAGCGCGACCAAGCCGTGCAAGTACTCGTTGTAAGTGCCCATTTGTCCTTGTGATTTTTCACGCGCCTGACGCATTCCCGACAGCCCCTTCGACTCTCCGCGCTCCTTTGCGGCGCTCTCGATGGTGCTCGAGACCGTCGGAGGTTCGGCGTACCTCGGCGCCGCGCAATTCTTGCAGGATAAGGGCACCCTGACGGACGCCGCGGTGAGCTCCCTTCCGTATCGCTCTCGTGCACCTCACTCATGCCTATATACACCCCCTCGCAGTCCATCCTCGCCGCCGAGTCTCGCCACTCCGGCTGGGTCTCCGCCGCGGTGCTCAAGAACCAGCCGTGGGAGGGCGCGTTCGAGACCCCGCTCCTCCCGAGCGGCGCGTTCTCGCTCGCCGCGCAGTTCATCACCTCCTGCCCGTCCGACAACCCGGCGCTCCCCGTGCAGGCGCACCCGGCGCTGTCCGTCTCGACCGGCACACCTACCCCCGGCGCGTCCGTCAAGTTCACGGTCGGCGGGAGCGGGAGCTCGGGCACTAAGTTCGTCGCGTGGCTCGACGGCGTCGGGGACCCCGTGTACACGGCGGTGGGGAGCGACGGCTCGACGACGGTGCCGAAGGGGCTGGCGGGGACGGTGTACGCGGCGATGGTGTCGTCGAAGGACGGGGCTGTGAGCGATGCGACGCTGCTCTCCGGGTTTGCGGTTTTCCAGTTCACGTTCTCGTCCCAGGCTTGAGTGCGGGATACGTGTATGTCGCAGTATGTTGCGCGTTCCTGATGGAAGCAAAGGACTTCTAGGTCTCTCGCAATCGCCTTTAATTAACGCCTATATGTCAAGCTTTAAAGCTTCTTTCGTTCCGGAGTCGGAACAAAAGACGAGACCGCTAGTGTTTTCCAGGTCCCATGACCTGTCTGGAAGCATTCGAAGTCTTTTTATTGCGTGTCTTTAAACAGACCCTCAAACTCACCACGGCGCCATCCGTGAACCTGTCCATTGGTTTCCATCCGCGGGGTCGCTGGCCGTGCCAACGACCAGTGCTGATTGGACAACCTGCATAGTTTGCGTTTGGGGGGACTGTCATCTACTGACAGATCGCACATGCGTTTCACAGCACAGTGGTGTGAGTAGTGCGAGAGTACTACCTCGTATGCTTCGAGTGGCTATTGCACACAGACGCGCCCGCGGACCGCGCTCCCCAGCAACATAAATAAGCATGGAAGCGGAGTGGTAGCCAGAGTCATACAGCACATCCCCCATGAAGTCCTTCTTTTACACGCTCTCGGTGGTCGCTATCGCAGTGACAGCGGCTTCTGCGGCTTCGTCCGTCGACTTCATCATTGACACTCCGTACGTTCTCCAGAATTGAATCTCATACATCTCTGCCTAACCTCATGTATCATTTTGATAGATCCAACGCGGTCCAATGTGAGCCTACCTTGATTGAATGGCAAGGCGGTATGGGTGAGTTGGGTGTATGGTTCGTACTACGCGTCGAGACCTCTGAGCTGATTCTGTCGGTTTACAGCTCCCTTCTTCTTGGTACACTCTCTGTCACGAATATCCATCCATTCGCTCGCTGACATTATCGGGTCCCCTCCCATAAAACCAGCAGTGAGTGTCTACACACTTTAGGCGCGTTACATCCTCTCTCATCCAACTCCGTCGCTTCAGAATCGTCCCGGGAGGGATTACGGGCGCCGCCGCTCTGCAGCAATACCCGAACCTCCGAGGGCACTCGTTCGTCTGGTCTACAAACCTTTCGGCCGGCAAGTTTTCTTTCCACACTGGAGACTCCTCGCTTGCTGAGACTGCCCTCCTATAGGCACAGATATCGGTCTCTCTCTCACCGATACGACAGGCGAAACGGTTCAGTCGGGCACCTTCGTCATCGGCGACAGCGGTGGGTGCCTTGTTTGCGATGCTTTCTCGCCGCTTATTCTGAGCACTCCCTAAGATGACAGCAGCTGCTTGGAGGGAAACGGGGGGTACTATTGATCCCGTACGACACTCAGAGCCGAGGTAGAAAGTATCCGCGAGCTGCGTTACGACATAGATAACATTCAGCCATATTTTCGCCCGTGTGGTGTGTACTGCAAACAGACACTGCGAGTAGCCCAGCGAGTTTTATTGCAGCCAAGTCTCTGGCATCGGCGCGATCTGCCTACGGTGACCCGCGCAATTCACGTTGTCACTGAGGAGTCGCGTCGCTGCGTGGAGTCGGCCGGACTCTGGGACCTTCTAGATCGAAAAAATACTGTACAATCGAACGAATTAGCGACTTAGTGCGCCCCCCGTCCTCGCGCGAGCTCACAGCTCGTCCTCCTTCGCGCGATCTCCAGCACACCGTCGACCGCGGTGAGCTCGCTGTCCGCCGGCGACGCGCCCATCGCCACCTCCGCCCCGCGGTGGTCGCACACGGCCTCGCCCCCCGCGCTCTCCCGCCGCTTCCCCTTCTCGTCCGCCCCGAACCGGCTCTCGTCCTCCGGCTCCGGCTCCGGCTCCGGCTCCGGCTCCGGCTCCCCGAACGAGTCGCCCCCGAAGTTCCGGCTCGCGCGGCTCCGGCGCTTGTCGCCGCCCACGCACTCCGGCGCCTCGCGGTCCTCGCCGTCGACGACCTCGTGCGCCTCGGACCGGACGACGACGCGGATCTCGACGTCTGCCGCCGTCGTCCGGTGGCTCGCAGTGGGGGAGAACGCGGTGACGCGGCCGAGCATCTGGCTCGCGCGGCGCGAGAGGCGCGCGGCGGACGGGGTGAGGGCGGCGGCGGCGGCACCAGTGCCAGTGTCCGCCGCGGCGCCGCGGCGCGAAGGGGGGCGCGTGGCGGGCGCGGAGCGCGTCCAGCCGTCGCGCGAGGTGAGGGAGAGGAGGAGGGAGAGGGAGTAGAGCTTGGAGAGCGTGAAGTTGAAGACGAGGTGGAGCGCGGACCGGACGGTGAGGTAGACGATGAGGTCAACGGCGGCCCAGATGGACGTGAGCAGCCCGGTCTCGATCGACACTGCGGCGAGAGGATAGGTGGGTGCGGGGGGCGCGGAGGAGGGGAGGGAGAGGACGCACGGCGGATGAGGCGGTTTATGAGCGAGTCGGTGTACTGCATCCCCGTCTTGCGCCGGCGGAGGTGGTAGACGAGGGTGCTGGTGATCATGACGTCGCCGACGACGGCGGCCATGAGCCAGATGATGCCGATCGAGTGCAATTTGTCGAATTCGAGGACGAAGGATACCATGGAAATTGCGATGGAGCAGCCGATGCCCCCGACTAGGTGCGGGGCAGTGAGTGCGGGACGGTGCGAGAATGGGGAGTGAGACGTACGGAGCTGCGTGACCGCGAACACGGAGATGATGCCCACTATCCATCTGTTCCTCGTGAGGACCGTGATGCGCCATACGAAGAACGATTGCACCACACTCGTGACGAGCGCAGTCAGGGCAGGGCCGGCGTGAAACGCTGAGGAGAGAGACAGGGCTTCTGTGACGCACGGATGTAGTGGAAGGAGCTAGCACCCACGGAATTCGGTCCACAGAAGGGCGCTGTGGTCCCCAAAACGTTCTATCAGGGGTACATACACGGAGACGATGTCGAAGATCGTCTTCAGAGTTTCGGCCACAATAGCGAAAAGCACTGCAGCCTTCATCAGTTTCCTATCTCTATACACTGATGTCAGCTCGGACCCGTGAGGTGACCCCAAGTGGAAAGGTAGATACCTAGATGAGCACATGAAGTAGGAATACGCCTTTGTGATCACAACTCCGAAGAGGAACATGTCAAAGAACGCGGCGAAGAAGAACGGGTCAAAGCTGAGACGACGAGTCGGTGGACGAATATGAGTCACCAAAAGGCGATTTGCTCACTCGTGGGGGCCAGCATTGGAGGCCGGGTCTGAGGGCATTGCTCTGCGGGTGCGCAATGGGCGCTGAAATGAAGGGTGTGCAGGTAGTGAAGAGGAAGACCAACTAAGATCCCATAGCAGGGGAAGGAGAGGGTCCAGGGATAGGATCGACGCTGGGGAATTACTTCATGGCTCGCTATAAGATGTGCTAAGGCAGAACAAACAACAACATAGGAGGAGAGACGAAAGGGGCCCACCGTTGATCGAGGCCAGACTCCAGAGGACCCCGAATCGGGACAGATCCGCGCAGAACGGGCCTGCAACCGCCTTCCGAGGCGCACCAACGACCAGCGGAGCTGACTAGCGTAGACGAACTCTCACATCATGTATAAAATCCGAGAGGTGAATGTGATCGAGTTGACAGCAGCAAGTACTTGCCGCCCCTCCGCGGCCCACGTGAGACCGCCGATCTCGCGCTCCACTAGAGGTCATGCCCCCGCTTAATAATCTGCGGGTAATTCATGTGTAATGCCGAACACGGGCCGATCATGCCGCCGCCTCTTCCACGTTTTCGGGATCGAGCGCGGCGAGCTGGCGATCAATGTCGACGCCGAAAGAGCCGGAGTCGGGGACGGGGTTGATCGTGTCGTCGTCGCCGGAGGCGACTCCCGCGGCCTGGCGCTGTACAGACCGAATGTGAAGCATGAATCGAGAAACGAGGACGGCTGTGAGCCTGGGTTTCCGATGAGTCCTCAGCGGGAACAACGTGATAGGAGGCATGGGCGTACGGGTCTGTGAAGCTCGTGATCACGCTAGGTGATTCCGAGAAGGTACCGATCTGAAAAGGAAATGAGATCGTATGGAATACATGATTTTTGCGCGCACTTACAGAGCGAAGGGTAAGCGCTAGATGGACGGCATTCAAGGCGAACAGCACGCTGATGCAGAATGGATTGAATATGTGGCAGACGCAATGCACCAGGAAACGCACACGAAATATATGGTTCCTGGGGAGTATATGAGTACATACATTTTAAGTTTGCTAGAAGCACTGACCATCTCGTAAAAGGACATCCGTGAAAGAGGTTCTCCTGATCACCGAGGTTTCGTGATACGATCCAAGTTTGTACCATGTTATCACGATGACGATGAGGTCGGCGACCATTACCGGTGCTCTTGAGAACACGAGCACTAGTATCTGCGATATAAGCACCTACGCATATGGAGATGGAAATGGGACGGACACCTGAAGCACGTTCAGTTATGAGGAGACGTGCATAATGCTGGGCAACATACCATGTGAAAACTCCGTCTGGGATATCCGAAGATATGAGCCAACCATCAGGCTGGACGTCGGAAATGTGCGTACGAACTACGTCGTACTGGAGCGAAAATCAGAGGATGCAAGAAGCGTCAAATATATCGTGCGACTGACAATATTGGTGCAGAAAGGGGCCATAGAAGGCGAGAATACCACTGCTGCGAGGGGTCTACTTCGTGATACCGCAAATGTTCGCATACCGGAAAATGCTACGGCACAGAACGAAGTTAGAGATGACATGGAAACTCAGCGGGATAGACATACTGGACCGTATGACGTAGGGTACGACCGCGAGGATCGACTGAGCGCGCGACAGATTTCCAAATTCCTGTGGTTTCGGCGGTAAGGAGATGGACGACTGGAAGATTCAGAACAAACCCACCGAACCATTGTATATTGAGAGGGGACAGAACTCAAGGACCAGGAGGTACGTGTAATAACCGAGAGCGAAATACCGATTGGCCAAAAACAGCACCACGGCGCTGGCGGAGTTATGACTCCAGAACAGCTGCACCTCGTCTCCCAGTGTAACGAAATGCTCATAGAGTATCAACACTAAAGCACGGTCAAGCAGACGCCAGCACTAAAAGATTGGAAGTGCTCACCGCTTGTGCTTAAGGTGCAGTAGTTTTCGATCAAGCTGCGTAGATGATATGAGCGTCTTTGCGGGCTGAAGACTAGACAACGAACTCACATGCCGGAGGCATCCGCCACAAGTGCGGAGTAGTCTTCGCCTGAGGACATAACTAGGAGTTGCTGTGGTGAAGAGTGGGGGAACAACCCCTCTCATATATGTCTCTGTGCGCTGTTTGCTGCCGCTGCTGGAGTGCAGTGTTTGGAAACGATATGGCGAGATGAGCCGTATTGAAGAGCGAAGAGAAGGTCGAAGATCACTTGCCATATGGTATATGGTTCTGTGCGGCATCTCATCTCGTCTCAACGGAGCGTCTCTCGGAAGAGCCCTACTGCTGAAAGACGCAGTCGGTGGGCGAGATAGCTAGGAGTCGCGAAACTGATCGTGTGATGTGCTGGCTCTGAGCAGTCAGCTCAACGTTGTGATATCTTTTGGTCGTGATTATCGTGCGCCGAAGGTGGGCGCATCGCGGTTTGAGCCACAAAGTTGCTGGCTGTGATGTGAGGTGAGCTTGCCGCCACGAAAAAGCCTGCCTCCGCGAGGCGTGAAGATGGTAGCGAAGGAGGCTCATAAACGCCGGTCGTCCCGGGATCGGGCCAATGGCCTACCGGATAAAGCGCCGAACGTGGGCTCACAGACGCCGCCACCGTTTCACTGCACTGTGACGATGCACCGCCATGCCAAGGCGATACCTCGGGCTCCACAACTCTCCTGCAAGTCGCATGCATTTCCCTTCGCCCTCGGGTGTGACTAATGAACCCAACTTTAGATCAAATGGTCGTTCTTACGCCGCCGTTTTCCCAGCGTCGCACTAGACCCTTGGCTTCTGCTCCGCAGTGAGGCTGAATTCCGAACTCAGATGCCCAGACACACATGCATCGTGGTATAAGGCACCTTCTCCTGCACCCCCCTACCCTCCTCCCGACTGCGGCAGTCCGCACGCTTGCGAGCTCTTTCGCCTGCCCAGCTTCGCGATCCACATGGAGATCTAAGGTATGTGCGACAGAACTCACCCCATCGTTATCCGACCTTGACGCTCCTTCAGCCGTCATCCTCTTCCCCATGTCTTCACCACGCAACCGCCCTCTCGCCCACCTTGTCCAGAACATCATTACGACACCATGTGCTCCGCTCAACATCACCTGGACCGACGGAACCCCTCCCTTCAACGTCACAATATCCGCGGACAACTTCAAGGTAGTCCAGAAGTCGAACGTCACGGACCACAGCGTTCTGTGGCTCGTCAACGCGTATTTCACGAATGGAGACGACACCGTTCTCAAGGTGGATGTGGAGGACCAGGCGTCTTCTCATTCGTCCACATGGATAACCGTTAAGTCTTTCCCTCCGCCCGTCGGCATTGGCTGTCTCCTGCCCCCCACCGGCCTCCCTCGCACGCCAAACAACCTGGCGGCGGCGGGGAACGCCTCCTCTTCGCCACAAGGCATGAGCCCAGGAGCCACCGCTGGGCTCGCCATCGGCGTCGCGGTCGGTTCGTTCGTGCTCGCCGTGGCTTTGACCCTGATCGTCGTCAGGCGGCAGAAAAGAGCTCGTGGTGGAAACGGTAAGCGTGCTACCGCGATTGCATGCGTCTCTTTTTGCGCTCATGCGACCTCTCCCCCCAGACGTTCCTTCCGACTTCAGCCTGCAACCGCTCGCGGTGCCATCATCTCGCGCGTCAATGGGGGATGCAGAGCGGACCGCAGCGCTGGGCGGCAAGTTCGTGCGGCTGTGACCGTTGGAGCACAACCTGTCCCGCGCCCGCTCCGTTCCCCGACGTTCGGCGGTGCGCATGCACCGCGCGCAGGTCTCAGACCACGCGTCCAGTGCCATCTCTCATCCTCGCCCTATCTCGCCGGACTTTCCATCACCCTGTCTTGCCAAGGTCTGCCCTACGATACGCCTCGCATGCTCCCTCCCCCTCGCTGCCGCGCTGCCCTGATCCGTTGACTCAGACGCGTCTCAGGCTCGGTTTTGCTCCCATCACATATTCAATATCATTTCGAGTGCGTCCGATCCGATCTAATCTTGCCCCCTCGCTTATCTAATCTATATCTGCTGCCGCCTACTCGATCCCCCCGTGTGCCGTTAGACGAACCGATTTCCAAATTCGATCCAGATGCATCCCTCGAGTTAGAACCCAACGCCCTCGCATTGTATACGTACGTCGCGTTTTGGAAACGATAGAAGCAACCCCTGACTGTATGCTCGTTGCTAGGAACCCTGATATATCCCAAGTCCGCAATGAACAAGTGAGAACTGCTGTTTCGATGCTCGCGCTCGCCGCCGTCGTTTCCGTGTCCTCCGACCCGCACCGTGCTCAGACCACAAGCTGCTTAGCCCTGCCCGCCACGAAGAAGGCACGCGCAGTGAGTGTCTCACGTAGATTATGCAGTGCGCCGGCCAAGCTGAGTCCCTTCCGTTCCAGTCCCCTTCCATCTGGTACACGTCCTTTCCCTCCACGGCCTTCCCGCCTCCCCAGACCGACTCTCCGCGCACTGCCCATCGTCATCATCGTCCCACGCACCCTACCCGCGCTCCCAGCCGTCCCCAGCGCTCCGCCACCGCGAAGCTAGGGTCGGTTTTAAGGCACCTCTCGCTCGATTGGTGCCCGCAGCTGGGCGCTTACGCGGCGATGACCCCGTCGCAGGCGCGACTCGCGAGTGTCGCGCGGGTTCGCCCGCCCGTGCGTGGCTGCGCCTGGCGGTGCGTGCTTGATTCGTGGCGCGGCTTTGATGAATCTGAGGGTGTCTCGTTCCCACGCGACAGCAGTTGCTTGGGTCGGACTACGCTCAAGGGGTCGTCTGGCCTCGAGAGATGCGAGCAGAGATGGAGGATGCGTCACTGGGGTCGTGGGTGTGGAGCGTATAATACATGACCGAGTTCACAAACGAACGATCGCGACTATCTTCAATGAGAGCGAGCGAGCGAGGATCCAGAGGAAGTAGCGTGCGTAGAGCAGCGATAAGAAGCGGCGGGTGCGGGGCGTCAGAGACTCGTAAGTATCGACGCAGCGAACGACAGTCGGTCATCAGAACCCGAACCCGCCCGTGGACAACGACGGCGGGAGCGCGTCCGTCCCGTTCCCGCTCGCGCCCCCGCACGTCACCTCCATGTCGTCCGTGAGCGTGAGCTCGACCGTCGCCCCGCGCACGAAAACGTCCCAGTCGAGGAAGCAGTTGCTCGGCGCCGGCGCGCCGTCGATCGTCACGTTCTGGACGAAGATCGTGCCCGCGGCGCCGTTCGCGGGGTTCCCCGCGAAGTTCGCGACGGCGATCGTGGTCGTGGAGTTGAAGGCCGGGTTGAAGAAGGAGATCGAGGGGAAGAAGGGGGACGAGAGCAGGTACTGGCGCGTCGCGGGGACGGGGTAGAGTCCCGCTAGGTAGAACGCGGCGTAGCTCGCCATCGCGCCCGAGTCTGCGGGCAGGTCAGCGCGGGGGAGGTGAAACGAGCGGGGAGACGGTACCATCGTTCCCGGGGAGACCGTTCGTCGCCGTGCTGAAGTGCTCGAAGAGGATTTGCCGGGAGCGATTCGTGCTGTGTCCCGGCGCGTTCGCATAGTGGTACATGAATGGAATCTGTTGCGAGGGCTCGTCCGTCGCGTCGAAGTAGTTCTGAAGCAAGCGATGAACACGCGCGGTCATGCAGCGAAACTACAGCACACCTGGTCAAAGATGAAGTCAAGTCGGGAGATGAATGCTTCCGGACCGCCTTGCAGATCGACTAGCTTCGCGGTGTCCTGCGGAGCGAACTACCAAAGTTGGTGAGACGTCACGGCGTGGTTGATAGAACGCATTGATATACCTGGGAGTACTGTGGGGTGGAGTAGATCAGACTCCAGACCCACGCTCAATCAAAGAGCATACTGACCACAACAGGAGAAGATTCGTAGAAACCGTCGAAGTTGGTGTTGAACAAAAAGCAGTTCGCACCCGTCGGGTCGTTCACGCTGCAATGGCGCGGGTCCGTGAACCCAAAGCTGCCATTCTGGAACCGCGGCTGGAGCACAATCAGCTCTCTGTGGTGCCCACCGTTCTCGACCGGACCCGCACCTGCATCATCCCGACGATCTGCTCTTGGTCCGGCACGGTCGTGTTCGGGTTCCAGTGGTTGACGAAGTTCGCCGCGCGCCCCGCGTACTTGGTCGCGTCGTCCGTCTTGTTCAGCAGCTTCGCGACCTGGGCGACGGCAAAGTCGCCGAACGCGTACTCGAGCGCGCGCGAGACCTGCTTCGTGTTCGCGCCCCCGGCCTCGAGCAGGTCAGCCGGGATGTAGCCCGTCGACTTCCAGACGTTCGCCTGCCGGCCTTGCAGGTTCCAGTCGGGCGGCTGGTCCTCGGCGTCGGCGAGCAGCGCCGCGTAGAGCGCGTCGGCGGAGACGTTGAGCGCCGCGGCTTGGTCTGCGAACCTGGGCGCGGGGTCAGAGGAGGGAGAGATCGGGACGTGGACACGCGTACTTTACGAAGAACTCTCCGAGGATGGGATCGCCATCTGCGCGGCGTGGGTGAGCGCGTCAAAGGCGAAGTTGCGAGCACGACGTACTGCTGCCGCCCTGGATCCAGTGCTGGGCAGTGGCCCCGCGACATTCCGGGAGCCAGCCCTCGTGTTGCTGGATGTTGATCATACCGCGCACGATGCGTGCGAAGTTCTCCGGATCGTGCAGCGACATGAGCGGGAAGAGGGTGCGGAAAGTGTCCCACTGGTCGAGAAATCAGCTCCGTCTAGCGCCCGCAGACAGAATGCGTACGTTGCAGTAGAACGAGTCGTAGTAAGGCTCGTCCGAGTACCACAGCGGGTTCTCGCCGGTGTCTAGGAGAAACGTTCAGCGTCACATCAATGGCTGGAAGTGAGCGCTCACAGTCGGCGGGGGAGATGTGCGTCCGATAGAGCGAGCTGTAGAAGAGCTCGATAGTGTCGTCGTCCACGTTGTCCGTCCCAACTTGGATCCGGCCCAGCAGGTCGTTCCACGCCGCGCGCGTCGCAGTCCTCGTCCCGTCAAAGTCAAAGTCCGGGATCTCCGCCTCCGCGTTCGCGCACGCCTGGTCCGTCGAGATGAAGGACACGCCCGCGCGGACGAAGATGGTCGTCGTCCCGTCCCCATTCTGCGCGAAGCCGAGGAGGGCGCCGAGCTCGGAGCGGTACCCGGTGTACTCCTGAAGGCCATCGTTGAGGCCGAGGATGGGCGAGTTGCCGAGGTAAGTGCCGAATTCGGAGGGCGCGCCGAGCGTGAAACCGTCACCCTTGAAATCCATGCAGGCGTAGGCGCGGTACGTCCCTGGACCAAAGCTAGCAGCGAAGGTGGCGCCGACTATATGCATGTACGGAGTCAGTGTTCGAGCTAAGGTCTGCGGAGAGATGGCCGGACCTGTCACGCGACCCGTGCTGGAGTCGATGTGTACGATGGGGTGGGAGCTGCTTTGCTGGCCGTCGTTGGTGGCATCGACGACGAGACGCGGGATCGTCGCGTTCGAGGGGAAAGTGTATCTGCGCGGGGCCCATTGAGCGCGGTCCGGTGTGTGTATGCGCATGCATTCACCGGTGTAGCGCGGTCCGGCGCGTTGCAGTCAGCTCGACCCGGATGTTTGTCGACTGTGCGGCCGTGTTGTCAGCGGGCTCGAGGATGACGTCACGACGGGTGCGACTCGTACCAGGTTGGAAGCGAAGTATCCCGGCTCGGCGGTGTCGTCGGGAGAACCTGTGAGCGTCACGTGGGATTAGCATGGCGCGTGCCGAGCACGAGTGAAAGCGAACCGTCGGAAAGTGTCTTGCGGAGGACCTTGCGCGAGTTGAGATCCGTGGGGCAGGACGTGAAAGTGTTGCTGTCGCCGCAGGACGCGAAGGGCCATATCTTGAACAAGGATAGCGGGACGGACTGAAGAACCCGATCAGCTTGCAGCCAGCCTGGAGACGGATGGACGCATACCCCGCCTGTTCCATCGTCGTGGAGTTGAGAGAAGCCGACCGCGTTGAAGCCGGGGTTGGAGTCGTATCCTGCGAGCTGAGATGTGCAGTCAGCTTCGTCACCGTGCACATTGTCGGGCGAGCCATACGTTGTCTGGGGAGTCGGTGTCCATGCCTACTTTGACCATCCCATGCGGCAGAGTCACACCTGCGAAACAAGTTAGACCACAGGTGACGGACACCTGTCGATTGAACGCACCAGGGAAAGCGTGCCCCGAGCTCGTCGTCCCTATGAAAAGGTTGACGCGGCTCGCAGGGTCAGGAATAGGCGTGTCCACCCTCTTCCCAATTCGCGACGCAGCATCGCCGCCGAAAGATAGAGAGCTGGAGGAAGAGAGCGCGACGGAGCCCAGAAGGGCCACGAGCAGGTAGAGCACCATGTCGCCGCCTGGGATGCACGATTGACGCGACGCACCCCGCCTGCGGCCTTATATGTGTACAAGTTGTCACGGTGTATGCGAGAACATGTGGTCCGCGGGCAAGCCGAGAGGCGACCTAGAGGCGTTGCAGGGAAGGCTCTCAGTCCACGGCAACAAAAAAGGGCGACGTGCGCCGAGCCATCACCCATGAAGGAACCCGCAGGGCACCTGGAACGGGACCCTCTCGCTCTCGCCACATGGGTGGGGCTCCGGTGATGGTATTTCCGCCTCGGCACGAGCCTTGCCCATATAGACCTCTCGAAAGAGACGCAGCAGCGGCCGAAAAGAAACCCGCCTCAGAGCCCGAATGAGCCGTGCGGAGCGACAGCACATGAGTGAGTGGTAAGTATGGGGAACTTGTTGAGAGCGGCGGGGGTGCGGCAGAGATGAGAGGCGGGCCGTTGGCGGGAGAACAGAGACGTCAGCCTGGAGGACCAGAAGCGGCAGAAGCGGCGGGACCATACGCAGTGGTGCTCACCCGGCGGGCTCGCCTGACGCTGTGCGCCGCGCGTGATCAGAGGATTGTATGCGGAGGTGGACGGATGGGCGCACTTTATTTGTGTATGAAGCACTGCAGGGACAGAGCCGTACCCTTACATTGCTGTCGGCGCACAGGGCGCGGAGGAAGCTGGTCGGGTGGAGCTTCGAAGGCGGTCTTCCTTGCTCCACTAGCACGCATATAGCCGCTATTGGCAACCAAAGCGAGACGTAAATCAGGCTTCTGCATACATATGTCATTTATTGCTCACCTTTTCCGCAGATATTCCCGGATCACCCACGAGTAACATAGCGGGCACACGACCATTGCAAGAGAAGGAGAGGCAGAGAGGGCGATGGAGAGGTGCATGTGGGGGGAAAGAAAGGGAATTGGCGCCTGTTCGACGTCGGCTTCAGGAGACGCGACAAGTCACGGTCACCTGACTACAGTCACGATCTCACAGTGACGTCATTTCCTGGCGCTTCTCACACACGAAAATAGACACATTATTTCATCGGACGCTGCTTTACAGCTTGCGGGCCAAGACGTCCACATACACTCCTCAAAGGACTCAAAGCGTGTACCGGAAGTCAGGCGCACGGTCACCCATCCTCCGCAGCTCCTCGGCCGTGTACTTCACACCGTCCTCGTTCGCCCCCTTCACCGACGCGTCCCGCTTCGCGTTGATGCGCTTGTACGCCAGCACCGCGACGGGCGCCGCGACGAACCCGATGCCCACGAACATCAGCTCGATCCCGTCTGCCGTCCGCGCACCACCGTCAGCCACCGCGCGAGGATCCGAAAAAAAGGACGTACGGCCGACGATGTAGCGCGGCGCATCCTGCGTGCGGTAGATGTTGCTCGCTATCGCGCCGCCGAAGTTGCCGATTCCGATCTGGAGCGCCATCCCGACCCCGCGCTTGTAGTGCCCTGCGAGGTTGTTGCCCAGCCTGTGACGATACCAGTCAGTACTCGGCGTGCTCATGCGCAATAGGGGGACGGGAAGACGCACCAGGCGACGACGCCCGGGAATGCCGCGTACGAGCCGGCGACGACGAGGAAGGTACCGAAGTATTTGGCGCCGATGCTCACGTCCGCGATGTTGATCGCGAAGCCGACGAGGCAGAAGGTGAGCCCGGCGAGGACGAACGGGTACCGCTTCTTGATCCGGTCGGACCAGACCGCCCAGACCACTAAGACAATCGCTGCGATGGAAATGAGCGGACGGCACTTCGGAGAGAGGACACCAACGTACTGGCAAAGACGTAAGGCGGGACCGTGAGTAGCTGGGAGATCGCTGGGTTGAACCCAAAGCTAAAAAGGGTCAGTAGAATCAGATCAACACACAAGGTTTACGTGTCACAACTCGGTCGATGGACGCACCCGTTGATGATGGACCTTATAAAAAGTAGACTGAGTAACGACTCTACTTTTCACGAAGGCTTAAACTCACGGAAGGAACAAAGAGATGCCGAATACTGAGGCCAGGCGTCAGACCCTGGTCAGCTGTTTGCTGGAAACGGCACTTGATTGAACTCACCAGGCGTGATGACCGACATATACACAAGGACGTGGATCCAGACCTGCCAGTCCAGGAGTGTTTCCCATAGATGGCGCATCTCGAAATGCTCCTCCTCTCCAACCGAAGAGTTGTCGAACTCTGTCGCGACAGCACGTCAGTATGCGGCGGTACCGGCATCGGATTTACGTACTCTTCCTATGAACGACCCAAGCGCGCTCTTCTGGGGTGAGGAACTGGGCAGTGTGCGGGAAGTCGACGAGAACTGGGAATGTCCGATAAGCGTCCGTGAGAGAGGTCTAGGGTGTCATACTTACCGAAGAATGAGAGGATCCCAACCACAAAGGTAAGCATACCCTCGATGATCTATCATTGGTAGGTAAGAGAGACGGAAGGACAATGAGGGCTGTCACGCACAAAGATCCATGACCACCCGAGCAGACCGGCCCTTCCAGACATGAAAGAGATGCCGAATGCCAGAAGTCCTGAGAATGCTCCCGCGACTGTCGCACCCCCGAAGAAGAGACCGACGCGGAACTGGAGCATATGGCGAGGGTACCACAGAGAAAGACTGGAAGGCCCCGTGAGACGCCTCGTCCGATGGGGAAACGTCACTGTACGTACTAGTAGACGACCCCCGGAAAGAGGCCGGCTTCTGCCACTCCCAAACAGATACGGGCGCCCACGAGTTGAGGGTAGCTTCCAAAACGAAGTGCATGAAGTTCTGTGCCGATGTATGAGACAAAGACTTACTTCTTGACGAGACCCATAAGCGTCATCACGAGGCCCCAGACGAGCTGCCAAGAACCGTGAGCGCTTGATCAGCTCACAACAAATGGCGAACGCACGGTAATGAAGGGAAGCCATTTTGAAGGTCGGAATTTCTTGAGGACCAAATTTGCAGGGCACTCACAAAGGCAATACGGCTACAAAATATCTCAACATCAGCGATAACGATTCAGGAAAATAGAGAGATACGCACGATGAAGTACATTGTCTAGGGGATATACCGATCAGCTGAAATTAAACGCATGGAGTCGGCAGTGATCTCACCAGAGCGATATTGTACTTGTTCCCCGTGAGATCGAGCTGGGTCGTCAAACCCTGCAGCTTCGCGTTCCCTGTCGGACCCGTTTAGGGCGCAGTAGGTTAAACGGGGACGCACACTGACCGATATTGCCGCGGTCCAAGAACGAGCAAAGGTACATGAGAGTCAGAATGGGCATGAGGCGCATGTCGATCTTGAGCCACAACTTCCTCTCCTGCTCTGCCGTGAGCGTCGGCGGCGGCGGAAGCTGGTCGTCGCCTCCATACGCCAGCGTCCCCTCCACGGGCACGACCTTCTCCTCGATAGACGACCCCTTCTCCACACTGCCGTCCACTCGCGTCTCGCTTCCCTTCTCGGACATGCTCGCGTTCGTCGTCGTCAGTGATACGTGCGGTCCTAGGTGTCGAGTAGTTAAGGACCCCGGGCGAAGGTGTTGCTCGTCGTCGGTGCCTGGAGGCTGGGACACGGCCGCTTGTTAGACGGCGCAGGCCATCTTTATAGGCCGTGCCTCTCATGGCCCGCGAGCGGGGGTCCGCACTTGCCAGCCACACTCACGCCATCCGCAGCCGAGCGCCCCGGCAGGTGGGACCCGGGCTGAAGACGAGGTGGACCCGGGACCTGGGACGCGATATGGAAGGGCGACAGATTATCAGCACCCACATCCTACACCACACGCCGGAGAGCGCGGTGGGAACGAGCCGCGTAAAAGTGGATTGGGTATTTTGGATGAGGGGTATGCACCGTGTTGGGCAGGAGGGGGACACGCCCCGCGGAGATGTTCTCATGCGAAGGACATGAGGCCTGAGCGGCGGACAAGGGTTGATGGAGTGACGGGAGCCGGTTGCGATGAGTTGAGAAGGGTACGTAGGGTGTGCTGCGAAAAGGTCGACAGTGACACTATGGTAGAGGTTTATTGTGTGGCTTACATTGTATGGGTGCCAGATGAATTTGGAGCAGAGCTGATAAGGCTAAGCGCGTCGGAGAACATCGAGGGCGTGGGCATAGTGGGATCCCGTGACTGTAGACGGACACTATGGATGTTGGTCTCGGTATATCCAGCAGCTGTTCTCGCTCAGCTGTCTGGAAGCGTCACCGAGGACGTTGACAAGACCTCATACGTTGGTACCAGTAGAGGGCGACTTCACTGTGTAGAATGAAGGACTGTTGTGCCTTTAATTTACAAGATGTTGCGATGGTGATAGAGTTAGCTGGGCACGTACCCAAGTGGACAGAAGTCATGATGGCAGGAGGCGAGATCGGTTGGAGTTGGATCTCCGATAAATTCCCCAGCTAACCGTTCGCACCACCGCCGTCCGGTCCGCCCCCTCCGTCCCGACGGGCGTGGGACATACTGCACACTACTCGCGCGCGGCGTACCACTCCGCCTCCTCCTCCTCCTCCCTACCCCCACATTCCTCGTCCACCTTCTCTCTTCCTTCCATCTGGCCTTCACGAGTTATTGAGCGGCATCCCCGTGGGCCCTGCGAGCGGGACCGGCACTCGTTGTACACGACCATCCAAACGCCTGGAATCCCAACAACTGCGGACCCTGCAACTGCTGTGGGGGGCTCTGGCCTACGCATATAGTGAGTCATTCGAGTCAGGCAAGATGGATGCACATCAGGCATCTCTCATATAGAGGCCCTGATCCGTGTTGCGCGCGTCCTTGGTGTTCAGACGTCCTGCCTATCCTGGCTGCTGTAGACTGCGCGGTCCGGGCATCTCAGTTTATCTCCGCACCGACGCGGACTGCTGCCCGGCGGCACCGCGCTGCATTTACACCAGACGCGCGTGTCGCCACCTGGGCCCCTTGCCACCACCCTGACCAGGCACGCGGCACTCATTTATCATCCTAGGATCCCCAAGCCTTCATAAAGTCACCTGCCAGGCGACGCGCGTCCTCATCCTCAACCCAAGCTTCTCAGCCACCGCCCACCACCATACCATCGCCACAAGTTCCTCCCCCGGTCCCGGTAGAAATTTTGCAAGCCATGAGAGGGAGACATCGCGGGCGGATCCAGGGTGAGTTTCTTGCGCCTTCTCTCGCACCCCTACCATCCTAGTCGGCTCTCCGATGCTCATGTGAGTCCGTTAGCCGGGCTCATTCCTCCTCATGATGATGGCCCTGGCTTCGCGATGCCCGCCCAAGCAGGTGAGATGGTCGAGTTCGACCCCACGAAGGACAACACCCCCGAGGTGGAGGAGGTCGTGCCGGAGGGACCCCCAGGCAGCCTGCTCGAGATCAAGTACCTCCACGAGATCCACGATATGTTCAAGAACCAGTGGATGATCCGCCCTGCCCCTCCTGCCTCGGAAGACGGGTCGATGGCGAAGAACGACGCGACCAAGTACAACGTCTACGCGTTCTCCATCATCCGCAAGTTCAACCACTCCCAAGACGGCAAGATGAACACGTTCAACGTCACCACTGTGCTTCAGATCAATAGCCCCGAGCTGGTTGATGTCGGGCAAGATGTCATAGGCCACGTGCAAGGTATCTCATGGACGGCCAAGCCGCTTCGAGTGCGTTCATCCGTTCGCGGCCCTCACGCCGCCCCAAACGCTAAAACCCAATCTTCCTGCAGATCGATCCGCACACGTTGCTCGCTTGGGTGCCGGAACTCCAGACGCATGCGGAGGAGCTGGAAGCGAAGATTCCGAGCGAGCCCGAGGATTCCCCCCTGGTACGCAAACACAAGCATCTCGCCCACCTTCTCGGTTACCTGCGCGAGACGTACGGCACCACCCTCGACAGTCTCGCCTCGCTCCTCCAACATGACGAGATCACGTTTGATCTGCTATGGTCACTCTTCGTCCCCGGGAAGACGGTCCTCTACACGTTGTGCCCGATCACCTCCGAGCCGCGCTGTGTACGCCTCGTGCATTCAGAGCTGTGTCAGAAGGCCGACAACCAGGCAGCCGTATCCGCCGCTTACGACCCAACGGGGCTTCTGACTTCCAAGGGCTCCACCGAGCAGCAGATGCAGTACTTCTGGCGCCTCGTCGTCGAGTACGTCGAGGTCGACATTGGTGCCCCCGCGGACGACCTCAACCCTACAACAGGCTCAAGCACGGCGCACAAGTCGACGTTCGGCTACGCGGGACTCGGACGCGTCCTCGACATCCAGCGCTTCAAGGGCACGAAGAAGATCTCGAGCCTACTCGCGTACCCTGTCAAGTACTACCCAGGCCCGGGCGGCGTCTCGGGTCTGAGGACGCGCTTGATCGAGCGCGGGCGCAAGTGGGCGACGTTGGCGGGCGGGATGCATCATGTCGCGTATCGCGGGCTCGCGTTCAGGTTTAAGGAGATGAGCCACGTCAAGTACAGTGTGAGTCTCCTCTCATTCGGTCGCTTTTCGTCGTCCAAAGCGCCCGAACTGACCCTGGTGCTTCGCAGGTCAACTCACGGATAATGATAGATCGAAGTGCGTAGGATTCAGATTCTATTCGTGCTGCGAGGCACCAAGGGCTGACGGGCCGGTGCGCTCCCACAGAGACATTCGCGGACACAGTGCCGAACTATCCCATGCTCCCGCGGGTATCGAAAAACATAGCTGGGCAGGAGATCGACAGACACGCTGCGCGCGCGGCGGGCGGCGCTCCGAAGGACGACGTCGAGACGCGCGAGCTCACGGACGACGAGCTCTTCCTGACGTCGCCAATCGTGTATGGGTTCAGCTTCGCAGATAAGCAGTGGTGTGAGTAATGCCTTCTCTCATGATCTTCGCTCGCTTTGCTTATGCACTACTTTCTGCAGTCGAGTTCATTGTTGAGCGCGTAGAGTCGTTCGAGTGGAATGACGAGGCCTTTAAGCAACTTGTCATCCCGGCAAAGCATAAGCAAGTCTTGAAGACTCTCGTCGAGAGCCACAACGCCGGCTCAGCGAAGAAGTTCGACGACTTCGTCGCCGGCAAGGGGCACGGGCTCGTGATCAACCTCTTCGGCAACCCTGGAACGGGCAAGAGCCTCACAGCGGAGGCCATGTCGGAATGTACGTGCCCCATACCCACCCGAGAATAGCTCGCTCATGTATCTCACTATCTACATATAGATGTGCGAAGTGAGTGCTCACCTTGGTGGAGCTGCTGGCCCTTTGCTGATGCACGCTCGCACCCTCCGCCTCGACCTTGTGTGTGCTCTCCGGTGTCCGACAGAACCGCTGTATGTGGTGGGAGCGGCAGATCTCGGCACCCACGCCGATGCACTGGATACGCACCTGACCGCCATCCTCAAGGTTTCCGCGATTTGGGGCGCGGTCGTGCTCATCGACGAGGCGGACGTGTTCCTCGAGGAGCGCACGCTGGCGCATCTCGAGCGGAATGCGATGGTTGCCGTCTTCCTCCGCCAACTAGAGTGCGTCTTCCATCGTCGTCGCTTTCTATTCGCCCCATCTAACTCTGCATTACCCTTTCTGCCCCCTCGTTCTCCGCGACCTCTAGGTACTTCCGCGGAATCCTGTTCTTGACCACGAACCGCGTTCGCGTCTTCGACGAGGCTTTCCAGTCCCGTATCCACGTCTCCCTCCGCTACGCCGACCTCTCCCCCGACGCGAAGCGGCAGATCTGGCTCGCGTTCCTCAAGCGAGTCAATGGCGCGGATCTTCCTTACGGCGGCCTGTCCGCTGAAGACCTGCGTTCGCTTGGCGAGAAGAAAGTGAACGGCCGGCAGATCAAGAACATCGTCAAAACTGCGGGCGCGCTTGCGCAGGGGCGCCAAGAGCGGCTTGCGTTCGTACACCTCGAGCAGGTACTCGATCTCATGGAACAATTTGACACCGCGTGCGTCATCGTCCCGCTCCTCTTCGCCCTCACTGCATGAGATGCTGACGCGTTGTGCAGGCATATAATGTATCAATAGACGACGCTAACGAACACGATTTGTATCAGATCAGACAGACTCGGAATCTGTACACTAGAGCTTGGAGTAAAGAGGAATTGTATACATTTTGTTCTGACGCACCCGCCGCATTCTCCCGACTTTGCGCCGCCCCGAGTTGCAAGACCCCAACGCCGCTCTTGATTACCACCTTGGTAGCTGATTTCCCAGTACCGTCCTTCTCCTCATGGTCCGAACAATGGATGGATGGTCTCTTGACGCAATCATTGAACGGCGGTACGTAACATCCGCTGACTCGGAAGGGCGACATCTCAGACTTGTCTTGAATGACCTAACCCCGCGCCTTCTGCCAGACCGCCTGCTTCTGATATCGCGCGGCGCGACGGTCACGTGTGGTGCACTTTCAGAAAAGAAGCTCGCGCGGACGGCCTCGCCGCCTTCCCCGCCCTTGCTGCTACGTGCGCGCGCGCTGCACGTGTCGCCCCGCAATGCCCGCCGCGCATGTGCGCGCGGTCATGTGGGGGTCCCCCACGCCGCCGGCCCTGGCACGAGCGCACATTGCACGCACGTCTGATCGTGCGCCGTGCAGAGGCGGGGGACGGGTTCGCGACGAGGGGCGAGAACGGAGGTGGGCTGGGGGCGGGGCTCGGCTGCCGTGCACATATATCGCGCGGCATCGTGCGCCCATGGTCTCCCTCTCTCCGCCTCCACCTCCACTGCTGCAATGCGCCTCCACCGACTCGCGTTGGGTGCGAGCATCGCTGCGCTCGCGCGCGCGCTCGAGACCTCGGTCGCGCTCACGAGCTCGGCCGTGTCTACCGCGAGCGTGGCGCAACCATCCTCTGACTCTGGCGCGTTCGTTGCGGACGCGGCGAGCCGCGTCAACTTGTTCGTGGGGACGACGAATGGCGGACACGTGTTTCCCGGTGCGTTCTACCCTCACGCGCGAGTCCCAGCTGGAGCTTAAATGGTCTGCTGCGGCAGGGGCGACAATTCCGCATGGAATGGTGAAGGTCGGGATGGACACCGACTCACCTGGGAATGTACGTCGCGCGGCGTCATGGTATGTGCATGTGCTGAGGGCGAGTCTGCATAGCACGCGGGGTACGACGCGAATCCCATCTTCAACGCGACGGGCTTTTCACAACTGCACGATGATGGGACTGGAGGAGTGAGTGGTAGGCCGTCCGTGGCGAACGCGCCGCGTGCTGACTGCCGTGGGTAGGCTGTCCCTCTGTCCCTCTTCAAAATCTGGCCGTTCGCGTCTTGCGGGAAGGGGAACACGTTCGAGGAATGCCAGACGTCGCTTGCGGGAAGGAAGGCACTGCGGAAAGTTCTCGAGGACGGTACTCCGGACGACGCAGCCGAGCCGGGATACTTCGCCTCGAACCTCGTAAGTTGCTAGACTGCAATGCTCTCTCGAGACGCTGACCCTCGCAGTCGACTGGCATCCGAGTGGAATTGACCTCGACGCGCAGAGCGGCACTGCACAGGTGCGCATATATCAGCCAAGCGGTTCGGAGTTTCCAAACTGAGGGAACGCGCATGTCCAGGTACACGTTCCCCGAGGGCACCAAAGCGCCTCGGATCGTCGTGGACATCACCAACGACGGACAGAGGAGCAGCACTGACCCCGTCATGGACCTGGATCCAGACACCGCGCGTGTGACCGGTGGAGCGGCGTTCGCAGGCTCGTTCGGCCCTGGACGCTATCGTGCTTTCACCTGCGTCGACTTCAAGGGCGATGGGTACAACCTTGTGCGCCAGTCTCCTCTGTTGCTGGAGTAAGTGACTGATCTAAGCACACAGGGAGCTCCTACCGAGTTTGGGGCATGGCTGGCAAATTTCCCTGTAAAGCAGACTGTGACGCTCACGCAGCTGTACACGAGTGAGCAGTATTTTAGGCGAGACTGGCGCCCTCCCTGCTGATATATTTTCGCAGGCTTCATCGACGAGCTTGGAGCGCTGTTCACGTTTGCGCGTGCCCCGCGAGGTACGATACATATCTGAACACCTGGATCTCATGCTGACTACTGTATCGCAGGCCGCACTACCATCCTTGTCAGAGTTGGCGTCTCGTTCATCTCGTCGGACCAAGCTTGCGCAAACGCTGAGCAAGAGATCCCGGACTTTGACTTCGAAGGAGTCCGCGCCTCTTCACGCGCTCAGTGGAGCGAACTGCTCGGTCGCTTCCAAGTCAACACCAAGGGCGTCGACCCTGAGATCGTCGACCTGTTCTACAGCTCTGCCTACAGAACGCATCTTTCGCCTGCCGACTGTACGTTTGCTGCTGTGTTGGATGCTTATGCGAACTCACGAGCCTGTGGTGCAGACACTGATGAGAACCCCTTGTGGAACTCAACGGAGCCGTATTACGACTCGTTCTACTGCAACGTAAGCACACTGTGTAGTATCTGCAGGGCCGAAGCTCACCTCGCTCGGCAGTGGGACACATATCGCACCCTTTTCCCCTTCATGGGTATGCACGACCCGGCTACGTTTGCTAGGATCGTGCGTGGGATGATCAACATTCAGCAGCACGAAGGTATATGGCTCCCGGTGCATAAAGTAAACGTTCTGCTGATCGGGACGCCCAGGATGGCTCCCCGAATGCCGTGGTGCTACTGTCAAGCAGTTCATCCAAGGAGGCAGCAGTACGCGGTGCTGTTGGTTATGGGTCTTTCTACTCACTGACCTCACATGGTTGCTGCAGACGGGGATCCGATCTTATCAGAGTTCTTAGTCAAGTGCGCCCAGTCGACGCCTGCTCGAGTTCGACGACGCTAACACATTTGGATAGGTTCCAGCAGCAGGCGGGCGCCCTGAGCGTTCCTTCAGATGCGCTCTACAATGCCCTTCTTGCCGACGCTGAGCAACAACCTCCCAACTGGGACTTGCAAGGACGGCAGGCAAACATGTGGAAGTCTCAAGGTTCGCACCGTGCATCACATTATCCCGATGTACAAACATCGATGCGTCGTCTACACAGGGTACATACCACAAGATGTCTGGGAGCGGAGTGGGACCAACTCAAAGCAGGTCTCACGGACGCTCGAAGTAGGCATCATCAGCTAGATACCACCGAACGCGCGGCTGATCCCTGACATCCTACAGTACGCCTTCGACGATTTTACCATCTCGCAAGTGGCGAAGGCTCTCGGTAAGACAGATGACGGGAAGAAGGTAGAATGTACCATTTGCGCTTTATACTATCTCTAACGCCCTTCAACAGTATGCCACACGCGCTGCGAACTTCAACAACGTTTGGAACGAGAACACCACGTTCCCTGGGAGGGACGACATCGTGGGCTTCATGCAGGTATGGATCAAAGGAGCTCTTTTCCGGCCAAACCGCTTAATCGCATCCTTCATCAGCCTCGTTTCGCGAATGGCAAGTTCAACTTTACAGACCCTCGGCACTGTAGCATACACGACCCCCTCCACGCCACCTGCTTCCTGAATGCCCAGAACCACGACGGCTATTACGAAGGCTCCCCCATCGTCGTACGCATTCCGAGTACTTTTCTCTCCAGGCTCGTCCGCTCACTCCGAGCGTGTCTCTAGTACACGCAATACGTGCCCCACGACACCGCGAAGCTCATCGAGCTCCAAGGCGGCGCCAAGGCCTTCACCGACCGTCTCGACTTCATCTTCGATGAGGGCTACTTCGACTCCACCGACGAGCCCTCGCAGCAGATCCCGTTCATGTACCACTACGCCAACCAACCCGGACTCAGCACCCAGCGCTCCCGCCAGGTCATCGCCCAGTTCTACAATACGTCCACGAACGGGCTCCCCGGCAACGACGGTCAGTGCCCCCATTTAGGCTCAGGCTGCATCAGGAGCTGACATGCCGCACATGCAGACTCGGGCGCGATGGGCAGCTACGTCGCGTTTTACCTCGCCGGGATGTACCCGCTCCCGGGGACGCGCCAGGTCCTGCTCTCGTCTCCGTACTTCCCCGAGATCTCGTTCCGAAACCCGGTGCTCAACACGACGACCACGATCCGCGCGAACGGGTTCAAGGGGAACCCCAAGGACGGCACGGGCGGGCAGGTCTTTGTCAAGGTGCGTCTCTCCACCGTTGTTGATTCTGGATTCGTGAAGAGGAGTCTCACTGCGCGGACCGCGGACAGAACGTGACGATCGACGGCAAGCCGTGGAAGTCGAACTGCTTCGTCGAGTGGGACGCGTTCGAGAAGGGCTCACTGATCGAGCTTGAGCTGACGGACGACATCACCGTGCCCTGCGGTGCCACGGCCGACGCTCTCCCGCCCTCCCTGTCCACTGGTGGGTACGACTGAGCGCGAGCATCGACTGGGGTTTAGGGTCACCGGGGGCATCTGGCACGCATGTAAAAGTACGAAGACGAGAAAGAATAAGATACTGTACACATCCCGATCCATCCACAGCTAGAGCTACACGTGCGAATCTGAGATACACCTCCAACAACAGGGAAACTATAGGGAAACTATTACCTGCGCGGCGGCGCGCAGCGTCCTACACTGATTAGCTGCACTACTAGTACACACATATTGCGGGGCGGAACCATCCCTCTTCACCCCCTCTTGCCCTTCCGCGCCCCGGCCCCGACGCTCACCGTGCTCGTCACCGTCGTCACCGGGCGCGACATGCCCATCGGAAGCCGCTGCATCGTCTGCCCGTGCGCGATCCCTGCGTGCACCTGCGCCCTGCCCCCGCTCCTGCCCTCGCCGCCGGCATCGGCGCCATAGAGCGACGCATGCTGGAACGTCGTGTAGCCCATGGGCACGATGCGCATGCCGGGGAGCGGGATCGGGTGAGCGCGCACGCCGTGGTCGAGCGGAACGTGCCCGAGCTCGCTCTCGACGAGCTCCCCGCTCCCGTCCGCGTCCTCGCCTTCCTCGACGTCGTCGACGTCGCCGTAGTCCTCACTCCCGTCTTCGCCTCTGTCCTCGTCTTCGTCCTCGTCCTCGTGCATGCCAGTGTCGCGCAGCTGCGTCGAGAGTGGCGAGAGAGGACGCGAGCGGGCGGAGCCGCAGCTGTGCATGCTCCCCATTGAGGGGCGCGTGAGGTACGGCGGGGGCGACGGAGACGAGCGCTCGGGCGACCTCGACGCGCGACCCTTACTCGCGACCGCTGACATGGGTATGGGAACGGGAGGGGAACCGGGGAGCGGGGGCAAGCTGGCCTCGGACGCGGAAGGGAAGAGGGCGTGGATGGACGCCTGGCGGGCGGTGTTGCCGAGGCCCTGCATGTTCGTGCGCATCGTGCGCCGGAGGAGGGAGTCGACGGAGGAGTAGCTTGAGAGCGTGCGCGCGTGCCCGGACCCAGAGGCCTGTGTTCTCGCATGCCGCCCGCGCGTGCTGCTCCCGCTCGAGTGCTCCGAGTGCATGGAAAGCCCGCCGGAAACGGTGCGCCGGGAGTGGTCCCCGCGTGCGTTGAAGTCGGAGCTGTGCGTCGACGAGTCCTCCGTGTCCAGGTCGGGGTCGCTGTCCTTGCGCGACGACCATAGAGAGATAGGGACAGGGTCGCGGTCAGGCACGCTTGAGGTCGAGTGGGAGTACTGCTTATCGTCACCACCGCCGAAGTGGGTGGTCCAGCCTGAAGTCCAGACCGGAGCGGAACCAGGGGACGCGGGGACGGCGTCGGTGCACGCGAACGCTTCGAGCCGCGCGCGGTCACGGGCGTCGAGCTCGTCTTCGTGGCGCTGCGCTATGACTTGTTCCATCCACCCATCCCATTCCACTTCGCTGCCATCAGACTCCGGGTCCGTACCCGGGTCGGAGGAGAGGTCGACGAGTGGGTGCGAAGCCCGACGGGGGAAGAAGGGTCGTATGGTGCTGGGGTCATTGGGGCGGGGCGTCGGACTGTCGACGGGGCTGTATCCAATGGAAGGTCGCGGAGTGAGCGAAGAGAATGTCGACATGCTGTGCGGTGGGCGATCGATGGGGGAAGGGTCGGCGCTGCTGTTGCGTCGTGCCCATTCGATGGCGAGTTCGTCGTTCGTGTCGTTGTCTTCGGCGTCTGCATCATCGTCTTCGTCACCGAACATGACCAGTTGCATGGCGCGCCCGACCGAGCCTAGCCCTGCGCGGCGCGCAGCACGAACAACAGAGAGGCGCCATCCAGGGTAGTCCACTGGGGCAGACACAGATGGGAACGATGTAGATACGGTAGGAGGAGGAGGGTCCGCATGCGCATCCTCGAACTTGTCATCAGCCGGCCAAGGGTACGAGACCGATGACGCCAAGGTATGAGACGAGGTCGATGGAGAAGAGGGCGGGAAAGTGTAGTCGGGGGGAGGTTCGGTGGACCCAACGATGGGGGTCGAGGAGCGAGAGCTGAATATGATAGGTAATGGTGCCGGCGAGTAAGACGCCGTATTAGTGGCATCACTAGGGAGGAAAGTAGAGTGGCACGTTGGAGACGCGTGGCGATGGAGAACGCGTAGGATGTTCGAAGTTGCTTGCGGGGGACGGGGTGAGAGGACGGTTGACGGTCGGAGTGGAGATAACTCACCTGATTCGTCCAACATATCAAGGATGACCCATACCGTGTCCGCATCGTCATCCTTGTCCTTCAACTTCTCTTTGCTGCCCTCCTTTCTATGCCCAGACCCCTCCTGCTCGTCGGTTCCTGCTCGACCCCCTCGTCGCGCGATCGAGTCCCATGCATCGGCGAAACTGGTGCCGTTTCCTGCTCCGACGAGAACGCTGGCCGACGACGTCAAACCGAGGCTGAGCGCGGCCGTAACGTCTCTTGAACCTCTTCGCCACCATCCACCTTGCCCAGCAGACAGCGTCGGTGAATGAGTGGGGGTTAAAGGGGTCACTTGAGGTTCGGACGACCTTCTTTCCGAAATAAAGCCCGAAACATCGTCGGAGAACAGTCGGTGGCGTCCTCGCGAAGCCGCTTTGAATTTGAGCGACAGGACATTGGTCGACGCAGACTTTGACATCTTGTGGCGATGCCTCCGGGCATGGTGCGGGATGCTGAAAGTCGTGTTGTCGCGGATGGACTCAAGGGAGGACAACGGCGCGCAGAAAGCTGGACTGCGATCCTGGAAAGCGTGTAAGTAATCGAGCGATAGCAATGGGGGCACGCTTGAGCTTGTGCCCCCTCCTTCTCAGGGCCGAGCGGCTGCGGTCATGCAACCATGGGCAACATTGCACGCATAGTCGCACGTACGACCATAGGCACCACGCATATATGTGCATATAGTCGCGGTACCGAGGCCGACGCGGGGTTTGGAAGGAGGAGGCCAATGTTCTCGCGCCATTCGGGTGCAGGAGACACAAATAATAACTCACATGGCGATCCTTGCATAAGGAGAAGAGGCCCTGGTGGATGACCGCCCACCGCTCCTTCCATTCGAGCGCAACCTTCCTCTTGCCCTTCTCCCGGGAGCTCGTGCTTTCCCCAGTCCCATTGTCGTCTCGTCTCGACTTTGTGAGCATCGTCCGCGTCGCATCGATCTTGTGGCCCACGATCCGGAGGGCCCAGACGCGCACGGCGAAGTACGGGACGATGTATGCGTCGAGGGAACCGCGCGAGAGCGATGCGAAGGAGACCGACTGCGGGTGGAGTTCGAGGAGCTCGTTCGGCGAGACACCATACCACGCGAGCGAGAAGCGGTCCTCGAGCAGCTGGGTAGTCGAGAAGGAGAGGAGGAGGTACGCGTGGGCGTCGAGCCTCGGGTCTTGCGGTGGTTGGCTCGCGACATCTGATGTGGACGACGTGGATGGCCGCTGGGCGGTGTACTTGTAGCGGTGCGCATCGGCGAGCGACTTGGAGATGTCGACGTCGTCGCCGGCATCCTCGAGGCCGTCCGAGAGGTCCGAGTGCTCGTCCGACTCGTCAGAGCTCGAGGAGGTCACGGCCTTGCGCTGCGGGGCGGGGTTGGCGAAAGTGATGGGGGAGAGGGAGCGACGGCGGGCGGTGCGAGAAGGTGGGGGGACGCGAGAGGCGCGGTCATCGTTGGGTGAGCCGGAGAACTTCTGGAGGAGGAAGTGCTTGAGGTCGAGGATGGACCAGTCGGGGTCGACGTGGGTGACGAGCCATTGGTCGGCACAGACTGCAGCCCGATAGATTAGCAGATGGGCGTCAGGGGCGGCCTGAAGGGGGACGCACCGAGCCTGCAAGCGATCCTCAGCGACCTGTCGCCGGAGGACATCGCGGGGCCGGAGTGCGACGACGGCGACAACGACGGTGGCGAAGAGACAAGAGACGGTGGCAAGAGGGTGAGCGGGCAGGCCGGGATATGGGCCTGATCGCGGCCACTGCAGTCACGATCACGTGCACTGCCCCGGCCATCGGAACGCGTTGACATCAGCAAAATCTCATCAGTCGTGCGTGCGCGCGCGCGCGCACGTAAGTGTGCTCAATCCGGCCAATCCGTCCATTCTGTGGCGCAGGATCCCTGCGCAACTCACGGATTACAATCCACCCCAATTCTGCGCAAGCGGCGCCAATCCCACGCAATGCTACGCCGTGCGCACGCAATTTCAGCAAGGGATTGCACCTCGGGCATAGACATATGTTCTGGACAGGTAAATCCATGGGAATTTGAAGTAAAATGTGTCATTCTGCTAGCATGTCCAATCGCCGTTATATCCGTGTGACAGTTATACTATCTCAGGCCTGCCGCATGCATTTCCCATGCAGAGAAAGGCAGCCTTCCCCTTTGCTGCCCGTCCAGGGGACATGCCAGGGAAATGCTACCTTTCCCTTGCATGTCAAATTCAGGTGTGGTGGTTGCCAAGGTTAGCACGGGGCACACAGCAACGGTGCACACCAAAAACGACAATATGCACGTCCTGCTGCCCCACGGTGCTCAACATATGCACGTGAGCTGTGCAATTCCGAGAAGAAATGCCATTGACATGCAAGGGAAAGGTAGCATTTCCCTGGCATGTCCCCTGGGCGGGCAGCAAAGGGGAAGGCTGCCTTTCTCCGCACGGGAAATGCATGCGGCATGCCTGAGATAGTATAACTGTCACACGGATATAACGGCGATTGGACATGCTAGCAGAATGACACATTTTACTTCAAATTCCCACGGATTTACCTGGCCAGAACACATGTCTATGCCCGAGGTGTTGGTTTGATGGTGGGCACTTGGCCCGCCTGCGTGCCCTCGTACGCCACCCAAGTGATTCCGGGGGCACGATGTCCTTGGCAAGGTTCTGTGCACTTGGGCGGAGTGCACACTCGTGCAAGGATGTCAATCGCTGGCCGGGCTGCTGAGGGATTGACCGGATTGCAAGCAAATGATTGTGGAAGGGGCGGGATCGGGTGGGCTGCTCAGCAGATTGTGGTCGCACTCAGAGTTCAGTAGAAGCCAGATTGAATACTGGCTCAAATAAATTCACTATACAACTACAGCTACTACGACATTGTGGGAGCACGCTGAGCCGGCATCAGTAATTCTGCACGCGTCAGATGGGTCGGACTGTCAGACTTTTGGGCTGTCTGACAGTCTGACCCTTGTCTGACACCAATCTGACAGTCTGACATCTGACCTCATCTAACACATCAGGAAGAACTGTAGATTACTCAATCAGTGGCTGGTATCGCACTCCATAGATCACACAGTTGTAAATAATGAGAAAATAGGTGTATATTTGTTGCACTACGAGGTAAAGACCACCAGTTACAAACAGCAAAGTGGGCACGGTGCATACAGACATGCAGTCACATGAGATCCGTGAGCGAGGTGCACGGGGCGGGTGATGCTAAGGGTCGGGAGGAGGTTGAAGTCAACGCGCGCGGATGGGAGCAACACACGCGGAGCCGGGCGACACGTAGCGGGTGAAGGGAGAGGGTGGCGCGGAGGAGGTCGAGGTCGAGGCTGGGACGACGCGGGCGTGGGTGGAGGAGGGCGAGGCGAAGGAGATCGGCAGGCGATGGGGGCAGACGTGGACGGGGGCTGCACGAGCGCAGGTGGGCGACGCGGACAGATGTGGGTGATGCGGACAGAGGTGGGCGACACGGAGGCTGGCGGAGGTAGGCACCTGGCAACGCACGCAGACGTCATGGGCGGAGAAGGGCGAGGTGGAGAGCCGAGATGAGATGGGCAAGGGAGAGGGCAGCGCGGACGCGGATAAGGGCATCGTGGAGTAGGGCAACAGGAGGAGGGCGACGCTCACGGAGGCGGGTGACGCGGAGGGCTGGAGGGAAGAGGCGGAAGGTCGGGACGAGGGCCGGGACGAGGCGGAGGAGGACGTGGACGAGGTCGGAGGGCCATGTGGAGGGCCAGAAGGAGGCGGAGGCGGAGATGGTGGTGGTGAGCAACGCCAAGGACCGCAATGCCACAGCAGAGGAGGGCGACATGTGAAGCGAGCGAGTTCGGCGAAGCGGTGGGCGAGATGGTTCACTTGACGCGGGCGACACAGGCGAGGACAACAAGCGCAAGATTGAGACTGCCAAAGGTGACACGGGCAAGGGCGAGAAGTGGGCGAGACAGTTGACGCAGACAGGGGCGAGGCAGAGAAGGGCGAAATGGGCGAGGCTGGCGTGTAAGAATTGTCATGGATATTCAGGTGGGCGCGATGCTTGCAGAAAATGAATGCACCCACCTTCGTTCTCTCCGGGAGAAGATCCGCGTCCACAGACAGCCCCCGCAACACAAGCAGTTGGTGGTAGATGACTGCGAAGGGCGGCGCTGCCTTCTTGCCCGGTCGGGCTCGGGCTGATGCTGAGACGCTGACACACTGGCTTTGTCGGGTCAGACGTGGGTGCAGATGCGGGCGTTGGGCTGGTCCTAGGGAGGAAGGGAGCGAAGAACTCACCAAGACGTGAGGAAGGGGTGACACCGGCTGGCTCGAGCGCGGGGTCAGGGTGGTGAACAGATGACAGGCGAATTCGTTGTCCGCGGCCATGATGCGCGAAGATGCGAACGCCGCCGCGGAATGCCTCTGGCGGCGTAGCTGAGGCTGGGGAAGAGGGAGAGCGGGCGAGAAGACAAGGGAGGGCGGACACGTGGAATGACGAAGGGAAGGACACGCTGGCAGTGGCACGTGCTGGCAGCACCAGACGCGTGGGAACCGACGCGCGTCGCGTCAACGCCAGCGCTTGGTACTGCCAGCGAACCATCCTCAGTCGTCCTCGTCATCCTAACCCTCCTCGCCTCTTCGACGGTCAGGTCTTCAAGTACAACAAGGTGCGCACCCCCAGCCGCCCATGACGTCGCCCTCCGCAGTGCTGATCCCCTCCTGGGCCCCGGTTGACTCTCAGATCCCCTTGGTGTATTTCTCGTCCCTCCTTCACCACCCTCGACAGTCTGCCGCGCTCGGCGGCCTCGGCTCTTGATGGGCATCTCAAGCTCTTTCTTCCCGAGGACACGGTGAACGGAACCCACGTGCCGCCGCTCATTTATAAGGTGATTTTCCTGTCCTACTGCATAACTCTTTGTTCATATTTTTCCTGCCTGCGCCGTTCGTTGCCTTCGACACCGCGAGCGCGCACAAGGGCGGTTTTCTGGGGCCAGCAGCGAAAGTCATCCTCTTCTCCAGCACGTCCCCGCAGCGCGCGCACGTCGCAGACAGCTGGGACTTCGGCGTCGGTACGTGCTCATATCAGCCTTTGCAGAAGGTTCGACGCGTTGCCGCTTTATACACGCAGGGGTGGGCCTTTACCTGGATGTGACAAACCCGAAGCGTCTGAGTAATGCAACATACTCGTGCACGTTGCGATTGAGCTCACGCTGGTGCTCGCGGCGGCGAACGTCCCCGTTGTACGTGCTCTTCCCTTGTAGCTCCCTCTTCCACCTGGCTAACAATCTCGGTTTCCCTGCCGGACCTCACATTGTGGAGCAGTCCCGTTCAGTCCTCGTCCCCGCGCCGATCGTGAACCCGATCAATTGCCCATGGAGCTAGAAGCCTACTCTCGGGCCGGCGTGGAGGAGGCCCGCGAACGGTACAACACGACGGAGCCCGTCACGAAGCTGGGCAGCGCCGCAGTCCGCAGTCTCGTCGACTACGTGATCCCGGGCATTTTGCAGGCCGCCCTTCTCGCCCTGCATCGCCCACCTCGTGTTCCTTGCCCGCATCGCCCATGTCACCCACGTCGCCGCGCGTCGCCGGAGTTTGTGTCACCCACCTTGCGTCCCCTCGCCCGCCTCGCTCACACCTCGCATACACTACCCTCACCCGTGCCGCGGTCGCGCCGCCGCATCACCCACCTCACGCGTGGTACGCTCTTCTGCCGCGTCGCCCGTGTCCGTTCGCACCCTTTCGCATTGTATTCATGTTTATGGCAGCCACGTTCGCATCTGCCGAATGCGTGTAGAGTAGCTGTAGTAATTTGCTTAATGAAATACCCTTGCACTCACCTTTTGTGTCATGTATGGCGTGTCAGATTCGGTCAGATTCGGTCAGATTTTTTCTACGAGTCAGATTTGTGTCTGAAATGAGGGTCAGATTGAATTTAGGCCCGGGTCAGACATCAGATGTCAGATGGGTCAGAAATGGGTCAGAACGGGTCAGATGGGTCTGCAGCAGACCATTTCTGACCCATCTGACGCGTGCAGAATTACTGATGGGTGCCGGGCCTGTGATAACAGCGGCTCCATGGTTCATAGGAGTGCTGAAAGAAGACGGCAAATCAGTAAAGCAATACAGATGGTGAACCAAAAATCATACCTGCGTGGTTGCAGGCTCCGCGCAGGTAGGGGTTGCGGGTGACCCGCACGGGTTGGTGGGTACGGCTCGTGCTCCCACCTGACCTGCGAACATTACGGCGGCGGCGGATGCGCGCGCGCTGGAGGCGAGAGCGCGGCGTGGTGCGGCAGCCAGGATGCGCTGGTGAAGGCGGAGAGCGCGGCACGGCGAGGCGGCCAGAACGCGTTGGTGCTTATTCCGGCATAGGGAGTGGGATGTGGCGTGAACAGATGCAGATCCGCGAGACGGAGCGGGTGTGCGGCGCGCTGCTGCGGATGTTTGCCAACGTCAAGGGAAGCCAGATACTGGGAAGCGGAGGGCGGCGGTCGTGGGGAGGGCGGTCGCTGTCGCATGCCGCCAGGCGCTGACGAGCATACGCCTGCCAACGAAATACCCACAGAAAACGGTGGGGAGGGCGCCACTGCCGCTCACCAGCGGGACCTCGACGCGGACAAGGGCGACTCTGAGTCGCGGACATGACCGTAGAGCGCGTACACGCACCAGGCTTGCGCGTATCGCGCGGGGGTCTTTTTTTGCGTACGCATGAGCGATAGCGAAGGAGGAAGGGAGGGATCAGGGTGGGCACGGGAGAGAAAGCGGCGTCCGCGTCCTACGCCCTCTAAGCGTGAGCGCCGAAAGCGGCGACGGAAGGCGAAAAACTCACAACCCAGAGCCCGGACAGAGCCAGGCGTGAACTTGAGGCTGCCAAGGGTCACGCCAGAGGTCGAAGAATGCCCTCCACCGCTGCCACTCGCGCCCGAGCCCCGTGTTTGCCTTGCCGAGGAGGGCCACGCGCAAGTCCCAGTCGCCATGGTGGAGAGGGGCGCAGAGGAAGGGAGGTAGCAGAAGCCGTACATGGTGTACCGCCGGACGTGCTTCGCACTGAGGCGAGCGCACCGGGGGGCGAGTGTGTGGGCAGCGAGGTTTTCTGCACGAGGGATGAAGATTGCGGGGGGAGCGCGAAGGGGAGAAGGGACGTACCGAGAACCAGTAGAACCAGAGGGCGAACACGCTCTCGCGGCTCTCGATAGGCCAGCCAGAGGTTGACTGGCGGTGGGCCCAATGACGGTCGAGAATGTCCACCGCATGTTGTTTTGAGAAGCCGCCCCGGTCCACATCGCACATTGAAAGACGCAATGAAAGCGCACCTCTTTATCGCACTCCCATTGAGCCGATTGTTGCCACACCACCTCCACTACATCTCCTTAAATTTGCCAATATCGTTTGCGTGAGGCGGGGTGAAAGGAGCAAAGGAATGGAGGGATAAGTAAACCTGAGTCCGTGCGCGCGAGCCCCGACTCTGGCTGTCACACATGACTGACCCGTGCAGCAGCGCAGTGACAGCGTGTCCCGAAGTGTCTAGAGAGGCCTTGGTCAGAATGCATGAGAGGAGCAGTGTGATGCAAGGGAAGAGAGAGAGGGGGAAGAAAAGACCATCTTGTGGGCGGGCTTATACTTGAAGTTGGGTCAAGGGTGCGTCTAGAACAACAGAAGACGCCAGTCGCGGGCCCATCTGTCACGCTGACAACACTGAGCACGCTGAGGCTGGCAACGCTCAAAGCGAGACTAGTCTACGGGTATGGACGGAAAAGGATAACAACGATGAAGATGACAACGACAGTGATTACAACGGGTCACACGATGATGACAGGTCACAACGGCGACAACGACTCCTACGTAGCAGGGGAGACTCCAGATATTGGGGCCCGAGGGTGGCAAGGACAATGTGATTTCACTGTACTATATTCATATGGCAGTTCTATCATGCAGACAACGAGGAGACCGTTGAAGCGGTCAATGTAGCGATACGAGGGGAGAACATGCGCTAGCTACATACTCCGGACGATCTGGATGGCCGCACTGACAGCCACCGGTAGAGGGGCCCGATGTGTCGCAGATTGTGCCGGGGAACTGGATCTTCAATGGCAGGCCACGCCCGAGGCCGTCCGAGGATGCTCTGTGTCCGGCGCATTGTGACGCACCCAGAAGCGTCGCCTCACGACAGGCAGGCACAGACTCAGAGTCACGGACTTTATCATGGTAGCTAAAGGGGGCATACACTGAGGGCGTGCGCAGGAGGGGGTTTAAATTCTCACATTTGGACGAAGTTGTGCATGCCGTGGCTCACAGACGAAACTATTAGACTGGGCCGCGCTTCACGCGTACAATAGACGCCTATATTCTCTCGGAGATTCCAAAATACTACCAATCCACTGGCTACACTTGAGAATCACCCAATCGCCCGCAAGGGAGCACAAGCCGACACACGACGCCACCGGGATTGCGCGCACTTGGCTGGATTGCGCGCGCGCGCGGTTCGGCCGAAGCCCGCCCCTGCCGGCCCGGGCTTCCAAGTCCACCAAGCAAGCGCAAGCAAACTGGACTTTTGCTGATGGAACAGGGCCGCGCTAGACCGAAACCAATCTCCATCTCCGCCTTCCAGGCACCTTGCTGGCCCACCACCACCACCACCACAATGGCCAGCGAGTGACTGCAGCAACACCAAGGTGAGTGCACCGTGCTGAGGGATGTGCTTACTGCTTTTTCACAGGGCCCATTGCGAGGCTGGCACTGTCGTCAAGCTGCACGGAATCAGCCGTACCGTCGATCAACTGCACGCTGCGAGCGGCGGGACATTCTAGTCTAAGACTAGTGTCGTCCGGTCTCAATCCCTTCGTGATGGGTCCTCGGTGAGTCGCTCGACTCCGGGAAATTGGTCTCAGTGAAACGCGCCCCTCGGTGCAGCTTGAAGCTATGCTGCGCCGTGGGACGCCCAAGGAGTCGAACGTGCGAAGGAGGGGAGAATTTTCTCTCACCTTCGAGCGTGCAGAAATAACGCCCAGCATCGCGTTCTCTTGATGCAAAAATATGAAGCCTCTAGCCAATAGCTGCCTACGTACATGGGTCTCGGGGGAAGCACCATCGCCGGTCCCGGAGAGGTTACAAATACCTGTACAAAGTCGTACATAAGTACGGAACGCTGCCTGAAATTTGAGCGCGTTGACCGATTGTCTCGCCTTCCGCGCCGATATGTCGCCTAGGCGCTCCCCAGTTCCAGTCTAACGAGGCGTAACGGAGACCCTATTCTCACACTCGTTCAATCTTGGGCTGACGATGCAGCAAAGGAAAATTTCTAGCCAGTCCAGTTTTTACAGAATGCGATCTGCCACTTGAGCCATCGCAATGAAGAAGCATTGCTTATATCGAGCGCGTGAGACATCGTCGGACGGAACGAGGACGGGCGCGGGCATTGGAGGCCCTCTGGGAATGAGAGGTTATCGGTGACATATATACCAATCAAGCGCACGAGTGGCCATAGGGGGGACACAAGGCCTGCCTAGGGGAGACTGGAACGGCCAAGGTCATGGGGAGTTCTCTCTGGCCGTCGCTTGCTCAGGAACCCCGCACTGAGCGCGAAGAGCGAGCCCGCACTACAGAGAATCCGCGTTGTGTCGATCGTCCCCTTCCGTCTCCGTTGCGTTCAAGATCAGGATTTGGGCGGGGTTCGCTATTCACAGTAGCCACGAAAGTCCGAGAGAGGGATCGGCGAGGTGGGTATGTGCGATGAGGCTGGGGCGTACCTTGGGGGCTCATTTCCTCCCATACGAACGGCTCAGGTTTTCCATCACCGTCTGACTGGTCTGGCGACGGCGACGCTAATGCGCTGAAAAGTGGGACATCCGACCATCAGCCGGGATAATCATGGTCAAGGCGGCGTTGCCGGGTGGTTGGTCCCTCACTCACACCTGTGAGCTCTAGACATCAGACTCGACGAGCAGATGCTGGAAGCGGCGCGACGTACCACAATAAACGGTGCGACGGCCGCTGAAATGTGCGGCAGCGCCATTGGATCTGCCAGGAAGCTGAAAGACGGTGCGAGGACGACGATGGGATGCAATTTCGTGAATACAGTTTGAGCAGGAAGGACACACCGAATAATCGACGCGCTCAGGACATGGTTGACGATGTTCGGTGGTGGACAGCCTCGTCTGGGGACCATGGCTCCGAGTAAAAATGCGGTGATTGTTGGTACAAGTGTGGTGACGAGTGGTTGGTAATACATTGAGGAGGCTTGCCTCGTCCGAGATACAATTTAGGCAGTTGCAAAAGCGGTGAGGAGATGGTGTACGACGTAGAGAGTTGGTACAGATTGAGGAAGATTGGCGTCGTCGTCGAGTATTATCTTTAGAGACAACGCTCTTGCTAGAACGGCATAAGAAATTGGAGAGACAGATGACGAAACACACTCCAGTACCTCGTCAATGGCTGATGTTAACTTCAGCAAACGTAGCGGCAGGTTGTGCAAGCGAGGTGATTTATGTGGACGGTACAATGGGCGAGAGGGATATGGGAGTGGCCATGTTCGATATAGGGCGCGGCATATAGTGATTTGCTACAGTGCGGCTGACAGGCCGGATTTCATCTCGCTACACCCACATTGCTGGAACCCATTTCCAACCGCAGTCCTTCTCTCTGCACTTCGCACTAGGTCTCTCGTCGCCGTGTGCGAGAAGCTGGCACTACACACCTGCGTGCTCAACACAAAACCGAAGTGAAGCTTCACACGAGATAGATTTATAACGTTCACCGTGTCTCGAGGACGCGACTCCTTCTCTTGCTATTCTCCCCTTGTTGTGCACACTGGCCCAGCGGCAAGACGATATACCATCCGCCACCATCCTGGCGTTTTGTCAACGGAGATCATCCAGCCTGATCTCATCCAGAAGCTGAGGAGATTACACGGAGCCAGACGGTGCAGCAACGCTCCCTCTACCGTCGGACGTCGGACGCGGAAGGATGCGGCGACTCGCGCGAAGAGCGTTTATCACGGCGCTCGGAGCCAGGGCCGAAAGCCAAGGTTAGATTGGAGGCGGGGGAGGCTGACGCTCCCAGGACATGATTTGTTCGCTCAATGCAGTGCGAAGCGGTGAGCGGCATAGCTCTCCGTCCTGAGAATGGTGGCTTTTCCAGGCGCCGAGATATTGGTCAGCGCGGAGCACATGGGGGCACATCGGAGAGTCGGCCGCGCCGCGGGGTCATTCATACTTGCTGAAGTGCTTCATTGCGGGTTCTATCAACCTCCAAGGCGCATGTCCGCCGTTCGTAAGTACACCACGTGGCGACGGGCGTGTGTCCCAAGAAGTGATAGCAACTCGAAGAAGTGAGGACTACACACATTGTTGAATGAAGCTGCATGCGATGAGGCAAGCTGACTCCATAGTTGGTCAACAGTAGATCCTAATCACGCTGCGGTTACGGCATGGATGTGAAGAAGACATGTGCCGAAGCTGGGGAAACGCGGAGAAGACACACCTCGGGCATAGGCATGTGTTCTGGCCAGGTAAATCCGTGGGAATTTGAAGTAAAATGTGTCATTCTGCTAGCATGTCCAATCGCTGTTATATCCGTGTGACAGTTATACTATCTCAGGCATGCCGCATGCATTTCCCGTGCAGAGAAAGGCAACCTTCCCCTTTGCTGCCCGTCCAAGGGACATGCCAGGGAAATGCTACCTTTCCCTTGCATGTCAAATTCAGGTGTGGTGGTTGCAAAGGTTAACACGGGGCACACAGCAACGGTGTGCACCAAAAACGGCAATATGCACGTCCTGCTGCCCCACGGCGCTCGACATAGGCCTGTGAGCTGTGCAATGCCGAGAAGAAATGCCATTAACATGCAAGGGAAAGGTAGCATTTCCCTGGCATGTCCCTTGGACAGGCAGCAAAGGGGAAGGTTGCCTTTCTCTGCACGGGAAATGCATGCGGCATGCCCGAGATAGTATAACTGTCACACAGATATAACAGCGATTGGACATGCTAGCAGAATGACACATTTTACTTCAAATTCCCACGGATTTACCTGGCCAGAACACATGCCTATGCCCGAGGTGACAGTTTGTCTCGGCTTTGACATATTAGCGCAGTGAATACACAGCTACTGGCGTTGAACATCGAGGCGCACGCACGAAAAAACATTGCATATACACCCGTTCCCGTCGGAAATTCCCGACCTGGATCATCTAGGCGTCGAATCACACCGAACCTAGTTCATTTGAAGTCGAGCCAACAGCCCACGACCTCACGTCTCCACACACCGCGCGAACACTTGCTGCACATAATCCGCCATGATCCTGTGTCCCTCCTTCGACGGATGCCTGTGTGACCCAGACACACCAAAACAGATCATTCAGAACGACATAAGAGAACATAAAGACCAAAATACACGCACCCAGAGATGTAGTAGAAGTAGTGGTCCGGATCGTCGCACTCGCCCACCGTCGAGCTGATGATGCACGCACCCGTGCTCACGTACCCGAACGCCGCGTACCCCGGCGGGCCGTCGAGCACCCCGTCCCAGATCCGCGCGAACTCGGCGAACGCGACGTTCAGCTTCGGGCCTTCACTCCCGGTGCCGGTCGAGTTCGTCCCGGCGTGTAGGTCCCCGAGCCCGGAGAAGATCGTCTGGACGAAGGCGTCGCCCTCGGGGGTGTGCACGCCGCGGCCGTACACGTCGGATACGAGGAAGGAGCGTGCGTTCGTCGGGGCGCTCGCGAGGATGCGGATCTGTTCGAGGATGACCTCGGCGGCAGTCTGGAGGTTCGCGGTGCCGTCCGCTGTGGAGATAACATCAGCCAAGAATTTGAGAGAACGAGAAAGGAGGCATACACTTGGAAGCCTCGTAGTCGCTGCGCGATAATGTGAGTTAGACACGGAATAACGCCTAGAAACAGTAGACTCACTTTATCCCGAAGAAAATAGTGTACAACGTCGTGTCCGGGTCGAGATCATTCGACTGGCCCAAGAACGTTGTCACTACGCGAATTACGTCAAAGTTTGCGTGCATCAACATTGCCGGATGGGAGCGGACTCACTTTGATCGAGGAAGTCCGCGGGAGTCGGGTTGCTTGGCCACAGGCTGAGATCTGTCACCGCGCCGGATTGCTGCAGGGCAAAACCACACAGTGTATCAGATAACTCCTCACAACGAGATGGCAGTGTAGACGCACAGCGTAGTCCATGAGCGTTGCGTTGATGTCGATCGCGAGGTGCTCGACCCACACCCGCCCATCTGTCGCCCTACCTCCCGCTTCGGGATTGGGCGGCGTGATCACAGGTGGCGGAAGCGGGCCGCCGTCCTCCCGCCCACCATCGGTGTACGAATCCTGATGGACAGTGAGACGCATCATAGTCATCCAACGTGGACGGCATACCCCAAACGCGACGATAGTCTTGAACCCTTGGTAGTTGATACCTGCGCTAGCGTCTGACGTGTTCCCGGAGAACGGCCCGCAGATGGGAGACACTGCGAGATGGATGCCGTTGTTGCCGTCGTCTCTTGTAGAGGTAGAGCCCCGGCGCGGGGTACTGAGCGCGAGCGCCGGGAGTATGACCTGAGCAAGAGAGAGGAGGAACACAACGAGCATCGTGGACGTCGTGGGAGTCACGCAGCACGAGGGACCTAGCTCACTCTCAGCCCTCCTCCTCGGCTATTTGAGCCCAGTCGAGTGCGACGGTCGTCTGGAATGCGGATGCTAAAAGAAGACCGCACCATGCTGTTGCGGAGCCTACGATGTATTGAGAACGTCGGTTGGTGTGCCGAAGACAATACAGACGTCGGCAAGGAACTCTAGGAAGGCAAAAAAGAGGACAGAGGTTGGATGAGAAGGGTCATGTGAACGTTTGAGTACTAGGCATCTCCTGCGATGCGACCCGAGATGGACCGCCGGCTGGCGGGCCAGCGTTGTCGGCTGATCCCTGCGCGCTGGCCTGAATGGGGATATGACGTCATCGAAGGGTAGACCGGGAGAAGAGTGAGCATGTGGAGAGAGCACGGCTCTGTGATGCTCATATGAATAATGTGCTACCACGTCTCGGGCCACCACTTCCCGTGCCAGTTGAGTCCGTGCCGGTGTGGAGGACATCGAGGCCAATGAATACTGTCTGGACGAAGGAGTCGCCGGCGGCATGTGTTCGTAAGCGAGGCGGCCGGGAGGCGGGTTTTCTCGAGCATACCGCGTGGAGGTTCGCTGAGCCGCCCGCTGGGTGTAGTGCGGGGGTGTGATAGAGCGGCTGGGATACGTGCTCTTGGATGCCTCCGGGCGGCTGGGCACGGAAGAACGATGAGGGTGAGGTGTATTAAAGAAGGTGTGGGACGTACTTGATGCCGAAGAAGTGTTGTATTGGAACTCAAAGCATGAGGCTGGTTCAAGAAGGTGGTAACTATGATGCATCGGGGACTGGGGTTCAAGCGCATACATCGAAAGAAAACACACCTTCGCTTATGAAGTCTTTTGTGTCCAGTTCGGCCAGAGTTTGGCGTCTGTGGTGGCCCCTCCAAGCTTTCCTCAGGTATGATTCGAAGGGGTTGCATGCAGAGGTCGGAAAACAAACTCACCGCGTAATCCATAATCGTAACATTGACACCATTCCCCAATTCCTCAACCCACACTGGGCCGTCTGAGAATCTCCCACCTCACAGCAAGGTGGATGCCGGCGTTGACATCGCCTCGGGGATTGGTATAAAACACCTATGCACCGTCCGCTTTGGAATAGGGTGCAGACTGTAGGGTAGACAAAACAAGGGCGACGACCGGAGCACTCATCCTTCTTGACCTGTGGCCCGTCGGGCGAGCAGCGTTTGGGTCGGTCTGCATAGAATGGCCGGAGAGCGTGCTTCAAAGGAGAGCGATAAAGAGCCCAAGACAAAAAGAAAGAGGGTTCGAGCTGGAAGCAAGGCCAGCACTTGTGCAGACGAGGGTTGCCGCGTAAGTAGTAGGCGAACTCCAGTCTCGCTGCCATAACGCCCGCTTACATAATCGAAATGACATCATCTCTCACGGCAAATCACTGCGGTTTCGCTCATGCTAGGTTGCGTCAACGAAGTTTCAGAGGAAGATATATAGGCAATATTCTCGCAACGTAAGGTAAATCGTATGGATTTGACGCGAGACTCTGGTCACAGCGCTACAAGTTTCACGTCGTCGAATTCGTCTTGAGCGAAGTCTACTCTTGAGACCGAATGACAATTGATGGTGACGCGATCAAAACAGCTCGTCTGGGCTTCGAGCCAGTCCCACAGGTCGTCTCGAGCACACTTATCAGCAACTTGTGGAGACACCACCAAGACCTTCGCCAGAGGCCCGAGCAGCTAGAAAAGAGCGCGCCGTCAGCATAAGATGTGGCCCGAGAACAACCTGAGAATGCGTTTTGATCAAGGAACCGACCTGTCCATTGAGACGAACACACTTCGGGCTCGTCGCAGCGCAGAGCGCCGCGATTGGCGCTTTGGAAGCGTCGCCCCAGATGATATCCTGGAGAGGAAGGGAGGGTTCTGGAATGAGGCACTTCTGTGCGCATGAAGAGATCGTCATCTTCTCACCCAAAGGTAAGACGTCCGTCGCTGCAGCGACACATCTGCCCCAGTGCTCACAGAAATAGACAAGATCCCTTGCTCTCCGTACTGTTCTGCCAGTTCCAGCGATACTAGTAAATTACACTACACTCCCCATTCAGTACTACGTCGCAAGGGCAGATACTAGTATTGAACGCACCAGCTTTGACTGCCTGTACAGCGACGTCGTCGACCATTGCGCCCTCACTGGGCCCCTCATCAACGACGAATAATCCACCTGCGCCGGGCCTATACCATCCAGTGTGTGGTTCAGCACGCGCACCTTCTCTCCCGTCGTCTTCGCAGTCACGAGCATAACTGGGAGCAAGAGCTGGGTAAGGTAGAAGTGCCCGAGCACGTTCGCCCCGAATTGGAGATCGTAGCCCTGCCGCGTGAGCGACTGGATCGGAGGCGTCCGGACTTCGCTGCCCTCGACACGTACGCGTCAGCCTCGGCGCTGCGTATCCGGTCTGCGACGGAGCACCCACGCGCTGTTGATCAAAACATGCAGCCTCGCCTCCCGGCTGTCGCCAGGTTTGTGAGTCATTATTTGACCTGGCGGAAGAGCAAGCCGCACCTGAGGTATTCACCCGCTGCCCTCCGCACTGAGTGCAGATCCGCTAAATCCATCGCGAGGAGACGCACGGCCTCGGACGTCCTTCTTAGCGCGTCCACCACCCGCCTCCCGTCGTCCTGGGTGCGTGCAGTGACATACACCGTCGCATTTCGTGCGAGAAGCACCTAACCAGCGGGAACCGGCGTCAAGCGTGTATGACGAGGCGGGATGAGGGCAACGTTGATCACCTTCGCGAGAGCAAGGCCTGCGGGGAAGTGTCGCGTCGGTCGGTGAGACAAATTTCCGCAGGAGCTGAATTTCTAGGTCGCAGCGAGGAGTGAAACTTACCTAGTCCTGAGTCTCCGCCCGTGACGAGAAACACCTTCCCCGACTGATCTGGGACGTCGTCCACGCCCCACTCGGGAGGCTGTGGCGCCCAGAAGTCGTTCCACCGCGAAGCCATCTCCAACGTCTCTTCACGTCTCTGCTATTTGTGAGTCGACAGGGGCTTCTGCCGCCGGTTATCAGCGACGGAAGAGGAGGAAGAGGAAGCGCAAGGGCAGCGTCCCCTTCGTGGGACGCCTCGCCCTTCGCATAAATACCATGTCCCGGCGCGCCGTCGCCGCCACCGCCGCCCTTAATAATCTGCGCCCGTCGCACACACATACTGCCTCATGTCGCCGTGCGAGACTAGGCGGACGATGGAGGCCGCGGGCGCACTGACCTTGCACAGGTTACGGAGTCGAAGGATACAGATCCCGGTCGGCGTCCGCGCTCAGGATCGCGCGCATAGCACACCTCGACCTTGTTCGCAGGGATATACTCCATCTTTGCCCTCCCTAGTGGCCGACCTTGCGCGCATATAATCTTGGGGTCTGTATATAGGCTGTTAGGTAACCGGACCCCAGAAGCCGTAGAAAGGTGGAGGTTAGAAGACAAGCGACGATGGGGCGCGGGAACGTCACTGCCACGTGTTCTCAATGGAGACGCCGTCGTCAAAATCGACTCGCTCTCATCGTGTCGACTGCATTTACTTAGCGATATGTTGTATGCTTACTTTCGCGCTTTATTGAATGACAGATACGATGATTTACATCCAGTGTTATATGACGTGCCGCGCCCCGCCGTGCACGGAGTCCAGCGGGCAGCAACGGGATAAGAGGTTCAGGGAAGCGAGCATTCGGGAAAGGTTCCGTACATATATCCGCATAACGCCTCACTCCCGTCGACACGCTGTGTCTCGTCGTCCCCGTCCCCTCGGGCCGGCCGTGTCGCGAACGAAAGGCCTTTGAAAACGCTCGGTGCTCTCAGCTGGCCGTGGGCGCGAAGGACGAGCGACTCACCGTCCGTCCAGTGTCCCGCGCCCAGCCCTCGCCGAATAAAGCATGCCCGGCGTTCGACCAAACGAGCGAACGCGCCCCCGGGAGACGGCGGGAACCACGCCCCAAACGCGCGTGCCGTGCGCGAGGCCCGCAAACCACCACCCCGCGCTCCGGCGGTTCCGCGCTGACTTCGAGAACGCTGGAACGCGGGGCGTGGCGTGTCGTGATCGGGCTCCGGGCGCGCACGCCGCGGTCGCGCGCCGTGGTGGGTAGAGAGTGCTCGGAAGGATGTCTGGAAGGCGGAGTGCAGCTGGGGATGTGATGGTACGCGCCTCGCTCAGAAGACACGCTGCGGGGAGCGCGGGCCCTAGCCCTTTGCCCTGTCCCTGTCCCGCACGGCGTCTTCGGAGGGCTTCATGGCCGTCCGAGCGGCTTGGCCTGGCGGTGGGTCAGCGCAAAGCGGGATCTCACGCGGAGCTGAGACGATCAAAGGGCGCCCGAATGTACGGAGTTGGAGGAGGACGACTGGAGAGAACGAACGGCGAGTCGGAGTGATAAGGACACGCGTGTATGGCGAGGTGGGTTGCGGCAAGGAGGCGGGAGGTGTTGGTGGAGGCGGGGAACGAAGCGCACTAATCAGATAAGCAGTGGCTGGGAATAGACAGACACAGGAGCAAGAGACGTGGTGTACCACTCGACGGGCGCTTTCTGAATAAGCGCTCATTTTCCAAGAAAAGAAAATCGCACCACCATCTGCACGTGGCCACTATCCAGCAGAGTCAAGCGTAGTCACACCCTCCGTCTTGTCTCTTGCCTGCGACATCATAGTCTGTGACATGGAAGCAGGTCGAATCCATGCCCACCCAGTGTTTGACAGCCACGACCAACGACCATAGGTGAGTGCTCACTTTTTTGGCGCTCAATGGCCCTCACCTTGGCAACTCTCTTGTTCAGCTGTCAACGCCATCAACCGAGCAGAGCGAGCCAACCGGAGCGTGCTCCAAGTTGAACGTGGTGGCTGCAGTATCCCGATCCAATGAGAGAAATCGGTCCAGAAACATGCGGTGCGTGTTCTCACTCATCTCTCTTCCATGTGCTGATGGGCTCCGATCTCAGAGGTTGACCTCCGCCGTCGTGGGTGCAAACTGCGGGCTTACGACCGGGCATTGCAAATCGCGGTCAGCGTGGGCTATTGCCTTCCACACTCGATGTACGGGCTGTAGTGCAGCGGCCTTGTTGTGTTGTCACCGAAACGTTGAGTTTGGTTTGCGAAGCCTAGGTGAGCGTCTCTGATCACGCTTCTCGGACGAGATCATGTTCGTACTGATGTTCGCGCGTACGTAGTGGTCCACAAACGAGGAGAGTGAATAAGAAATCAGTCCATCCACCGCGTGCACGCGCACTAGGGTGCGCTAGGGGTGACGGCGCATCAATCGCTCCTGTCCCGTGTCCAAACCACAGGTCGGCGGTGTGGCCGCACGCACGCGCGGAAGGTCGACATGCGTTGTTTTTGGGGTGCGTGGGGGCCCATCCTTACGGCTGGACAGGAAAACCTGGGCGGCCACGATGACGGGCTGCATTGAAGCAGACAGCCTCAGCCCCTCGGGTGATAGGTCGGTGTTTTAGGGTGCAAGACAGCTCTTTGGCGGGTGGACGGTGGGTGTGGTGCACGGTTCGGGATTCTCGCCCGAAGTAACGACTGAACCCCAACCTGTACATGTTCGAAGAGAACATCCGCTCCCGCCTCGTCTCAGGTCGACGAATGACCTCCCAGCGTCCTGCTGTGACGGTGCTCTTCCTCCAACCTCTCTTAGCAAGTGCGCAGTAATGCAGGGCCGCCAACCCCCAAGTATTCAAGCTCCCGGACTCCGAGCGCCCCGCCCTCCTCGCTTACCTCTACTCATCGATACCGGACGTTCGCGGAGGACGACATACCCTACGCCCAGTCGCGGCGACTTCCCTATCAATTTGCGGCGCGCAGCTCATGGTAAAAGACGCCGTGTGGACGCACGAAGGCGACCAATCAACCGCCGCCTCCTCCTCCTCCTCCTCTTCCACCACCACACGGGCGCATCGCTTCTCGCTCGCGCGCAGTCGCCCAGTGGCCGGCGAGTGAGAACACTGCTCTTCCTCTTGGTCCCGTGTCATATCGTCTTACGCTCTCGTCCGACGTCACGCCACGCCACGCCCAGCAGTGGACGCGCTCGACATCCAGCCAGGGCAGAATTCCGAATCGACCGCCGTCGCCGCCTCCGCGCACGTCTCGAGCCTTGGCCTCCTCGTGGCGCGGGTCGCGACAGACGTCACCCCGGCGCGGGGCTAGAGCAGCGAGCCAGTGAAAAGTACAATACTCGGTGCGTGCGTGAACCCATCCCCCGTCCTTCCGGACACCGGCTGACGTGATGGGTGATGCGCCCCGCCGACGCGATCAGCCCTGCCCGGCTTTGGGTGCTCGCGGTGCCGAGCTCTGTCGTGCGCGTCGAGTTGGGGTGGGGGGGGCGCCGGTGCGTCGAACGGAGGTGCGTGCGTGCTGCAGACGCGCCTCGGCGGCTGCTGTCGACACCGTCGAACAGGACAATCGCACGAGCTCCCGCAAATTGGAAGGAGGCGCGACCGGGTCTGGCCCAGGAAGACCGGAGATCACGGACGACGTCCTTCGACGTCGCGCTCGGGCGCACCCGGGCTGCCGACACGCACGATTGAATTTGGCGGCGCGGCCCTTCCCGAGAGCGCGGACTGGATCTGTCGAGTCTCGACGGGGTCGTCACAGCAGAAGCGTCCGCCGCCGCCGCCGCCGAGGCGGCGGGCGTTTGTTCAGTCGGAGTCACGTCGAGCCGCGTCCTGAGTACGAGTCCTCGTTCGCGCACGGCGGGTTTGCTGACCTCTCTCTTGCCCCGCGTCTGTCTCTTTAGCACGAGGCGCGGCACGGGACCGCGGCTTTCCTCCGTGCGCTCACGCTGGCGCGCCGCCGTTCTGGGGGCCGTGGCTCGTGCGCGTGCGGGCTGGCTAGTTGACAGGCCTAGGGGACAGGGCGACGACGGCGCGTGATCGTAATTGCGCGTGCAAGGGTCCCCAGGACGAGCGGGCTAGTGCCGCCGCCCGCGCCGGCGTGCAGGGCCGTCACAGGTCAGGTCCTCTCCCTGCAATATCGCCCGCTCCATGAGATCTTTTTGCGTACAGCCATAGGTAGGTGCAAGGCTTGGCATACGTCCCGAGGTCGTGCGTGCTGCCGTCACGTACGTATACAAAGCTCGCTCACACCAGACGGCTTACGGGGCAGTCGCACGATGGGGCGCTGGAGCTCTCTGGGCGAGCGTGAGTGATCCAGCCTCGTCGCTGGGCGTGACGGCTCTACGAGATCGGTGGGCGTACGCCGGACAGCGGGGGTTGGGCCTGGGCCCGGCAGAGCCGGGCGCGGACGCGGAGCGGAGCGAGCCGCCACCCCGACCAGACCGCCCAGGTTCTGACTGCGGCCGCTCCGCGCCGCCGACCCAACCACCTGCGGCGGGCTCGCGCACTGCCCCTACGAGTCCTGCTGGTCCTCGACAACTGCACCCAGGTGCTTTGACACGACGAGCTCGAAGGAGCGCACGTACACCTGGTAGGCCAGTGAACGCCATCGCCCCATCATTTGCACGACATCCGGCGGAGTGCCTGCTGCGAGGTAGTGGGATGCGCCCCCGATCCGGAATGAGTGACCGAAGGTCGCCTCGAAACCGCGCTCCCGGAGCTTGTTGTTGACGCAGTCGAGGGCCGCTTGGCGCGTCAGCGGGCGGATGCCAGACTTGTCTCGCCAGCAGAAGAGGGGATCGTCGGCTGCCGCAGGCACCACAGTGGCAAGGTTTCGAAGCGCCAGCAGAGGGCAGACTGCGCTCGGTTGCCGCACCAGGAACACGCGCTGCACTTCACCTGCTTTGGCTGTTTTCGCGCGAGGTAGGTCCAGGCGCGCGTACTCAACGCCCCGTTGGTCCTTGCCGAAGAACGCGTGCTTGCGTGCGAGGTTGCTGCCTGGGTTATACGCCGTGCGGGACCGCACCGTAGCCTCGCCGAAGCGCATGAGGCCCCAGAAGGCGCATGCTGCGGCCGCCCACACGCAAGCTTCAAATGGGTTGTCCAGCCGGAGCGATGCGTGCAGGGTTTC